CAAGTTCAGATCTGTGAATCTGTTAAAACACAGCGAAAAAGGACACTTAAGTGACATAATAGCGAAGCATAAAAAACAAAAGGCATAATACTCATCACAATAAAATCTGCAGGTGTTACAGCAAACCAAAGATGGGGGCTATACTTGCGGCAATGTACTAGGCTTATACTCTGCAGACGCGAGAGATGCAAAGATACAGATGTCAATAGATTGCAATTATCAAGCTCCAAAACCTGCAATAGATTATATGTGGTTAACCCAACCGGAAGCAGCGGTCTCTATTTACAGGTTGTAGAACAAGATGCATGTGTGTGGAAAAAACAAAAGCAATCACAAACCTCTAGTGCAGGACTATTAGCAATCCAAGTCATAGACGCGGATGTTATACCCTCACAGCTATGAAGCTTGAGAACTGTCAACATGGGAAGATGTACTGACTTCAAAGAGGAAAAGGGCACACAAGTCAGAAAAACAAGAACGAGACAACAAAAGGGTGAACAAAAGCAACGTCAGATAACAGGACCAACCTCAAGAGATATATTGGGGCAGTATGAAGCATTAAGAATATGGAGATTAGCACAAGCCTGGGCTATTTCACGCAATGTTTCATCACTGACACAGGAGCAGTTAGAAACGTCTAGCGACTCTAACTGAGGACACGAAACGGCTGCTGAACGAATAGCAGCATCCAAGAGCTTATGGCACGAGGCTATATCAAGAAGTTGGAGGAGTGGACAGTTAAGCATCGCCTGCGACATGTTACTTCTTTTCAATGATAAAGACCTGAGCTGCGGACACCTAAAAGATTGAAAACAAAAAGAATAATTAAGAATGAATTACACGTAAATGCATGAGAATTAAATTTATTGAAAAACAACTTCACCTGATAGACAAACGCATCACGCGGCATTTCGTAATTTTAAGTTCCCGTAGCCGATCATGACTCAGGTGTATCTCCTGAGCACCATTTCCCAGAATAGCCTCACTTACGGTTACACTCCTTAGCATATTACACTCCCCCAAAGCCTGGAAAAAGCTTTCACTGATATGACCTTTTCCTATAGTTAAGACCTCAAGATTCCTGAAACAGATGAAAAGCATTATGATGGATATATAATAACTTTAATCTATGGAGCCATTTTCAAGGCTAAACAAGATAGATACCTCAACGTGGTAGCTGCTTTCATAGCCAGAGCGTTAACAGCCGGTGCGCCGTAAACATTCACTTCCGTGGCATTAGGATAGCGACGACACATGTCTTCAACTGCACATAAAGCAACCAAAGATTAAATTTTATCCGATTCTTCCGAATTATATAGGTTGAATATTACAAATCGGAGGCATCTTTGAGTGCTTAGATTTGCTTTTGAATGCCAATCTCATCATAAAAAATGCAGAATAGATACCCCCAATGTTACATTCCTATTGTATTTCACTGAATGATAACAAATGTACAAGACTCAATTAATCCGCTGTCAATTCTCAAATTTCTTCAAGTTTAACAAATCAGCAACTGATTTGATATGTTTTACAAGCAATTCTAAGAAAATTACCTAGTTTTTCTTTTTTTCATAAGTAAGAAGAACTTACATTGTTCGATAGAAATCCTCATATTTTCAAAGTTCAAGACCTTCCAAAAATCCTCATGAGCACTAGCTACTCTCCACTGCCGACAAACCATACCAGAGCGATAGAGGTCGACATGATTCAAGAACGAGAATACCTGATGGAAATAAAAATTAAACAATCTTTAAAACAAAGAAAACGGATACCTACTTATGTAACTTTGCGAAAAAAAATGTATACCATATGTAAGAGGTCATCAGTCAAATCAATATGAACTTCAAAATCGTCTGCGTCTGAAGAACCATTATCATCACCATCATCTTTTTTCCCATCTTTCCGACTATAATTCAAGATGAAATTCTGGCAGAACATTTCAGTGTCCGTCCGAGAAGAAGAGGCATTGCCAAAACTGACAGTTCTCTCCACTGACGAACAAGAAACTCCAGCATCTGAAGATAACCCGGAAACCGACCGGCACTCACTGCAAACAAAAGAATTCATTTCAGCTCAAAATATCACTCCCTATGACGCTGGTAGATACTCAAGAAATCGATTCTACACTAAAGTAGCAGAGGTTACGAACTTGGTTTTAAAAATCAAAACCCATTTTCGATCTACTAAGAAAAATGCTTCCTTGGCAGAAAACAATAGCCAAGAAGGAGAAAGGAGTTAGAGAGCTCACGCAAGCCCAGAGTACATTTTGGCACGCTTGTGGTGCGAATCGTGATCGGCTTCCTCCATCGTACTATCCTCAGCTAAAGCCGCATTGCTACTCTCTCCCTGATGCAACCGAACCTCAGATGACCATAACCGATCCAATTCAGCACCTGTGGCTTCATCGTCTTCCTCCGTCGCCAGCATCTCCTCACAAAGCGTCCAACGTTCTTCCTCACTGAGAATTCTACCGTCCGCGACTCCTAATTCCCTCCCGAAATCAACAAAATCGCCATCTTCGCTGTTGTTATCCATTGCCGTCGCTGACGACTGTTTCAGTCCACCGGAAACTCCGCCACCGTTTTCTTCTTCCTCGCCGTCGGTGAAGCAACGTAAACACCAGATCCTCATGCACGCCCCCCACCCCCCCAGCCTCACTCCCAAAAAATCAAATCTTGAGACTCGATCTACCAAAATTTATGAATCCTGATTCAGAAAAAACCAGAATTTGAGGGGAAAGTGACCGAATTCGAAAAGCCCACAAAGAATTCAGAGAGAATAGAATTGAATCTCCGATTATGGGATTCAAAAGTTGAGAAGGAGAGGATCAAACGCTAATCTGATTTAGATTAGGGTTTGAGAAGGAAAAGAGCAAAGGAAAGGTAAATCGGATCAGATCTTGAGAAGAGAGAGTAGGAGGCGTATTCTGTGGTTTGGCGTTACAAATACTGGTCGTTGATAAAATCCGGCGATTCGGAAGAGAGAAAGAAAAAAACGGCGAAAATGGAAAGGGAATGACGAAAATTAAAAAAGACAAAACAAATCGGGAATAAACAGCTTGTTTCGAATCTTTGGTTCTTGCTTCACCGTTCTTTTGGTAATGATGATGATGGACGTTTCGAACGATGTCGTTTGACGATATTTACTGTGTGAAGCAGATAGATACTCTGATGTCTGTTTGTTTGCCCACACAAAAAAAAAATATATATTTATACACTCTGATGTCTAGGAAATAACGATGTTTTAATTTCTACATGTTTTATTTTTGTATACTGTCCGTTGCTATGAATCTTTAAGACGGTTTGTACGATGAATGAAATTTGTTCAGACACAACTGTTTTGGTCAAACTGACATTATATCCAAACCAAAGACGAAGCAATAGTGCCACGTGCGCACAAACGTAAGCATAAAAAGCTGTAAACGAAGACCGTAAGTTGGAAGCTCGAGCCACGCAGCATACGTACAAAGACTTGTGGAAGCTCGTTCTTAAGTTTATATATTGGCCACTGAACCTCGTGAAATATTTTATTCGGTTAATGCGAAAATCATAAAATTGAAATATGATTGAATAAAAAAGGTACTGATATATAATGAACATCAGTCAATTAATTTTTGACCAATCAGTTACTCATGAAATAAGCAATACATGAATTTTTATTCCAAGTTATTATCTATCAATCCAATTAAATCGGAGGAAAATGAAACGGTGATGTAGATTATAAACCGAGGTGAGGAATCCCAAAGTTCAATCAAAGCTGCATAATTCACTGCATAAATCTCTTTTGTGCATAATTTCATTTGAGTTTATCTTTTGCTTTCCGGGGATTCTACAAGTTAAGAGCTTTGCTATTATATTAGTTCCTCTTCTATACTCATCTCACTTACTAGTACTAAAATTAAAGTAAAACAAAGACTAAACACTGTTACGAGTACAAGGTTTCAAGATTCTTTTTTTAAGGGCTTTTAGGAGCGGGTGGAGCAAAGCTTCCAACAAAACCCACATTGAAATTGGGCTTGTTATTCTTGATGGCCCAATTACCACTTCTTTATTTGTGTGACAAGGTCACGTGACTCTCTTTGACTATTGTTCTTCCTCTTCCTTCGATCGTTTTTACGAGTGACTTGATCACGAGTGTTCTCTACTTTTATTTTATCTTCTTCCCATCAGTTCTGACTTCTGATTTAAAAAAAAAGATTTGTGGAAGATCAAACAAAAAGATGAAATTCTTCTGGTTTGTGGTTACAACATAACAAACGCGTTAATCAAAGTATTTAGGCTTTACAAATATACTTCAGCTACCGTTTTCTATTTACAATGTTCATCAAATTTTTACATTTTCATGTTTCTGAAAAACTATTCCGCTATATATAACTAGCATGTTAAATATATGATTTTCTACGAAACCAACGTTTTATAATTATTTAATGGGAACTTGAAATATTTCAGTTATTTCTACTAGTAATACATATTCAGATATTTTGTTATTCTGCTATCCATCTAACACATCAAGAAAATATGCTTGGGTCAACTAGATAACTTTCTCAATACAAGAATATGAATCTTTTTTCCTTTTCTATATGACATATGAATTTGTTTATTGTTGTTTTCTTAATGAATAATCAAAAGTAATATGTAGCAACATTAGTAACATAACTTAAAACATACAGTATAACAGATGGAATATATGATTGATATGACGGTGGTGGTGGATATGTGAAACAGCTGCATCCGGTGTTTTAATTAGTGCTGCTACGACCGAATCTGAGAATGTAATGGATGTGTGGGACGGTTGAGTTATAATTAAGAGATCTCATAAATATTACTACTATTGAAAATGAAAGAAATATCAACGATAAATAAACGAGTTTGTTTGGTGGGATAATGAAGTTAAGTCCCAATTAAAGATTTAAGTAGACAGACAGGTGGGTGAATTTAATGCCTTCCTTCCTTCTTTTAAAGGTTCCACTGACTCAGAAGAGCTTCAATGTTATAAAAATCACAACCCTTCTTTCTATTTCTAATTGTTTTTATGTATTATTGTTAGACATCAAGGCATTATTTCAAGGAAAAAAAAATGTCATGGTTGAAGGGTTTCTTGATCTTCTTGATGTTGAGTCTGTGTGTGTCATCGGAAGACAGCATGCAATACGAGTACTTGAAGGTTCCGGCAAGTGAGTTTGTGAGCTCCATAAACACGATTGTGGAAGTAATAAGACAAGTGAGTTCGATTTTGTCTCCCTTTGCGGAATTCAGTGGAGATCGTCGGCTCCAGAATGCGGTTTCCGATTGCCTGGATCTGCTCGATTTTTCTTCAGAGGAGCTGAGTTGGTCTGCTTCTGCTTCTGAGAATCCAACTGGTACGTACCTTAATCCCTAATTAACAACATGTGTCTCTATCTATCTCTCTAGTTTTATCACACCCTTATAAGTTTGGGAAACTTTGAATGCATTTTATAAAAAATACTCCACTTATAGGATGCACACTTCAATCACAAGGTCAAACTTCTTTTTGTAAATAAGATTAAAAGTTAGATATTGTTGATAGAAAACCAAAACAAATTGTCTAAGAATGAAATTCGAAAAGAACAAATTGGAATCAATCAAAAAATCAACCCCCAAAAAAATGTATAATAGATGTTTGCCGGTTAAGGTCAAATTGAGCTTCCTTTCAGATAACCTTTACTTATAAAATGGTTTTGCATTTAATTGGCTTAAGTTTATGGGGTTTTTTCCATTATAACCAATTAGAAGATAACGACTTTTAAAATCGGTTGTTTTTTTTTCTTTTCTCTTATCCTTTTAAAACACCCAAATATCTAATTTGGCGCCTAACAATAATTCCAACATAAACACATCACAAGATAAGTAAACGGAAGTAACTAATCATAATGTGACGTAAAATAACGTTATGGAATGTTAGTCTTCTAGATTATAAACGCATATATAAATCAGAAATAACTTTTATATTTTTGTCAAACAACACACATGTGCATAAAACGCGACTGGTTTGAAGTTTGGACTTTATCTAGTTACTAGCTAATTAGACTCTCCACGACTCCAATAAATTATGATGATGTGCTACCACCATAGAATAAATTGAGGACATAGCTAGTTCATGGTGTTAAATGGTAATATAGTAAGGACATTTTTTTCCACAAATTTCAACTGAAATGGGCTGAATTGAGAAAGTTAATATGTAAACAAAAAGAAAAATAGTTTTGCACTTGGTGCATTAAATTTGAAAGCCGGCACGGAATTGAATGCGAGACGGTTATTTGGTGGTTCTTTGACCATCCTAGTAGTATTATATTCAACTAATACTACAATTTTGCATCACGAAATCACGACGAACGAAAATGATTGATTTTTCGTGTATTTTCCCCATTTTATTCGTCTGTTTTATTAATCGAGCTCAATCAAAGAGAAAAAAAAACGAGAGCTTAAAACAAAACCTTTCTGCTCTGTTGCCTTCAAATGATCCGCTTCAAATTACACTCCCTTCACTTGCAATAGAAAGCACTTAGAAAAAGACCTAAATTAAAAAAAAAAAAAACTAAATAAATTTAGAAGTTTCTATCTCGTAGTTTTAGTTTACATTTTAATATTAAATGCAAAATATGTTAAGCATGACGATGATGATGATGATGTTTACGTCAACGTTGTGCATCTTCCTTGATGAAATGAAAGCAAATTCTATAATCATTAGTAAAATGGCATGTGCGTTGTAGGGTCAGAGAACGTGGATTCAAAATCATAGATAGATATTGCATAATAAATGTTTAAGTGTGAATGGAAAATGATAGTGTTGAAGAAATAAGAATAAAAATTACATTGAAAGAGGAAGATCGTGTGATGGTAAATGAGTGGGACCATTGCAGCAGGGAAGGGAAACGGAACAGGGAACGTGGGATCGGACACAAAGACATGGTTAAGTGCTGCTCTCTCCAACCAAGACACTTGCATGGAAGGCTTCGATGGTACCTCTGGCCTTGTCAAATCCCTTGTCGCTGGTAAATTATTATTATTTTTTTTTTCTAACATTGTAGCTCACTAGAAAAGTAAGCTTAATCAAAATGCTATAGAAGATTACAAATTTTAACTTGGTCTGGTCACATGCAGGCAGTCTCGATCAACTATACTCTATGCTTAGGGATCTGTTACCACTTGTGCAACCCGATCAGAAACAGAAGCCCATTTCTAAACCTGGCCCAATTGCTAAAGGACCAAGGGCCCCACCAGGCCGGAGACTTAGAAACACCAAAGACAACGAAAGCCGTCGATTCCCAGACTGGGTCAGATCGAACGATCGGAAACTGTTAGAAACAAACGGTGTGAGTTACGACGTTAGTGTAGCATTGGATGGGACTGGCAACTTCACCAACATAATGGACGCTATTAAGGAAGCTCCTGATTACAGCTCGAAACGTTACGTAATATACATCAAAAAAGGTTTATACTTGGAGAATGTTGAGATCAAGAAGAAGAAATGGAACCTCGTAATGTTAGGTGATGGCATTGACGTGACTATCATTTCCGGTAATCGCAGCTTTGTCGACGGTTGGACCACCTTCCGATCCGCTACATTCGGTAAGTAATTAACGTTTTTGATAAGATATAGTATTTGTTAATAATTTTCATGCATGCGTTGATGATAATCAAGAATTGGACATATATTTATCAGCTGTAAGCGGAAGAGGATTCTTGGCGAGAGATATAACGTTTCAGAACACAGCGGGGCCAGAGAAGCATCAGGCAGTAGCGTTGAGGTCAGACTCTGACCTGTCTGTGTTCTACAGATGTGCGATGAGAGGTTACCAAGACACACTTTACACGCACACCATGCGTCAGTTCTACCGCGAGTGCACCATCACGGGAACGGTAGATTTCATATTTGGGGATGGGACCGTTGTGTTTCAAAACTGTCAAATTTTGGCTAGGAGAGGTCTCCCTAACCAAAAGAACACCATCACCGCACAAGGCCGCAAAGATTTCAACCAACCCTCAGGTAAACGAATTAACAAAAAAACATATAATTTTAGGGTTTCGCTAATAAGATGTGGTAGTTTCTTGTCACCAAAGAAACTATGTAAACTACAAGTAATACTTCATCTGTGACCCTGCTTCTCACGTCTTTATTAATTCCTATCACAATAAGCCTACTTCCCAACGAAAAATGTACATAGTTAGCCTCCCTGATTAGCCTAACTAGCCTTAAGGTTATACAAAATTACAAATCAATCAATGCCTGTACGTACTATACAATATTTAATGAGTCTCGCTTGGACCCTTTTTCACTCATTCAGGATTCTCAATTCAATTCAGCAATATCTCGGCGGACGTGGACTTAGTTCCATACCTAAACACGACACGCACGTATCTAGGAAGGCCATGGAAGCAATATTCAAGGACTATATTCATGAGGAACAACATGAGCGACGTTGTGAGACCCGAAGGATGGCTCGAGTGGAACGCCGAGTTTGCTTTGGACACACTCTTCTACGGAGAGTTCATGAACTACGGTCCTGGTTCAGGGCTCAGCAGCCGAGTCAAATGGCCTGGTTACCACGTGCTCAACAACTCGGGCCAGGCTTACAATTTCACCGTTTCTGAGTTCATTAAAGGAAATCTTTGGCTCCCTTCTACTGGAGTAACGTTTACTGATGGCTTGGGCATCTAAATATGGCTCAGTGTAATTTGTATTGTCAATTTTTTTTGTTTTTCAGTTTTTTTTTTCCCAGATACTGTTCTTTTATGTTGGTGTATTGTGATTTTACGGTTTTGACAAATATTGTTACATCAGAAATATATTATCGGGCCATTAGGTCATATTAGTTTAAGTTGAAACGATCATACTATATTCAAAGAGAGTTAATTATATGGCATAGGACGTAGGGTTTACGGGTTAGGGTTTATATATGGTTATAGTTTGTAGTTCTGTTAGTGGTGGGGATATATATAAAGTGTGGTGTAATAATATTTTGGACGAGTTAATCGAAGCAACCAGTGGTAATGTATTGAACTCATCTCATCACACCGATACAAGTTATTTGAATCCCTTTTTATCATTATGAGTATAAAAGAAACGCCTTAAAACATGTTTCATGTCAAAGTATATGAGTAGAAATGGACCTTTAGAAATAAAGATTCAATTTATACCTCACCTATGTTTATTTTCTATTATCATGTACTCCAAGATGCACCTTCACTCTTCACCACATGGTCACTACGACGTGTTTCGCAAGCATCAAGCATCATAAAGACCAAACTTAACTGGAGACCCTATCTCATGGATCCATTCTCCTTGTAAGAATGGCCCCACCGTATATTTCATGGCCTCTTCCTTGTTTATAACCCTAAAACCAGGCCATTTAACCCTAGAAGCGGTTGCTCCGCTTGGACCTTCGTTCTTGTATTCCGCGTAAAGCAACGTATCGATCGCGAAATCCGTCTCTTGCCATCTCAGCCAACCAACAGGATCGATCACATCCTCTATCGTTGATTCCATCACAACGGTTCTTGAATGGTTTTTCCACGGCCTACCAAGGTAGCTCTTGAACTCGGCTTTTACGGGTTTAAGATCTTCGTTTGGAGCAATTGTACAATTGTGAATCACAAATCCTGTTGTCTGAAACTTGTCAACTCGTCCTTGAGCCGTCACCGTGTTCTTCTGCCCCGTTAAACCTTTTCTGATAAAGATGTCACAGTTCTGGAAAATGGCGGCTGCATCACCGAATATGAAGTCGATTGTTCCAACAATGACACAACTCCTGTAGTATTGCCTGTGCGTGTACGCGTTTAATGTGTTTTGGTAGCCTTCGAATCGACAGTTTAGGAAAACTGAACGGTCGGATTGGACACGTATTGCGACCGCTTGGTGACCCTCTGGCCCAGCCGTGTTCCGGAACCCCATGGAATGTGCCATGAACCCTTCTCCTTGTGCCACTATATAGTAAATCAAGCACAACGTAGGTTAATATAGCACCTCAAACTTAAGCGTCAATATTGTTTACTTAAAAATGAAGTCACAATTTAAAAATGTATACATGTGTTAACTGAAGGAACCTGTCCTTATGTTTTTGTGTTTGACGTTTGCGTTTGAAAATATTCTTTTTCAAAAATTTGAATTCTTTTTCCGTATGTAAACGCAAACGATAAAATAGCAGTTGAAAATGGAAACTTTGACCTACGAAACAATAGGATATATATATATACCAAATGTTGCTGTGAGGAGTGTGCTGACTTTCTTAGCTTGGCTTTTGTTTCCCGTCACGATCGTCTTCTGAGATCCATCACCGATCATTGTAACGTTAGCTTTCTTCTTGTCAACAACCACAGATTCTTCATAAACTCCATGCTTGATATAAATGGTGTACCTATGACAAAAAAGAAAAATTTACTAAGCAAAAAAAATTGGTGATAGTAAAAGTGACATATAATATCAAGTAATGGTAGTGATGTCAACAAAAAAAAACACGAATCATTTAATGGAAGAGATATTATTATATGGGTTATATTTACCTTCCTTGGTACTTAGAAGGCATTGCTTTAAGTGCATCATTAATGGTTGTGAAATTTCCACTGCCATCTTTAGCAACTGTTGCATTAGGTTTCAAAGCATTCACATCAACAGCTTTTAACATTCGTCTCTCCTTGTTGCTTAACCAAGACGTAATATGATCTGTTTCTATAGCAGAGGAAGATCTTGATTCAAGAAGATGTCGCGTTTTCAGCTTTGGAGCCGAAGAAAGATATGCGCCTAAAGATTTGACCACCGCGAGAGAATTGCTCGTCAAAACTTGAGAAGAATTGAAATTCTTACGTATATCCGTTTTGACTTTCCCTTCTTCAAATCCATCGACACATGTTTCTTGATAAGTCATGACTGCGCTTAGCCAACTGTCTAAATAGGGAACTATCTTCGCAAAGTTATCAACCTCTGTGTCGTTGATTCTTTTCACAGAAGTGTCAAGTTCTTTCTTAGCTTCATCCACAAGCAACTTGCACTGCGCTATAGCGTCTTTTTCATCCTTGTTCTCTGTTTTAAGCTTCAAAACCTTTTCGAAAACTTTCCTTAGATCGTCATTGACTGCTTCAATGGAAGACTTTAAAAGGCTCCGAGGATCAGACAGAGAAGTATCTGTCTTTGTCCCGTTTTTAAGAGTTTTCTCGCAACTTGGTTTGTAAAGAGTGGAATTGCAAAGTGTTTGGATGATTTTGTCGACCTGGCCAGGTTTCACAGATTGTGCTGCAGATGATGGCGGTTTCTGGCTTGGATTCTCGCTTTTGTCGGAGCTTTTATCTTTACTGTTGTTCTTTGTGTTTTTCACCTGTTCTTGAGTTTTGTTTTCATATGTAATATAAGCAAAAGCACCTCCAATAATGGCAGCAACAACAACAAGCGTGGAGACGACCCCAATGATGATTCTCTTCCTGAATTTGCGTTTTCTCTCTTGGTTTACGCGTTCTTGAATCTGGTCGAAGTCTTGAAAAGCCATTTTTATTTTGCTTTTTCTAGTTTTTACTTAGACGAATAAATTAAATTAAATTTCCTCTGCCTTAGAAGCAAGCTAAGGCAGGGAGGTTAAAATGGAAGATCAATCTTTTTTTACTGTGTTTATTTTTGTTCCTCAGTTTTGATTCCTTGGTTTCACCTTTTTTTTTTTTTTTTAATTTCTTTGATATTGATATTACTTCTTCAAATCAACAAAACTGGTCTGGACAGGAGAGTTTTGTGGATTGATGCCTATTGTTTGTCTGATGAGCCAATTTCACGCCTTCTATTTTTAGCTTCCTATATGAAACAATAAAAGTAATGCGTTTAGACTTACAAGTCAAAAGAAGTCAAAATTATTTCTTCATTTTGGGCCATTAGGGCAAATGGTTGTCACATCTCTGCTGATCACATATGGAGGTGTTAGGCTATTGAACTGGCCCGTTCTAGTCCAATTTACAATAACCCAAAATGAGACCTTTTTTAGTAAATTGGTTTTCTCTAAGTTTTTTGTTTCTCTCTTTAATGTTGAAAACACTGATTTTTGGGGTTGGTTGGGACTATAAATTTTTTAGCGCTTAGTAAAGGGGATTGCATTTTGCAATTTTAGACAAAAAAATGTCCAAGAAAAATAAAAAAAATATACAGTATTAGAGAGCTTTGATATGTGCAAATTGTTAACAAACAAAAGTAACGAATAACTAAAAGATAGAGAAGCATTGTATGTACAATTGCATCTTGCTTTATTACTTCTGATGCAAAGGCGATGGAAGAGCCATAGGCCACTTAAGGCTAAGGGTAAAACATAAACAGGCATTACCCAAAGACCATTTTCAAATAACAAAAAACTAAAGCCTAGAAGAAGCCATTGCTAGAATATATATTTGCTAACTGAATATTGTGTATGTCTTGCAGAATGATTCAGGAGTTGTTACCAATACCTTGAAGATTGTTTCTCTCTTCTTCCTCCTTCACATCTGCTGAAGAACTGTTGCCTGGCACAACTGTGGCAGGCGACCATTGATCAGGAACCATCAGAAAATAAGCCGTCATCGCTTTCCTGAAACGTTTCTTGTATTGCTGCGGCGATATCACTGTGGGAGATGAGTTCTTGGGTCCTCCAAGTAGACCTGAAGTCTTCACCCAAGTTTCCAGATGTTTGTCCCAAGTGTACTGCCTCATGAAATCGATAGTTCCTAGAACTAGTTCGTTTCGTTCCTCATCTACTCCGACTAGTAAGGAGTAATCCATTACGTGAATCGACTTCAACCACAGAAACAAAGCAAGACTTTGTAAGTCCCAAGAACTAAATCAAAACGGTATAAAAAAGAGAGGAACTGGAAACTTACAGCAAGAAAGGATGTATCATTCCAGACTGCTCTTTCAAGAAGCCGTTTTGCCTTGCTCCCAACAAATATTGGAGATGTCGGCATTGCTTCAACTAGATTCTGGTCCAGCAAAACTGTATTGCTACCACTTGTATCGGGATTGTAACGGGCACGAGTTGAGCCTTTAAGGTCATAAAGCCTAGCGAAGTTACGCTTGAACAGAAGATTCTCCATAACCAAGACATCCATTTTGAACTCTTTTCCTCCTTTAAGGTGTTTGGATGAGACCTTTAAAGATTTTAGCAAAGCATTATGGGTCTAATTATATGTCAACAAAATAGGTAACAAGACAAATCGCGGTTTGAATCAAACAAGATATACCCACAGCATTCTCAAAAAAAAATTTAGTGCAAAGAGATTACCAATAAACTAACGTAAATGCAGAAGAATCTTTAATTATATTGTGTTATTTTTGGTACCTGATAGATGCCTAAGATCTTTGCAAGGCTTGTAGGGCTTTTACTACAGATGGAATCAGTCAGGTATTTGAAGTAAGCTGGCCCAAATTTGATGAAGGATTCAAGCTCTGTCTTTGTAACTTGTTTGATGATAAAACGGTCATCCAAAGTTTTTGCAAAGAAGACGTTGCTTTTTCCACCCTGTGCTCCCCATTTTCTACATCGACCAAGGGATCTTATGAAATCAGTTTCTGAAGGACAGCAAATCTTCCTCAGGGCTTCAAATTCCTTCGCATAATAACACGTCACAGAGTACTTCACTTTCCCAGGAGGACCTTCATCTGTAAACGAAACTCTAGCATGCAGATCTTTCAAATACAAATATGAATGCAGCAGCTGCGACACTTGTTCATCAGCAGAGCTAAGGCTTCTACTCATGTCAACTGACAAGTCGCTCAAAGAGTTCAATGAGAGAAGATTTACAGAATCAAAAAGTGAAAAGGAACCTCCACTATCCAAGCGGTCTCTTGCCTTATCTGATCCAGACATCTGGGCGTTATATTCTGATGATGTAAGGGCATACGCTATAATACTGGTAGGTTCGTCATCATATACTGGCAGTACCAACTCATTAATTCCCAGAGGAAGCAGCAGCCTTGCACCACTTCGCCATTCAAGCTCTCTATATGAAGAAACATAATAAGGCCGGTCTTCAGCCATAATATGCTTGCGAGAGTTAAGCGAATAATTCTTGTTGAGTGAATAGTAAAAACTAGGAGAAGGCATCTGTATTTGTATTGTATGTTCCTCATTGGTTGCGCCTCCTTTAAAGGTCAGCCCACTTTCTGAATCCGACAGCCATAAATCAGAAGTCTGAGTTCCATTTGCTGAAGCAGCTCTGCTAGCCGGACGAGAAATACCATTCTCGGAAGCAGTTTGTTCACCTATCCATGCTGCATCAAGAGTATCAGATAAGTCTGCTGCTTGGGACTGACTCTCAGTAAGTACTGTTCTAACAACCTGCGAAGGCTCCACAAAATTTTCTTTACCACCTTCACTAGATTCTAACTCCATCCTATAATCCGGAGGCATGTCTGAGCCTACCTCTTCAGGAATAGCACCTTTTCCGTTGACATCAGCAAGTAATTTACCCTGGTTAAGAGACTTATCAGACTCCGCATCCTGGGGAAGGGAGTCATTACTACTTGCAACATGGGTTGATCTCGAGCTTACTTTTTCATCACCGAGCTTCTGACCCATAAATTTTGGGGCAGAATTTCTCAGAGCTTCAGAATAATTATTTCTTACCATGCTGGCAGCCCCTGCTAGGCATTCATCCCAAGCATATGAATCGAAAAGTATCAGTCTTCGAAGTTTATTTATCAGAAGGATATCAATAGCAGGTTGTCCATCCTTAAACATACTTAGCATTTGCTGCAATGATTCCTGAAAACCAGCAACAGCCTTAATCAGTATTGCGTATAGGGGCAACAGAAAAAATCATCCAACACTGTAGGAAAGGATTCCAGGTTTTTAATGCAAGGGAAGGGTAAAAGACTAGATCCTCTAAAGGCTAGCGGATCAGGTGACAAACTCTAAAATAGTTCAGAAATAAAGTCAGATCCCTTTTTGAGCAAAACCAACAGCGGACGAATGTATGACCGAACGGGGTCACGTGCCCCCTACTGCTTTTACTTTTTTTTCTTAACTAAGCAAATTTCATTAAAATGTTCTTAATGCAACTCTGTTTCTTCCTCAACTCTGTTGACGAATGTATGACAGGCTACCTTATATTCCTTTTTACGTTGCTCCAGAAGTCCTGCAAGTTCTTCAAGAGAGAGCTTTATCTTGTTGGGAGTGCTGTCCTTGGAATTTGCATCCACTGTTTTCGCAGAAATCTGACTAAGTGCCTCCTGAACCTCATTAAAAAGGACGTCCGCTTTTATAATCACCTATTGTACAGAACCAAGACAAAGAAGTAAAATAAGACTCCTGGCTTTGTTGAATATATACAAATATTCAATAAAAAATGTAGGAAACTTGTAACCTCTTTTGATTCCTTTTGGAGCCATTCCTGGTTTTCATAGTTAAACTCAAGTTTTGCTGGTGGCAGAAAAACTGCAAATATATTGATTGAAGCATAGCGGAAGCAAGCCACCATTCTCCCAAAACTGCAGTAAGGAAAATATATCAGATAATCAGTACATACGAATTCATGCTTGCTTAACACATAGTTACAACCCTCAAACATATACTGACATTTGCTATATTGATTACACGGCGAGACGTGAATGACCACCACAACTAATTATGCAGAGCTTATATGGACATTATATCTGACGTAATGTATATTGTATATTACATACTAAGTCTGACTCCATTAGCTAAAAAAGCAAACAAGACATGGAAAAGAGATATCAGTAACATGTAACAAAACCAAGCGAAACAGAAGAATGGTTAAAACATTCCACAGCGAAAGTGATAATTAATAAGCAGATCTATTCATACCCATAGAAACGTAGACAGTCTCTGTGAAGTGAATGACCACAGTTGGCCACACGACTAGCTGCAGCATGGTTAGAGAAGCTCAGCTCCAAAAATTTGCCAAAAGACAGGCCCCACGCAGCATCTGACATAACAATTCTGCGTGTGGCTGGAGGAAAGCCGTTGGTCCGAGGACATTTCAGGCACCGATGCCACATCCAAATTTTTCCCTCGCGTTGCCCAGGTAGCAATTCAGGCAGTTTTTTAACAGATATTGTCAGACTACCTTGCCTATGAGTATAACTATGAATGTGTGCTTCTGCTGGCATCGCACATGACGGGCAAGAACGATCCTAAACAAGAGAATAATGCAAGCCTCAGCTATTTACAACCAGAAGTATATAGCAAGATGGTAGGCTTCATAACTTCTGGTCTTCACATTTAATTAGCCAGGAATCTTTAAACCATTTTTAATTTCATTTTCTGCTTTTCCCTCCAGTCTTTCTCTCTCCTAAAGTTATTCTACTATTTCATGGATTTCTTTAATGATTAGTAGAAACTTTATAAATTAGTCCCACAGTTATCCATGTCAAAAATAATTAGGTTGTCCACTAGGTTTCATAGGAGTTTGATTTCCTAAACATTGGCGAAAAGAAGAATGATGTGTAAAGAAGCCATAGAAGAAACAAAATAAATTACAAATGAAAGGTACCTGATCAAAGAGATTATCCCTTAAGAATCGTCCTAAAGGTTTGTCAAAGCTCCCATAATATTTAATACGAAGTAGATGAGCCCGCTCACACACAGATCCCTTCCATACACATCTTGTTGATAAGGAAACCAATATGCTTTGATGGTCAGAAGCTGACGGAAGAAAGTCTCCTTTTGAAGAGTCCATCTGTTCGTGTCTACTACAATTTTGATCTCCTTTTATTGTAGATTCATTAGTGTAAGCACTATCACTGACTTGTTCTGTGGCACAGGGTAAAACAGACCACTGATCTTTTTGAACAGAAGCTTCTTCCGTGTGAAATGATAGCTGCCTGGGTTCTAAAGTATGAACTAACCCATCGTCCTTAGAGGTAATAATTTCTGGAGGCTTACAGTAAACAGTATCCGTGTTGTGAAGCAGTCTTTCAGAAGGGTCAGTCCTGTCGTTTCCATCCAATTTTCCTTGCAAATGAGTCTTACTAGAAGCAAAATTACCAGTAACGTCGCAATTGACTTTATGTGGCTCACCCATTAATTCAGTAGTTGGAGACTTTTCAGCACTTGATGCAGTAAAACCAGGTATTGTGGATATTGATCTGTTAATCGTTGATGGTTTATCAGGTAAAGCCACTGTAATTGGGGTCTGCAGAGGAAGTTCTGGAAGGGAAGCACCTTCATCAGCTAGGAAAGATGTCTCAAGAGCCAAGTGATATGCAGCAAAAACTCCATACTGGATCACATGTTTCACCCTTTTTAGTTCATCTTCATGTGCCCCCTTGAGCAATATCTGAAAAAGAAAAAAAAAATCTTAAAACTTATTTTGATCAGATATATCGTAAGCATAATAATAGGTCACGTATGTCATGTCTGAAACACCTAAGAATATTGTGGAACTTACTGTACAGCCCAAAGGCTTGGGGCAACCATCAAAGTACATTAAAGTCTTTGCCAATTTCTTCACACTTTGACCAGGATTAACATGTTTCTCGACAAATTTTTCCACATGGAACAGGTCACAATATCCCAACTTTGGTGATGTGAGCTGGTCAATCGAAGGGACAATCTGCGCACCAGTGCAGCGGGATATGCGCTCTAGAAGGGGCCTCTTTATATTCAAAACGAGAGATATGTCCTTTGCAAGAAGATATTCCTGCGCAAACCGCGAGACAGACTTCTCCACCAAGAGAATGTCGGGATTGTGAGAGTCAATTTTGGCAACAGCCATCTTCAAATGATCCATTTCCTGAAACACCAGAGATAGCCTTCAATAATGCAGAGAAATTTTAACCGCCTACTCCTCTGAAGTCTAAAGTGATAGAATATGATTTTCCTTCTCTTTTAGATTAAGGAATCATGTCCATGGTCATAGGGAAAAATGAACGGATACATACCTGTTGCAACAAAGTGTCAAAGCTTGACAACTGGTTAGAGATGCGTTGATACTCCAGAGCTCCTCCAAGAATTAGCAAACGCGGCTTCTCAATCTTTGAAGTCATTCGTCGATGAGCCACATTTTTCTTACAAACAACTCCTCTCACGACCAGACTAAGAAAATGACATTACAGTCCAATCAGTACTGAAGAGATTAGCAGTCAATCGACTGAGATATAAATCTTAAAAGCAGTGACCATACTAAGAAAATTTTATGTTTTCAACTGGACTTAAGGCAGTGAAATTATCAAGAATAGACTATAGAGAAATAAAAGCTCAAAACTCTGTAAGCTTTTGGAAAAATTTCGGGGGCATACTTTCTCATTGGACTATGGCAAAACAAAATAAAGCAATTCAAAAATAAAAGAAACGAAGCCGTCTTTATTTTGCAATTCCTAACTAATGTTACTCACCTACGATCAGACCAGCAGCCAGAAACAGGATATGGAAACCAAAAAAGAAAAAGAAAAACACAAGGGAATATATCCTAGAAACTGAATAGAGGTGTTAAACATTCTTCATGCTACATGTATAAAATGTGAACATCTAGGTAATGATTATTGATGAAGGCCAATCCAGGAACACAATCTCTTGTAACTCCAGATAAATGTCATTCAAGTTAATCCTAAAGGAGAATGGATGAATTTTTCAACCATGACGCAATTGCACAGAAATTCAAACATACAGTTCAAAAGCATGAGTGATATTTGATTTCTTTAGAAAATCACAAATGTATCTAGAACAGTAAATCCCAATTAAGGAGTCCCAAAATTCACCTCTCACTGCGACGTCCACAAGGGATGCATTTAACCTTCACATATCCTCCTGGATCCATTCCTCCACTTTTGCTAGTATCTGGCTTAAGAAGTGTTGCAGCCTCCCAGGACAATGATGTAATTATATCAAGCCAGCCCTCATTATCGCCTTCGTTGACCATGGGTAGATTATCGACCTCCAAAAGTTGTGCTACTAAAGCCCTAAAGTGCCCTTCAACAACATTTTTCATAGCACCACTAGACTTGTCCCTCGAGTGGAATTCCTTATCTTTAAAGCTATTTGATGGGCGCAGGTACCCCCAATCACCTCTATCACCTTCATCACAGTCGTCATCAGATAACACTGCTTCTCTTTCGTCTTCTTCATTCTCTGGCTCTGGAGGTAGCCATAAGAGCCCATCGCTCTCAAAATCCACTACTTCAGGCTCAAACGACTCTTCACAAGGAGGGCTTCCCTCCTTCCCATCACTCCATCCATCTGCCTGCCGTCTTGTTTTATCTATCGTCTCTGTATTCAGTGCGTCAAGATCTTGATCAAGGGGCAAACAACTTTCGATGTTTGACTCCATGTTTACTCCAACATCATGAGCTTCATGTGACCCATAGATACGATCAACTTCATCGAGACTGATGGCACCATAGTAGTCATTTCCTTGCGAGTAAGACTGTGCATAATCAGAGTGATAATCGTCCTCATCATCAGCTTCACCATCACTCCTGCCACTACCAGTCCCAAAAAAAAAAAAGAGCAACTCATCATACTACGACAACATTAAATCATTGTTAAAGATCTCGTATAACACACACACTTGGTGGCGGAACTATAAAAGACAGCAGATAACAGAAGCTACAAGGTAAAGGTGTACACACACAAGACAAAAGAAATTACCTGTTGACAAAGAATTCAACTGGATTCTGAGAAGAATCTAACACACGCCCATAGGGATCTGAGCTTCTATGCGATGATGCACTGTGCTGTTCAGACTTGTCAAAATCCATGTTTGAAGAGACATGATGGCTAGCTCGAGGATTCATTTTGGGTCTAGGGGAAGGCCCAGCAGTTGAATCAACGGTGCAATTGCTACTGTTAGAGGTCCGAATGGAGGTAGTACTTGCCACGCTTCTAGCAGAAGGAGATGAACTAAAATGAGGGCTAATAATAGAAGCCCCATTATCAGGAGGAACAATCCCTTGTTCCCATTGTTTGTAGCAGTAATTACAAACCCTGATCCTTTCTGATTCCTCATGACTATCCTTGGTTTCATCTGATGGAGATGGAATAGAATTCGCAGCGCATTTCGCACAAAATACTCGGCCACAAAGCCGGCAATGATGTCTTCGGTTAAAGACAGTGAACTGAGCATCACACTCGTAACACACAGGACAGCTCTGGTCAGGCATCCAAAAATCCCTCGACATATGTGAGGACTCGCTCTTCCTAGGGATCCATGATTTGACTATATCAACAAAGCCAGGAACTTTGTTATCTGGTGAGTCCATTTATTGAATCTCCAACAGAAAGGAGAGTCATGGCGAAACACCCATCTGCTTAATCGCATTAAGTCTTATCCCTCGATCCCTAAAGCGGATTTTTGAGCCACCAAAATCAGCAAAAGCTTCAGCTTTGAAATTAGATGCCTTCGACCAAGTCACACTGGGTCACTCTCAGCTTGAAAAATCCAGAAATTTTATGCACGCTTCAAGATCATAAGATCCCTAAAATACCGTGGTCTCGATTTCAATTTCTCAAACTCATGTTCTTGTTTCTGAATCCAGAATCAACAAAATGCGAATCTTTAAACCCCCGAAAGGAGCACCTCTCGCTGTCACGAAACTCCGATGAATGCTAAAGAACACGAGAAAGAAAGAAACGATTTTTAATTTTTGTTTAATTGGAAAGAAACCAGATAAAAGAGGAAACAAACATAGAAATTCAAGAAAACGGTTAACAAAAACCAAAATACAAAAGGCGCAAAATTTCTTATGGATAAGATTTGAAATCAATTCGACGAAACATATCCATAATCTGAGAGAAAGTGCGAGGCTGAGAAAATGGAAAGGGGAAACAGATTCCTCGATTTTCTCGAAGGAGAAAGGAACAAAAAAAAAAAGAGAGTTTCAAATTGATTGAATACAAAATAGAAGAAGAAGAAGAAGAAGAAGAATTGAATAAAATTGAATGGTTACATAAACGAAGAATTGCAGTTTCTTCTTCAGCTCCTTGGCTTTCTTTGTCGTATTGGGTTTCTCCCGTTTTTTCTGTTCACGACCTCTCTGATCTTTGTTGCCTTCTCTATTTCACTTTTGATTCACGTATTCCCTACATCATTATCTCCGACACGTATCTCAAATATAATAATTATATTTCACTTCAGTTACGTATATGATTTAGATTAACATATTAATAAAAAAGATCATTATGTCGACAAATATAATATCAAAATTTGGTTCATTATATTGGTCGACATATTGAACTTCTTATCTGATCAAGTGATCATATACGTAACTGAAGTTGAATACAATAAAAAGTTCGTTACTAAACTTTCCTTTGCCAACGTTGTTTTTTTTTTTTTTTTTTTTTTTAAATATTATATTAATCAACCCAAACCGGGAATTAGAAATGGTTTACAGAAAATTGAAATTAAACAAAAACCAAAAGAACCAAACAATGGTTTACGGTTCGCCAATAGTGGGAAGTCCTCGATCCCACCGTATTCGCCGATACCGGCACGCCAGCCCATCGCCGGACCTCCGAACTCGACTCTAACCTTCAATCCGGTTATCAGAGGAACGAGAAACTGGCAGACGAAGGAAGATAGTTAAACCCAACCCCTTCATAGCCAGATCTGTCTTTGCCAACGTTGTTAACTAGTAGTAATTGTTAAGCAATTCAAATAGAATCTGTAGTTTATTACCACTATAAAATACCATTATTACCTATTTTACCGTACAAAGTACATAAGACCGAAGGTTATTAATTTTTTTTTTGAGGTTTATGGTCTTTGAAATCATTTTTTTTTTTAATTTGTTAAGAAAGTAGAAAAAATGGGGAGTCAAAATATATGCATGGGAAAGGATAAAAAGGAGCACGTGATATGATTTGTTGTCAAACACGTGAGTAAGCTTCGAAATGGATGGCTGTCAATGTTCGGATGCTGAGAGGACAAGAAATAATGCATATAGTTGTTGATGGTTGTATTTCCACGACCTTAATTATGCATTGCCCTGCCCGTTCCCATATTCCAAGAGACCTTGGGTTGTTTTTTTGTAAAAGAAGAAAAAACAAAAAACAAAAGAGGATGATTGCTGAACTTTTTCAACAGAGCTTTTTGGGACCTCGAAAAATATCACTACAAAAATCGTGAGAAGAGAGAAAATAGTGATTTAAGAAAGAAATTCAATACATTGTTCTTTGATAAGTGTTTCATGAGGAGGTAGTCCTCTACATAAAGGGAAAATACTCAAAACAGACATCAGGTTAATTAAGATAGTAGTGCATCACTAATTGAGGCCAAGCCATGCGTTAGAGCCGGGACTGGGTTTAACCAAGGATGGGGAAGATGCGGGCGATGTGTTCCAAGGGTACATTCTCACCTGTATTTTTCTTAAGCTCCGGATGGTTAAATTCATTTTGTGGTAAGACGACACTTCCATCTTCTTTCTCAACAATCCATCCACTGTTATTCACTTGGTGCTCAATGAACTTGTCTAGCGTTGCACCATCCATGTTAACAGCCTGTGTAAAAAATTGTTCATAACTAATGAGCAACGGCATCTATCGACAAGCAAAGGTCAACGTAATAGATTACCAAAACTCTGTTGTGAATAATAGTTCTTAACAGAAAAGTTATACAAAAGTGACAGACTTTACTTCCATCCAACAGTTCTACAATTTTGATAACTTAAGCTAATCCAAAGGTGAGAAGCAGGCAATGTATCAAGAATCATAAACCCAACATCATACCTCGGCAAGCACGGATCTTGGAACCTTTTGGTAGCTTAAGCTAAGAAGGTGACTTGCATATGCTTGGATAGCTTGCTCAAAACCTGCAATTTAATCTCTCCCATATAACACATCTACACATAATCATCAAATGAATAGATGGTGCCTAATTTAGATCGTAGAAATTTGTTACCTGGAACAGCCTCAAGAATGTGACGGTTCTTGGCAGCTTCATCCCAAAACTGTTGGAACCTCCCGGTCTGCAAAAGCAAACAAGTGTTTTAAATACTCAATAGACACGTTCTCGGCTCTCAACAAACATTAATGTTGGCATACCTCAAGGTAGTGTGAGAGAACAATTAGTGCTTTGAACTGCTCCTCCATTTGCTGAAAACACAATTCAATCAAGGTCATCTATTAATTTTCACGATTCCAAACCACTGACAGTTTGACACTCAAGCTTCATCATGAATATTCGATACAAAGACTGAGCTGACTGAAAGAACTTCGAGTAGCACAATAATTTGAGTACTACTGATTCAAATACTCAATCTAGTTCATTTGTAGGTCATCGCCGACTGAAGAAACATTTGATAAATCTTTATCTGTGAACTGGTGTTGAATCAACTCGAAATATGCGCACGCAATATGAAGAACATTACCACTCTTTCGGGAATCAGGAAGAGGCAAAGGCTGAAGTCCGGAGTTGGCATAGCCATAAGAGCCTTTGAAAAAGAAAGAAAAAAAAAATCACAGAGAGTACTTAAAAGCCAACAAACATGGCTAATCAGAAAGTGGTCTGCATTACCTTGACCAAGATTCGAGTCACGATATGAGTGTTCATGCGCTCAGGCTCAAACTGCATATAAGATACAAAACCAGTAAAAGTTAGGAGATGCTAGAAATACTTTGGACAGGTCAATCTAATGAACAAGTAGAGTACCTGATAGAGCCGAAGTAAGCATAGGTTTGCATCCAGACTATACGTTTTTGACGTAACCTGAAAATCATAACGAAACCAATAGCTCATTACATTCCAATGCATAACCTTCAAACAATTTGATAAAAACCAAGGAGAAATCTATTGAACTACTCCGAAATTAGAATCCAGCGAAATGCTAATATCAATTTGAAAGCAATCCCCAATTTTTTTTTGGGAAAATCGTAATGGAACCTGTTCGTTAACGTAGTTTTCGAGATCAGGCAAGATTTCTGGGTTGAAAGGATTGACGGCGACGAGCTGCTCAACGGTGTAAGAACTCTGTTCCTTCGGGGACTCGATCTCTTTTCCCATCTCTCCTTCTTTCTCTTTCTCTGTTTCTCTTCCTGCTCGATAGATTGATTACTGAGGATGTGCAGAGGTGTGATTCGCGGCTGAGATGGATCTAGGGTTTAAGAGCAAAACGACGACGCTTTATCCTCTGGGCTAACCGGTCAATTGACAAAGTTTTAGGATTAAATTAAAATAATAGAGACGTTTAAGATATGTTTGGTAATTAGGATTGATGATATTTAGGATACATGTTTACTGCATGTTATACTACTATTAAATGTTACAGAATGATACAATATCAATAAATCATCATCATCAATTATCTTCTTCTTTCTTAGGCCCAGGCTCTGAGTCGATGTTTCTTGCTTTGGTGACCAAACTTAAGTCCAAGTCTAGAAAACAAAAAAAGCTCCAATTCCTAAATCATAAAACTTCATACAAAGAATAGCTTGATAAAAATAAGAGTGACATCATGTCTATATTGATGACGTTATAAATATCCACATAATCAGAAACCTGAATTCGAAAAGGCAAATTCCCGAGCCAATTCGAAGCTTAATCAACTACTCCAGTAGAATGTGTGAATGTACAAGTTACTAAACGTGTTGGAGGAATAATAAATGCGGATATCCTTAAGAGTGTAACAATCAAAATCTTTCTATTTAAATTCTATATATACAAGCAATTAAGTTTGACTCCACAACTTTCATGTACAATATGCACTTTAGCTGTCGATACAGATTACAGTTCATGAAGAATGAATCCCGAGATAAAAAAAAAAAGCAGTTTTCTTCTGTAACAATCAGTGGCTTTCTTTGTTGTACGGCTTCACAGTTTCAACGAATACGATTCACATGAGAAAATGGCTCATGGGCTGCTTTTGGAGCAGCTTTTTTGGCGATCTCTGGCACTCCAAAAACATTCCAGAACCTCAGAGTCTCGTCTCCTGCTGCTGAAGCTACGGTACAACCATCTGGACTCTGTAGAAAACACAGCAAACAACACAACTTTTAGAACTAAAGACCTCAAAAAACTCAAACCACTTTCAGCAGCTAAAGAAAAAAGTTTTTTTCTCTTTACCTGGGCCATGTATAGAACTCTTGATGTATGACCACTGAGCTCTGCCATTTTCACCATAGATGGGTACTTCCAAAGCGTGAGCTGGTTCTGTGTAAACCCATGTGAGCTAAGCAACTCTCTTTCATTCTTGCTCCATAACAAAGAACAAACTTGGGAGCCAGTGTCTACTGAATTCAAACAAGCTCCTGTGTGAGTGTTCCAGAACTTGATCGTTCTATCTCCACCACCACCACCAGTTGCAAGCAAATTCGCTTGGAAAGGGCACCAAGCAAGGGCTTTAACTGCAGATGTATGTTCTTCAAGCCTGTGCAGCCATTGCGTGGTCGAGTTTGAGGAGGCGACAGAACGATCCCATATGTGTACAACATTGTCGTTGCCACCACTTGCTAGTTGTTGTCCAGAACCTGACCACTTCAGACCACAAACCTCTTGAGTGTGACCCCTGTAGGTTTCCACTACGTGTGATCTGATCCGAACATCGTTGTTGACGATCTGTCCATCCATCCCTCCGGTTGTCAGGATGTGATTGTTCCATGCCAATGATCCTACTCTTGACTGGTGACCACCCTTCAATGTTCTCAGCTGCAGGAAAAGACCAACACACATCAGCTTAAGAAAATGACAAAACAGAGGATCTTATATCTAAACAGAAAAGAGAGGGACTTTTGTAAATTACTTGACGGTTGGATGCAGAATCCCACAGTTGCACTTCAGAGTTGTTGAGCCCAATTGCAACATGACGACCATCAGGTGCCCAGTTGATACTGGTCACAGGTCCTTTCTCCTCATCAATGGTGACAAGCTCAGATGTGGAACCAGTGGAAGCATCCCACAGATAAACAGTGTGGCCCAACGCTATGGCTAAGACATTAGCACTTCCCCAGTCAAGCAAGTTGAGGTAGAAGTCATCCACAATGTCAGGTGCATCCAATGTCCTCTCAGAAGACTAGTACAACAACAAACACAAAGTTTAAACAACAGATCAATACAACTCCAAAGCAACAAGTAAGCAAGGATCTTTACTACGAATAAACACATAGCATACCTGAGGAATGTATCTGCGAGGCTTTACGGATTTGGGTTGTTGGTTAAGAGAAGCAGAGTGGTCGGTGGGAAGCAACTCGACCGGAGCTTGAGGTTTGTTCCTGAAGGCGAGAATCCGGGTGTGATTTAGATTCATCGTCTCAGCAAGCTGCTTCCTGTAGGCCTCTCTGGATGGTGAGCTTACCGCTGCTGCTGCTTGATCTTTACCTTTTCTTCCTTCGGTGAGTGCGTAGTGAGCATAGTCGAAATCCATGGCTGATCTGTTGGGTATGAATCTGTCCAGCTGGTTGAACACAAAAAGCAAATCAGTACAATTCATCCAATACCACAGATCTTATATTATCTAACCCAATTGAAAACCAACAAAATCGACAATTCGCAGATCGAAACCCTTATTCTGCAGATAGGAATCGTATAACAATTAAAGACTCACATTTTCCTTGGAGTTTTTCCTGGGAAGAAAGTGTTCTTGAAGTGGGAACCGAGCCTGCGCCTTCAAGTGCGAAGATGTGCTCATACCTGCATCCATTGTTACAAAACACAGAGAAGAACAAAAAAAAACACAAACACAAAGAAACAGATAACACGATAGCGATGATAGACGAAAGGGATTAAAAGATATAAACTTTCTAAGCAATTAAACGAAATTAGATCAGAGACGAATCAAATAAAGCCTGCGGAGAAGGAAGCGTTCGTAAATTCGAGCGAAGGGAGAGAGAGAGCGACGAGTTGTTCGTCGCTAATGATGAGAAAGAGAGAAGAGCAGATTGAATTGATGGAGAAAGGTGTGCAAATTTGGGTTCAATTTAAAGCAGTTGAGCCAATTTAGGGTTTTCGCTGACCCCAATTCTCTAATCGGAAAGTCGGTAACGGCTATATTTCCGAGAGAGCCGTTGATAAATAATATACCCGGAAATGCCCATCTCAAATCTCTTAAATTACTCGTCTGTAGCTGCTGGTCAGTTTTATAAATTTGTTCTAAACCGAAATTCAATTTACATTTGCACATATCCAAAATATAGTAGAAGACTTATGTCATAATTTTTCTTACGTCCTACCCAAAAAATTGAGTTACATTAGCAGAAAGGGGTTCACTAGAAGCATTAGCAGAAAGATTACACCCAAGACAGATGGTTACCTTAACCATATACAACTTTTCATCTAATAGGCATACTAATCTTACAACCGAATCAAGCAACATCCATTGTTGCTGCTACTTTCGGTTTCTGCAGCACGAGCAACATCCATTGTTGCTGCTACTTTCGGTTTCTGCAGCACGAAAAATATAGACATAAATATGAAGCGGTTTGGTCTCGGGCTTGGCTGGCTCAAACACACAGACATCACCCAAGCACAAGTGGTTGTCTCTTACAAACTTCTTCCACCCTGTGGTAATCCCTCCACGATCAGGAGATCTGTAAGAACTAAACTTCATGTGCCATTTTCTTTGATTCATCTGCATCACTACTTCCTGAGGTTCATGAGACATGTTCTTGGCACTCCATTTAATTGGGATTGTCTGATTTTTGTTCAAAAAAGAAAAAAGAACATAAACTTTTTTCGTCCCAATAATTAGAAGAGATCAAAGACTATACAAAAAGCGATGAAAAGTCTTACCAGGAAACACTTTGTTAGCACATGAGACCGTTTCATGGCCACCAAGAAACCATTCGCCGAAACGGCGCTTTTAGCCAGAGATAAGGCTTTCCTTTTGCAAGTCTCACTTACACTCGTTCTGCTACTAGCTGAAATCGTATCGACATCTTAAGACACTGAAAAAGGAAATATAATCTAGAATCTAGATGCATAATACATGAGGTGGAAACTAACAAAACTATGGACTCATTCCACCAAGTAAACTTTTAAGACATACAATCAAAGGCTATGGCTAGTATGAGCGGTGGATAAAACTGTCTTTGTTCGATGAGAAAGATGAGAGAATTTTTAAATGTCAACACATAATCACAGAAAGTATAGAAAATCTGCTATAACAGCAGCATTCTCAAAACCTTGAAACTCTAATCCCAACAGTCCAATCAGATGAATTACTAGGAAACTACCACAATGTGTAATCAATAAATAAAAGAAAACTCATACCAGCTTTAGGATCAAGATTGTTGTTACTTATTTCTCCTCGCTTCTTCTTAGAAACGCTAAGGGGATACTTCCCTCCACTAGTTGGAGATGTTACAGGAAGCTGGCCAGCTTCTGTTATTATGTCAGAGTTAATACGTTCGTCTTGCTCAAAACCAGCCTGAGATACTAGAAGACTCGGAGCTAGCATTGTATCAATATCGAAATCGATATCAATGTCAATGAGGTCTTCTAGCTCATTACCAAATGGAGGCATTACGTGTGGCTGGTTCAGTACCGTAGCATCAAGCTCATTACACACTGGAGATATTACAGGTGGCTGGTTCAGAGTAGCATCAAGCTCATAATCACCAACTGGAAATATTACAAGTTGCTGGTTCAGTGTCGTTTCAACATCATCAGGGTTGTTAATGTCTCGCTTAGGAGATGTTGAAGTGGTCGCAGTGCCTTTGGTATTCTCTTCGTGTGGAATCGTGGGAAAGTTTTGAGGAATGGCCTGCAATATTCGCAAAAAAAAAAAGAAGTTATATCTGTTAGTGCTTAAAGCCTCAAGAACAAAGATTACAAACTAACTACAAGAGAAAGGACAAAAATTGCAAACTCTGTAACGTGTTTCTACACAGAGATTCTGAGATAGAGGAGGGAAATAAGTGTATATATTAGGGTTTTGATTTGAAATCCCAAATCAAACCCTGGAGAGAAGAAAGGAGAGTGATTTCGATTTCTAACATACAAGACGACTATGGAAATCAGGAAGGAGGAGGTGAGAAAAATGGTGGGTTTGGAATTGATTCCAGTAAATTTCTTCTTCCCGTCTCATGCAATTCCTGCAATTTCCTTCCATGATCATCTTCTTCTTCTCTCTTCCCACCGATACAATGTTGGGGCGAAATTGGAGTGTGTTCTTGGGACTGAGTTTTTAAAAGGGCAATTTTGTGAAAAGACCCCCCACTAAACCCTATTTAATATTAATCCAAAGTTACGAAATTGCTCTTGTTTCTGACACCAGGCGTTTCGATGCCAAAACAAGTGTTTCCATGGATAATAACACTTAAAGTCCTTCTCTAATACGAAGATTAAGATAGACAAAAAAGACACTTGTACCGATTGAGTTTGTGGCAACTGTACAGAGAGGCCTTATATCAATAAATACGAAGAGAAGCTTACCACTAATCCACTAAACTAGTTACAGTTTCTCAGTGAGTTTACACTTTATTAACAACAAACTTCAGGGGTTTTAGGATCTTACTCATCGAGCCAATCTAAGTTGAAACATTTCTCAGCGGCTTCAATCTTTAATCCTGGAACGGCCTTCTCAACTTCTTCCCACATAAATGCAACATCCTTATCGCAAATCACATGGCGTAGAGACTCCAATGAAACAGCAGAGCTCAGTCTACCCGATAAACAGCATTCTCTCATGTCGATCTTCTCCAGCGTCTTCAGCTTTCCTATTTCCTCTGGAAGACTACTCAGGCTGACGCATTGTGAGATGTCGAGGTACTTAAGCCGAGGAAGCTCACAGATTTCCACAGGCAATTTCTGTAGCTCGGGGCAAGCATATAGCCTCAGAATTTCAAGAGCTTGTAGCTTACTGAGTTTCTTAGGCAATGCACCGAGGCGTGGACAATTTGTTATGCTTAAGGAGTTAAGAGATGTCATTCCGCAAATGCTTGAAGGTAGTGCCACGAGATCATCACAATGATCTATCGTCAGATCGCCCAATTTTGGGAAGATATTGGCGAGGTCAGCTCCGGTCTGATCAAAACTGTTATTGATCTTGCACAGAATCAGAGACATCTTGTGGAGGTTTTTCAAGGGAACTGTTGTGTTGGAGAGTTCAGGGACATGAACTCTCTCGAGCCAGAGACTTCTTAGTTTCGACAAATTGGCAAAAATTGAAAAGTCATCGAGAACCGCAGGGGACATGCCGTTGTTGATAATCACTAGGACCCTAAGCTTGCTCATCTTGGTGATGAAAGGAGGTAAAACATACTTGTCCGAAGAGAAATTAAGTATTAGTATCTCTGCCTTCGGGAACTCCATGTCAAAGTCAGACCAATCCATTTCATCCATCTCCCCTGCAACATAAAACGGATTTCCAACCAACATTATGATCCTGGTGATTATCGCATAAGAGAACTGAGGAAATACAAAAGGTTGCAGTAAAAGAATCTCTTGCCGGTATGAATAGAGACTATCTGAGCACTGTATGGCTCATCACTGTTCCTTCCCCACTCTCTTGGAAGCACTAACTCTCTTTTCGGCATCAGCAATCGATCTCTTCTGTTTACTTTCCCTTTATTGCATAAATGAAGTGCTAAGTCTCGCAAAACATCATGCTGTGTCACAAATACATCATAGTAGCTTGCATATGAAGAGCCAAGCCTGCAAATTAATATACAGTAAAAAATTAAATAAAATTTTGAACAGTATAAAGGTGAATAGCTACAAGTAATGGGATCCCTTACCGTGGATCTTTCCCAAGAGTAAGTAGATTCTTGTGTGACAAATCAACAAGAGTGGCAAAAGCATTTGCCTCCTCAAGATCATGTATCTCAATCCACATGTTGATGAGAACATCAACGGGAATCTTCCTGTCTTCAGGGAATGCGCCAAGATCCAAGAAACACTCTTTGGTTGTTGGGTCGAGATTTTCTAGACTAGCTTCCATTTGATGAAGTAATCTAGTCTCGTGAGTTTCATCAGCAGGTTCACCTCTCGATAACCTCTGCAAAGCGCCCTCCCAATATTTTTCAGGTCGGTCTTTTAGTGAGGCGCCCGTAACTTTGAGAGCCAAAGGTAGACCTTTACACTCTTTAGCAACCTGTGCCAAAACATAGACGAAATCTGAGAATCGAAAAGCGTTGGATATATACCATGCATCAGTTGGAGAAGAAACTATAGAAATTAACCTGCTCAACCAGGCTTTTGCTGAAACCAGAAGGGACTGATTTCTGACCAAATGCACAGAGACAGAAGAGAGAGACTGCTTCATCTTCCCTTAGTACTTCCACATCATAAGTGGCTTTAGGCTCTGTGAGTTTGGACCGTGAGACCACAAGAGTTGTGCAGCCAGGAATGTTACACGTCAAGCGGTCCAACGCCTCTCTTGTCCAAACATCATCAAGAATCACCAGCTTCTGTGTTTTAAACCCGCCCTCATACTGTAAATTCCAGTTTGGAACAGGATTTCCTTCATAACCAGTCAAAAAACCCCATATATGTGCTCTCAGCTCCTCAAGAATCGGAGATTGTGATACAGTCAGAAACAAAATTCGATTCTCGAAGTGACCTGACCCAAAAAAAGCAGTAAATTTACCATCTCACAAAACAGTCCACGAATTAAAGAGACAGTCTATGAATCAGAGAAACAGTCTCTGGACTCTTTTAACCAAAATTCAGAAACTCAACTGGATCATCAAAACATGTTCATCCTCTAATTCACAAACCTATAATCAGAGACAGGACAAGAGAAGAAAAAGAAGAAGATGAATACTTACATCGGACTTCGTCGTCCCGTTCAAGCTCTCTGGCAAGAGTGGTTTTGCCGACACCGCCCATTCCACTGATCCCTATAAGCCTTTCCTCAGCGTTGAAGAGCATCTTCTTCACCTTCTTCTTGCCCATCTCCAATCCAACCCCAAATTTCTCCGAATCGTTGTTCGTCTCAAGCTCCATCGTAGCCTCGGCTAACTTCATCGCATCCATTATCATCCCTCCTCCACCGATTTTCATGGAACCCAAGTGCTCAGTCATCTTCTCCAGGCTCCTGTCAACACGGTCGAAACGCACATCGGAATTGATCCGGAGAAGATGAACGTCTGCGAGGATGTGGGCCAAAATCTGATTCTTGAGGAAATCAGAGATGGCCTTCTCTAGCTTCTCCATTTTCCGCGCCAGGGTGAGCTGTCGATACAAATTCCAGCGACGGGAGCTTAAGACTTTCTCCGTGAGTTTCTTGCCTTTCTCTAGTGTATTCGAGAGCATACCGATTTGAGTTTGACGGTGAGGAGGAAGCTCAACGCCGCTGTACTGGATCTCCTTGATCGTCGGCAGAATATCCTCGATCAAGGCGACGAGTTTATCGGCGATGCTTTTGTATTTCCATGCTTTAGCAGAAATCAGAACGAGCTGTTTCAGGAGCTCAGTAGCAATTTCACCGGCGAAAAAATCGGTGACGGCCATTGTAGACGAAGTCAGTGAGCTCGAGAGAAAGGGATGGATTGGTATAATAAGGATAGAAGTGGAGGATCCCACTGGAAATTTCGTTGCAATTCGCAGTGACAGTGACAACTTCAATAGAGGCCATTGTTAAAATACCGGAGAAAGCAAGGAACAATTTATCAAAAAAAAAAAAAAAAAACAGCAAGGAAGAAGCAGCAAGCTAACAAAAAGTCTTCGGATGTGAGAGATGAAGAGAGTGGGCCGTAACAAAAGTCTTTGTAAATGTGGAAAAATGGGCCGTATCAATATTATATATTACTCGAAAGTGTTTGAAAGCATTTAAATTCAAAGAAGAAAGAAAAAAATGGTTCATTTTTCCATATAATTTATGTTCCTCATCATCACAGATTCACATCACAAATATCACATATTTGGATTTGATAGAGAGAGAGAGAGAGTGAACCCAAAGTGGAGGATCCGTGGAAGATCCCACTGGGAAATTTCGTAGCAACTCGCAGTGACAGTGACAACATCATTTTTAGAAGCCATTGTTAAAATACCGGAGAAAGCAAGGAACAAGCAACACGCTAAAAAGATTCTAAAGCATTTAAATTCAAGAAGAACGAAAACAATGTTCCACATAATTTATGTTCACATATTCCTCATCACACATGTTTTGGATGTGTGAGAGGAAGAGAGAGAGTGAATCGTACATAATTATTTGTTTATTTTTTACTAAAGTCTTTGTGAGTTCAAGTCTACCGAAAACAATAAAATATTGACAGGCGTAATGGTATTTGTTGATCTAATAAAATCATAATAACAAAAATCATAGACTTAGTTACAATGACATATGCATCTCAATACTTTTGTATTTTTTTGTGGACTTAACTTAGAAAATAAACTATTAAACGTTAAAAAAGAACATTGTTGCTCTTTCTTTCTTGTTTAATAAATATATATAGCTAGATATAGCTTTATATAAAATACATATTACAAACTAAAAGATGTACTATAGTTTATTATTTACTTATAGATTTGGTTTTAACAACATGAATGTCTAGGTTTCACTTACGGGATGTTTTAAGAAAAGCAACCACACAACTCGTGAAATTAAATTTCATAAACCAAATAAAAATAGTAGAACCACAAGAGTTGCGAAACAACGATAAACATTTATTTCAAAAAATAATTGTAAGATTCTCATCGACATTGCTCTAAGAATATCTCACACACACAACAAAAAAAAAATGAATACAGAGAATGGGGTCTCCTCCATATAATAATTTCTAGTAAATAGAAAACAAAAAAAAAAAAATTAACCAATCAAATAAGAACGACGTCGTCGTGGATCAGTAACATTGATCCTCCAATGGAAATCAGTGGAACCTCTAAGCCTGGCTCTCCTCCTCTCCCAGTTGATCTCTGTCCTCCTCTGTTTCGTCAGCCTGCAAAACCTCTGCAAATCTTCTCCCATGGCGTCGTGCACCTTCCACCACCTAACGTGCGCCGCGTCGCTAGCGTAAACCAGCTGCTCGTCAACGTCGAAGTTGCAGTCGTAGTCTCTGTAGCAAAGCCATGGTTTCCAGCCCAAGTAGTGGACCGCGTAGAGCTGAGGCGGCTCGGCTGCGAAGAGGTTGTTCTTGATGTTTCTTTCGTTGGTTGTGTTCGACCAAAAGTTCTTCAGAAAGTTTATTCGCCGAGGCAATCGATGCCACCACACGAATATCTCGTTTAGGTACCTGATTAACAAAAACATCAATTAATTATTCTTGTTATGGTTTAATGTAGAGTGTTAGTAGTAGTGTTATCATCAATGGATCGACTAAACCGGTCCGGTTATCTCACATCAATTTAGTGTTATGTGGTACTTTGGCTGTAGTAAACCACTTTTGGTGTTACACTTAAACATGACATTAAACTGATATTAGATAACCGGTCTGGTTTAGCCGATCCGCTCTTTTATACTCTGTTATGCACTATAGTAATGATCTATCTAGACTAAATTGGCTATGAAATAAATAAAACATAAATTACTTACCCTTGATCTCCACCGTTATATGAAACGATGTCGCTTCGTTGGCTCATAATCGTATTAAACGTACAATTAGAAGGCTCAATGACCATTACGCCGGAGTTGAATATCCAGACATCATTTCCGGTGGCCGACATCTGAGGGAAGTGGAAGAGAATGTCGAGATTGAGTAAGACGACGATGTCAGCATCAATGAAGACAACTTTATCGTATTCTGTCAATTGCCACAGTCGAAACTTGCTGTAGTTGTATTCGTTGTAGGAATCTTTCTCTGCAAGTGGGTTTCTGATTCTTAGGATTCGGCGAAGCTTCCATCCTGCGGCTGCGAGAGCTCGGAGTTTGGCAATGGAGATGGAATCATCGTGGAGAAGGATAAGATCACGTTTTGTGTTTGTCTGAAGGAGGCTTTGAGCCAAAGTTATGGCGCCACAGACATAAGATTCGGAAGAGTGGAGCACCGTTGCGTAGGCTTCACGTTTTGGTCGTCTTGTCTCTGCTTCTATCTTTGTTAAGTCAAACACTTTGTCTATACCTGTTTTTGTATTTATCATTCAAGAAAATTATATCATACACTTTAAAAAATATATATATATATTGTATATTGGTAGGTTAAAGCAGGTTAAATTAATTTTAATATTAAATTGATGAAATGTAAAAAAAATGTTTAACTATTAAATTATGACTAAACTGGTTGACATAATTTCCACCATTAACAAACCGTCTATCCAGGCATCTACTACGCTACTAAAAAAACCTACTTCAACGATTATTATCAAATTATAGTTATTATAGTAAGTTAAATAGTAAGTTCAAATCACATTAATCAAGCTCTGATCATAGTAATTAATATTAGTAGACAATAAACTTACATGTCATAATTAAAGAGTAGTAGGTATTTTCTCATTTATAATTTGCATATATAAGCTATCATCAACCTTATTCAATGATCATTTGTTTTCTTAAACCACAAGCAACTGTAGCTAACTAACTCGATCTACCAACGAATAGGAATGCCTAATTTGAAAAAGGCGAATACTAATATTGTTAACTAGTTTTCTTAATTGTATATCTCTACAAATCTTGTTTACAAAGCTAATTGATTGCAAAAATACCAAACATTTAAGTATGAGTTTTAAATTTATCACCACTAATTTGATTTTAGAATATAGCTTTTTAATGTAACATTAGCTTTTGATAAATGGTAGTTTAATCATCTGTCCATATGTATCAATGTAATTACGATTGATTTTAAAATCTCCTTTAAAATTGCAAGGTAGCTTGTAAGGCAATCAATATTTGGTGGTTAGCAAAGACATACCTAGAACACAACCACTAAGGCACTAACATATCTAATTAACACACAGCATAATTAAGCAAAGTATCCACATATATATCGACTTGTTTTGTTTTACACCGCAAATTTGTTACCTTTCACATCAACTTCACGTAATCAAGTCCTTTTAAGTTACAATGTCTTAGTCACTACATATGAGACTTTTCTATCTAAAGTTCAGTTCGACTTATTTTTTCTGTTTGGCTAACTTCAACTTTTAACCAAATTCAATACAAAACTTAAAAATAATTTGCTAAGGATACATAACATCGTAAAATATAAATATAAAAACAAACGGATTTTGGCTTCATCTTAAATTTTTCTTTTTGGGGATTACGCTTTAGTTATTAGTTTAGTTCCTTTACTCAAATTAAAATATTAAACAAAAAAGAAAGAAATGTGAGTTATTATGAAAGTAATTTTATACCTTGTGGTGCCCACAAAGGAAGAGCAAGATTGCAAGATCCGATTGGCAAACTAATCTTCTGCTGTAACCTAACCACCTCAGGCCGATACAACCACCAATCTCCCTCCCTCTTCTCCAAATCATCACACCGGAAAATCTCAATCATCGGTTGACATTTGCTCCAAAACAACACTTTGCTCTTCCATGTCCAATCCGTCTTCCCTTTCCTGGCCGCCAAGTTAGCCGCAACTAGGTTCACTTGCAACCTCAAAACCTCTCTTCTCCACCCTTCTTCAGGGTACTTACAAGGCAGCTTCACTACTATCAAATCCAACTTCTCTAAGCTTTCGAAATCAGGCATCGGTATCTCAGGACATGTGGGAACCTCCGTATCTTCCTCTTCGTCTATCCATTCGGGAAACAAGTCTTGCCAAGTGAAAAGCTTAGAGACACGCTCAAAATGTATGTGAATCGTGTCACCATAACGTTTCCATTGTGTAAGATCAGATTCTTCCATGTTCACCATCCCTATCTTTGTTTTCCCTAACCCCTTTGTTAGAATCTCCTCCATGAAGCTTGGTGCCTCAAGCTTGGTTTGGTTACTAGCGGTTTGCGAATCTTTCTTGTTTATTTGGTTCTCTACAACGAGTTCTTGCATCTTCACTCCTCTCTCCACCTAATATCTCCAAAGATTGATCAAATAGAAATATAAAAGATACTTACTAGTCCGAATTTCGATCCAGGATTATCCCATGCATTATCAAAATAAAACAAAACAAAAAAACCTCACCTTACCTTAGGAGTGCAATCACGAAAGGAGCATCCAACAAAGGAAGCTGCGCTGCTGAAGTAGACTGATGAAGAAGGGTGAAGAAAAAACGCAGTGTAGAGAAGAAAAGAGACAGCGAACAAGATTAAATTGAAGCGTATCAATGCGGATTTGGATGGAGCCATCTTCATTATCATCGTCATGATCGTCCTCCCGTTTCTCAATGAAAAACATTTCTCTTTCATTTTTTTATACTAAACAAATGTTCAAGGGAATTGTGTGTAGGATGATGGTTCTCTATATATATACGGTCCAAGTAAAGTAGTTAAGGAATAGAAATTAAATAATATAAACATGGGTAATTAGTAATATGTGTAGAGGTTGAGTTATTTTTTATTGAGGAAAATAATAATAAACACACACAAAAAAAAAAAACCGTCTAGAAGAGTTTCATTGGACGTGTCAATGGATTTTCTTTACTCAAAAAAAAGCCTGATGGATTTATACATTATACTAATATAACAAATATGTCACCAACGATTTTGGGTGGTTGAGCTACAAAAAATGAAATGAGTGTGCAAATACGTACGCCTTAAGCTACGTATTTGTTCTCACCTCCAAATGTGGGACCAAAATTAAATTACAATGTAAAAGGATGCTATAATGGAAAACCACCCTCTTCTACATCTCATCTTATCTCATCCAGTGAGGTTATGAGTCAAGCCACGACGAACTTAGGTAGAAATGATCTATAGTTGGTAAAGGTTCAAAACTCGCAAATTATTATTTTTTTTTTCCGTTTTGTCTATCCATTCATAATGCTTGTAATTAATGAGGAACATGTTGAATGAGTTTTGTTACAATACTATGTTTGGAGGAAAACGAGTAATCTATCTGATAGAGACAATCCAACAATATTTTTCTAATAAAATGTTAAATCAAGAGTATATAAGATAGAAATTTCAAAAAAAAAAAATATTTACTAAACTCCACCAACTACAACTTCAGATTTCAGAAACAGTAATACAAAAGATCATAATAATTCACGTAGAGAATTCTGTGAGTAAAATTTCCAAGAGAGGGAATATGCTTAATGTAGAAATACACTAAATAAACGTAATCGTTCTTCTAATATATTTTCCGACAAACAGTGGTAGGCCTACCTTACTATTTTTAGTAATGTTTTAAATTTAATTCGAAAATAACCAATAACAGAATTATTTTAATATTCCACCAAGGAAAAAATAAACAAATTAAAATTAATGTTAATAAGAACCAGGTTTACCTGATTCGACTTCTACTTATTATATGAAGGTAAAATATACAACCTGAATATTCAAGAATTGACGTGGTAAAGTCTTAAAAGGCAAAAAACGTAAGAGTTAGATAATACTTGAATCCAAAACAATTGCGTCTGATTATATCCGCAAATGTGTGATTAGTGTGAAATAGAGGCAAAATCTTCAAAAATGATTGTGCGAAGGAGCAATCGGTCAACGTTTTTGGTTCTACTGTCAACATCGGTTACAGGAAGGATCATTACTTCTCATCTCATCCCTTCTCTCCTTTTCTTGTTGTTAATTCATATTTTTGTGTTTTAACAGTCCCTAATAATAATTATTAATTAGTTTGTCTCAATCAGATTATCATCATTTTTAAGCTGAGATGTCAAAGCGAGTTTTGCGATGGAACAAAAATAAGATAAATAGGATGATAAGACATCGTAGCTTTTCGTATGTTAACCACACAATTAATCAAAAATTAGCCTAAACAAATATATCATTTAGGCGTATCAACCTACTTGGATTAGAGTTGGCTGGTTTAAGCTGATTGAAAATGGATTACAGCTTCATAACCTTAAACCAATACACCATTCACCATTTTATCCGTACAAACAAATATAGGTTTTGGGTATGTAAGAACCAAGAGAGTGAATGGTGTGTGTTAAGATAAAGAAACGAAAAAAAGATTACTGAAACTGTGTTGAGCTCTGCAATGATGATATTGCAAAATATCAAAAGAAAAGCTGTTTTATCAAATAAAAATACACAAACTGTGTCTCTCGTCTTTTTTACTCTTGAATCACCTCCTGCATGTGTTGTGCATAACTTCTTCCTGGTGGAATGAATATTACATCTTCCCAACCTGAATTCTTCTCGCTCCTCTACAATTTATTCATTTCAGATTAGTAATTTTTATTAGATCCACGGGGTTTCTGGCTTTAATTTCTTTAAATAAAGTATTAGTACCTCCTCGACCCAAAAAAAAAAAAAAAGTATTAGTACCTCCATTTTCCTCAAGACATCTTCCAGACTCCCAACCTGTGAAAGGACAAGATTAGTTCCATGGTGACGGCAAGAAGACTCTTTACATACCAATGCAGTGGATTTTCTTCGTTGTCATATCTGAATACAAGGTATGATATGTAACTTTAATAACGATAAACCTTAGAATTCATTTTAACTCATAGATAGATTTACGTAGGGGATCAACTAGATACCGCTAATCTCTTCACTCTTTCTACAGTTTTCTAAAATTATCCCTTTCTCTCGCTGTGCTTCCTCTGAAAATATGGTCTTATAAACACAAAACATATGAATACCGAACATGTATGAATGCTAGAAATCACTAATACCGCCAATGCAGCTACTCCCACTTTTTAGTCAACCACATTGTTTTCAACTTATTACTGGCCTATTAAAATACAAGGAAAATAGGAATCATTACCATAATTTGTTGATCTCCTCTTGATGCTCTTGTATACTTTGATAGTTCCCTCTCTATATCTTCCTGAAAGTAGGCCACGGCAGAACTTGATTTTCAATAACAGTAAAGCAAAAGTTATCTCGCCTTTCTGGAATTTTGAGAAACTTTGTGAGAGTATTGTTAACCAACCTTACTGAAATAGACAGGGCAGTAACGTTTATTTCGTTTCCTCACAACAAGAAGCTCAGACTGCAGAGGGCAATTACGAGAGAAAACACCAGAACATTAAAGATGGTAGCCCCTGGCAAAAGGAAGGAGGAAATGCCCAAAAACATTTTTTTTTTACCTGGAATACCGGAACTCCATCAAACCCATTCTTACTACCTGAGGATTTGAGCTGGGACGCAAGGAAATATAGCTTCAGGATTACGATTGAAAAGACAAATAACTAAGTAGCAAGTAACAATTGCAGGAGAACAAACCTCCAATGCATTCTTTATTTGGATTGGATCTGGCAAGAAGCGAAAAGAAATCCCCTCAACTTTCAATAAGTACACCTGTAAACAACATCCTCTTTTTCAACTTCTGGAAATGCATTCAGCTACAACTCATGAATGTAGCTACCATGATCGATCACGCAAATAACACAAAAATTTTCCTCTAAAATAGTAGCAAGCTCCAAGGCAAATTAGAGCGTCCGATGATCATGCAACCAAGTTTTCCCATTTTTTGCATTCTTTCTAAGTGTTTCTTGAGAGAGATATATTCATTTCAACATTCCTGCGTGCACAAGAACTCAAATCTCCCATTCATTTGAACTTGGCAGTAGGAGTTCCTATTACAAGCCACTAAATGATGCAAGACATGAGCAAGTCAACTTAGAATGACCTTCAGATCACATAACTCGTAAGAAACAGAGAATTTGTATGTTTTGTATGTTCCAAAGTCCCTGACCATTTGAGTTAACCAATGGCTACTACATTTGATCTAGTGTAAGTGATCATAGGGAATGGGAACTACCTGGTCCAGATTAATGGGAACAACCTTAGCATTTGTTTTCAGTTCTCTTCTCCGAAGGCGCGCCTGAAGGATAATAGATAATTACGAGCTCAGAGACTTTCCATTTTCAAAAAACCCTTTTCACTGGGGGGAGAAAGAGCAACAAACGAGCAAAAACCTGAGCAAGAAAAGCTTCAGCATCCTCTTGCCGGAAACAGAGCAAACCGATAGACTTGTCGCCGGTAGGATCGGAGATAAGAACGAACTCGTTATTGGTGTTGCTGACAGTGAACACAGAGGTGCCAGCGAGAGCTTTAGCGACATGAGATGGATTCAATGTAGTCGAGGAGGTTACAGCAGTGGAAGAAGGCTTGGACTGTGAAACGGAGGCGAACGGAGAGGGAGGAGAGAAGCGTCGAGTAGTTAGGGTTTCGGCGAAACGTTTGGTGTCTTCGATTCGGGCGGAGAGGTCGGAGGCGAATCGATTACAGTGGTGGTGAAGGAAAGAGGAGAAAGAGAGGAGAGGATTGGGTTTTACTGATGACTCCATTTTTTGGATTTGCAGAGGAAACGAAGAAGGAAATTGAAAAACCTCTCGTAACTAAAGAAAAGGGTGAAGAAGGCTCTCAAGCTCAAGACTCGGACTCATCTTCTGGGTTTATTGGGCTTTTTTTACTGACTCTTTTTATTCGGCCTTTCGACAAATTTTTTTTAAGGTAACAAAACAATTATTAATCAATTATTAATTAGTGGTCATGAAAGCCATAGATGAATAGAACTTAAATAAGTTGTACTCGTTTCCTAATAAGTGTCTGACACATTTTACAGATTAAAAAATTAAGAAAATATATAAATATATATTTAATCAATATACTTTTATAACATTTAATTACAAAAGACTATAATTTTTAAATGAGAGATAAAACAGGAAATAAAAGTAAAAAATTACATTGAAAATGCAGAATGACATTCTTTTTGAAACAAAAAATGAAATCTAAAACGACACTTATTATGAAACGGAGAGAGTAATAAAATGTCTCTTTCGACACCAATTTAAAGGAAGCTGTAATTACGTTAATTAATGTTCTCACAAAATTATAGACGAAAGGGTTATCTCAACTTCCGTGGTCACTCCAAATACATGACTTACAAAAAGCTTAATCACTTAAAATACATGGAGATGGCACTTTCTTCACAAGTTTCTCCCTATAAAATAGTGGTAGTAGTACGTAGATTAAGTAAACAACATACAAAGAATACAACTCAAACAAATTTTTTTCAAAACTGATAAATGAGGAACGTCGTTAGTAAAACCCGCACAATCTTAGTGCTCGTAGTGACACTTTTGATTGTGATTGCGTATCATGAAGGGGAAGCAATACAGTGTTCGCAGGTGAATATGTACTTAGCACCATGTTTGCCTTATCTACGAGCTGGAGGAAACCCGTCGGTACCGTGTTGCGGAGGGCTGAACAGTCTAAAAGCAGCGGCGCCAGGGAAACCGGATAAACAAGCAGCATGTCAATGCTTGAAGAATGTAGCTAATGCAATCCCCGGAATCATTGACGACAATGCCAAACAACTCCCTGCTAAATGTGGTGTTAATTTGGGTGTCCCTTTCTCTAGGAGCGTCGACTGTAACAGGTATATCTTTATCTTGCACCAATACAAACATTCTTTTTCGATTTTAATGGCTATTAATATGGTGAAAGTATTTTTTTTTATGTAGTTATATTTAAATTACGTTGAGTAACGTCGTGACTTCTGATTTTTGAAATAATCCTCTAATTGACTTCTTGTGAACAGCATAAACTAAAAAGAGGACGACCAACGGCCATGCAGCTATAATAAAAGTGGATATCCTGAAAGAGCAAAAGCCTTATGAGCAAGTTAATTGAATACTTTGTTATTAATCTTCTCTTTATCATCTCTATACTTTATACATGTAATCATATAGTTCTTGGCAAATAAAATGTGGAATTCTCTCATTGACATGTATTCTTCTTTCGTACTCACAGTCTCGCTTCGAAATGTTTCTGAAAACATTGACACTCTGGGCAAAGATTCATGATATTTTTAAGAAAATGACTCATGAATTTTAGTAGATAGGGGGGTAAAAAAAAATAGTGACATTCAGTAGATAACACTGTAGCTCTAAAATTTGAGTTATATACTGATAATCCTTGTTAGCGTTAAAAAAATTTCACAACATTGTAATTATATTGAACAGACATTGATACAAGGGAACATAACCTGAAAGATGGGTAATTTCAAAATTCAGTACTGAATGAGGCCCAAATCCTTCAACCAAGCTAGCATCTCCTCCAATCCTTCCCTTAGACTTCGAGGGCTATAACCAAGTTCCACCTTAGCCTTGTCACAAGAGTATGACCATTGATGTCTCAGCACATCCACTGACTGCTCATTTACAAAAGATATTTACGACTTTAAGATTATTATAACGCCAGTTAAAGATTATCTACAATGTCTAATTGAAACTCACCGGAGGACTGATTACTGGAAGCTTTCCTGTAACCCGAGAGATTAGGACCGATAACCATCCGTATGCTTCGATTACCCATAACGGAATGCTAAAGCTTGGTTTTTTGGTTCCAGTAATGAGTGCAGCCATGTCAAAGACGTGCTTAAAAGAAGCATTTTCCCCGGTGAGCAAGTATCTTTCACCAAACCTACCTTTCTCCATTGCAGCAATATGACCCTCCACAACATCATCGACATGGCTGAAAGAGCATTTATCATTCCCATAGCCAATATATCCAGGTAATCTCCCACTAAAACGCTCGATAATCTGGAATGACAACAGTTACAGATACTCTCACTATGGTTCCAATTTAAAATCCGAATGCAAGACTTAGGCCACATAAAAAGCACAATTAGGAATGACATATATTCACTATCCAGTTCCGTAAAAACACATTGGAATGCTATTGTTTAAAGCGATCTTGTTAATCACCGACATGCATGGATCTTGCACAAAATAAAAGGAAATCAAGTTCTGAACTTTATCACTTTATCAATCCCACCAATGTATCTCTAATCAGCCTAAAAACATTTAACACAGCAAAAGGAAAAGATCAAAGAGAACCATACCAATTTAGCAACCATATTGCCTGAAGTGAGCTTGCTTGGACCATAAATAACACCAGGATACATCAATATTATCGGCACACCTTCAATCGCAGCATTCAAGGCAATCTTATCAGCAGCAACCTTCGATCTCTCATACTCCGTGCAGAAGAACCTCTCACTATGAACCTATTCTCAAGACCCAGAGCAAATTGGAATCAAAATCAAATAAAAATCAAACACAATCATGAAGCTGAGAACATCATACTTGATTCTCATTAGCAACAGATCCATCGGTAGACCCAAGGGCGAAGAAGGAAGAAGTGTAGATAATCTTCTGGATGGTTCTCGTCTCCTTAACTGCTTCCAAGACGTTCTTCAGTCCACCAACGTTGACCTAAGCTTCAAAAATCACCATTAATCTCTCCGATGATTTACTGAAAACAGAGATGGTGTACAAAAAATCTTACGGAGACGAATCGAGATGGATCCGGAAGCCAGGGCTCAACCAAAGCCGCCGCGTGGAAAACGATGTCGCAGCCGGAGCAAGCATCCGCTAGCGAACGGTAGTCGGTTACGTCTCCGTATGCGAGCTCGAATGCGTCGTCATCGGTTTCTGGAGGCAGGACGGAGACGTCGCTGGTGCGACGGACCAAGGCTCGTACGAAGTGGCCGCGACTGAGGAGGGCGTGGCACAGTCGTGCGCCTAAGTAACCGGAAGAGCCGGTGACTAATATTTTCATTTTTCTTTGTTTTTTTCCCGCAAACCAACCAATATTTGTTGATGATATATAATTATCAGGGGTAAAAGTGTCTTTCGAGAAAAATTTGGGTTAATTAGCGTAACCCGATACAGTTAACTAAACAAAGTACAGTACGTAATTAATTACCCAACCAAAATTTACTGTTGTTCCTTCGAGTAGAGTAGTGAGAATCGAAAGTTGCTTAATTTAAAGCATACGTCTTTGCTCTCTCTCCACTGCTCTCTCTCCCACGATTGATTCTTCCTTTTCCGCCGTGAGAACCAAAAAGGGCAGAAATCGAATCTTCTAGTTTCCGATTAAAAGCAAAGTGTTGATCGAAGCGAGTTTCTGGAGATCTTGAAATCACCAATACAGGCAGAGAGAAGGCGGGAGGAATATGGAGGAATGACGGCGGTCGGAGATGGCGAGGGGAGGAGGAGAATGGACCGGAGGGATCACCGGAGGCGGAGTTCTCTCCTACAAAAGAATTACTCTACTCGTTTGCTTTTTCAACATTCTTATCGCTCTCTTTGTTCTTCGCTTTCTCTATGCCTCTTCTCTCCACATCTATTCCAATAACGACAACGGTGCGTCTTCTTTTTTGTTTCCCTTTGAATTTGTTTGTTGTTTACCTCTCGGATTTCCCCTTGAAGCTCTGTGTTTTCCATTCTATTATCCAGTTGTTGAGTACACAGCAGCTGAGATTAGGAAAATGGAGGAATCTATTCGGATTCGAAGATCGAAAGAACCTGCTCAGCTTGTTAAATTGGTTAGTGGTTTTTAATGCAAACTTAAATTACTTCTATTTCGGTAGATGCATTGGCTCTCATAATGTTTGCTCATGATCTATAAACCATATAGGTGAGGAAGCTGAAACATGATGTCGCCACTGCAGAGTCGAATACTGAGCTCTCTCCTGATGTAAAACACAAACTAGTTGATGAGATCTTGCAGCGTTTAAAAATATTAGAGGACAAGTCCAATGTTACCCAGCTCAGAGGTTTGTGCTATTCTAATCCTACATTAAAAAAGGGATCTCTGTTTTGCTACTAAGCGATGGCTTTTTAATGTTAGCTTCATAATCAGTGTCAAGTATAAAGTCTTTACATTTATTTTGAAACTGCCACAAACTTACATTCATCAACTTTTCTGATCAATTATCTGCTAAGAATTTGTCTTCTTCCCTCATTGAAATGTGATGGTGTCTTGTTGACCAGATTTTTCTTATTACCTAACCTGTGTGCAAGATGTGTTCGATGTCAAAAGCTCAATTTAGTAAAGATATCATTGTCATTTATGTGGAAGTGTAATATAGCTCAAGACCCTAAATATATCATTCATGTGGAAGTGGAATATAGCTCAAGATATCAATAGTGCTTGCTTTTCGATGCTTCATTTGCTTGATCTGTTTTGATAGTTTATTCACTTCCACCTTACTCATTAAGAGCGATTTGTTACTGTTATCGGCTGCAATAGTTTTCCATGTCACCCTTCATTCAATCTATTGACCCTTGATACCTTCTTATCTTCATTTGGCGAACAGAAGCTGTAGAAACGTGGCGCACTGAGAAGCTGAAGGAAGCTAAAGAGCTGATTCAAGAACAAAATGGGGTAAATTCCACCATGATACTGGAGGAAGCAGGTATATACTCATTACGAGCGATTGCTAAGTTACCATGACCAAAGATTCATTTTATTCAACCCTCTGGATCCTGGGTCATTGTTCATTATAATTAGAGGTGAACTCTCTGTGTGCTGTTACTATCATATAGGGATGCTGGTAAGAGCTTTGGAGTTGGAGTGGGATGTGCTGTCTGAAGAGATTGGGTTTTGGTTACCTGCTGAGGTTAACAATGAAGAACACGATGATAAACCTGAAGGAGAGGAAGAGCCTGGTAATATTATCTTGAAATTTCGTACTTTCCTGATCTCAAATTTTGCACTTCGTTCTAATGGAGAGAAGTGTGACGAGGTCATAACCAAGAAACTCATCAAGTTATCCCCAATTTTTTGTTTTTTTTTTTCGAATTTACAGAGGAGATATTAGCAGGCAGACCAGTGCCAGCTGTGTGTAATGTAGAGCTTCACACAGATTATGGTGGTGCTGCTGTGAGATGGGGACTTACGCATCATAAAGAGAGTGCAGCAGATTGTTGCCAAGCTTGCTTAGACCAGGCAAAGCGCGCTAAACCTGGAGAAACGAGATGCAACATTTGGGTTTACTGCCCATCTGAGTTTGGTTGCTATTCTCCAGATATTTATGAGCATAAACATCAGGAGTGTTGGCTTAAATACGTAAGAAGTTGCCTCTTTCACTTGTCCAGGTTGGAATTTAAAGCTTGTCTCATACAACTATATGTCTATTTGAATTGCAGGCAGAGAAGCCACAACAGAATTTCAAAGACAGATATTCAGAGTCATACAGAAACAACCACCCAAAAGCGCCTACCATCGTTCCATGGGTTTCAGGCGTTATAACGGCTTGAAGAAAAACCCATGTGGACAGATTGATTGGGACAATAGGAGAGAGATAGTTTTGGTTTCCTCAGTTGTGTTACCATATTTTTTTAAGAGTCTTGACACTGAAGTACCGTACCAAGATGCTAACATCTTTGGCCGGTTTGTATACGAGAATAGAATGTTTTGTTTTGTTTTGTTTTATTTGTTTGTTGTCTTTGAAGCGACAAGTGTCTAAAGAATCATGTTTTTGTCCAAGCTTGATGTAAACTGTACTTTTTACTGGTTTTGTTTGTTTGTGTCTTTGCTAATTGATGCATATGTATGCGATACTGGAAAAGTATGGAGCGTTACACTTGATAAATCAGTTTTATAAAGATTCTACTGTAGATTGTTTTCACCAATAATACAGTCTATTCTTCTTTTTTTTTTTTTTTGATTGAAAGTCTATTCTTCTTTTTAGTAATGAATGAAAATAGGCATTAGAAGAACAAAGCGATTTGACCAACAACAAAAAAAAAAGAGAACAAAGCGAAAATCACGAGGGAAAAGAGAAAAAGAGAGGTTCATCATTCATTTGTTTCCAGGAATATCTCTTTTCTAATTATAGACTTTCGAATTGTGTACCTCTCTTTACTTGTCTAAAAAAATTTCTTAATCGGGATATTCATTTATTCTCTTCTACTTTCTTCATTTTAGTTTCTATTCGTTGACTCTTTTTCTTAAATGGCGACCTTCGTTCACTCGTTTTAGCGTTTCTCTTCTAAGTTTTGGTTTCTAGCTTCCATCGATGGAGGATTTGAAATTAACAGAAGACCCAAGTGTAACCTCAGATGTTACTGGCAATGTTGAAACTATAATAAAGCCTAAGTTGCATCAACCACAAGCAATACCAACAAAACTAGAGAATAATGAAGCAATTCAACAATCTCTACACGAAGATTCAACTGAAAATGGGAAAATTTATCTGGATGACACTTTTTTGCCCTCCAGTTTATCAAACACTCAAGCAGAAGAAACACAAGATTCTTCTTCCTCTTCTACTACTCCTACTTTTGTTTCTGAGATTGTTCTGCCTCGTGTAAAGATCAAGAACGGAGCAGAGGGCACAACAAGAAATGGTGTGTCTCCAAGATCTTTGTCTTCCCCAAGAAGCATTGGATCTCCAAGAGCACTCGTGTCTCCAAGATTTGGAGTATCATCACCATTGAGCAATGGAACACCGAAAACTAAACATTCTTATAAAGACTCGATTGATACAGCATCACCTTTTGAATCTGTTAAAGAAGCTGTCTCCAAATTTGGGGGAATCACTGATTGGAAAGCACATAGAATGCAAGTATTAGAGGTATAGTTAGTCATGCGTGTGTATATATATATTAGCCAAGAACTTCTTTGGCTTTGTATTGTGCTCACCCTTTTTTTTTTTTTTTTTTTAATGCAGCGACGCAATTTTGTGGAACAAGAGCTAGAAAAGATCATGGAGGAGATTCCTGAGTACAAGAAAAAATCAGAGACGGTAGAGATGTCAAAACTGCTAGCGGTTGAGGAGCTAGAGAGCACAAAGAGGCTCATAGAAGAGTTAAGGCTTAACCTTGAAAAGGCGGAAACAGAAGAAAAACAGGCAAAACAGGACTCAGAGCTTGCAAAGCTGAGAGTTGAGGAGATGGAACAAGGAATTGCTGATGAAGCTAGCGTTGCAGCTAAAGCACAGCTTGAAGTGGCTAAAGCCAGACATACATCTGCGATTTCAGAGCTGGAATCTGTCAAGGAAGAAGTACAAACTCTGCAAAAGGAGTATGATGTCTTGGTAAAAGAAAAGGAGTTGGCTGTGAAGGAAGCCGAAGAAGCAGTTTTGGCTTCTAAAGAAGTTGAGAGGAAAGTTGAAGAACTCACTATAGAGTTGATAGCCACAAAGGAGTCACTGGAATGTGCGCATTCTTCTCACTTGGAGGCGGAAGAACATAAAATTGGAGCAGCCATGGCGCGTGATCAGGAAACTCACCGGTGGGAGAAGCAACTAAAGAAAGCAGAGGAAGAGCTTCAAAGACTTAAGCAACATATAGTTTCTACTAAGGAGCTAAAAGAGAAACTTGACTTTGCTTCAGCATTGCTACTTGATTTGAAGAAAGAATTGGCAGATCATATGGAATCATCCAAGTTGAAGGAGGGAAACGTAGCTAACAGTGAGATCTTATTACAGGAAAAATCCCATACAGATATACAAACAGCTGTTGCTTCTGCAAAGAAGGAACTCGAAGAAGTGAATCTGAACATCGAGAAAGCAACTTCTGAAGTGGAATCCTTAAAGGTAGCATCGTCTTCCTTGAGACAGGAACTTGAGAAAGAGAAAACAGTACTTGACTCAATCAAACAAAGAGAAGGGATGGCATCGATAGTGGTTGCTTCTCTAGATGCTGAGATCGACATTACGAGGACCGAAATAGCTCTTGTTGAGTCCAAGGAAAAAGAAGCTAGAGAGGTAATGGAAGAGCTACCTAAGCAACTTCAGCAAGCAGCGCAAGAGGCTGATGAAGCGAAATCATTCGCTGAACTTGCTCGTGAAGAGCTGCGAAAGTCTCAAGAAGAAGCAGAGGAAGCAAATATTGGAGCAAATACAATGGAGAGCAGATTGTTTGCAGCTCAGAAAGAAATTGAGGCTGCTAAAGCTTCAGAGAGATTGGCATTAGCCGCTATCAAGGCTTTGCAAGAGAGCGAGTCTGCTTTGAAGGAGAATAATGTTGATTCTCCAAGAAGCGTAACACTGACATTAGAGGAGTACTATGAGCTTAGCAAGCGTGCTCATGAGGCTGAAGAAGAAGCCAACGCAAAGGTTGCTGCAGCGGTTTCTGAGATCGAGGAAGCCAAAGAAACAGAGAAGAGGAGCTTGGAGAAGTTGGAAGAAGTAAACAAAGAGATGGTTGCGAGAAAGGAAACACTTGGAGAAGCTGTTGAGAAGGCGGAGAAGGCTAAAGAAGGGAAGTTAGGTGTAGAACAAGAGCTGAGAAAATGGAGGGAAGAACACGAAGTAAAGAGAAAGAATGGTGATAATGGAGTGAACATAGAGAAAATTCAGGGAAGAAGCTTAGAAGGTTCGAAGGAAGAAGAAGCTGAGTCTAATGAGTCTCACGGAACAGAGACAAACCCAATTCCACAGGCAAATCCTGGAAAGAAAAAGAAGAAATTTTTCCCAAGATTTTTTATGTTCTTGATGAAGAAGAAGTCACATAAGTGAGTTTGATGTGAAGAAGTTAATTGTATAAAATTTTCATAAATGTAAAATCGATACTAAAAGAAGAGTTAAATTTGATACTAACATAGTAAACACCAATTACAAGATTGATTGTGTTTATCTTGTCTAAATATGTCTGCAACAACACATGAACCAAACCAGATCAATGCTGTACGAGTTATTCCATGAATCAAAGAATATATATTTGTTAAACAGTAAAATTCTGCAATTTTAATCCCTAGTCTGCAACATTCTCTGCGTATTGTGTCATAATTGAAGGTTGCATGTATAAATCTTTTCTGGCAAATTTTTTTTTTTTGGTTAAGCTCAGTGAACTGGATACGCTTTCTTCTTGCTACATCTTCCAAAATAAGCTTCTTTCAAGTGAAAAACAGAAAAATGCAAAAAGCCAAAACCAAAATGTCTACAATATGATCATCTTAAAAGTCAAAGTCACACCAAAGTAGTTAAGCAACATCTCTAGATGTCTTTTCCCTGAATCTAACAGCGTACTAAGAACCAGAACATTGGAGTTTCACATGGTTACAGGACATAATAGAATTCAAATTATATAAACTAATGATCCATCACTTGCTTGTTTCATCGCTTGCTAGATAAGCTGAAAGAGCTGACTTTCATGGGAGTTGCAATGACCAAAGGCGCTTCAGGTGAACCAGAGATTGCAAAGTTGTCATTCATGAAGCGGCTGTCCACAATAGATTCATTTCGAAGGACTATCTTGTAGCAGTAACATTTCTTCAACCCTTCCTGGTCATGGTAGCATTCATGAGATCCATTCTTCACTTGTTGAAAGTTCCATATCACACTGAATTTGCCAACAGTTGCCACCACATGACGCTCTTGTTTCCCATCCTCCGTGACCTAAAATTTCCACAAGAAAAAATCTTTAGATGGATTAAGAAAAAAAATCACCAGCAACTGACGAACACTATAACCTATCCTTTCAAAAGTGAGGGACAAATTGAAGAAGACAAGCAAAGCTTGACATTATGGAAAGTGATAACATCTTCAACAGTAAATCTAGATGGAAACAGCTGCATAAAGTTACCAGCCCAGCTATACGAAAGGTATCAAAGAGAAGCGTTTCAGCTAAGAGAGACCTAATTTTCAAGGTGAGAAAGAAAGAAATCGCATGGACAACTCTGGTCTTTGTGTGCGAAAAGAAAGAAAGGCATCAATAGTTCAATATGTTTGTCTTCCAGTAAATTCTTAGACTTCAAATATTATATGCACTATACTATGCACAAAACATGGAATGATTGATGTGGTTTATCTAGAGCAAGAATGTCACTTTGGCATTGCGGAACTAGAGTTTTGCTTACCCATGAAAACTGAGCATTGCGGAACTTGTTGTTAGATCCAGCTAAATGTGCGTCAAGAGGTCTTAGCTTTAGCAACCTTGGTGCAGCAATCTTATTTCCCATGCGACCCTCGAAGCCAGTCTTTGTTTTGCCGGCCTTGTCAGTGAAAAGGGTACAGATAACGATCAAATATGTGTCAGTTGTACCAACTATCCATTTCCCATCAAAAGTAGCATCCACATGAGTTACAGGCGCACCAAGGCCAGGGAAAGCCGTCTTAGCCTGCCTCATAGTGTTGCTAGAGTAGAGTCTAATCTTGCCATCAAGAGAACCAACAACAATTGAGCCATCACCAGTGGTTGCAAAGCACTGGAAGTTAGTCCCTCTAGAAAACTGATGCCCCTGTGCCCAACTCAAGACCGGGGCATTGGCAGTAGCAAGATCCTGAACCATCCCATATCTGTCACGCATATCCCACCTGCAAAGCCTATTGTTATCTAGACCGAGAAACGTTGATGCAGATGGGTCCAATTGAGCACCTTTACCATCGTTAGTAATGTCACTCATAGAGATATCCACTCCATCTTTCTCGAACTTCCACTCGGAAATAACCTTGCCGGTTTCAATGTCAAGCTGATGGATTCCTCGTGAATGAGGCGTTTGGCTCATGGGACTCATGAGCAGCATGTTAGTCTCAGCTCTCATAAGAAGAGCCTTTCTCGGAGCTGAGTGAGCCCTATCATAACCAGCCTCAAAGTTAACACAAACACCTTTCCCTTGAATCCCTTGCCTCATGTTCTTAAAAACCTGAATACCAGAATCTCCGACAAGAAAGCTATTATCTAAAGCACCTAGAGCTAAGCTATGTATGCCCTCACTAGTAGCTTCTTCAAAGGCCTCAGTCAGATCCTGTGTGTCTCTCAACGGAGTTGCAGATTGAGGGCTGTTAAGCAAAATTTCATCAGCATCTTCCCACATGGAATCATCAGCAACCTCAGGATTCGCCCACCCAATGAAATCTTTCCCATAGATTTTTGCCTTACTTGCCTCATTGAACTCAACCCCATAATTGTTCTCAAACAAGCAATTGTTGTAGCTGCTAACAAAGGAGGCGAAATCTTCGCTGGTGGCGAATTTCAATGCCCAAACAGCTTTAGCAACGAAATCTACACGGCGTTGGTCTTTGTAGGCCTTCAATTGCATTTCATCCGAAACCTTTTCTCGGATCTTGTTGCCGACCTTCAAAATCCACCACTCCTTTTCCTCATCTCCGTTCGCGTCGTCGTCTTCTTCATCCTCATCTACTTTGGAGGTTTTAACGAAGCAATAAGCGGTGAACTTCTCAGCCGTGACCCATTTGGCTTTGGGCGTATTACCATTGATGTAGCGGAAAAGCCGAGTCGAGTTCTCGGTAGACGGAGATGAGTATTTCAGCTTCAGGGCATTGAGCTTTGCCTCCACGTCGTCCACGTCGTCCAGTGATGAGGGAGATTTAATTCGGCGGCGACGACCACCGGAGGAAGATGTCTCTAACGTATCTTCCCTCGAATCCTCGAATTTGTCTTCCTCCTCTTCTCCTTCTTTTCCTTCTACATATTCTTCATATTCGTCCTCATCTGATTCACAGATCTCCAGATCTTCATGACTGTGAGCTGCCCCCATACTCGAAGAACCCTCAGTGAGAGAGGTAGAGAAAATCTGGAAATAACGGCAATGAGACTCAAATGAGTGAGAGTGGGAAACTGTTGTAGAAGAAGAAGGAGAAGAGAGCGCAAGTTCGAAATTTGAAAAATTAGGGTTCTCTAAAGCATGTGTTGCTGTCTGTTCCCTTTACACAGATTGGAGATAACCGGCTACAGCCAGTAACCAGATTTTGTAGCGGATCTGCACTATTATCAATTACCGGTTACAGTCAGTGAAACTAGATAATGTAGTTACACTCTCAGTATTTATTTTCGGGGGCTATAACGATTCCGTTCATTAAAATTCAAAAAACAAAAATGATGGTTTCGATTGGTCAAGAAGATCATGAAGACATCATCAATAAACAAACTGTTTGAACAAAAGATAAAGAAAAAAGTGCTGATGACTTTACGTTAGTAACTTTTAATCTGAGTTAATACATTTTTATTAATACTGAATTAGTAAAAAATACAATAATTACAACCAAAATATGTTTTGGTCCTTTACTGATATGGGACAGAGGATCGAAGCCTCTCTCCCCCGCGTCTGAGACGAAACCTAGATCCCAATTCTCTCCACGCGTTCAAGGTTTCTCAGGTGAGAATTTCTCACCTTCTTTTTCTCATATTTCCCCTCTCGATCTGAGTTTTCCCTTCGTTTGTTTCTGTAATCTGCGTTGTATCTTTTCGATTGAACTGAGATATTGCTTGATTTCTCACATTGAGTGTTTCTGAGAAGAAAAGAAGTAATTATTCTGGTAATATATATGTCTCATAGTTTTGTGTTCTTAAGAGAACCAAACTCCTCGAAATTGATTCGTTAAAAATACATACTTGATTTTTTGGTTTCCGATTTTATTGATTGGAAAATTGACACTTGGAGTACTGAGCTACCTGAATGCCAATAGTTATTTATTTGGCTATAAAAATTTCGAGACTTTACTTGAATCTTAAAGAACCCAATTTGATCTTGAGCTGTGAATTTGTAACAGCTATGTAAATACACTATCTGGTGATGTTCCTGAATTGTTAATAGCAACCACCATTGTTGTAAAGCTCGTAAAAATTTAAGCTTTGTTTTTTGGTTTTGGCTTACATGAGTTTGTTGGTGTGATTTTATCTTTTTTGCAGGTTCACATCTGCTGTAAAGTTACGAGGCTTGGGGGATATATACATATATAACCAGAAGGAACTCTTTTTTAATCATGGAGACTCTATGGAACCTTTTGTATCTGCTAGAACCTGCTCCAGCTACTCTCATTGTGACAGCTGTCACGGTGACATTTGCATCTGCTTTCCGTGCACTTAACTATGGGAAAGAGATGGAGAGAAACCGTGACTTCTCCGAGGCATCCATAACACTCGATAGCTCTCAGGCTTTAATGATCCCGGTCATGAGCTCTTGCAGTTTGCTTCTCATGTTCTATTTGTTCTCTTCTGTCTCTCAGCTCCTGACCGCTTTTACAGCCATTGCCTCTGTCTCGTCTCTCTTCTTCTGGTTATCACCATATGCGTTATATATCAAGTCGCAGCTTGGTCTCTCTGATCCCTTTGTTTCCCGCTGCTGCTCTAAATCCTTTACAAGGACGCAAGGGTTGCTGCTTGTGGCTTGCGCCATGACAGTCGTGGCATGGCTCGTCTCTGGTCATTGGGTGTTGAACAATTTGCTTGGGATCTCCATTTGTATCGCGTTTGTCAGCCATGTTCGTCTTCCTAATATCAAAATATGTGCTATGCTCCTCCTGTGTCTCTTTGTATATGACATATTCTGGGTTTTCTTCTCTGAGAGATTCTTTGGTGCTAACGTTATGGTGGCCGTGGCTACCCAGCAAGCATCGAACCCGGTTCACACTGTGGCTAACAGTTTGAATCTTCCTGGACTGCAACTGATCACAAAGAAACTGGAGCTGCCAGTGAAAATAGTGTTTCCAAGGAACCTATTGGGCGGTGTGGTGCCAGGTGTGAGTGCCTCAGACTTCATGATGCTTGGTCTTGGTGACATGGTAAAGATAAAAAAACCCTTCTTTTTCTTTCATGACAGTTTCTTTTGTCAGTTTATAACGACCAGGAAGATAAAGATCTGATGTATTTTTAACTGTTTTGTTTGTTCCAGGCTATCCCCGCAATGCTTTTGGCTTTGGTCCTCTGCTTTGACCATCGAAAAACAAGAGATGTGGTGAATCTTTTTGATCTGAAATCTTCCAAGGGACACAAATACATAAGGTATGCACTTCCCGGGTACGCCATTGGCTTGGTCTCGGCTCTAGCTGCGGGTGTCTTGACCCACTCACCTCAGCCAGCTCTACTTTATCTGGTACTTGTTTTAACCGAAGTTTTGTTGATTGTATTTTTCCAGTTTCAGTCCAATGTTCGTGTTGTAAATGAAGTCTTCTTTTTGTATTTTCTTGAGCTCGATGAGTGTGAAGTATGATGAGATTGTGATTTTTAATCCATTTTTCGATGTGGAGTATGTATAGGTACCATCTACATTAGGACCTGTGATCTTCATGTCATGGCGGAGAAAGGATCTTGCGGAGCTGTGGGAAGGATCAGCATTATCTAATCCCATTGAGAAGTCTCATGAAATAGAGATCTGAATTTATTAATCAATCAAGATAGCTCAGAAACATAAAACCAAAAACACAAAGTTGTTTATTAGGAACGATATCAGATCAGGTTTGTATTCTGAAGTAAAGAAAAAAAAAACAGAAGGGAGATGTTATCTTTAGCAGTAAGTAATTATATCTCATTTATTGCATTATATACCTTATATACAGCCAAAATATTCAAGGGAGAAAAATATATACATTCAAGTTCTTTCTTGTTTGCACCCCCAAAACAAAAAAAAGTTCTTTCTTTCTAGTTTTTATATATAGAGGACTAGAGGCCTTTTATTAATTATTAATATTAAGATACATAAATTGACTAATATTTTATATTTTCCTCTCTTTTAAAAACTAAGCAAAATTCTAAAACTTTGTATCATCAATGTCCTAGTCATCCTACATAAACTGATTGAGAAGACAATGGCCAAAGCAAAGGGAAAATACTGATGAGATTTGTAAGAAAAAAAACTTCCAAAGTAGACCCAGCTCTATATAAGTGTGAATATTATTACGTCAATAAGATTTTCCAGAATTAACAAAAAGAATAACAAGCATTTCTCGGATCAACTGTTCTTGTCTTCACCGGATAAGGAAGTGGAACAATGTAGCACTACAAAGTCCGCGTCGAAAGCACTCAGTGATAAAGTAAAATTTGACATGCGATTACATTAAAAATACCAAACTCTCTCTTGTCCATTTCTATGGATGTTGCTATCTAATGGAAGCCAACTATATGTCTCGCTTTCTCGTTTGACTTTTATTTCTTTTAATTCTGTTCACTTATATACATGCATCTAAGTTTTGCATTTATCAATTCAGCACTGCTCGATATATAGTCAAATTTTCTACATTTGAAAACGAAAAACAAGTTCTAGATTGGATCCATCTCGATAGGCATAATAGTTACCTCGATCCACTGAGAACGTACCGTCCACATTTCTACAAGCTTAACATTAGTCTAAGATTCAGTATTATAATACAATGCACAAATATATATTCCATCGCCACCACAATTTGTTAAAAACTTTATATCAAAATTAGTGTGGTTCTGATCTAAAATAATACATTTCATATACTCATTGTTAAGTAGTTTTGAGTTAGAAGTTTATAAAAGTTAACATAGTATAAAAAGCTTATGGAACGTCTTAACATAGCACTAGAGCCTGAATTTGACATAAATTAGATAGTTTGAAAGTTAAATAAGGTTTTAGATTTAAAATCTCATAAACTTAACACAACTAAAATTATTTGCTGAACACAATTGGCAGAATCATATCTTAAGGAAACAATGGAATCTGATGTTTGTTTGGCTCATTTGGCCTTGAGACTTCTCAAATCACCCTGTTTAAAAATTTTCTTGCCGTTTGAGGCTTCTTAACACCATGTTTAAGTTTTAGTTCTTTTGGCATAAAAAACTCTAATTACGTAGGTTAAGTTTCGTTTTGGTACTAAGTTTTATATTATTGGATTGTAGTGATCAACTACGCATTCATATTAAACAAAAGGTATATGTTTTTAATAAAAAATTTGGTCAGGTTCAGTAAGCGTGAGGTATATTATAATTGGTATCTAATAACAACACATTTTGTGGAGAAAGCGAATTCGAGTTTTGGCAAAGGAAAGGAATGGTCATATGTGTCAACACAACGTGCCACTTTTCATGCAATAACATGCAAATTAGGTCAGCCATTAAGAATAAAATAAGTTGAATTTTCACTATATATGATAAAGAGTAAACGGGAAGGCACAATAGACCACTATCCCACTATGGGACCGACCAACCAATACACAATTACAAAATTTGGGTTTTTATGTTCCAAGTTCCAACCACTCCAATATGAAGCATGTCGTCTAAGTGCGAGTCCATACTATATATAAGCGATCAGCGATACACAAAGTGAAAGAGCTTATAAAATTAAATATCATATTAAAAAAAAGTCTTGGAAACATAAGAGATATCATGTTGTCGAGATCATTAAAGATGAAAAATAATAAGATGGTTAGGGCGAATTTATTGAGCGTGATTATGTTGATGCATGCAATAGTTGGGCTTCCATATCATGTGAGGGGTTTAAGCATGAGTTACTACATGATGAGCTGTCCTTTCGCAGAACAGATTGTGAAGAACAGTGTTAACAATGCTCTTCAAGCCGATCCCACTTTAGCCGCAGGTCTTATCCGTATGCTCTTCCACGACTGTTTCATTGAGGTAATTTACGTTTTCTCTTAATTTAAGTCTTTCCTTTACGTACGTACAAGAACCCATTAGTTTGGAAAAGCTAAGTTATTTTTTTGGTGTGTCTTACGAAGGGATGTGACGCTTCGATTCTACTCGATTCAACAAAAGACAATACTGCGGAAAAGGATTCGCCTGCGAATCTGAGTCTACGTGGCTACGAGATCATAGATGATGCAAAAGATAAAATCGAGAAAAGATGTCCAGGAGTTGTATCTTGCGCAGATATTGTTGCCATGGCTGCTAGAGATGCTGTCTTTTGGGTAAGCTAATCAAGATTTGATCACTTATTAATGATGATATTTTTGTACTTAATCAAAAAGAATTGTTGTTAATTAGGCTGGTGGTCCATATTATGACATGCCAAAAGGAAGATTTGATGGTAAGAGATCGAAGATAGAAGATACAAGAAATCTTCCTTCACCATTTCTCAATGCCACCCAACTCATTCAAACTTTTGGCCAACGCGGCTTCACTCCACAGGATGTTGTTGCTCTCTCCGGTAAGTTCTTTATGACAAGCCAACAACACATTAGGTTCCTTTCCATATATATAATATTATAACAGTATGATGTTATTAAATATAAATTTGTAGTTATTAAGTAAAAACAAAATTACAAGATTATATAAAAAAAATTATCTTATATGCTATTGGAATTTGGAATCCATGTACATGCAACATGTTTTGGTTCTAACTTAACTGGTGGAACTATATATATATAGGAGCACATACACTTGGAGTTGCGAGATGCTCCTCCTTCAAGGCTAGACTTACCACCACAGATTCTTCACTGGACTCTTCTTTTGCAACCACTCTCTCTAAAACATGCAGTGCGGGTGACAATGCAGAGCAACCATTTGATGCCACGCGCAACGATTTCGACAATGCTTACTTCAATGCGCTTCAGAGGAAATCAGGAGTCCTCTTTTCAGACCAAACCTTATTCGACACTCCAAGGACCAGGAATCTTGTTAATGGCTATGCCTTTAACCAAGCTAAGTTTTTCTTTGATTTCCAACAGGCCATGCGCAAAATGAGCAATCTTGATGTCAAACTTGCCTCTCAAGGTGAGGTCCGTCAAAATTGTCGGAGACTTAACTAGCCTAGGCCAAGTATATGTATGATTTTTGTATCAATGCTCCCACTTTTAATTCTATCTCTACTATTTATCATAGGAATCATGATGAATTAAACTCTTATGATACCATGTAAAATAGATTGTGTACCCAACGTAATATGTATGTTAGTTGTATTGTTTGTGATATACTTCAAAGCGTATGAACTTTGTCTATGTATTTTCTATATGTGAAACCTGAAGGTCTTGTATTTCCTTATTTGGTCTATCAGCTTTTATATCAAAACTCAAAAGCATATTGATCATGTTTGGGTTTTAGTTTTTCAACAGCATTCATATAGCTTTTCATATAAAAATTACAAACCCAACCTGATCCTCGTGTATTCAATTAAGAACCAATAATACGGAGCAGCAGAAACTAAAACCCTCAATAAATACAGGAAAAATACAAAAGACAGAGAAAGCATTCGTGTTACGAATATTATCTTGGACCCGAGGGGTACTCGTTTTCGATGTGGGAAGTGGAATCGCCGATGAGCCAGCTGGTGTTTGGTTGATTATAGTTTTGGTAGTTAAAATCTTGTCTGAACATTTCCTCCTTTTGCCACTCTTCCCATCTCTCAGCTAAACCATCTCCTTCAAGCATTCTTACAACTTCAGACATTTTGGGTCTTTCCATTGGTGAACTCTGAGTGCAGAGCAGAGCTACTTGGATTAGCTGCTCCACTTCCTCGTCTATGTAATTACCTTGAAGATCAACATCTACTAGCGCTTCCAATTTCTTCTCTTTCAACAACCCTTTCACCTGTTGAATGGTACCAAACAAACACCCATAATTAACACAAATAGAAGCAACACAGATCATGGACTATACATGTGAAAAACACTTATATATATACATACCCAGTCTAGTAACATGACATCATCGTCATTCGCGAGCCGAGCAAGATCAAAAGCCCTTTGTCCAGTAATGAGCTCAAGAAGCATGACTCCGTAACCAAAGACATCGGTTTTTTCTGATGACTTTCCTGTAGAAAGGTACTCAGGGGCTATATGACCAATTGTACCACGCACTGCCGTTGTCACATGTGTGTCTTTGTAGTCCATGAGCTTTGCGAGTCCAAAATCCCCAACAACTGCTTCAAACTCTTCGTCCAACAATATATTCGCAGCTTTCACATCTCGATGAATGATCTTTGGGTCACAATGATCATGTAAATATGCAAGCCCCCTTGCCGATCCTAACGCAATACGCTGTCTCTTTGGCCAATCAAGTGGTTGCTGGGACTCCGGACGTTCTACGGAGAAGATAGAGTATAAGATTAACAGATCAACACTTAAAGAAAATCAGATTCCCTTGTTAGTCGACTTAGCAGAGCTCAGTCTATTTACCCTCCAGCAATTTTCTCTACCTATGATATAAACTTGAAATATTACCAAGGCTCAGACGTTGGGAAAAAAAGGGGGCAACTATTTGGAAGGAAATATTGCAGTAATTAGGAAGCATAGGAATAAACTACAAGATGAGAGATACCTCTTAAACAGGAGGCAACACTTCCATTAGCCATGTAGGGATAAACAAGCAATCTCTCTGTTGGAGTCATGCAAAATCCACGAAGCCGAAGCAAGTTCCTGTGAACCGCCATGCTGATCATCTCAACCTCGGTCTGAAACTGCAGTTCGCCTCCTTGAGTACGCTCCTCTTTCAGTCTTTTAACTGCCACTAAAGAACCATCGGCTAACCGTCCTTTATAAACTTTACCAAAACCACCTCTACCCAGTATGTTCCTGTTGCTAAAATTATCGGAAGCAACTTGTAGTTCACGCAATGAAAACCTCTTGAGTTGTCCTAAATGAACCTCTGGGTCCTCTTCAGCTGCAAGAAGACAATAATAAATGTTACAACTTAGCCAGAGAAGTGTCTATGAGAAAACAGGCAAAGCAAGTTTCACTAACCTGGAACATCAAAGAAGTGATCTTGTGGTTTTTTCCTTCGCCACCAAGCAAGTGCAATGGCCGGAACAGCAAATAGAAGTGCAGCACCTGCAGCAACTCCTCCCGCAATTGCTCCGGTAATTCTGTTACTCCCTGCAAGTATGAACAACTTCTTTCTTAATACATATGACAAACAGATCGGCTTTGATTCTTAAGAAGTTGAATATCTTTTAGTGAAAAAAAAGCATATTGAAAGTACATAGAATTCTAATTAGAATCATTCATCACTGGCCATTGACTTTTAACTATATTCTGCTTTCACAAATTCGCAATGCTATATCTAATCTATTTACGATTATAACTTATGACTCATGTATTTGTGATTGCCATTTATCTTATTGAGAAATAATTAAGCTAGTTCCAATCCAATAACAGCCAAGGTAGATAATTTAATAAATTATAAAGTAAACACGGCCGCATATATCACGAAATCAGATATTATGAAATGTTAAACAAGAAATAGAAAACCCAAATATTCAATATGAAGCTAAATGCATTCTGCGCTAATTGTCATACTCTATTTTATTGGTCAAAAAACAACTTAAAAATATACTGGCTATGTTATGTAATATTCTTGAAGATAACCTCCCATACAAATTATCAATGCCAATTAAGCAATCAAGACCCGAATGTATAAATGTGCCAGTGGATGCGAATGGAACTATTTTGACAAAGAAAGAAAGAAAGTGAAAGTTTTTGTAATACCCGACAACTAAAAACAAACAAAAAAAAAATATATATATATATATATACTGCATTCAATAGATACTGTAACTATAAAAAGGTGGAAAAAGCAACAAAAACACCTATAAATACAATGACATATACAAAAAAAAAACCTGCAGGTGATGGCGGTGTAGGAGAGATAGGAGGCGGCGGAGCTGCAGGAAGGGGAGTCAATTTTGTGTTGGCAAAACTGCAGATAACTTTCAAAAGTTAGTTAATCATTCAGACATGTCCACCATGTCCACTTATAATTAAATTAGGAGCAAGAAGTGAAACCTGATAGGTGTGAAAAGTGAAAAGGAACCATTAACAGGAATGTCTCCAGTGAGAGGATTGTTTGAGAGATCCCTGCATTTCAAGTGATATCATTTTCTGACTTAGTAACAAGGTTGGCCAAACGATAATCAGAAACAAGAACACAAAGGAATTTGGGAGAGACAGAGTTACACTCACAGAACTTGCAGTGACGAGACAGCAGTCAAAGACCTTGGAATTTCTCCAGATAAGCTATTGTTATTAAGACGCCTAAACACCGATAGCAAAAGATCATGCCATGAATACGTGGACACATAAACCAGTAATGAGTTATTGTGCTGCTAATTAAAAACGTATTAAAATAAGAGGGTTAAATGTGAGTGCATACAAGAAACGGAGTTTCTGTAGTCGGCCGAGAGTTGATGGGATGGGACCGGTTAAGTTGTTTAAGTAAAGATCCAAACTCACCAATTCCGTCAAATTTCCAAGCTGCTCTGGGATTGTCCCAGTAATGTTATTACTATAAAGCTCCCTGTTATTACAATTTCTTTAATATTAAGTTTTACATAAGATAAGAGAGTTATAAACAATATGTATTGTCAGCTATAACTTCAATATAACCAGATCTGGCATAAGTGCTGAGAAACAAACTATAACATGCTATTTATAGGCATATACAGAAAATAAAGTGCTATTTTGTAGCCTTAATGAAGAAAGATAGCATGCTACTTTTTACCGGGAAAAATGACATGTCTAACATGCTAGTTATCAATTATCAAAAATACTTGAAAGTTCAACATACTATATAATCATAGGTCCGTGATATATTGTACCCAGTGTGTAAAGTTTTATGTCTACCAGATCACATAACTTAATATTACGCTACTTTATATGCATAACATTATGCGGCGGTGTTCAACTTCCCACCCATGTCCAGAAGTGTTCTCGTCAAGCACCGTACCATATCCATTAGTAACCTACCCAATAAACTTTTGACCCGTTCTATCGGCAAAGAAACTCCTATGTTTGCACCAATAAACTATCACTTAGATATGTACTCTTAATGAAGAAGATGACTTACAAGTACTGCAAGTTTGGAAGCTGACCAAGTTGCATTACGAGCTGACCAGATAGATTGGCATTCCCAAGGTCACTGAGCAAACATGAAGACCAGGATACTCTTAGTAGATGTGAAAAAAAAAATGAATCATCTTGGCCAGAGAAAGAAAGAAACTTACACACGTGTAACACTATTGTCACTATTGCAAGTAACATGAAACCATGTACAGGGAGTAACAAGAGTAGCATCCCAACTTTGAAGCACCTTGTTAGGGTCAGCTAAGCTGTTTTTCAGTGCACTCAGAGCATCACCTGTGGTTGACAAAAGAAGAGTCTTGCAATTAGAGTAAGATGAACAAATTAAGAGCAATAACTCAGGTTAGCGCTGCGAAACAAGCAACAAATAAGTTCAAGTTCCTTCTTTAGGCGTGAACAAAGGATCCAGTAATGGAAAACTAGTAAGTAATACAAGAGTTCTCAGGAGCTAAACTAATCGAAGCAGCCAATTCTCTGGTTCTTAAAAAGGACTTTTCGAGTCAAACTATAAATTGAGCAGAATGAAAAATAGACGACAATGAGAAAAGAAGCAGACCTTCGGCGTTGCCCGCTGTTCTGAGAACCAAATCGAAAACCAGAATCAACCAAAAGAAGCCAGGGATCAATCGTCGTTCCATTTTTGCCAAGTTCCCAGATTAAAAACGAACCCTAAAATTCTCCTTCATCAATAATCATTCGAGAAAGATCCAGCACGATTTTGACTCACCAACTAAAGGATCTCGAATCCTAGATTAAGCAACTACCACACAAGGACACCCCAAAAACAACTAAGATGATGAAATGAAAAATCAAAGTAAGAGAAAAGCCCTCGACGCGTATTCACCCGTTGACTTAATTTGAAGAGAAAACCCCCAAATCGAATACCGAGGAAATCAAAACCAAAAAAGCTCAAAGCTATAATTTCAGATATTGAAACGCCGAGATCGCTGACCGTTGACTCCTTTTCTAAGAGAGAAACCGGAGACTTAAAAGATTGAGAAAACGAAAGAGGAAGATGATAGATAATATTTCGTCGAAAAATACTAAAATAAAAAGGGTGGAAACAGAGAGGAGAAAGAAGTTTATCGGAGGAAGACGAATGAATAAAAGTAATGGAAAATGTTTATTATAATTAGAAGAGAAGTATAAAATAATAACGAAAAGAGAGAAGACAAGAATTTTCTCAGCTTAATAAAGAGAGTTTTTTTTACTTGTTGCTTCGCTTGAGTTGGTACAGTGAAATTAAAAATGACATTAATGCAAAAGTAGATTGAGAAAACGACAAAGGAGATGATGACGTGGAGCATTTCAAGCTATTTAGCTGGTCAAAGTCAAACGCGCACGACTTCAATTGGAATGATGTTTGGTTATGTTTCGTAGTACCATATGATAAAAGCATGATGATGGTGAACGGTGATTACCATCATCATTAATTCAGCATCATGACACTCATCATATTCTTAAATAAGCCCTCTGTTTCAAAATCGGCCCAGCTCAGTTTATAACAGGCTCTTATTTTTCTGTGGCCTGGATAACACTAGTCCAGTTTTTTTTTTTTTTTTTTCTTGACAAAAATGAAATAAACAAAAAACATTACATTATAGTGTAGCAGGTTTGCAAGATAATATCGGACCATAAAATAAAAAATAGAAATATCTGACCATAAAATCAACAATGATATGTAAAGACAAAAGTTAGATAAGAGAACTCGCTATTGTATTTTCTTATACAACATTTATTTAGTATAATATTTCATTAGTGAAATAGGATGTGCAAAGATATGATTGGACATAAATAAATATCTTTCTTGACTGATATAAAGAATACATATATATTTTTGTTTGTGCCTTACAAATTTATTAAATAAATCATATTCATATTAACAGATAGAAAAAAGTACAAAAAATGAATAAATATAAATAATTCAATACGGACGTATATACTTATTTTAGAAACAGAAAAGTAAAAAATAACAGCCAGTCACTAAAGTGGACTATTTTAAAGGCCCATAGATAATGAGATGTAACGCCAAATCGAACCCGTGATCTGTGTTATTTACATAAAAAAACATATATATACTATTGATTTATATTGAGAAGATATTGCACTTTTCTCCTTCCACCTTTGGCCTTTGGCACTTCACATGCACCACCATCCATAGTGCCCTTTTCACGACATAAGCATTTGTGTTTCTGTCTGTTTACAAATTCTTCTTCTTTTTTTCTATTTCCCAAAAAAAAAAAGAGTAAAGAGTCGTCGAATTTAGAGAGAGAGAGAGAGAAGTAAGGTATCTTTCTTCTTCCATCTTCGTTGTCATCACCACGGCTTCCGGTAATCATTGGACACACATGCAATTTCCAACTTTTCATTCTTCTTAATTTCTCTTCGACCATCAAAAAGTTCCATTTTAGTATTCTTCTACTCGTTATTATCTGAAGCTTTCTCTCTTCTTCTTCTTCGTGAATTTCATCATGGGCTTTTGAGTCTCTGAATCAATATTTAATTTCCCAAAAAATTACGATGGAATCGGAGAAGCCCACAGTTTTGAGTTCCATGACCAGACCTTCGTGGGCATTCCTTCTCCTTGTTTTCACCGTCTTAGCGATTCTCTCTCACCAAATCTCCTCCAATTCCTTCCTCCCTCTCTGGATCCCTACGTCCCTGCCTCTCCATGACCCGGTTTCCTGCTCCGGGTTTTTCCTCCACGACCCGTCTCCGCGCCGGATCGTCATGTCGATTACCGATTTCGGCGGAGTCGGCGATGGAAAGACGTCGAACACGGCTGCTTTCCGCCGCGCCGTACGTCACCTTCAAGGTTTTGCGGCCGAGGGTGGGGTCCAGCTTAATGTCCCGAGTGGCACGTGGCTCTCCGGAAGCTTTAACCTCACCAGCAATTTCACGCTCTTTCTCGAACGCGGCGCTCTGATTTTGGGATCCAAGGTAATTCAATTAAAAAACAACTCCAATTCAATTCTTCTTCTTTTTTTCATATGGGTTAAATTGGTTAATGTGAGATGATGATTGCTCTGTGAGAGTCAAGAATTGGGTTTGTGTTTTGCTTTTAGAACTGTGGGGTTCGTAGAGTTTTGGTTGGTAAACACTATAGATTACGCTAATCACGGTCACTAGTGCAAAGTCCCTAACGGACCCACCAGTGTTTGAAACAGGAAAAGTTGTTTTTTTTTTCCTCAGTGGGATAGTCTCAAAAGTGGAAATCTTGATCTGTTGTTAATCATGAATTACTGTTTTGCCTGAATCAGTTCGGATTGAGTTGTTAAATGTGTTTTTCATGTCAATAGTAGCTGTAGAAAAGAGTCTGGGAAGAAGTGAAAGAGACCATTTTTAAAAACATTTATAAGAGTCTTAAGAAGAGTTAAAATGACTAGACAACTTTTGTCTGAAGCATGTTGATGTACGAATTAGATCTATTCAGATTACTTCTGTAGTCTCCTCCATTTATATTAAACTATTCTTGAGTTTTGCTGTCATGTGCCATCATGATACCAAGGGTGTTTTCTGTTTTTGATATTGATTTACGTTTGTCTGCTAGTGTTTTATTACATTTTCATGTGTCATGTAAACTCAAATAGTCAGCTGTACAAATGTGGATCTTTTATTTATTACTTTCTTTGCTTTATTGTTTACATGAACTGATCACGGTTTTACAAATATCAATATCTTTGTCTGGGATCATGGTTTGATAGGACCCAGACGAATGGCCGATAATAGAGCCATTGCCTTCTTATGGAAGAGGGAGAGAAAGACCTGGTGGTAGACACATTAGCCTCATTCATGGAGACAATCTCACTAATGTTGTCATTACAGGTACTTTGCTCTTTTATTTATCGGCAGTACGGTTCTTTAAATAATACCTGTTCATCATTAACCGGAGCTTCTATGGATTTTTGGGTTTTATAAAACAGTTTGGCCTGATGGTTAGAACATCTGTAAAGATAACCCTTTAATGTTTGTTTTGTCCTGATGGTTCAGTGTCTGTACTTTGATTCTCTGTGATGAATAAAAAGCTAGTTTCTAGTTCTAAAATAATCACAAAATTTACAGGAGAAAATGGTACAATCGATGGACAGGGAAAAATGTGGTGGGAGTTATGGTGGAACAGAACATTGGTGCATACAAGAGGCCATCTTATTGAAATCAAGAACTCTCATAATATCCTAATCTCCAATCTCACTCTTCGCAACTCTCCTTTCTGGACAATCCATCCTGTTTACTGCAGGTTCTTAATTACTTCCAACGACTTTGCTACATCGTTATGCTATGTCACAAGTTTCCATCGTTCCATGACCTCTACGACTTTGTTTTGCAGCAATGTTGTTATTACAAATATGACCATTCTTGCTCCGATGAATGCCCCTAACACCGACGGTATAGATCCAGGTAAATACTCTATTCTTGCCAGAGTATTACCCTTATCTCGTGTCTTTGGCTCTGTAATCACCCGTATATATATAGTTAAGTACCTTATCTTATCTCTGTGAATAACATTGCAGACTCAAGCACCAATGTATGCATTGAGGACTGTTACATCGAAAGCGGCGATGACCTTGTAGCTGTGAAAAGCGGATGGGACCAGTATGGAATGGCTATGGCACGTCCGAGTTCGAACATCATTATTCGAAGAATCTCTGGAACTACACGCACTTGTTCAGGAGTTGGAGTAGGCAGTGAGATGTCTGGTGGGATATTCAACATAACCGTGGAAGATATTCACGTATGGGATTCCGCGGCGGGGCTACGCATAAAAACAGATAAAGGGAGAGGAGGCTACATTTCTAATATCACCATTAGAAATGTGTTATTGGAGAAAGTGAAAGTTCCCATTAGATTCAGCAGAGGCTCAAACGATCACCCGGACGATAAATGGGATCCTAAAGCTATGCCGAGAGTAAAAGGTATATATATTAGCAATGTGGTTAGTCTGAATTCAAGAAAGGCCCCGATGTTGCTTGGTGTTGAAGGCGCATTGTTTCAAGACATATGTTTGAGGAATGTTACGCTTCTTGGGTTACCGGAGTCAGAGAAATGGAAATGCAAGGATGTTTCTGGTTATGCGAGTGACGTTTTGCCACTGGCATGTCCACAGTTGTTGCAGAAGAAGGGTTCGATAACTCAGTGTAGATAGATAAGTTTTGAGTCTCTGAGAAGTTTAAATGGTGATTTGATTAGTTTTTGAGATTTTCATGTGATGACACACAGGTGGCCATGAGTTTGAGCTTGTTTTTTTGGGGTGAAGATTCATGGTCACGTTAAAGCAGGATGTCATCTTGGTTCACATTTTTTTGTTCTTTGGTTGTGAATTTTTTATTCTTTTGATAAATACTTTCCTTTCTGTAACAAAATGATATACTTTGAATTGTTCAATAAAGATTCATGCATATTCATTTTTACCGTCATTGTCTTCCACGCCGTTTGTATTTCACCCACTACAAATATTCTTTCATTTAGGTGCGCGTCGTTCCTCCTTGGTCAATAAATTAGTTTTTTCACTTTTTCTACATTAACGTATAGAGAGTTTATCTTCGGATGAAAAATAGTTCAGTCATATGCCGTCGTTTTGTATATTGCGATTTGCGAACTGGATTGTTAATCTTGACGAAGAAGGCCATGTCCTCCTCAAAGCCCAGCCCATCTGAAGAATTAGTTCTTGTTCGAACAAATTGTAATTTTTTTGCTAGGAAAGCTCGAACAAATTGTATTAACACTAGCAACAAGCTCTAATCGTGTGCTGAGCATGCACTTAATAAATTTTATAAGAGTAACATCTTAACACCGCCCGGAATTCAACAAAAGAAAGAAAAAAAGAAAGAAAAAAATTGCATGTTTTTATTTTTTTACTCACATGCAAGGTACAGATCATGGTTAAAATTACAGCTTTTAACTTACATAGACGTATGTTATGTTTATGTAGAGTACTATACGTCTATATTATATTGTTTCACGTTCGGGAAAAACTAGATGACCGCAGCGAAATAATTAATTATATATAGAAATTTGGTTTTAAGCATGTCCGTAAAGCCAGCAAGGAGAAAACGATTTATCCGATCTCCAATACCATGCAATTATGTGTGTAGTGATTCTAATGTAACTAACGCACTAAAAATATTATATAACTTATGCTTTCTGTTACAAGCTCCCACAAAGATCCACAATTTCAAGCTTTTCAAGTTCCAAATACATTAGCGATTTGGTAATTAGTACCCAATTATGTTATATATGCATTTAGTGGAGTACTTACATCTCCTTGTCTATCAATACGCCATATAAATTATAATTATATGTTATATATATAAATAGATTTTTCGGAATCTCTATCAAACAGCAAACCATATATGCATGCATTATACTAACACACGGGGCATATATATATATATATATATATGCATATGTATCAATTTAAATCAAGTGCTTGTAATACACACACACATATATATATATACCTACATATATGATAAATAGACTTGTTAATTGGATAAAAACGAGAGTTATAATTGATAGGAGATCCATATGAGAGTTTAAGGAAGCCAAAAAGCTGAAAATGATACCTAACCCTAATGATAGATACCCTTAAAATCGCTGAGTTGTGATAGTATAACCTAAGAAACTAATCCAACTCCAAGAAAATCAATGAAAGTAACATTTTTCTTCTCACTATCATCTCCCATAGATGGTCCATCTTCACCTGAGTTCTTCTCTTGATCTGGTATAGCTGCGTGAAATGCATCGTGATGATCAACCAACAACTCTTTCGACTTTCTCCTCTCAAGGCTAAATTCTTGGCGTACATTCGAGATCGATGAAGATCCAAATTGAGCATCTCTACTAGGTGCTGAAACAAAAGCGTAAGGCCAGAGACCACGACTCTTATCCTTTTGATACCTCCATAGCCCAAACTGCGATCTATTAAGCATTGTAAGACTAGAACTAGGGCTCAAAATATTATGCCAGCTGCTTTGATTGAACGTAGAAGTGGCTGTGGAAGAGAAGCTTTCACGTTTGCGTCTAGCCATGATGACATGGAAATGGTTCTTGACGGCGTTATCGGTCCTCCCAGGGAACATCCGGGCTATAGAGGCCCAACGGTTCCCCTGGATCCGATGAGCTGTAAGCAGTCTCTCTTCTTCTTCCTCGGTGAAAGGTTTCTTGGTGATGTTTGGATCAAGTTGATTATACCATCTCAATCTACAGCTTTTCCCTACGAATCCATATATCGCTCAGTTATCAATAAAACACATATATTGATCTAATACACAAAGATATATATATATATGTATATACAAATATGAGAAAGATTTATATATGCAAATATATATGAGAAAGATCAAGATATAAATATATCACCTGATCTTCCATAGAGATGTTGAGCAATGAAATTCCAGTTTTTGGGACCATATTGTTTCACGAGTTTCCGGAGGTTGTCATCTTCGACAGGTCTCCAGTGACCTCTCTGGCAACTAGTTTTCTTATTGTCAAAACTGTTGCTTCCTCTAGACATTTCCATGGATGCTATCTCTATCTCTACCTATATCTTCAAACGGAGTAATTGTTGAAGAAAGAGGAGTAAGATAGATTAGTCTAAGGTGAAATGATGAAGAGGATGAAAATTAAGATAGAGATAGAAAATAAAATAAAAGGAATAAAAAAGAGAGGGTTGGTCTTGGTTCTCTTCTCTTCACTAGGGTTATAGATGATAAGTCACTTTTCTTCTGTTTACAAGACACCCCCGCCTTTTATATAAAATCCTTATTATACTCATCTCAATAAAAACTTTTTTTTTCTAAAAACAAAATTATTTCTTTCTTAAAAAAATGATTTCTTTCTAAAAAAAATTATTTATTTCCACTAGTTCAAGCTTCATAGATATATACAGTACATACATATGCATGATCCTCTATACTTACTTATTTACGTTCTCTCTATATGTTTGTAAAAAAATATTGTTTTGAATCGCTATATCCCGCGTTCCAACGAGATAGGAGTATAGTTTGATGTTAATATTTATGAACAAATTAAATATTTAATACAAATAGGATGAAACACTTTATCTTTCATAGATCGAGTTCGCGATGTGTATGCATCTTATGGTATAAGAGCAATCGTTTTCAAAATAGCTACTGGTCTTGATGATAATGAACTTCAAACAGTCTTACTAGCTAGATTTGTTCACAACCAATTTGCATTGACGATCATTGTTAATATTTTCCTAGAGAAATTTTATTTTGTTGTATTCCACCTTATTGTTATTGTTCTGATTACTGATATGGTGAAATGAATTTATATTTTCGAAGATGCAAGTAGTTGTTGTCATTCTGTTTATTAAAGAAAAAATAAACCACAAGTCTTTTAGTAGCCATCATGGTTGCTGTGAATAACATGATATATAAGTGACCGACCTTTACAGGTTAAAATAACTAAGCATAATTTTAATATTTCTGCTAGACTGGTTAGTGGTTAGTACTTAGCATGTTAGATGGTGTTGTCTCAGTCCTATCGGATTCATTTGGGTTTTTTTCTTTCTTGGATTGTATTTTGGACACAATAATGAGCCAAAGATCTGAAATTTTTACTACAAATATGTTTCTGCTACAAGGTACCTCCATTGTTTATGTAGGTTAAATATGAATCTGAGGTACAATATTACGAGAGCAAAAATATACAATTTTTTTGTTAGGTTAGATGTCCCCGTTAAGTAAAGACATTGTTTCCGGTATTTCACTTTGACGAAGTAAATGGCATGGTCAAACTAGGGGGCAAAGAATTTCTATAAATTTCTTTCTACAGATACACACATTCAAGAAATTTTCTCTTATATTAATTTTTTTTTCATGTTTTCTTTATCGATAAAATAGTAAATATTTAGAATCTGGATTTTTATTTTACCAAGAATTTATTTGTTTTTCCCTTTGGAAAAAGAGAGGTCCTGTGTTAGCTCCAAGAGTCAATGGAGAACAAAACCCAATTAACTAAAATACCACCTGGAGAACTATATATGATCAAAATCTTTCTACAAAAGCTGATCAAATCTCCAGTTTTCACGGCCTCTATATATACTACAACATTTTCGAATCAAGAAAGAAACAAAATCCGTGAACAGAGAAAGTTAAAAACCGATCTGATCAATGTAAGAAGCTTGTTTGAGCTTAATGAAATCCAGGATGGTGGCTGCATCACCATGCCTGACCACTCTCCCGTTCTCCATATACACAGCTCCATCTGCATACTCGAGCTCCTCTAACCGATGTGTCACCCATAAAGCCGTCACATCTCCTCCTTTCTTTGCACTTATCAGATCTTTCACAGCCTTGATCACACCCAACTGCAAAAGAAAACAATATTTTAGATGATACTTTATCAAATGTGCAGATTACTTTTGTTCCAATGTCTACCATACAACAATATCAAAGTAGCTCAACACACTCATATGCTGATGTTGGAAAATCATTAGAGATTGTCTCGTGTGTTCCATTAGCATTTTGTTAGGATTCTCAAACCTTACCTGGTCAGATTCGTCTAGGAAGGTTGTGAGCTCATCCAACAATAGAACTTTGCAAGCTTCGGCTAAAGCACCAGCAATGGCGACTCTTTGTTTCTGACCACCACTGAGAGTTTGAATCGGTCTCTGGAAACAATAACAGAACCTAAATCTTTAGTTAATGGTGAACTAGGGACCATAAACAATCTTTGGTAAATTCAATTTACATAAGCCGACCTGCATATAATCACGCATACCAACTGCATCCAAGGCTGTCATCACCCTAGACTTAACTTCTTCTTGACTCATGTCAGGATACTTGCCAAGACCAAATGCTACATCAGCTTCTACAGTAGGCATCACTACCTGCGATGAATAAGAAGGTTTCACATTATGATTTACTTGAAAGCGCAACTGTCACTGACTGGTTTGTCTCAGCAGTGGCAGAAAAAACAGATTGCTTAGGATCATAAGATGATTTCTCATGTTGTAATTAACGAAACAAGAACACTGCTTTCTTTTCAAACAAAAATAAAGATTTGGATTAAGGCTGTCTATAGACTACATGATATAGGCATAAGGAAATGAAGAAACTAACAAAGAGGTTTAACAGCAAGGCGGCTCAAACATTTTAAAAAACGACACAACTCAGTAAGGAAACTTCACAATAAGATTAAAAAAAAAAGCACAATCCTTCAACAATGAAAGAGCAAGAAACATAACCTGATGATCGGGATTCTGAAATACAAAATTTTTCGGCTTTTCCACAAAGACAGTGCCGCTGGTTGGAGTCACTACACCGGCTAAAATCTGCAGAGTTCCAAGCAGTTTAAGTGGCATTTCTTTCTAATCAGTCTAACCTACACATACAAACAGCATTCAAAGATTTGACTTTTCCCTAATTTATGCTATGTATCCCAAGATCAGCTACTTCTTTAGACTGTGCGATGGATGATAAGAGCTAAAACCCACAGGAATTGACCCATAGTGGCCATAGCAATCATAAAGTGGCTTAATTTAAGGATAACGAAAGCTACATTTAAACAAAAGCTATAACAAAAACTTGAAATGAGAAGTTAAACTGTCTTTGTTCTGCGAATGCGGTTTCCAAGGAAGAGAGAGAGAAGAAAGACCTTCAAAAGTGTAGATTTCCCACAGCCATTGGGACCAAGAAGCATCCATAATTGTCCAGAAGGAATCCGAAAGGAACAATCCCGGAGAATAGGGACAGAGATCCCCGGTCTTGTAATGGCAGAGAAACAGAGATTCCGACACTCGACGGCGACATCATCGGAGACTGCGATTCTGCCATTGCCAGAAGGAGAAACACTCGATATAGAGCGAAGAGGGAAGAGGCGAGGAGGAGAAGCTGGAAATAAACAGTGGCAATTCATAGCTCTTAATGATATTCACGAATTCGCTCTTGAAGTTGCAGCTTCCTTCTTCCTCTCGACCCCATCAAAGAGGTCGATTGGTCGAATAAGTACACTAAGATTATACATCAACACAGAAACCGCATAGACTCTAGCTTGTCCAATCCCGATTTTACAATTTTCGGAAATTTTTTTTTATCTATGAAATATTAAAACCGATTGAATAGCATTCGGTTTGGTTCGATACGGACAATACCATGATACGGTTTAGTTTTTATTTCTATTTTGCTTTCTTCAGAAATTACTCAATTAGTTGAAAGAATCAAAGAATTTTAAAATTTGGTTTACATTCTTTTGTTTTTTTTTTTTTTTTTTTTTTACATTTTTTTGTTTCGATTAAGATTTATCCATGCATAGAGGAACGAGAACTAAAACCAACGCGGTCAGGATTTTTCTATATTGATTTTCACTTAACCAACCAACTTTATGGCTTCGTGGTCTCAGCTCTCGTTCTCTCAAGTCCTAGTCTCAACACTATTTAAATCCGTATAGAGATTTGGGACCATACCATCTTGTCCTTGCATATTACTTTATCAAGTTAAATTTATACATGTTCTTCGTATATAGTTCTTAATCAATAAATATTGCTTTTGACTTCAAACTTCTCACATTCTAGAATTTCCATCACAAGATTCACAACAAGAAAAGACAGTAACAGCTTTACAAAACGTGCTTGATTACTTGTGGTTAAAAAATATCATTGTAAATGGTAACTAATCTCCTATGAAAATCCTTTTAGCAACAAATCTGCCACAGGATCTTCGTTTTTCAATTTCAAAAACAAGTGATTATGTCATAATGAATTTCCTTCCTTGTATAATAGACGAAGATTGTAAAGTATACTGTTTAGTTAACATCTATCCTTTAAAGTATTCAGATGTTTACATAAAAGAGATACAAAAACAAAAACAAAAAACCCTATAGGTATTCAGATATTTACATAAAGAAGTTACAAAAACAAAAAACAAAAAACAGAGAACAAAAGAGTTTCAAAATTAGAAAGGAGCTGAAGCAATGTCCCAACCATGAGGACTAAGAAAGATTAATCGTTCATCTTCATCATCATCACCCTTCATGTCTGAACATCTTCCTCTGTTCTCCTGGGCCCTTAAGCTCTCTTGCGTCTCCTGCTTTTTTTTTTTTAAACACCATTGATTAGTTATACAAAGAAGAAGAAACAACCTGAAAAGATAATAAAGTAAATAATGAATACCTTTGTGAAAATATCCATAGCTTCCTCAAATGACTTGGTTTTGATCACATACATTGCTTCCTCTCGAGCTCGTTCTATTTGATCGAAGTGCAACGTCATGGGCTCTGTCTCTATCGACGATTTTCTCTGTAACATTTCCATTCTAACTTTATTTAGCTTCAAAACAAAACACGAAATATTGAAGAGTCTCTCAAAGTTTTTTTTTTATTGGTATTATAAAAGAGAAGATTGAATATATTGATTCAGGAGATGAGTCCTCTAGAAAAACATGTCATGTTTAAATAGTAAGCTCGATGTGGGGACGTAAGTGAGAGATAAGACGCAGTGATCCGTAACGTGGCGTGGTGGGGCAGGTCAAGGCGGTGGAGTGGGACACGTGGTGAGTCGAGAATGGCGGTCACTAGGCACGTGTCGGTTTAGCTTTTACGATCAGCCGTCAAAACTGGAATGCAATTTCGATTTGCATGAAGACTGTAGATAACGTAAACGAGAGACTTCTACTTCTTTCGCACGATTTTTTGTCTTGATATTATTTTTTAATTAGAGTTGGTCGGCGTATTGTGATATTTTCTTGGAATCTATTAATACGTGGAAGTATTTGTTAATATTTTTTACATTAGGTTTGACGGCCATCCGTTTTGGACACATTATTAAACAAATATATATACAAAAGCCATTAACTTATTGCACGTATGTTGAATCTAATCAATGATATCATCGATGTTTAGTGTTTACAATAGTTTAATAAAATTCTAAAAATGTAACATGTACAGTGGTTAATCTTCCTTTAGGTGTGTGTATTATCAGCGTGTTTTAATCCGTTTTCATAATTTATAGTTGTCAACGTTAGGAAGACATTAGTTTTTTATATAGTAAATTTTAAATTTTATTAAGAGAAAATTTTATTATATTTTACTCAAAAACTGTTTGTTATTAAACATATTTTTCAAATATCTTAGAACTTAATTTCTATTACTGTTGCTGATGTTTTCCATTTTAATAGTTATATATACTACTAATCATGTAATATAAATTTTACACTTGAAATACACGTAATTGTAATTACTTGTTTGCTTACGAAATGCAACCAGCTATTTTACTTCTAATAATACTATACTTTTCCATATATTGTTAGTCAGATACTCCCAACAGCCTTATACAAAACAGATATGTAGACAGTTTTTTAAGACTAAAATGCAAAGCCTCTTAAGTAGAGCCTCCTTATAAGCAATGAATGCTTTTGGCTCTCTCAATTGCATCTCGCACCTTTCTCATCGGTTCATCATACAAGTAAGCTGGATTATCAAACTCTGATGCCAAGCTTTCTTCCCCAAGCAATGCTCGAAACGAGTCTGCCACAGATGAAGAAAGTGATTCTAGATTGTATCCTCCTTCCAAGAAGAATACACAACGCCCTCCACATACTTCTTTAGCTAACCGCTTTATATCTTTCGCCAGTGAGTAGTATGTTCCGGTCGTGAACTGTAGATTTGCTAGTGGATCCAGGACATGAGCATCATACCTAAGCAGAGATGATGCAGCAATGAGGCAAACAAAAATTTGTAAAATATGATGATAACAGTTCAAAGATAAACGGAAAAACTTATCTTAACTCACCCAGCAGAAACAAGAATGAGATCTGGCTTGAAACGTTGAACACATGGAACAATGATTTCTTCAAAAGCTGTTCTCATTGCAATATCACCTGACCCTCCAGGTAAAGGTAAATTTAGAGTGGTGCCTTCACCTTTTCCTTTGCCTATGTCACTGATTTTCCCTGTTCCAGGATAGCTTCCATCCTGCATTTTTAATTCAGACTTTAAGACTTGTGATCATTTTTTAGCTAAATAAAAACAGAAATTCATATAGGCTTACCTGATGAGTTGACAAAAAGAATATATCAGGATCTTCAGAGAATGCATCATTTGTGCCATTCCCATGGTGAACATCAAAGTCAATTATGAAGACGCGCTTCAGACCATATGCTCGTTGGGCATGACGAGCTGCGATTGCCACATTACCAAATACGCAGAAGCCCATTGGACCTTTTGGCACGGCATGGTGTCCAGGAGGTCTTATCAACGCAAAGCCAGTGGGAGGGTCCTTGCTGTTTATAGATGCTGCGATCTGAAACATATAATCATCAAGTTGCTAAGAAATCTATAACCATTCACAACATAATGAATCTAAAGCAGTATGCAGACTAACATGGTGAGACGAGACATCACCACTGAATCAACTAAAGCCATTCCAGCGCCTGCTGCGATAAGTGAATCTTGGAATGTCTGGCACAGAGAGAAGAGACTTGAGGCAGGAAAATTGGTTCTTTCTAGAGATGTAAACCGACGAGCACAAAGCAGTTACCGTTGAAGTGGCATATGTTGGCCCAGAACCTTCAATGAAAATTAGTCCTGAATCTGAAGCTTCATCCATTGCCTAAACTAAGAATGCCTTTGTAATGTATTGGTTACTTATGGAAATAAAAGTTGTGCAGTTACACGAGACAAGTGGATAACCTTCTCAAGGCCTAAGACATAAGCCTTTTCGTGAACATTTGCAATGTCTTCTATAGTCGCATTCTTGAAATTTACGAGTTCAAGAATCTCTGAGCCACGGAACTGAAATACACGAGGAACACACATGAGAATTCATAGATATATCATATGTAATTTTTTTTCAGGAAGTGTGACAGGGAGATCTTTTCCATCGAGGAAGCAATGTTATATATATATATATATATATAAAAAAGAATATTTTGCATATGAGAAGAAATGTGAAATTCTAAAAAAGGCAGATGATATCATATAGTTCCAGACAAGTGCAAGATGTGGAAGTCTCCATTTTGATTGAGAGAGAGAGATATAAAAAAGGATCATTTCATGCCTTAGGAGTGAGCTCATTCTTGTCAAGAGCTGTAACAATGGCAGGAACTCTTGCGCTGCATTCGGGATGTGATTCCTGTAAGCAAAAAGGATTACTTTTTAAAGAAGGATGTGCAAGAAAGGATTTTGAGAGGGACAGAAAGAAACCAAATATGTGTTAAGCAAGTAAAAAAAGAACCTTGTTATGACCCAGTGCTGCAGATACACAATAGATGAGACGAGCATCCGTTAATTGTTGGGTACAAGGTAAGAGAGGATCCTTCTCTGTACCAAACGAGCAACAAATGGAAGCTCCATTGGGTTTCACAAGATGTTTTCTCCATAAACCCATCCCATTCTGATTCTTTTTCCTGCATATGTTTCTAGTCCCAGAACTTCCACCACTTTCTAAGGCAATAAAAGAAAAGAAAAAATCCAATATAAGGAAAACCCAATGTGAAAGTTGATAAAAAAAAAATACACATAAACGCTTCCAATCTAGCAAGACAGATTTGGCCGATAGAGAAGGAAGAAGAGAATTACGAGGAACATAGAGAGGTCGGACGGTAAGCGCCATGAGCATGATTGTCCCTCAATCGAGCTCAGAGGTCGTCGGAGAAGAAAATTGGAAATAGAAAGAAAAAAAAAATGATAGATTTTCTTTTATTTGAATGGATATGCTTTTTTACGGTCAATTAAAGATTTTAACATCGTTCGAGACCACTAGAAACAGGTGACACTGTACCAAGAGAGCTAATTCATAGAGGTTTCCGCTTTAGTATTTTTTATTGTTCTGGACATCTACTTTTTTTGATAATGTATCTTACAAATGATCCAACCCAAATAACATTCCATTCCGAAAAGATGACTCCATAAGAGATTTGCAAACGGAAAATTAGTTTTTACATATAAAAAATAATAAAGAGGAATAAATCACAAGTAACTGAAACTTATGGAACATGAAAAAGAAAGCTAAAAAAGGTCCCTATGAAAAACTTTAAATTCTTTCCCCAAGCAGTGATTCCAGAAGAGCCGCCTCTTCCTCCTGCCCAAACATCCACCAGTTTACCACATTTAGCATCACTTCAACAAATAACTCTAAATTACAAAGTTCAGTTCATTAAATATTCTCTACGTACCACCAAGGCATTGAATTCGGTTTCCTCGTCTATGGCACTGATCACGCCTGGATCATCTAAAAGCTCCTGTAACCCCCATTTGCATACAAGTGTGAGCTTAAATCTTCATTTTATTGACCATCACAACAAAACATAAAAATATCTTATCTTCACAGATCATCAAACTGTAGCGGTTCAGTTTTTGCTAAACATCTCTTTATTAACCCAAAAGAATCGGGATGGGTCTCAATTCTCAAACAAGTTTCATAGGAGAAAAAATTACAGAATAGAGCTTCACTTACATCATCAGCAATTTGCAGCAGCCCATTCGGATCCTGCATAGATAAAAATCTTGCCATTTATCATACTGTTTTTTCTTTCTACGTTTAGTTCCCAACGATTTCATTATTTCATGAAACTCCCTTCTGCTACAGCATGGCGTAACTTTCACAATAAACAACCAAAAAAGCAAGCTTTTACCTTGGCAGCAACAAAGAGAAGTGGATCTGAAGGCGTGTAGACCATATAGTGTGATCCATCCTGAAACAGAATTTTTATTTAGACAACGAAAAAGGGGGCACATCAAAACTCTGAATTTACGTTCTACAGTTTACAAACCCATACATTTCACAATTACTCAACTTAGGATCCACAATGCAGCACTAAATAACTCATTGGTTCAGCCTCATGACACATTGAGAGATTGAATGTCATGTCTAGTGTTTTAATATATGCTATAATAGTAACATCTCTCCAGGAAAATGTTCAGACTACTGTAAAAGGTAACTCAAACATGTCAATAAGCAAAATGCCGAAAGCAATGGTATACCAGATGGAAACACGTAATCTCAATCCCTTCAGTTGGCAAGCCTTCAACATCTTGGCCATCATCTGCAAATAGTTGATGTTCTACACATTTAATGATATGACAAAAGAAGAACACAGAACTTTAAGCTATAAGTACATGATCAGACCCGTAAAAACACCTCACAGTTAGAATGGAGAGATCTAAACATGGAAGAAAGAATACAGATAACCACATACACTTTACTAAAGATGCAAGTTCACAGGAGCATGTTATTGATACCCATCTTTGTTTTTTCCAAGGTTTTCTTCCTATTTTCGTTGTAATCACTATAATTTAATTGAAGTTCAGCCAAATATAAAGCATGATATCCTATCTCCACCGTATATATGAAGCCAAAATCAATTAGTGAGCTCATTTAGAGCAGATGCTGGGGGATCTTAATCAGAAGAACAGTCGTCATGCATAAATATCAGGAGAAAAAGCTTGTTGCCTGTGCGAAAATCGAAGACATTATCTTCCGTGTAGCAAAAGCCTCCCCTTGCAGTGTAACAGAATCTGATTTACAGTGATCAACCCATTAGATACTATCAGATACAAAGAAACATAGGACTTAGAAACAGGACATGGTCATACCCGCTGTGTACTAGATGCATATGGATCTTTGCAAGAGCATAAGCAGCAGCAGGAAGAAGAGATTCAACCTCTTCATCACTGACCTAAAAAGGCAGAAGCATTCGGATAACGTGAACGAAGGAATTTATAAATAGAGAATGGCTATTCCACAGAGAGTGACTGTTAAATTAGCATTAAAGTGCTGAAAAGCATAGTGTTGATGCATCCAAAAGGTCTCTCTTTTAAAGCAACAACAAATGGAAAACAGAGAAAGATTCATGAAGGAGAAAACTTACAGCTGACCAACCATCTATATTTGTGCTCTTCAAAATCTGAACTGGCCTGAAGGAAGAAACGAATCAATCAAGCAGAAGCAGGTAAGAAGAAGTTGCTAAAATGATAAGAGAAGAAGAAGTTAAAAACAATAGTTACTCACGTATCCACAGGGCAAAGAAGCATACACTCCTCTCCTTTACTACTTGAAAATACTCTTCTTATCACACAGTCCAAAGGGCTATTGTTTGTTGGATCAACCTGTCTCACTCACAACCAAAAAACCATTTTTTAGAAGACCAAAACTTGATTATGACCATAACCAAAAGTGAAGCTGGAGGAAAAATTGGACTGACCACAGTGGCGATTCGCTTCTTAGAGGCCATAAGAACCCTACCAGATTCATCAATCACGAACCCAGCAGGTGGTTTGGGTATGGTAGGAGGAGAGGAAGAAGAAGAATCGGAACCATCATCATCATATACCTCAAGAGCATCTGCATCTCGCAATTCCCAATCCTCCTTAGGATTCGCAGTTTTCCCCTTTTTCTTCCGTTTCTTGTTCGCACCACCACTACCACTAGCACTACTAGTCGAGGCTTTCTTCGTCGGCTGTCCCGTCTGTGGATTCAAAGCGGAGGTGATGAGGAGACGAAGATGGCGGGTGTTATTCGGGGATGAGACCGATAACGAGACGGGAAACGAAGAAGAAGGGTTCGGAAATTGATGGATATTGGAATAGGAGAGAGTCGAATTTGGTGAAGCCGAAGTTAAGGAGTATGAAAAAGCCATGGCATAGAAGCGAGAGAGACAGAGAGTGAAGAAAAAAAAAGTTGTTGATTTTGGGTTCTCCTTGAGAGAGGGATATGTGAACAAACAAATTGGCACCTTTATTGCATATTGTAATTTTTTTTTCTTGAAAATTTTAATTACAAAATTTTATAAGCTTAGAGCACAAACTGAAATTTGAATGTAATGCAGAATTTACACTATGGAACAATCTCCAATTCAGATTCAGATAAGAAAAGTTATCTCTTACATCTCTGTTTGGCAAGGTGTCTACTATAAACTTGCATTACATCTCATCTTTTTTTTTTTTTACCAAGGATTATAAACTATATATACATAACATTTCTCAATATTCATATACTTGAGCTTGAGCAGCTTTTAGCGAAGCAATTTCATCGCAGTCCGCTGGAATCCACCCGATGGATTGTTTCTCATTATCATAAATTATCATTTGATCTTGCATCGATATATCTGCCGAAATCAAAGAGAGAAAAAAGGGAGTTAAGTATGTCTAATCATGAAACCAAGATCCGGATATTACCAAGAGAATGTAATAAGACTGTATACCTCCGATGAGATTTAAGTTCTGGAGACCTATTTCTGTGCCATTTAAGATTCCTAAACACACATTCCCCTTCATCTGCAACCAAGATTTTAAAAACCATATTTTTAGCATTGTACAAACCAAGAAAAAAAAAAGCAGAAAATTTGAGAGAAAATGCTTACAGAAATGATGAGATAAGCTTCTGGGGGTATTTCAAACAGAGTTTTGGATCTCCAGCCAGTTTTGAAGCTTAAAGCTAGAGGCTTGAAATACTTCTTCACTTCTTCAATGCTCATGAAGGGTCTACGTCCTTGCCAACATAGAGGAAGCGTGTGATCATCCCTTGCTTCTTTCAACGGTTTTCCGCTTAGCTCTCTTTTTAGCTAACCAAAACACAAAAGACTTATATGAAAAAAACCGTGTCTATTCTCTATTAATTATCGTCCACGCATTTTTATAAGTTCCTTACCAAGTATGTTACTGCCTGGTACGCCTTGGAGTTGAAATACGTGTAAGAACTGCCACTATCAAAGACTGTCAATAGATTCTTCAATCCCGTTGTTCTTCCCCCGAATAGAAGTTCCCCTCCCATCGCAGGAGAGTAGTGTTTTCTGAGAGAACAATGTTTGCAAAATTAGAGCAACAAGAGAGAAAAAGATTGATCCGGTTAGCAAAGAGAAGAGGGTAAATTACGAGTTTTCACGGGCCATGGGTGTCCAAGAGACCCTTGAAGAATCATAAAGATCGTTGCCAAAAAACAGAATTCCTCCACCTAGACTGCTTAAGCAATGACCGACTACATTCTTCACATAACCTTGGCTATGAAGCTGTGACAGAATGCTTACTTTTCCCCTACCAAGCCCCAATACTCCATCTAGAGGATGATGACCCGAAGCCCCTGGGATTTGATCGTATCCGCATCTGTTACACAGAAACACCAATGAGGACTACTAGCTAGTAAACTAATTCCTTGAACCAAAGTGAAGATTTTTTACGTTCCAAAGATATATACCCGAGAGCAAGACGAGGGGTGAGCCGGAGGCCTTTTGTATAGTTCAAAGAGAAGACATCTCTAACAAGAACACCAAGAGAAGATCCTCCATCAGCATACTCAACCTCATAGTCACATTGCTCTGGAGTCTCACATCTGTGGTTACCATTGAAATGCAACGCCTTACAAAGTGGGTCATTGCAAGGAATTAGATCGTTGCTAGGCTGATAAAGTGGATGAGGTGCCTGAAACCAAAAAAAAGAGGTTCTCAAATTCGCAAGATGAAAATATGACATTGGATCCAGATCTAAAAAGAACTAAAGATGAAATTTTTATTATTATACCTCCAAGCAATGAACACAAGGAGCATCACATTGGAGCCAAGTGAGATCACTACCAGTGTCAAGATCAAGATAGTAAGGTCTTGGTGGTTGTCCTATGTTGATGGTAACATTATAATACCTGTTCCAAATCAGAGAAAAAAAATAAAAAATTTAAAGAAGAATTTCTGAAATGAGAGATTTTTTGGGGGGCAAAAAATATAAATACCCAAGAGGATAGACGTTCCCATGGACTGGGAACACGACTGAAGAGGCAGCTCTGGTGAATCTGTCAGCCGCTTTCCTCCATCTGAAATCAACTGCAGACGAGAAGCCCAAAACCAGAGACAACACCATCGACGCAATTATTAAACGGACATTCATTTTTTCCATCTTCACGGCTTGGTGGCGAAATAGTAAAATTAGAGAATAATTATTTGTATTAGCCAATCACGTGATGGTGATGATGAAGGTGGAAAAGGACAAAGGCAAAGACATTTACGAGTTGAAGATATTTATTACAAGAATTGTCTTTTTGTTGAATGCTTAAAATGGTTGTTCGCATTAGCAAAGAAATAATTTTTATTTTGGTTTGCCATAAGTAGACAGGTAAGGATTCTTGGCTTAAACCATAGGGCTTAAGAAAACAAAATATTCCAGGTTGTTTCTTGGTTAAGGTATATTGCTGATGAGAAAGAGTAGAGCCCAAAGTATATCTTGCAGCTGAAGTAAACAATCTTGTTGACATCTTTCTTCTATTCAAATTGACACAGAACAATGAGTGAAGAAAGCACCTTTTCACATCATCATCAGATCCACTTGTAGCTTTCTGGCAACGAATTTACCATTACAGAAGACAGTGATAAATATGAATGCTTAAACAACATCGTCTTCTTTTGGCTATAACCCCATCAGAGGAAAGCTACAAAGAATGAGAAAAATCGAACGTAGTTACCCACTCAAATCCGGTTATCTCATTCGATTTCATCTTCATCGTCCAATCCATTTCTATAATTAACAAGCTCTGCATCAACCTTGGCCTTTCTAGGGCTCATCAACACAAGCTCAGCTAGTCTCCTCCTAGCTAAATACACATCATTTGGTTCAACCAATTCCCCTCTCTTATACGCCTCTCTCAGAAACACCGTATGAAGCTTCCCGTAGTTTCCACGAGTCGATATGTAGAATATCCCCTGATGCTGCAAAAGAAACTCTTTCAATTTCTTAGGCAAATTCATAACGTTCCTGAAATGAGCGATCCTCTCAAGCGTGATCTTCTTCTCCACAGTCAAAGACAGCAATTCGTGGATGCAAGCAACAGCTCTCTTCTCCAATCTCTTCTGAGCTTCCAACGATCTCAGATCGTAACCCGAGATATCCTCATACGGTGACCAATAAGGAAGTCTCTGCCATTTCCAAACAGCGATTCGGAAATACTTTCCGATCTTAAACCCAGGAGGAAAGTTGACGACGAAGGAGAATCGAACATCCTCTGCGTCGATTCCTTTTGACCTATACTCAATCTCTCTAACTCTCTCAATCGCGCAAACCGATAAACTAGCTTCTCTATCCACAATCTCGATGTACTTATCTCGAGTCTCTTCGGCATCAATGAGCTTGAAGAACTCTGGGTATTTCAGAATCACCGAGTACTCGAAATCTTCAGGGAGACCGAACTCCGTTCGAGCAATCCGGACATGTTCCAGACGGATCCGACCCGTATTCGACATCATAACGAGTTTCCGCAGCCGGGTCACGGCGTCGGGTATCTGTGCGAGAACAGCTTCGTGCTCGTGGCGGATTTGATCCAAAGCCTTTCGGGTTAATCGACAATAGAGGATTCTCTGAACAGGGTGCTCGTAAATCTCGAAAACGTGTGGGAATTTGAGGAGGAAAGCTCCTGGCTCGTGCTGCTTGAAGCCGAGGCCTAAACGTCGAGCGAGCGTGTCTAGGAGAGAGATTGGGATTGTGTTGTTGGGCTGAGAGAGAATCAGGCTGTGAAATTTGACGACTTTGCGGATTTTCTTCTCGACTTCCATGTAGTTGTCGTAGCCATGGTCACGAACTCGATCCTGTTTTGTTGGAATGGAGGTCGATTGAGAGAAGGGTTTGACGAAAATTAGATGGATCGAAGGAAGAAGAAGAAGCTTCGTCGCTAGTTTGCTCTTAGGGTTTAAGGTTATTGAAGCATTTCTCAGAAAAGACTTCATCTTTTGTTTTTGGAGCTCCAAAAGCGAGTTAAGGCTGAGTCAGTTAATTTCAGTATCACTTCTGTGTTTACACTAGGTTTGGGTCGGAAACTGAATATCGGGTCGGATCCTAGACTGATCCGGCTTACATGATTGGTGAGATTTCACATGTACATCATTCCAGTAGAAAACTGGAGAATCCAGAAAAGATGTTGTAACGTTTGTGGTGCGTCTCTCTGCCTCTCCATTATTTACATTTTTACAGTCGCAGAGGAAAGACGCAAATTTTAAGTAGAGACAGATTTTACGAATGAAACGATGACAGTAACAGCATCAGGTTTACCACCATTGTAACCATCATATCCTTCTTCTTTAGCTGCGTCTGCAAACGGCGTACTCTCTGTCTCAGATCGTCCCACCTCTTGTGCCTTTGCAGCCACCAAATCTGCTATTTTCTGCTACACCGTCCAAGCATTAATCAACCTTATATAATCAAATCCCCAACACCAACAGATTGATAGGCATTTCATCTTAAACCCAATTGATAACGAGCAAGAACCGAAACTACTTGGCCAACCAAAAAAATAAATGAAAGACAATAAGAATTCAAGACAGTGAGCACCTGAGGTTCCAAACTCTGTTCTAGTGACCTGCAAACTATCGAAACAATATCTTCCTCGTACAAATTGTCAAAGAGTCCATCAGTTGCTGTGATCACAACATCGCCCTCTTCCAGATTCACATGGTAAACCTGCAGATTGTGGAGAAAGACCACATATTGTTACACATATTTTAGTTTAGATAAACCATTCAAGAGCGTCTGCTACTTAAAACAAGAAAACTCTTTTCATTATTTACTTCGTACCTGTGCAAGTTTAAAGATATCATTGCCTTGCGTAATTTGCAAGGGAAAACAAAAATGATGAAACATTGGAGATGACTTTTGCAATACTGTGCCGTCCCTAATAACCATGAATCCTGAGTCTCCGATATTGGCAATGTGGAGTTCCTACAAAAGTAAGTTTATATGATCATAGACTGACTATCACCACGCTCATTTATTATTACCCAAAAGGAATACCAATGAAATATATATGTCTCACATTATTGTCAAGATGAGCAATCAAGGCTGTCGATGATCCAGGGGACTTGATCTCATTGACACTTCTATGTAGAATTTGAATCGGATCACTTATCTTAGCAGTTTCATCAGAAACAATCTTCTGACAGTTGCTCATGAGTTCTTGAGCATACATTCCCTTATTGATTCCTGAAAGATGAACCAAACATATATTAGGCAAGAACAAATACCAAGTGACTGAGTTTCTGCAATTTTTTGAAAACTATGTGAAAAATACTAAAATGTACCTTCAAATGACCACTGAGAGACTCCATCAGCAATGCCTATCCAGTTGTGGGGAGAGATAAAATAAGCATCTTCCCGACCTGCCAATGCCTGGACATGATTATTTCTAAATTACTAACCACTTAACATAAATATAAGGATTTCAAAATATTAAATATCGTCAGAATGTTAGAAATGATGTTTTTGAGGTGGTGGGAAATGAGATCGTGATTAAAATATTCGAAGATATGATCTTAAGATAGCCTTGTAGTAAACTATTCCTTTATTATGGGGTGTTAATAATTAATATTTTGACAACTCTCCCTTACTATAGTTTATACTAAATGGAACAACGATATGTATTTGTCTAATAGGGTCCAAATCCAATTATCTTCACTAAATCTCTGAAATTGTAAGATTTTAGAAAGCAGTTTGTGAACGATACTTGCATAAGCTCCATATACCAATAAATAGGCAGCAAGCAATTGCAAAGTAACTACTTGCACCTGTTGAAAACAGGTGAACTGCAAACAGAAAGAATAACAGGTACCTTAAACGGGTTTTGGAGGGAAGCAAAACCAGAGTCCAGGTAAAATGCTTTGGACACAAGTTCTTCCCTGTTTAGATGTCAAACATCCAAAAAAAAAAGCATGCTTTTATTAAAGCTGCAATCTGATTTTCCTAGCCAGGTATGACTATATACATATACATATGATATGCATGTAAATCTGAATCTATGTAAGACCGTAGTACAGGTTGTTAAGCATTCATAAACACAAGAGTAAAATATATCAGTTGCTAACCTGCCTGCGGCCCTTTTAATGGATTCAAGACCAGCCGTTTCTGGTGCAGGAAGTGGAAGATCTTCGCCTTTTGTGTCATTGGTAGACTTAGATATGCTACCATTATCAGTTTTTGTGTCCCTCACAGTTTCATCTTCTAAGGTTGAAGCCGCATTTTCTCTTTCATTTGCCTTCATGAATGATAACTAATTAGAGTGGTGGCACTAAATACTGTTCAACAACATTCTAATGTGTCTTTCCTTCTAACACCTGTTAAAACTACTTTAAATGGTTTAAAATGATAACTTACCACCTCAGAAGTATCAATTACAGGCTTTTCAGTGATCCCATCAACGCTGCGATGTGTTGCTTCTGGTTCAACTAAAATATTCTCCTCAGCTTCAACAGTTTTCATAAGGTTTTCCTCAGACGTATCAATTAAAGGCTCTTGTACGATCTCACTAATGCTGCGATGTGTTGCTTTTGAAGTTGAAATGAGTTCATCAGGAGACACAGCAAGTGTAGCTGTTGGTTCAACGACAAGCTTCTCCTCAGCTTCAAAAGTTTTCATCGGGTTTTCACTCACATCCAAATTGTCACCAAGTTCAAAAGTGGACTGTGGACCATGTTGTGAAGTAGATGATCTAGGTCTAGCTTGAACCTCCATAGCATTTGTCTCACGGTCTCCTATTTCATTTACTGAACCTGTTTCCATGACTTGAGAAGGAAGAGGCTCTGCATTATATGACTCGACCGTGATTTCATTTTCATTAATTGGCTCAGACTTCCCAGAAACAACAGCCTTTTCTTCAGTAGAGCCACTAGGAATAGCTTCAGCCACACTAACCATGGAGGACACAATAGCAACTTTGGCTTCAACTTTATCTTCTCCCCGCGAGACATTCACTGAAGCTGAAGTGTCTTTCTTTTTCTTAGTAGGAGAACGAACCCTTTTACGATCCTTGATTTTGATGACATTGCTAAGATTGGAAGGAGCTGTTTCTTCGGTATTAGAATTGACAGATTTTTTTTTCGCATCAGATTTTTCCTTGGGAGCACCCTCGGATTCAGCAAAAGGATCCAGATCTCCCAATGTATGTCCATCTTGTTTCCTTGAAGCATCACTGGCTTCCTCTGCTATCTTAGCACGTTGCTTCTCTGCCTCCACGCATCTCGCTTTTTCTTCAGCCTCGAGATATTTCTCGATTTCACTTGCATCCCCGAACCGGAAGACATGGCTTCCATCCTTAAGCTCTGCAGATCCAAACAAGTAGCTCTAGCTTAGATTTCAAAGTAAAAATACACTTTTTATTTCTTAGCACCGGAAGCCCTCATCAGACATTTTGAAAGTAAGGGAATTTTCACGTTTGATACTCGAACATGACGTAAAACTGGTGATAAGCTAGAGGTTGAGGCTTCAGACACTTGAAAAATTAAGGGAGAAAGCTAAAATTCAAAACTTTTCCCAAGACACTAGACTGATTTCGGTGAGGAAGAGAACACAAAAGAAGAAGAAGAAAATAAAACACGGCTTACGAGTGCTGGACACGAGATCGAACTTCTCAGGAGAAGAATTCGACGGTGGAGAAGACGAAGACTGTGAAGGTGAAACAGAATTAGCCAACTGTAGCTGTGAGGACAATCGGAACTCGGGAACGGAAAATCTAACCCCACCAGCAAATCTTCCCAGTGGACGGTGGTGAAGAGAACAAGGGAAGATGAGAAAAGGAGGAGGTTGGAGAGAAAGAATCAAATGATCTGCCATAACTTAAACATTGAAGTCTGTCTATTGTTACAGATGGTTTTACACTTTAGACTAAAGATGAAGCAAAGCACTTGAAGATGATGATGATTGGGTGACGTTACAAAACCGGTGGTAACCCTCTGTTTCAATCAGATGTCTTTCGATTCGTACATACAAAATATGTGGCTACTGTTTTTTTCTTCTCTTTCATAATTTGACTATAAAAATCTTCTCTTTTCTATCCTGTGGCGAAACCAGTCGTCAATTGAATCCCAAGACCAATATCAGCGGCGATGGTGACTCTAAACGCTTCTTCTCCTCTTACGACGAAGTCGTTCCTACCGTACCATCACGCTCCTCGCCGTCCGATTACTTTCTCCCCTGTTTACGCCGTTCATTCGACTGACCCCAAGAAATCTACCCAATCAGCCTCTGCATCGGCCAAATGGAGCTTGGACAGTTGGAAATCGATGAAAGCTTTGCAATTGCCGGAATACCCAGATCAGAAGGATCTCGAATCGGTTATACATACACTTTCTTCTTTTCCTCCTATTGTATTTGCCGGTGAAGCGAGGAAGTTGGAGGAGAAGCTTGGACAAGCGGCTATGGGTCAAGCTTTTATGCTTCAAGGAGGTGATTGTGCTGAGAGCTTCAAGGAGTTCAATGCTAATAACATTAGGGACACCTTTAGGGTTCTTCTCCAGATGGGTGTTGTTCTCATGTTCGGTGGCCAGTTACCTGTTATCAAGGTCGGTTTTTTATAACTTAAAACACTCGAATAACTAACTCTCTGGAGATTAAATTCTGTGAGCTGATTGTGAGTTTTCAGGTGGGGAGAATGGCAGGTCAGTTTGCGAAGCCGAGATCGGACCCATTCGAGGAGAAAGATGGCGTGAAGCTTCCGAGTTACAGAGGAGATAACATCAACGGCGATGCTTTTGATGAGAAATCGAGGATTCCTGATCCTCATCGGATGGTTAGAGCTTATACACAATCCGTGGCTACGTTGAATCTCTTGAGAGCTTTTGCTACTGGAGGTTATGCAGCAATGCAGAGAGTTAGCCAGTGGAATCTTGATTTCACCCAACATAGTGAACAGGGTGACAGGTCCAAGCTCCCTTGTTTTGTTATGATTTTAAACTAATTGGAGTTATACTGTGTTCTTTTGTCTGAAGCGTTTTTTCTTAATTTCTGGTGTTGTGACTAAAACAGGTACCGTGAATTGGCCAATCGAGTTGATGAGGCTTTAGGATTCATGGGTGCTGCTGGACTTACCAATGCTCATCCGATCATGACTACTACTGAGTTCTGGACATCTCACGAGTGCTTGCTGCTGCCTTATGAGCAAGCACTCACCAGAGAGGATTCAACATCCGGGCTTTACTATGATTGCTCCGCTCACATGCTTTGGGTTGGAGAACGAACTCGCCAACTTGATGGCGCTCATGTTGAGTTTCTGAGGGGAATCGCTAACCCACTTGGAATCAAGGTATCTGATCATCAACTCTCTCAGTTTGGTGAATTGGAATAGAGTTAACAGTTTCCTAGCTTTGTTCGTATAGAAAGAGAAAAAAAAACACTGAAATGTTAAGTAAAAACCAATTCTTTTTTGTGGAATCTGTGTGTTGGTCTTCCCACTCAAGAACTGTTGGTAAACGATATTTAATTTCCAACCCCTACAAAGAAGGTAGAACGAATTTTTGTATGAGAAATGAAGAGATGGTGATTGGTGTGCTTTGATGCAGGTGAGTGATAAAATGGTCCCTAGTGAACTGGTTAGGCTGATAGAGATACTAAACCCTCAGAACAAGCCTGGAAGGATTACGGTTATAGTGAGAATGGGAGCTGAGAATATGCGGGTCAAGCTTCCTCATTTGATCAGAGCAGTACGTGGAGCCGGTCAGATTGTGACCTGGGTTAGTGATCCAATGCACGGAAACACCATCATGGCTCCAAGTGGGCTAAAAACTCGTTCTTTCGATGCAATCAGAGTAATAACTCCTACTTACTTCAACATATTTGCTCTATTGTAATATATTTTTCTTGCATATGATTTCATGTGTTTGGCCATTGAATTATATCAGGCGGAATTGAGAGCCTTTTTTGACGTGCATGATCAAGAAGGGAGTTTCCCTGGTGGTGTTCATTTGGAAATGACGGGGCAAAACGTGACAGAATGCGTTGGAGGGTCGCGCACCATCACTTACAACGATCTAAGCTCACGATACCACACTCACTGTGACCCAAGGCTCAATGCTTCTCAGTCCCTGGAGCTTGCGTTCATCATTGCAGAGCGTCTTCGAAAGAGAAGGCTCGGTTCTGGGAATCTTCGCTCGTCTATTGGAGTCTAGAGGATAAAAAAAACAATACTTGTCCGAGTTTGGATGTGTGTGTGTATAGAGGAGACTCTCTCTTTATTAGGCTGCTAAGTTTCAGTAACTGTTAAAGTAAAACACTATTGTTGTTTTTGTGTTGGGTTATGCTTTTGTCTTTACGCTTTACTTGATATAATGTGGTCAGTGGCCGACTTAATCAACCCGTAAATCAGTTTAATATTTAACATATAGTTTTGTCTCTTGATTTTTCTCTGGAGGATTCAAAGAATTCTTTTACGGCATCCAAAGATTGTAAATATTTGACCACGAAAAGTCTGTCCATTTTTGTTGTGAAATTTTGACTATAATACACATTCTTCGAACCTTTTGACAAAACCAAGATTTGGAAAAACTCTGAATGCGAGTTCACACCTGACACCACTCGTTTAGAGATTACGGAGCCACTTCCAATGGAGTCTACACTCTCCGCTTTCTCGGCGACAGCCATGGCAAGAACTGGTGGTGGTTCTTCATTACCTCTCCTCACTATTTCTAAAGCTCTTAACCGTCACTTCTCCGGCGCCAGACACCTCCATCCTCTGTTGCTCGCTCGCTCTTCTCCCGCCGTGCGACGTTTTAATGCCACTCGCTTTTCTTCCTCGAATTCGCTTTGTTATTCTTCCGCTTTGCGAAGCTTGGGAGCTGCTGTCTTGCCGGTAATCCGACGCCGGTTGCAGTGTCTGTCGAGCTCATCGCCTTCTTTCAGGAGTGTCTCAAGTGGTGGCGGCGGTGCTGGATTCGGCGGGTATAATGGTGGAAGCGGCGGTGGAGGTGGCGGAGGAGGATCGGAGAGTGGTGATTCAAAGTCAAAACTGGGTGCTGGGGCAAGTGACAGTGTCTCCGTTCCGTCGTCTGATATCATTATTCTCGATGTTGGAGTAGGTTCCTTATCTCTCTCTTCTCTATTCTTGATGATTTTGAATTCATGTCAATAATGTTATGGTACTCAAAATTGAAGGGGATGACATGTGGAGGTTGTTCTGCTAGTGTGAAGAAAATACTGGAAAGCCAAGTAAGTGTCAAGATTTTTACTTTTCTTGCTCTTTTTCTGCTTCTCTCAGGCTAAGACCAAATTGGTGTCTTCTTGTCTCGGAGAATGGTTGCTTGCCCGATTATTTTTTGATTGAAAAAGCCTCTCTTTTCTCTTTTCTCTTTTTCTTTCATGTATAGCCTCAAGTTGCTTCTGCTAGTGTTAATCTCACCACCGAGACAGCAATAGTGTGGCCTGTACCGGAAGCTAAAAGTGTACCTGATTGGCAGAAGACTTTAGGCGAGACGCTTGCAAATCATCTGACCAATTGCGGCTTTCAGTCTACTCCTCGAGGTGAGAGAGGGTGCATTTAGGTCTCTTTGTAGACTCAGTCTTGTTTGTTTCTTTGACGCAGTTCCTGCATGCTATCTTTATTTTGTGTTTCAAGTATTTTTGAACTTATCGCACTCTAGTGTCTAGGGAATACAGTTCCTTTGGAATCAATCAGGTAACTAATCTGGAGATGAAAGTTTACCGTTTGATGATATTATAGTGTGCCGTATACTCCCCCTAAATGGTTAAACCTTTGATGTATTTTGTTTGGAAATATAGTGCCATAATTATTAGTGTTTCAGTAATGTTAATTGAGTGAAGTAAAATCAAAAATCTCATCATCTTTTTGCAAATCCGGTGGATACTTGTGGGGTAGGGGAAGTTCCTGAAGATATTGCAGGAGAGTTTGCACCTTGATAGTTCAAAAGATTTCTTCAGCAGCAATCATTATTGTTATGGTATGTTCTTTGTTTGAAGGGATTTGAAATTGTCAATTAATGATTTGAGTCTATTGTGGATTGGTTTTACGTCTGCTAACTTGATTATTTCTCCTTAAACAGATGATTAAGAGCAGCTGCTAATGGCGAATGGATTGTAAACATAAGTTTCTGTGCTAGTGGTTCCATTTATGTAGAATTTTTTCTCAGTCTTTGTGACAAATTAATTACCTGAAGGCCATGTATTTGTCTTATGTTTCCCATTGCTGACATGCCTTCTCTGAACCAGACAATATTACTCTGAAATGATGATCTTGTTCTCTAATGGTCGATTTTCCGAAAGCATACATTGAAAGCTGTAAACTTTAAAGGCATTGGATTTATGTTTTGATTGTGGACCTACATTCAGTCATGGTTTCTAAACTGACATGTCCACTCGATACATCATTTCAACATTGATTAGTCACAAACTCTTTTTCTATGTACTTTTGTAATTGGTTTATTTTGCTACCTCTTATCTTAGAGTATGATTTTTTTTTTACATATTAAGTTTTACCCAGAAAGATTCAGTTGTCTTTTCTGAGTCAGTATACTTTACTGTTGTCTTTCTTGGTATGAGCACTAAGTATCTATCTTTGTTCCAGATTTGGTGACAGAGAATTTCTTCAAAGTTTTCGAAACCAAGACAAAAGACAAGCAGGCTCGCTTAAGAGAGAGTGGTAAAATGTGTCCCCCGAAATTGTATATGTTGTCATAGGAAATTGATGTTTTGTTTCTAATATTTGTACATCTCTTGACTGCTTTACAGGCCGCGAGCTTGCTGTTTCATGGGCCCTATGTGCTGTATGCTTGGTTGGGCATTTGACTCACTTTCTAGGTGTTAATGCTCCTTGGCTTCATGCAATCCATTCAACGGGATTTCATGTGTCCTTATGTTTGATTACATTGCTTGGTCCTGGGCGCAAGCTAGTACTTGATGGTGTCAAGAGCCTTTTAAAAGGTTCGCCAAACATGAACACGCTAGTTGGTCTTGGCGCTTTGTCATCATTTTCTGTTAGCTCACTGGCAGCCCTGATTCCAAAATTGGTAACTTAACTACCCTTTCCCTCACGCCCTCTATTTTTCAGATGAAGGAAAGAATTTTTGTTGTGAGTTAAAAATTTCTAGATGGGTCATTCACTAATGAAGCTTTTATTCAATTCTGAACAAATTTTTGATCTAAAGATAATATATGCAGCTACCTTTACCCTTGCATACTTGATTACCATAATCAACTTTCTCATTTAGCTCAGATTGCTTGTGTCGACATCACTCTGCCATTTTACTTTAGTATATTTTTATATCAACTACATTGTAATACTGCGTCTTAAATTTCTTTCTGGATCTTTTTCCCTGTAAGCTAGAAGTATTTAAGATCTTCACCTCCATATCTGTATTGGCTCTTGCGATTGATGGCTGATATTATAAACCTGTAAAACTGTTTTGACATCCAGGGCTGGAAGACATTTTTTGAGGAACCAGTTATGTTAATAGCTTTTGTATTGCTGGGAAGGAATCTTGAACAGAGAGCTAAAATAAAAGCCACCAGTGATATGACTGGCCTTCTGAGTGTTTTGCCTTCAAAAGCTCGCCTTCTTCTTCATGGTGATCTGCAGAATTCAACTGTTGAGGTTCCTTGTAATAGTCTCTCTGTCGGCGATCTAGTCGTCATACTACCAGGAGTAAGAAGAGAGAACTTTCATTCTCATGCATAGTATGTTGTTGTTTTCCCATTTAGTGATATTTATTGCAAGGGATGTTTTTGTTTCACATATAGCTTTAAGAATCTTGTTAACCTGCTATTCTTATGCAAACAAATTGTCTATTAGGAGGAAAAACAACTTATGTTTATGTTCTTATTCATGAATCCTTGTCATTGACACATGGGTTTTGTTCTCCGTATTTACCAAGGATCGAGTTCCAGCAGATGGTATTGTCAAGTCAGGTAGAAGCACCATTGATGAGTCAAGTTTCACAGGTGAACCATTGCCAGTGACAAAAGAGCCAGGGGTAACTATCTACTCCAACCTTATCTATATCATCACGAATTTTTTGGTTGTCTCTGTGCACTAATTATATAAGATTTCATTAACTTTGGAAAATTATTTTGCTCATGGTAATTTCTGTAGATGTAACTCAAGTTTTTTGTGAAAAATTATTTTGGGCTAGAGTCAAGTGGCAGCTGGATCTATAAACCTGAATGGAACTCTTACTGTCGAAGTGCATAGATCAGGGGGCGAAACTGCAGTCGGGGACATTATTCGCCTGGTTGAAGAGGCTCAGAGTAGAGAAGCACCAGTACAGCAGTTGGTTGACAAGGTCTCTCCTCTATTCCCTAGTGCAATTTAATATCAATTTGGACTGACCTTGGTTTCCCTTGGAATATTGGGGAGCATAAGAATTTCATATTTGCATAGACATGGATATTTGTAGAAGAAGACATTTTTTTTTTTTGGTTGGTTGGCTTTGAGTCGATTATTACCAATTTGCATTTATTTTCATATTTGGATATAAACAGGAAGAATGGTTTTTTCTGGCAATTACAGGTTGCAGGGCGCTTCACGTATGGAGTGATGGCACTCTCTGCGGCTACATTTACATTCTGGAATCTATTTGGTACACATATTCTTCCGCCTGCCTTGCATAATGGGAGCCCAATGTCTTTGGCCCTTCAACTATCTTGCAGCGTTCTGGTATGCTTCTAATACATATTTTTAAGTTAAACGTTAATACATTATGAGATCAAGCATGTGCAAAAAAGCTTTGAAAGTGTATACAACCACCTCAACTGCAACCCATGATGTTAAATTTAGAGTGGATATGACGATAGTTTGTGTTTCACTTTTGACTCTAATTGAACCTTGGTAATTTAGATTGATAAAAGCAAGGAAGGCTTAAAAAGAGTTTCTCAGTCTTTAATCAATCATGCTTTCTGACAGTCCTTTACTTGGATACAGGTTGTGGCTTGTCCTTGCGCCCTTGGGTTGGCAACACCAACTGCAATGCTGGTAATTTTTCTCCTTAATAAACACTTTTTTTTTCTATGAATCAGACAGAGTAAGATGTTGAAGACCTTGATATATTCTTTAGGTTGGTACATCATTAGGAGCAAGAAGAGGATTACTTCTTCGTGGTGGTGATATTCTTGAAAAGTTTTCCTCAGTTGATACTGTTGTCTTCGACAAAACTGGGACACTGACAAAGGGACACCCTGTTGTGACTGAAGTTATTATTCCTGAAGATCCAAGGTTAGGCTCTTTGCTGATTCGAAATATCCAATGATCTACGTGTTCTTCGAGGGTATATTGATGCTTAGATACTTTCCGTTATCTTAAATAGCAAACAATGAATATGAATGTGGAGTAAAATTAGAGGGGTTGAAGCCTTTGTACTGTTTCAAATTAGTTTTCTTGTTTTTTTTTTGTAAGTTCTCCCACATACTTTCTGTGTTTTGTGAAAACAGATCTGACTCCTCATGTTCTTACGCAGACACAATTTGAATGGTACTTGGTCGGAAGTTGAGGTTTTGATGTTAGCAGCTGCTGTTGAATCAAACACTACTCACCCTGTTGGGAAAGCGATTATAAAAGCAGTCCGGGCTCGTAATTGTCAAACTATGAAGGTAGGACTGTAAATGTTAATTATTTCACTAGTTTAATGAAGTTAATGAACTCCATCGCTGCAGGCAGAGGACGGAACATTTACTGAAGAACCAGGGTCTGGCGCTGTTGCTATTGTCAACAATAAGAGGGTTACAGTTGGGACCCTAGAGTGGGTTCAGAGGTATAAATGTTCATCCTTTTTTTTATGAAGTTGTCTTTTATCTAGTTTAGGATATTTTGGCACCTGATAAGTTATTTTAGTCTAATATAACTTTCATGTTAGTATAATTATAACACCGTTTATGCATTTTCGTTGATGATGAGGTACCTCGCCACAAATCAAGATTGTACATATCTATGTTTTTCTTCATAGGATTATAATTATCTAACCATAAAGTATTTGCAGGACATGCGAGGCTTGATAATGAATAAATAATACATGATGAAGAATGTCTAACCAAGCATAGTGATGTTGCAGGAATTTAATTTGAAATAGATAGAAGCTTCTCTTTTTAATTCACTTTTGCGCTATGCAGACATGGAGCCACCGGGAACTCATTGCATCCATTTGAAGAGCATGAATATAACAACCAGTCTGTTGTGTATATTGGGGTGGATAATACACTTGCTGCAGTCATCCGTTTTGAGGATAAAATCAGGGAAGATGCTGCTCAAGTTGTTGAGAATTTGACTCGCCAGGGAATTGATGTGTACATGCTGTCCGGTGACAAGAGGAATGCTGCCAATTATGTAGCTTCTGTCGTAGGAATTGATCAAGAACGGGTATGTTCTTTTCTTTACATGGATCGATTAAACTTCTATCGGAGTTTTGGCATGCATGGCTTGCTAAAAAGTGGTATTTGGCGATTATTAAGTCATATCGGTGATTGAGCTGTAGGCATAGACCTTCGTTTTGAACAATTTTAAATTTTTTCCTACTGACTATCATTCGTCAGATATATCCTGAAATATCCTTAATCCCGTACAAATTACACATGTATTTATATGATAATGTAGTGCCAAAAGACGATGCCTGATGTAAATTATCTTATAGGTTATAGCAGGAGTTAAACCAGCAGAGAAAAAGAATTTTATCAGTGAACTTCAGAAAAATAAGAAGATTGTTGCAATGGTGGGCGATGGAATAAATGATGCTGCAGCTCTGGCATCATCTGATGTTGGAGTGGCCATGGGCGGTGGTGCAGGAGCAGCCAGTGAGGTGTCACCCATTGTCTTGATGGGAAATCGATTAACACAGGTTTCTCATATTGTCCCAATGATTTTTTCATTTTTTTTTGTTCGAAATAGAGCGATCTCTGATTGATTGCTACTTCAAGTTATACAGAGTGCCATACTGATCCGATATCTGCTATTTAGTGCAAGTAAACTTAGTTTGAAGGCATAATGAGATGTAACACATGGTAGTACCCAGCTGCTTATTACTTTCAGGAAGAACTAGTTTGTCTGACAGTAGTCATGTATACAACAATGTACAAACTAAAGTTAACTTCAGATGAAACTAAGCACATGTTTTTAAGATTTGTGGTGTTGTCATTATTCATCTTCATCTAGTTGTATGATGTTTTATCAATGCGTAAAATTGCTGGTCAAGGAAACTATATTTTCTTACTGAATCAACGTTTATAGATGCTTCCTTTTGGCTTTCAAGAATTTGGACACATGTAGTTAGTAGTTACATGATTTCTACGCAGTTGCTTGATGCGTTGGAGCTAAGTCGGCAAACCATGAAGACCGTGAAGCAAAATCTTTGGTGGGCATTTGGATACAACATTGTAAGTTGTTTTTCATGTTGGATATTCTTGCTTTGATATGCAGAATGAATATCTAATGAGTCACAATGTCTCCTGTTTTATTTAATGAAAAAAATTATACAGGTAGGAATCCCAATTGCGGCTGGAGTGTTGTTGCCAATGACTGGAACCATGTTGACTCCATCAATGGCTGGGGCTCTCATGGGTGTAAGCTCTCTCGGTGTCATGACTAATTCTTTACTTCTGAGGTACAGATTCTTCTCGAACCGAAAAGACAAAAATGTCAAATGGGAACCAAAAGAGGGAGCAAAGCAACCACATGAGAATACAAGATGGAAGGAAAGCTCTTAAACCTGTCATTTCCGCTATGTTGAGGCACGGTAGCATGAGTTTTGCAGAGATGGGTCTCTTTTAAGTATTTGTGTCAAAATTTTCAGCGAATTATTTTGGTCGGGTTTGGTAGGGTAATGATAATTTGTACTTAAACGAGAATCATCTCATCATGTAAATTTTCAAACAATTCGTTGAGCTTGTAACTTCTAGACACAATAACACATTTCAGACCCTAGATAGTAGATTGGCTTCGACCTTTTTATAGTTTTATGTCAGTGCCTTTGAGTCTCTGGAATTTGATTTTGTGTAAAAGCTATATAAATAAGGAAGGCAAAAACTCATTGCCAAAGCAAGCCCTTCATTATACAATTCCAGTGCAATACACAGTCTGGAACGAGCCAGTACAAATCAATCAATAAAAGAACAAACACAAAAATTCATCTTGTTTCTCCTATACTTTTGTAACCAATCACACTTATGAAACAATGAGTAAAAGAAACAAAAAAATCTCTCTCCTGAATTGGTTTGTCTTTCGTGTTCCTCAATTTGCTCGTAGATGAGAACCAGTCGATTGATCGGTGTGCTTGCAGATCCGCACAAAAACCGGTTCATACCATATAAGTCATCCCAACTTGCATCAAATGCGAATGTGGAACGCTTAGGTTTGTTATCCCTCTTCTGGAGTTCTTCCTCAAGAAAGCATACATGTAATTTATTACCAGCTTCTTCAGAAACCAAGAATCCTTTGTAGCCCTTATATCCCCATGTCCCAGTAGATACACTACCCCTGACTCTTTGGCTTTGTGTATAAACGACAATTCTTTTTCTAAACCCTGCTCCACATCCAACGCTGTTGTTTGATTTGAAGGACCTGCTGCAAAATCCATGCTGGTCTTTCTTTTCTCTGAGAGTCGATTGTTTGACTCCATGTGCTCAGCCAAGAGAGGCACTCCTAGTGAATACACACTTCCATTGGGTGCTATCAAAACTCTGGACAGAGTCATGTCATCCTCGGAATCTGTATTATGGTCTCCGTCACTCTCAAGTTGACGCTCCTGCGCTTCCTTACGTATAAATTTCTCTAGACTCTCAATCAGTATTTGCTCAAACGCCTGGTGATTTTCCTTCCGCACATCTTTGTATCCATACCTGATTTAACCACGTGAAAAACAGAGCAATTTATACATGTTATAAAAAAAGTAAAATTGTCTATTAAAAATTGTTGCTTTGTTTACCTGGCAACACAGCGGAATAAGTGATAGCTTCTTGGACAGACACGTCTGAAAAGAAACCTCTCAGTCTGAGGCACGCTTGGAACAGGGACATACTTTATACACACAAAGATAACCATTGAATGGATTGCAGGAAGGGTGGTTAGAAAATGACCAAATATTGCCGGAACTCCTTTTGCTAGTTCGTTATAAAGAAGACCAATACCGGGTGCTCTTATAGTCCCAAGATTACTGCCCAGTTCTCGCAGTAGTTCCATTGGTAGTTTTTTCTGAACTTCGGTTTCATACTTGAGTTTACTCCCGTAGTTCCAAACGAACATTATGAAAAACATGATCGTAGCAAAAACCAGGATTATCCAACTTCCGTCAGCCACACTTGATAGAACTGATGAGAAGAAAATCATTTCAACTCCTAGTGAAACAACTGCAAACAAGCCCACGACTATGATGTTCGTCTGCCAGATAAGAAGCATGATAAGGGTCACCAAAATTGTTGTAGTCATCATAATTCCTAGCTCTGCGACGCCTGAAAAAACCAATCAAAACCAGAGGCATGAATATGTCTAGGACTAATGGACACGGCACACAGAAAAAAAAAAAGTTCATAGAAAAGGGAAAAAATGAAGAACACTGACGATAAATAAATCATCATAACAGGCAAACATTAAACATCATGAACCAGAAATTGAGTTTCAATATACTGTAATCGTAATACAAATTAAGAGTAACTAAAATGGGTTTTAGCCAAATTGCCCCAAATTATATGCTACGAGAAGGAAATATTACCATATGCATTTCCAATCATGAAGATGTTTGAGATAGAGCAGACAACGATCAGGCACACCACCAAAAGGAACCAGTTTAGAACCGGTATATATATCTGTCCAATGAATTTCTTTGAGGTGTGAATGATTTTAAGACGTGGGAAACAGCCTAATGCTATCGATTGTTTGATGCATGTAAATGTGGCTGTTGTCATTGCACGACTGGCAATTAGAGCAGCAAGATTAGAAATGAGAAAGACTGGCCAGAATATAGAACCTGAAAATCAAAGTGGAATACACAATTAGAAACATCAAATGAGCGATAAAATCAAGCCAGCAATGAAGGAATACCCTTGTTGATCCTGACGTACAGAGGAAGCTAGTGGATCTTACTTGGAACTGACGAGAAGAAAGCATTTCCAGAATGGCTGAAATTTTCAGAAAGGTATGCGGCTTGACCCAAATAACCCAACAAGAGGCAAGGTAACACCAGAAGTGTAAAAGTAAGCTGCAGAAAAACATTACCACTGAATCAAAATTCCAGATGACGAAAAAAGACAACCATAACAAGAACAGAAGCAAGAAATGAGTATCTATCTCCTTAAACTACCTGGACCGAGTGAACAGAAAAATAGCTAAGATCTGCAAACATTGCCTCCGATCCTGAGAAGATCCGCATGTATAGATATGAGCAATGACATTCCAATTAGTCAAAAAAGGTCATTCAATATACCTAAGCTTTTTAAAAGTCTATCCCATATCCCAGAATATGAAATTTACCAGTTGCACAGAGGATGCAACCCCCAAGCGCATACCACGCATTAACAGAGTTTCTCTTGAAAAAGAAATAGATGTGTGCAGGATTGAACGCTCTGAAAACGCTGCTGTCATATTTAACCAGGTTATATATCCCAATGCCCGCAAGACAGAAAAACCATAGAAGTAAAGCAGGACCCAAAGCAAGTCCCAATTTGCTGGCTCCATATTTTTGTACGCTGAACAAAATCACAAGGAAGCTGACTGATATCATGACCACCTGATCTGCAAATGAACCCACAGTTAGAGTTATTTAATATCCAGAGAAGATTTAACAAGAAGTAAAAGACAAACGATATCATGCTCATGAAAATAATCAGGCTAACGAAGGTCAACTACAATTACGAGTTACCTTGCTCTATAGCACCAACTCCAACCTTCAGACCACCAACAGCAGACATTACTGCGTCCAAAAGGAGGTTATAGTTAAAGGCAGAACCATTATACATATCGACCACAGGATAATGTCAAACCATCATCTGCCAACAAATGATTAATTATGCAATAATGAATGATGCTTTCAAAATATTTTTTTCCCTATAATTGATATATACCTGACATTGCAGGCGTAACAACAGCATCAGCAATTACCATAGCAGTGCCGGCAAGAACTAAAACCAGAAGAAGCTTTTTCAAGATCATTGACGCCTCAAGTTTTTCTTTTATTATCAAGGATCTTTCAAGTTCTGGAGATGGAACCTTCAAGCCAAAGCCTGATATGCGAGCATCTGATGGAAGTTGATTTGGGATAAGGCTAACATTTGCGTGCCTACAGATTAACGAATACAAAGCAAAAGTACCCCCTGCAGTTCATTTACAGAAATTAAGGATTTTTCTTGCAAAAACAAAAAAACTCAATTTACAACAGTTAGGGGGAAAAAAAGGAAATACCTTCACCATCGTCGTTGGCCCAAAGAACAAAATGTACATACTTTACAAGAGGGAACAATATTAAAGTGTATATAACCAATGACAAGGCTCCAATTATATCGTCTTTCTCGTTAATCGGAGATCTGTTGAACATGACACTGAAGGTGTACAATGGACTTGTTCCAATATCACCAAATACAACCCCTAGAGTCTGCAAAGCAAGTACGAGTTTCCTTCCTATGCTAGAATCCTGCAAAAACAGATAAGCGAGTTCTTAAAACACTAGCATAAACAAAATGCCATCAAAGAACTTGTTACTTTTCTAAGAAAAAGTAAATAGAATCAACTAGCTCTCGAGAAAGCTAGCTTTGGTAATCAGATCGACAAGAAGAAGGCACATCAAGCCACCAAAGGATAAGGTGTAAGGTAGTAATAGATGGTAACCTCGATTTCGTTTTTCTGAGTTCCAGGGATTTCAAGTGCGTCGACATCGAAAGAGTCAACGGCAGGGCTAGTTCGAATCAAACGCTGCTCCACATTGTCGTCCTCGTCGTCGGAATCCATCTCCGCGTCTCGATGCTCGTCATATCCCTCGTTGTCGTAATCATCATCGTCATAATCATTCTTCTCATCGAATACCCAGCGCGACATTGACGTCGTCGAATCGTCTCCGGTCATCTCCTCATCCATTTCAGACCCGGCGCCTCCACTGCTTTCTTCATCCACGTTCCACATCAAATCCCGTCGGAAGAAAACACTAACACGTGAAGGTAGATCTCAGGATTGTGATTCAGATTCGTAATCTGATCCAACGAAACAAAATAAGAAACGGTGTTTCAGAGAATTGAGAGAGAGAGAGATGATGATGATGATCTACAATGGCACGAATGAGAAAGAAGCTTACACGTGTACTATCGGGCTTCAATTCGAGAATCTGTCTCAGACCGGGTGGTCACGGATTTAAGGATAAATCAATTTTAAAAGAAACGAGCTAAACCGGGTCGTCGTCTTGTCAAAATTGGATTATTTCATAATGTCTGTCACCAAGTTGAAGAATGAAGAAGAAGAGTAAGCGTTGCGTCTACGACTGTTCTTCTACACTTCACAAGATCAGAGAGAGAGAAGAAACGAGAGTCAACAGTCATGACTTGTGCTTCTTCCTCCTTGATTTCTTCGTTCTCGTATCAGTTTCGCTCACAGGAACGAAACTTTTCATCGAAAACTTCCTCTTGTATCTCGACGGGTTTAACAGGAAGGAGAGCTTTTGGATCTATCAAAGCAGCTAAAGTGACAAGCCATGAGAACCCCAGACGACGCGTTCAGAACGTAGAGGGCGATATATTTGTCGGTAAATGAAATCTGTCTACTTTAGTTTCTAAGCTAATCGAAATAAAGAGAGATCAATAACACTCTCTTTCTCTCTCTCTCATTCCATTTCCGCAGACAATACTTGTATTGATTGTGATACCTGTCGTTGGATGGTTCCGGTAAGATTTTCCTCTTCGAAATCTGTAAAGTTTCTAACTTTCTCTGCTCTGTCTCTTGTCTTGTGGGTCCTTTGGTGGTCCTTGAAATTGATGAACAGCTCCATGGATATTTGATTTGGTAGGGTAAAAGCATTAAGCATTTGGGTCAGTTTGGTTAAAGTAGTTGGGGATGTTTCATTTTGGGTATTGGGAAGTCCATGTCTTAGTCTTGACCTCCATGGACATAATAACTCTGGATCTTGGTTAGCTTTTTTTATTTGGCTTGTATTTGGCAACACTACTTCTGATATGATCACTGCCATAAGTCTAGAACACGAAATTCACTTATATCGTTTTTACATTGGTTCAGTCGATTCATAAACAGCCTCTTCTGCTTTTTCTTCACAGCAAGTATTCACCCAAGTGGACAACATGTCTGCAGTTATTAAACAACCAACCTGTGAAGAGGAAAGGCTGAGTGCTCTTCAGGTGCCCTCAATTTCCTTTTTCGTTCTGTTTTCTCTCTGATGATACTTCATTGAGTATTTTTTTTTATTTCTTTTGATGGCTTTTATGGGTACCTTTGGGTGCAAGATATATCTCATGTACTTTTGTCTGAGAATTATTCTCATGAAAAAATATCTCTTCGTGGAATTTTTATGAACAAAATTCTGTGAGGTTGGCCTGATTACTTATGGTTCCTTGTTTCTTTCAGGCCTTATTATCATGTCCGACGGGATCCATTCGCACTGAAACTCCACCTACTGACATAGGGAAAGCTCAAGAGACATTTCCACTGGCATTGGACAAAGACACACTTCCTGTAGTTTCTCATTCCTTAAGCTTTCTTTTTTTGGATGGATGTTACTTATTAGCAAGTTAACTAACTCTGCTTAGATAATTGTGAGCATACCTCGAAATTATTTTGAAATCTTGTCTTCAGGTTTTGAAAATTTTTGGGTACAATCATCTGAATTTCTTAGCTGATTAAGCTCCATTGACAATTCATTCTGAAATACTGCCCTGTTCTTATACGTTGTTTACTGTTTGGCTTCCTGCTTTAACTGCGGGTAATACTCAGGGCGTTTTTCATTGTGGGTTCCATTCCAAGAAATCTTACGGAGCAACTTCCTACTTGATCCTTCATCATGAGGGAAATATACTTGTTGATAGGTATGATATATGTCCTTGGGAGGCATCATGTATTCTTATTCCCTTTCTTGTTCAGAAGCTTATTACATTCAGGATGCAATATTTTTCTTGGTATACTTCGTTTTGTAAATTAATTTTGACACCACTGATATTCCAAGGTTTCGTTGGTCGCTGCAGTCCTAGATACGTAGAGAAGCTTGCTGGAAAGATTGAGAAGATGGGTGGTGTTCGCTACATGTTTTTGACACACAGGTAGAGTTGATAACACCAAAAGGAGAAACTTTATGTTTTCTCTTGTAGTCTCTCTGACAAAGATAAGCTACTTTATTGTTCAGGGATGATGTTGCGGATCACAAGAAATGGGCAGATCGTTTCAAGTCTACCAGAATTCTGCATTCTGAAGATGTATGTCATTGAATTTCTATCAGCTCTCTTGCTAAACTCTCCGCACATTCTTGATAGATTTTCAACATCTAGATCCTGTGAGAAAAAGCTTGCGGAGTTACAAACATCTTTGGCTGATTATATGTTCTGTAGAAGATAGAAAACGATTCTGTGGTTGGATAAATGTGAGAAAACTACCTACAGAAATAATTTTGTCACTTGATCCAGCTTTAATGACAATTGTTGTTAGGTTGAACCTTCGACCTCTCATGTGGAGTTAAAGCTAGAAGGAAGTGGACCATGGAGCCTATATGAAGATATTGAGCTTATACACACTCCTGGTCATACAGATGTAAGTATGAAAACAAATGTTTGATATTTGTTATTACAGAATTTCACTATGATCTTGGGATATAAGAGCTTTGTACAAAATCACAGGGATCAGTGTGCCTGTTCCATAAACCCCTCAAGGCATTATTCACTGGAGACCATGTAACAATGTCTGAATCTGGAATGAGCATTTTCGAGCAGTACAATCACGGTTCAGGTAAAAGACCAATCTGTTGAACTTCTTTTGATAAATGTTTTTGAATAATAGTTTAATAAAACATAATAATTGCTTTCGGTGTAATGTCAGTGCCCCTCCAGCTCAAGAACGTAGAAAGACTGATCAACCTGGATTTCAACTGGTTAATACCAGGTTAGTGCATTTTTGTTATGTGCCTATATTTTTTTATATTTAATATGGTTTTGGATTTTGATGGCGATTTTGTATAGAAGGACATGGAAGGAGAGTACATTTCAAAAATGGTGAGAAGGCGAAGATTCTGGAAGCGCTTGTTCAGAAGCACAGAGAGAAACCACTTGTTTCTTTTAGCATATCCGGGAAAGCTTGAGACATAACTTTGTATGCTTAATGTAAACCGGTGAACCAAACCTAATCAGGCCAAATGTGTGTCAGGGTTTTTGTCAAACTGGTCTGTGTGCCGGTTGTGAACTTGTTACATCATTAGCATGGATATTGGGAAAGTATCTAAAACAATAATTATAATATTTGAGCTAAATTGTTTACAAGGTAAACACATTTAATTATATTTGGTATATTTTCTTCGTCCAGGTAGCATTTTAACTCTGCTTAACGCTTGTAAACTAAAAAGAAAATCGTGAGTGGTGTATATTTATGGTTTGAAAACCTAAAATTTATGTCACCAATCTTTAAATTAACAACGCTCATGTAAAGAGAAAACAGAAATTTCGCAGCAAAAATTTATTCTTTCTACAAGATCAGCTACTCCACTAAATAAGTGGATCATCCTCCAAAAACTGCCACGAAACATTCGCACCAACAACAATATCACTCACCATAATCATTATAATAGATTTGAAAATTAAATAACAAATAATATAGAGCACTCCCTCCTCTGGTGCTCTCCACTACAACCGAGCAGAGCATTAACGTTATGCTATATATATAAATCATCGTATGACCAAATATTCACAGCATAGACTTCTTCATTACAAAGCGTTAACAAAGAAAAGAAAAAAAGACAAAAAAAGAAGAGAGAGATGGGAAGTGGAATGATATGGACAATGGTCATTGCAATAGCTTTCTTGATGATCGGTCCCGACAATATCCACGTGGCGACAGCTCAGGTCTGTGGAGCTAACCTGTCGGGACTGATGAATGAGTGTCAACGCTACGTCAGCAACGCCGGACCAAATTCTCCGCCGCCGTCTCGGTCTTGTTGTGCTTTAATCCGTCCAATCGACGTACCTTGTGCTTGCCGTTACGTTTCAAGAGATGTTACGAACTATATTGATATGGACAAAGTGGTTTACGTTGCTCGTTCTTGCGGCAAGAAGATTCCCTCCGGTTACAAATGTGGAAGTAAGTACTTTATACTTATCTTTCTTATTATTCGTTTTCGTATTTATCAAGCATACATATATCATAATTTGGATTTGAATCGTTATATTAGGTTACACAGTTCCAGCGGCTTAAAGAGGAAGGATACCAACAGACGACTTTGGATTTGCTATAAAAATTAATAAAATGTACTGTTGGTGTATTAAATAATGATGATGATGATGGGCTGTTTATTAGAGCAAATAAAATATTAGCTCCTTTAGTGTAAGCCATTGTAATGACATTAACATACCATGAATTATTAACGAAAGAAAAGAAACAAAAAAATGAAAAAGTAAATAATAAACGTGAAAGTCAAGCCCACAGGTAAAATTTTTCCTAGCAACAAAACCACGTCCAAGTTACAAATACTTGCGGCTTCTACACAGCCTTTTGTTTTCGTTCTTTATCACTTTCTTGACTCTCACCTTTATAAACCCAATCAACGCAAAGTCCAATCACATGTATATAGCTAATTCCAAAGATCAAACACATTGTTAAGAGAGATTTAGAAAAAGCGCGAAAGAGATCTAGAGAGAGATGAACGCCGGAAAGCAAGCTTCGTGGGCGGTGGCGACGGCGATCGCGGTGGTGGAAGTGCTAAAGGACCAAGGCGTTGCTCGTTGGAATTACCCTCTCCGTTTACTTAACAAAGAAGCCATGGCTCGCGTCCGTACCATTACTGTCCCATCTCGTCCCTCTCCTCTTCCTCCTCCTCCTGCGTCTTCTTCTTCTTCTTCGGCTGATTTCATCAGATCCAAACAGGCCAAGACCACATCCTTTGAGAAAGCTATTGGGCTTAGCTGCTTTGGTCCAACCACCGTTAGATTTTAGATCTCTCATTTTTGTATTGATCTATTATTCGAATTTCCGCCTAGTTCCACCAAAGCTTGAAATTGGAACCATTGTTCTCACATAACATTCATCAGCTTTAAGCAAATTTCATAAATTTTGAAATTAATATGGCCCATGGGTTTTTTATATCTATGTAGACTTGACCAAACCAAACCGGAGTGTTAAGCCGAACAAAAATACTCCTATATACTATACCATAAAGAATCTTGACTCAATAATCTCAAATAACTTTACATGACAATATGATTTGTGTTAATAATGACCCAGAAAGAAACAGATCACTGTGTCTCACAATTGCTCTTACATCAGCGGAAACAATTTTAGATTTCCTTTGATACCATTTTATTTTACTAAACAAGAAATTTTTTCAAATTTTAGACAATACTGGTTTTTTCATAAATCATTTAGACACAATAAAGTTCTATATACATATCTGCTTTTTTTAACGAATTTAAAATCAATAAAGTCCTATATAATAAATATACTGTGACAAATAAGCATATAATAGCTAGCTTTAAGCGTGTAACATCACAAAAACAACGTCTAGTCTGTGAAGTGCAAATTGCATGGTGGGACATGCTGAGAATACGCCACTTTTCTATATAGAAAAGTTTGTTCACTTCAACCATTTTAGTCAAAACCACTTTGCCAAGTTCTTAATAATCAGCCTCATTATACCAAAAACCACACACCACGCCGATAAAGTCAACAACTACCCCTAACCCTGCCACAACCTAATCAATGCAATTTTATATTAGACCGACTTGGTGTGTGTGTGATATGCTTGTTTTTTTGTTTCTTACCAATATTTATAACGATTAGACATATATTTTCAGTCTGAAATTTCTTTCATTTGTTTTTGTTGTTTTTTTTCGTCTAAATACATTTCAAAAACATTAATACTTTCAAAAACGGTAACATAATAAAAATTAATTATCTCCGTGAAATGTAGATGATGGATACCGTCAACCTACTTTTGTTGACCAAACTTATGATTCTAAAGACATGATGCAAAAGAGATAACAAAGACGAAGACTTTTCATCTGTCTTCTCTTCTATTTTTCCCTCTCTCTCTCTCTCTATCTCTCTAGCTTGTTGATGATCTTGAAGCTACAATCATGAGATTCTTCCACAGATTTATGTCGGAGGAGATGAGCAAAGAAACCTCATCGGACTCGTTATGTAACTTGAGTTGCATCGAAGAGTTAAAAGATGTAGGATCTTGTTCGTCAATTTGTCTTCACGAGTGTCCTCTCATCTGCGAGATCGTCGTAGCCACTCCACCTCCAGAGATCCACCACGACCTGGACGATAACCTAAAGAAGTTCTTACTCATCTCGGCTTTGTCTATCATCACAACTCTGTTTCTCCTTACTTTACTCCTACTCTGTTTCAAGTGGTACAACAGGAGAAGATCAATAGCTATATCAAGAAGATGGAGCATGGAGCAAGCTAGGAACTGGGATTTTGATGGACCATCACCGGTTATTGTCGATCATCCGATTTGGCATATCAAAACCATTGGTTTGAATCCAACGGTTATAAGTTCGATCAAAGTGTGCAAGTATAGCAAAAGAGACGGTATCGTGGAAGGAACGGATTGTTCGGTTTGTTTAAGCGAATTCGAAGAAGAAGAGACGCTTAGATTGTTACCAAAGTGTAGACATGCTTTTCATCTTTCTTGTATTGATACTTGGCTTAGATCACACACCAATTGCCCGCTTTGTCGTGCTCCTATTGTCGTGACCAACACGGTAAATGATGATGCTAGTGAGAGTCAAGGGGAGATGCTTGTGAGGATTCCAGAGGAAAACGGAGAAATCGATGAAGAAACAGAGAGAGATCAGGAGGAAGAAGCAGATGGGTTTGTTAGGAACGGCGAAGCAGATGAGACGCAGCAGCGAGTGAGACGATCAGTGTCGTTAGATTCGTTATCGGGTTTAAGGGTAAGTGAAGTTATTGGTGGTAGAGGAAGAGAGAAGGTGGTCAAGAGAGGTAATATTGGATCTTCCATTGTTGGGAGGTCAAGTTTCTTAAAGAGATCTATCTCTTACAATGGTAAGTAGTACTAGGCTTCGTTGCTATGGATAAAAGAAAGACTTCCCCATTAGGTTTCTTGAAGATGATGGTCAAAATGAGAAAAAGAAACAATCAAATCAAACCCGAAAGATATATAGTTTATAGACATGTATAAAAGTGAATGATTGTGAATTTTGTTCATCAAAAAGCTGCTACTCTTGTCAAGTTAAAAGAGTTCTTACAGCTTCTGCCCTCTGCTTCAGACAATAAGTATAAAATACATCAAAAGGTTCATTTTGAATGTTACTCTTTTTTTATCGTTTTCAACTACTATTGTATATCTTAGATTATATACTTAAACACAAATTCAACTGCGTTTTATGTTGATAGATTTATAGAAATTCAAATCTGTAATCAAAACTAAAGGACCATGAACTCTGTTTTTCTATGTCGAATTTCAAAACCCTGATCTTCACTTAGCAAAACAGCCCCTACTTAACGCTGCCGTTAAGTCTCCGTTAGTTCAGTAAGTACTATGAAAAATAAGAAGAAGAAAAAAAGGAAACTCATCTTCTTCATCGATATTATTGATGATTGCCTTCTTCACCGTGAAGGCGATAACTTTTCCACCAAACTTTCTCCTGAAGGAATCCTTCACTTCACCGGCTAGTCCTTCAGCCAGGTAACTCTTCTTCTTCGATGTCCCGATAACTGTTCACAGATATTCACTTTTTCAAGGAGAAATCTTCTTCTTTCCCCATTTAGTTCAGACTTCAGACCCATGTTAAAGTAGGGGTTTGGTTTTAAGCTCTCTGTACATCCGAATTCTTTCAATTGATGGTTTGATTGATGTTTTCCTGTCCACAGTTCACTCTGTATCCACGAAAATTAGGGTTTCTTATGTGAAATTTGGGAATTATTTTATTTTGTCATCTGTTTACAAATCATGCTGTTTCTTTCTCCTCGTGTTAACTTCGCGCTGTTTTTTTTGGAAAAAAATTGAAAATGACACACAAAATGAACAAGTTAGGAAAGGGATTTCATTTGTTTCATTGCTAAATACTAAAATAGTAGTAAGTTAGCAACTTATTAAATTACTTTTTGCTTACTTCAAGTTATGAATCTCTTTGATGATAGCTAGTTTCCCTGAAATTAATCATGTTAATCCTTAAAATTAAGAATTTGATTTCGAGATTTGACCAAAAAAAAAAAGAATTTGATTTCGAGACAAAATATTATACCAAATTTGAGCTAAAATAAAAGAAAAGAATTTGACTGTGGGGTCCAAAACTGACACGACACAAAAACTTTGGTTTCTCCGTCTTTGTTGGAGAAATGCATCCACATCCACTTCTTTAATTTTTTTTTTAAAGGCCTCTTTCTCTTTCAGATGAATGCTCTTCAGATGCCTTGTCCCTTGTTGTTCCAGATTCGAAATACCCAACTCCACCAACTTTTTCCTTTCTACAACCTCTTTCATGGCTGCCTCTCCCACGCACTTCTCTATCTCCCATGATCATTCTTCTTCCACGTCTCTCATTCATCTCCAAAACCAATCGGTATGTGCCAAGTCTCCCCCTTCTCTCTCTTTCTTCGACGAAATATTTGATCGTCGGTTTGTTTTTTCTCCTGCATTTTGATTCAGATCTTCAGTTCCAAGGACAGTTTAAAGAAAACCCATTTGAGATTTCCCACTTCTTCTAGGTAATTTCCGGGCTTTAGTGATTTTTCAGTTTGATACAGTTAGGATACTCATTTGAGAGATTGTAGATTTATCTGATTACTCAAACATTATGTTTCGTTTCTTTGGTTATATAAGTAGTTTGCCTTTTTTAAGATATACAAACACGGTTTGTTTTTTTATGCTTCAAATGGCAAAATCTCTGTATCATGAAAAAAAATGTGAAGATTTAGTTTATTAATGTGGTGTTTGCAGAAGAAAATCTGTGAACTTGCAACTGATGGCTTCAGGAAAGACACCTGGACTGACTCAGGAAGCTAATGACCGTACCTATGATGTTACAATTGATAGAGAAAATAACACTGATGTATTTGACGACATGAAACACCGGTTCCTCGCCTTTAAGAAGCATAAGTACATGTAAGTGACAGAGAACCAATTGCCTCAGTCTTTTGCTTTTCTTTTTTCTTCTTTTTTTCTATTTTTAATGGAAATAGTTGATGGCCTTTCTGTTACCTAACCTCATGATAATACTCTTGAGCAGGGATAACTTAGAACACTTCAAAAATCTGGCAGATGCTCAAGCTCCAAAGGTAGCTTTACACTTAACAAAAATCTTATTATTCATGGATGGCTTGAGATGTTGTTCTCTGTGGTTTAAAAATGATGCTAACAGTGTAAGCAACAGTTTCTGGTGATTGCTTGTGCAGACTCTAGGGTCTGTCCTTCTGCTGTCCTGGGATTTCAACCGGGTGAAGCATTCACTGTTCGTAATATTGCAAATCTAGTACCTTCATATGAGGTATACAAATTAGAGTAGACTGCCAATTTTTGTATTACGGGCTGGTTCACATTTGATTTAGTTGCATTTGCCTGTTGCAGTCTGGACCTACAGAAACAAAAGCTGCTCTCGAGTTCTCGGTGAACTTTCTTAATGTAAGTGTCTATGTTATTTCTTACAGTTTTTCTAAGATACACACACCTCTAAAATAAAACACATGCATGTCATTTATGTCGGCGTTTTGAAGAGTTGGTTCTTTTGACTCACTTATAAAGAACTTGAACCACTAGGGAAAAAAAATTTCAAATCTTTAAGGCACCGGAAAAACACAATTTGTAGACACATTTTTATGTATACAATCATTATGATTCTTGTGTCATTGATAAACATGTAGGTGGAGAACATCTTAGTCATTGGCCATAGCCGCTGTGGAGGAATTCAAGCTTTAATGAGCATGAAAGGCGAACCAGATTCCAGGTTATAATCACTTCTTTTTTCATTCTATCAAGAAAAGAAAAAACGTTTATTGATCTTCGCCATATCGAATTTTCCTGTTAACAGTAGTTTCATACAAAACTGGGTAATTACGGGAAAAAAGGCAAAGGAAAGTACAAAAGCTGTTGCTTCAAGCCTCCATTTTGATCACCAGTGCCAACATTGTGAAAAGGTGATGTCTATTGATAAATCAGTGTAAACGTATATCTTCTGTTAATCGATGAACTCAATATATTATGTTATAACTGTGCAGGCGTCAATAAACCATTCATTAGAAAAGCTGCTTGGTTATCCGTGGATAGAAGAAAAAGTGCGGAAGGGATCACTGTCTCTCCATGGCGGTTACTATGATTTTGTAAACTGTACATTTGAGAAGTGGACGGTTGATTATGAAGGAAGCAGAGGTAAGAAAGAAGGCAGTGGGATTGCTGTTAAAAACCGATCAGTTTGGTGATGACTAATGACCCATCTCAATCTTCATTGGGTTTTCTTTCATAATTTTGAGAACCATCAGAGACCCCTATGAAATGGGATCATCTCATGTGTTTTTGTTGCAGTTGTGTGTTGAAATCGTTTTCTAATTCTACTTCTCATTGCGGTTAAAACTTTGGGAGATACCTTAAGGGACTAACGTTTTATCATGAATGGTTTGTGACTTTGTGAAGTTATATGTTTCTTCTTTTGGTTTCCTTGACACAATCATTTTTGTCCATTGTAATGAGTTCAGAGCCATACAAAACAGAGATAAAGAAAAAACTTTAATACACCAACAGATTTAAACCCAATTTATGATGAATGGGATTATATTAACCTGATCGACATTGCAATACCAGATCGCTCAATCTTATTCATTTATCATATAGTTACAAATTAAATTCTGAGTAATGTTACAGTCAATACACATCAATCCTATAGCCACCAATACATATTCAGTTAGCTTATGTTGATGATAATCTTCACATATAGCCACCAATATATATATATATTCAGTTAGCTTGTGTTGATGATAATCTTCACATATGCCAAAGAGTTTGGTTACAATACTTGAAACATAGAGTTTAAGTTTGGAGGAGATAACTCAAGGGCTGGAAATCGGTGTTGTGGGGAGAGTCGGCGGAGCAGTGATGGATGGAAGCGGCAAGACGTTTCCGGAGGGCGATCCAGGCGTTGCGGGAGGGAAAGAAGGGGAAACGGGAATTTGAGGCAAAGGAGAAGGTAATTTTGGAAAACCTTGCCCCGGAAATTGAGGAAAACCCGGTGTTGGATTGCTCGGAAAACCGGGTCGGGGAAACTGAGGGAAAGGCATGGGATTGTTTGGAAGACCTTGCCCGGGAAACTGAGGAAAACCGGGTTTTGGGAATTGTGGGAATGGCATGGGATTGGTTGGAAATCCGGGTCTTGGAAACTGAGGAAAACCGGGTCTTGGGAAATGATGGTGTCTAAAAAATTTGGGCTTTATTGTTTTCTTCGCGAAGCTTGAAGCGATCATGGAAGAGAACATCAGAGCCACGAGGAGAGAAGCGACTAAGAAGACTTTAGATGAAGCCATTTTGCTTTTTCAAATATTTGATTGTTTCCTTCTCTGATGGATTTGGGTTTATATAGGAGCAAACTCAAAAAGAGATAACGAGTACCGTTTGTATTTCATTTGACTCTTTTTTACTTTTAATAGATTTCACCTTATGGTTTCGTTATTAAGAATAGGAAACGGTTTATATTGTTACTACTCTGTTGCTATTCGTTTGAAGATATGTTTGTTGTTGACTCAACAAAACATATTAATAAGAGATAGACATGACCATGCAACAAAAAGTGCCTTTAAATCCTATCAACATCGAAGACATACATCATAACTGTGGTTCTGTTCAGATATCTTTTCCATATTTCTTATGCTAAACTTACCCAAAACGCTTCTCGCCCACTCGCCAAAATAAGTCTCATTGTATCCTATCATAGCATTCTTATAGACCGACATACATCGCCTATCAGTATCAGCAAACTGACATATTTCCCCAACAGGATCATGCCACGTGCCTTCGTGTCTCATTCCTGACCAATTAGCTCCCCATTGGAACACAAGCTGACCAACCCCAGCGAGCTTAAGCCATCCTTTGGGGAAAAACTCCATCACACTACTGTTTTTATCCATTAGAAACAAGTTAGTGAGCTGTGCACCGTGTGGTGATACTAACACATCTGTCTTCTTCATCAGCTCCACTTGTTCACAAAATGTTAGATTATTCGAATAGGAAACATTTAACTCACACCCATCTACTCTCTCACACTCTCTCTTAAACACTTCGATCACCGTTGACTCGTTTTTGAAAGATCTGGCTCCGGTTCTCAATAACAAAGTCATACCGATTCTCGGTTTTGGTGTCTCCGATGAGCTGATGTTACAGTAGTTTCTCGCTTTGCATCTAATGTGATCAAAAACTTCAATTCTTCTCTCCTTTGACATTCCACCTTCATTGTGTCTCATAACAACCGCCTTCTCGAAGCAAACCGGCCTGTTCTCATCAACAAACCGTAAATATTCTGGTTCTCGACCGTAAGTCGCTGTGATGATCTCACTCAACCAATTCCCCATCCCAAATCTTAGCTCTCCCCAGTGGTATAAAACCCATCTTTGAGGCTTTTCGCATTGGTTTCTTAAGCTCCACGCAACAAACGGGACTACTGCAGTTAGTCCATGCCACAAGTTACCGTAATCGTATTGGTTATAAGAAACAAACGTCAAGCCTTCCTGGAGAATGGCGTTGACCGGAAGAGCTTCAGGCCAAGCCATGGCGTAGTAGTTCCATGACCCATCATGCTCATCAACACCTTTCAAGCACAAAAGTCTTCCTTTCGATGAATCCGAAGGAAATTCTTGATACTGAGCCTCGCCTTTGGTTTGGTTGTCGTAGAGAGAGCTCATGAACCAAGTATGTCCCTCGAGTGGTTTGTTTGCAAAACGGTTGTCCTTGAGAGGAAGGAATGTCACCGATTCACGTAGCTTCTCCACCAAGTAAGCCGTCTCGTTATGAGATATTGGTTCAGGTTGTTGTTGGTGTTTAAGATATGTCAAAAGTGCAGGAGGGAGTGAAAGTGAATGTTGAGTAATTTGAAATGAAGAGATCTGGAGAAGAACAAAAAGAGTGGCAACGAGGCACAAGATGTTCAAGTAGAACTTTAGGGAGGATAAGCAAGTAACCAATCTTCGCCAAACACTACTTTTAGTCATTGTGAAGTTTTAAAAGCAATGAATGGGGAGTGATTTAATGGAGTGAAACAGAATTTGATGTAACTTATGAACAAAACTTGTGAGGAACATAAGGTCAACGCAACGTTACCGGCACAAATCCAATATTTGCGGCAGATTTGGAATTAACCAACACATGCATCCCGTTTTTCTTTCCTAATTTTACAATTTGTTATTGCCCTCTTTACATTCTACGAGAAGTTTTTTTTTTTCTTCGCAAAGATATGTTAACTACTCTGACTTAGAGTTAGATGCATTCAACTGTCTACTTGAATTACTCATTGATCATAATTTTTCGATATTCGTGCTGATCTAGATTAGCTGAAAAATAGATGTACATCTTTTACTGCCAAATATTAAAAAGTAATTAGCAAAATTATTCAGAAGTATGTAACTAACCATTCTATAAATTATTTTGGATATTATATTGTTTTATTCTTTCTAATCATCAAGTGTCGTAAGTAAATATATTTGAAAGTAGTTATTGTTAATACATAGAACATAGAATAGGGATATGATCATATGAATGTAGTATGCCATGAAATTTTGTTATATATCTAATTTTTACATGTTACTGTATTTCCTAATTGAATATTTTGTCAAAGATGTTATCTTGTACATTTTTCCTAAGTCATCTAGATCTAGTGAATGTGTAAAATGTAAACAATTTTGTAATCTTTAAGTGATATCAAATGTACAACTTTAAGAATTGTTAAAGTGGCGATTTCGGTCATAATTGGAACAAACATTGATGTAAAAAAAATAATTTTACTAGATGACAATATTTTTGGAAGAAAAATGAATCATACATACTCGAAGTCTGAGTATTTGGTTACCTGATTTTCCATTAACACCGACACCCATCTAACGAACCATTATAGCCGTGCTTGCGTTCTACAACATCTTGCGTCTTTCTTATGCTAAACTTATTCAAAACTCTCCTCGCCCAATAGCCGAAATAAGTCTCATTGTATCCGATCTTACCGTTCTTATATACCGACATACATCGCCTATCCGTATCGGGAAACTGACATCTCTCCCCAACAGGATCATGCCACGTGCCTTCGTGTCTCATTCCTGACCAATTAGCTCCCCATTGGTACACAAGCTGACCAACTCCTGCAAGCTTGACCCATCCTTTGGGGAAAAACTCCATCACACTACTATTTCTGTCCATTAGAACCAAATTAGTGAGCTGTGCACCATGTGGTGACACTAACACATCAGTCATACTCATCAGCTCCACCTGTTCACAAAATGTTAAATTACTTGAATAAGCAACCTTCAATTCACATCCATCTACTCTCTTGCACTCTCTCTTAAAGACATTGATCACCGCTGACTCATTCTTGAACGATCTTGGTCCACTTCTCATAAGCAATGTCATACCGATTCGCGGTTTTGATCTCTCGGTCAAGCTTATGTTGCAGTAGTTTCTCGCTTTGCATCTAATGAGATCAAAGACTTCCATTCTTCTCTCCCTTGACATTCCACCTTCGTTGTGTCTCATAACAACCGCCTTCTCGAAGCAAACCGGCCTGTTCTCATCTACAAACCGTAAGAATTCTGGTTCTTGGCCGTAAGTCGCTGTGATGATCTCGCTCAACCAATTCCCCATCTTGAACCTTAGTTCTCCCCAGTGGTATAAAACCCATCTCTGAGGTTTTGCACATTGGTTTCGTAAGCTCCAAGCAACAAACGGGACCATGGAGGATAGTCCATGCCACATGTTACCATAATCGTAATGGTTATAGGATACAAATGTGAAGCCCTCCTGGAGACTGGCATTGACCGGGAGAGCTTGAGGCCAAGCCAGTGCATAGTAGTTCCATGACCCATCGTGATCATCAACCCCTTTCAAGCACAAAAGCCTTCCTTTGGAAGAATCTGAAGGAAATTCTTGATATTGAACCTCGCCTTTGGTTTGGTTATCGTACAGAGAGCTCATAAACCATGTATGACCTACGAGGGGTTTATTTGAAAAACGAAGGTCTTTGAGGGGAAGAAATGTTACCGACTCACGTAGCGTCTCCACCAAGTAAGCCGTCTCGTTCTTAGATATTTCTTTAGGCTCTTTTTGCTGATTCAGATATGTGAATAGGGAAGGAGGGAGTAAAATGGGTTGTTGGTAATGTGAAATGACCAGATTTTGAAGAAGAACAAAAATTGTGACGACGAGGCACAAGACGTTCAAGGATAGATTAGGAGACGCAAAGCAGGTAACAAGCCTCCATGAAACGCTGCGTTTAGTCATATTGTGAATGGGGGGAGAGTGAATGAACGTGAAGAAAGAGAATGGTTTTATCAGATGAAATGGGTGAAATGAAACTCGTGAGGAAAACTGAAGCTAACTTTATTTGCCAAATAAGTTGATGTATTGCATGTTTGAAAAAGTACGTTATCAAATCTGCGCCCACATTTGGGGCAGCTTTTAACATCGACCAACACATGCTTCTTGTTTTAGATTCTACAAGTTTAAAAAGCTTTTTTTATATATATAATTTGCTCACAAAGTTGGTAGTAGATAATTAAAGAAACGAGAGAAAGGGAAATATGTACTTATTTTGATATATCTACAAACTAGATTGATTGTTCATATACGACTGAAATATTTGATATAGTCTTTTACATGCAAATTTAACGAATACATATGCACTTATATATAAGAACTTACACGTAAATATTACAAACATAAGAATATGTCTAGTATCATGAGTAAAGAAATAAGCACTTTCACAAGTACACACAAATGTAAAATACAACATAATGATAATCAAAAAGGAAAATTAAAGGTACAAATTACGGCCAAGCGTCATCAAGAAATTCAAAACACACAACAATATATATTATAAGAGAAGTGATAATTCAAGGACTCGATGTAGTTGTAGAAGGCGGAGGAGAGAAGAACGGAACGGATGGAAGATTGGTCGGAAGAGATGGGATGGTTGTCGGAAATGAAGGAAAAGTTGGCATTACAAGTGGAGGCATTGCATTGGGAATTGTGGGAAGAGTTGGTTGTGGCAAAGTTGATGGCATTGCAAATGGAGGCATTGCAGTACTGGGAATTGTGGGAAGAGTTGGTAGTGGCAACGTTGATGGCAATGGAGGTAATCCCATTTTCGGAATAGGCACATTTGGAATTTGAGGAAGAGGTTGTTGCTGGAGAAGGTGGCGTGAGGCCGAGCAAGTGCTGATCATAATAGATGAAGAGAGACTTACTAACAAAGCCATGAGAAAGAGTTTGTATGATGCCATTTTGAGTGTGTTGATGAATCTTCAGTTATGCAATAGTTAAGCCTCTGTAATTGCTTCACTTTTGTTGCTTTATGTTGATGAGACATTCAAGGATATGTTATTGAGTTTATATAGTGGCAAGAGTCTATATGGATTACAAAGACTTCTTAAACAATTTCTTCTAGTATGGTTTTTGGTAGGTATGTTGTATGGTTTCTGTATGGTTGGCTTGAGCTTTTGTTAGCTCAACTTAATGTGTTTTTTCATATTATTTTTTTGACATTTATGGATTCGGATTAAAGTTAGTTCAACAATCAAAACCACACGTGTTACCTAATCAAACTCTAAAATATTTTTATTTATTTTCTAACATCCAAAGTTCTAAACTCTAAATATCATGATAAGCTTTAAAATGCACAATGTACTAAATTACTATATTAGAAAAGTCTATACGTATAATATTTCACTAAAATATAAACGAAATATAATGAAATCAAACCGATTGGACCGCACATTAATAAATTTCTATATTTAAACTTTGTGGAAGTAACTTTTGTAATCAGTAGAAATGTTCCCATACTTTTTTCTACCCAGTATCGGTCCTCCGAATCAGTAATCAGTAGATTTTAAAATTCTTGGGTCATCTCCAAAAACCAGGAAAAATAGTCAACAAAACCGGAATCGATTTCGAATTCAAAAATTCCGTCACTCGGTGCATCGTTCAGATTTCAGAATACGCTTCTATCCTTCTATACTCGTCGGACCTGTAACTCACTATTTGGCTGCTGCAGCGATGACTCTGCCGTCAGTTCGATCCCTCGGTAAGTGCGAACTGATCGGAGTATACGATTTCACTGACGAGGAGGAACATGTTGAAGAGATGTCGAAGAAACTCCTCCGCAAGTTCGGCTCCCCAGGAACTAAAAGCGCCATCGATAAGTATGACTTCCTTCGATTTTGTAAGTGTTTTTGCTCTTAATTTTTCTATTGAATGTTTGCGTCGATTTGTTTTCGGCTTTCCTGGACATGTATTTGATAATCCGAAAAATCAAGTTGGTCTTTTACTCAAATTTGTTGAATTCGAGTTTGTTAGTGTCTACGAATCTTCGAGATGTATCTAAAATATAGTCGAGTAATCAAGTGTTATTCACACTTTCTATTGCAGTTGCGCAGGACACACCAACCGAGAGAAAGGAAATGGACCGGATAGTTCTCGATGTCGAAGGTATAAGTAAGATTAGAACATCATGGAGGACATTTCTCGACTGTGAATGTCTATTTTTAGTTACAAATGATGAAATTGTTCTGAGAAAAGTGTAGAGTTCCAAATTTTCAGATGCTAGTGTGGTAGATCAGCAATTACCTAAATTGGAGTTTAGTTCTTAGAATATTTATGTCAGCACAGCTGTTTGGCACTTGAAACACTGGAATGAGCCTTGAATAACTATTCTTTATTGTGATTAAAGTATTTGATCATATAAAAAGATGAATTATCATCACTGATTGTCTCTATGAGTTACTGGAGAAAGCTCCGTTCCAGTGTCACCATTTCCTTGAACTTTGATCAATTCTTCATCTACTTTGGCTAAGCTTATTTTGGTTTATGCAGTCCAAGAAAAAGAAGAACAGCCAAGGTGTGAACCCAGCAGATATGGAACTGTGAGCGTTTGTCATGCAGTGAGGAAGGACTTATTATAAGGAATAAAATTGTCTAGAAATTTTCTAATTTTGTTGTACAATATATTGCAGTGTGACCTGATTGATGTAATCTCCGATGGCTTTCATGGAAGCATTGATATCGATTCATCAACTTCATCATCTCTGTCGGAAAATGATAAAGGTTTTTAGCATTTTAGTATTCTCTCTCTTTAGTTTCAGATATTATTGCTGTTTTTTCCCCTCAAAATTGCGTGCTCTAAAGAAACTTCTGAATCGTTTTAGCCTCAGCCGGAGAAGAAGCTACGAATTCTGCTTCTGATCCACATGAAGTTGTAAGTCTTTTCGAGTATGTAATATTTATTAGAGATAGTTAAGGATCACAAAAAATTGAAAACCATAAGCTTTAACTCCTCTGAAAAGTTTTCGATTTGCTGTTTGTCTCAAGAGTTATGCTTGTGGGTTTATATGCAGAAAATATCTCATGCTTTTTCTTTTTCTGCATTTACAGGCTTCCGAGAATTCACAAGTTCTCATTCTCCCTGATGTTATTATATATGGAGATATATACTGTACAAACTCCAAGTTAACATTTTCACGCAACTGTATGAATGTTGAAAGTTCATCAGTAAATGCAACTAAAGAGACATTTTGTTGTCAGTGGAAAATAGAAGAAATAATCAGAATTGAGTCTCAGTGGTGTTCAGAGGTGAGTTCTACTCAGTAACTCACTGCTAGATTTTCATTTATGGTTTTTTATGATACTTGAGTTGTAAATTTTAGGTTGAGGCTGCCTTTGTCAATGTTCTTCTGAAGTCTAGGGACCCTAAAGACGTTGACAGTGCGAAAGAGACTTCAGGTTTACCATAAGTTTACATTTGTTTATGTTAGTGTTGTTTAAATGGGAGTGGAAATTTTAAATTGGAAATTGTTAGCTGACTAAGAACGGCATACACATCATATCTCTTTGTTAGTAGCTTTTGATGTTTACAACGTCAACTCTAGTCTAACTAACATCTCCCCCCATGCTGACAGGCATTGATCTCCTAAAATTTTCCGTTTATGATCCTAAATGGTCTAATGAAGTAGAAACCATCAAATTGCTGGACTCGAGATACAAGGATATTTGGTTTGATACCATAACGTAAGTCATCAGGAAAATACTTATTGGCACCATTGTGTTAGTACCTACTTATGGTGTAAATCCTATACAAGGTTTAGGGAGAAAGAGAATATAGGAAAAATATCTGGCGGGTTCTAACATTAAATTTGTCGTTGTTGAATGTTGACAGAGAAAGCGAGGCAAGTGTTTGTAGTGGACAAGATTTGGGAACTTCACTCACCAAGTAAGTATGAACTATATATCATTCGAATAACGTGGTTCATATGAATTTTGGTAAATGTAATCTGACAACTTGGTGATGTGCTCTTATTTTTGAATTACTAAGATTTTGTTAAGACATCCCGTTGACAACAAAAAAGGCTTTTCTTACTTATGTATGCTGACCTGAGAGTTAGATGTGTGCAAAATATGGTAGAATTTTGTTTTAGTTTTGCAATATGATGATGAATGTGGTTCTGTGCCCCATCTAGTTCCCTGAAATATATACTCAGCTTGTATATGGTGCTTTTTAATAATTTATATATTGACGCCCGGTTTAGTTTTATCTTACCTCTTGAGTGTTTGTATTCTGATATTACAGTCTTGCTGATTCATTTGAAGATCTAGTTTACCCTCAAGGAGACACAGATGCGGTAGTAGTTAGGAAGCAAGACATTGAGCTTCTGAAGCCAAGACGCTTCATTAATGATACAATCATTGATTTTTATATTACGTAAGTTACTATCTTTCATATTGACTTAACATTAAAAGGAAATATAAACTGTATTTGTAGAGCATAGAATGCCTACAAGCCAAAAACTGCAAGACTAGGTGCGTCATTTTTTCATGAGTTAAAAGTGAGGTCTCTTCTCGTTTGTTTAGATATGAAAAAACTGTAGCATGAGTCGTAGGGGTGTATATTATGATTTAAACCTTGTTGTATCTTTCATTTATATTTACCTTTTCCTTGAGTTAACTTGTAAAGTTGTGTTTAAGACGTGCAGGTACCTTAAGAGTCGAATTTCTCCAGAGGAACGGGGCAGGTTCCACTTTTTCAATTGTTTCTTTTTTCGTAAGCTGGCGAACTTAGACAAAGATTCACCTAGCGCGTTTGGAGGAAGGGAAGCATACCAGCGCGTGCAGAAGTGGACTAAGAATGTGGATCTTTTTGAAAAAGATTACATATTTATTCCTATAAACTGCAGGTGAAAACATATTTCACACACATAACTAGTTTTCTTACCGCTGATAAGACGACTCATACTTGCATTTGATTGCAGTTTTCACTGGAGTCTGATTATCATCTGCCATCCTGGTGAATTGGTTCCTTCTCCTGGTAAGATTACCTCGCTATGTTATTTTCTTATGCTTGTTTAACTTATTTTAACAGCCTAGATATAAAATTTCACTCTGCTGATGATGAAGTTAAAAACCCATCAAGGGTTCCCTGCATCTTGCATCTGGACTCAATTAAAGGAAGCCACAAAGATGGTCTCGTAAACATTTTTCCGAGGTATGCTCTACAACGTTTCATTAATTTTCACTGCCATGGCATTTACTCGCTCTTGACATCTTTGTTTCAAGAGACCATTTTAAGTCACGATACTTTTGAATATAGTCTCTCGAGTTATTGCTGGTTAATATAGTGTTGGGTGCAACTTATGCATTGCATAGGAGGCTGGATCCAATTTTTGGTTTGAGATCAAAGCTGACTGTGCGATGTTTAGTTTGCAGTTCGTCATTGGTTTCGTATTGGTTTTTTACTTGTGAAGTCTTCATTAATTTTCTATCCATATACATCTTCTTACTCTTCCGTATTTCACTTTTCCTCATCAGGCCTAGTCAAATGCATGGACTTTATCATAAATATCTGTTGTACAGCATAAGTGGAATACTTAAATGTCAATAATTTGATTACAGTTACCTACGTGAAGAGTGGAAAGCGAGGCAAGGAAAGACAAGATATGATCTTTCAAGAGCTTCAAATATGCAGCTCATATCGCTTGAGGTACTGCTTCCTAACAAGGATCACATTATCTTGAACTCAGATAGAAGGCTCAAAACTAATATTAATATAGTCCTCTCCTGATTGTATAAAGCTCTGGTTCTAGATTATCGTCGTTTACATAGTGCCCCTGCATGTATGCGTGCAAACATGTTGATGAGCTTGATAGGTGAAGCTTTACTCTGTAGGCTTGTTTGTGTCTAACATATCAAATCAGTTTTGGTAGACTTTCTTCGAGAAACATGTTACTATTCTATAGCAGTCAACCGATATATTCGTTGTGGACTTTGTGAAAATTTCTTCAGTGACCATTCTAATACTATAGCTTCGTATAACAAATTCAGCTCCCGCAGCAAGAGAATTCGTTTGACTGTGGCCTCTTTTTGCTCCACTATTTGGATCTTTTTGTGGCTCAAGCTCCTGCTAAATTCAATCCTTCCCTTATCACGAGATCAGCAAATTTTGTAAGTTGTCTTTTTGTCCATCGTCTTAGCTGATGAAGTTGCATTTGAGATTATTTTCGTTTAATCTGTCAAGTCCTTAAATCCTGGTAATTATTACATGTTTGACGAAATATATTTTAGAAAATTGATGCAAACAAGGAATTCTTAATTCGCGTCCAATCTGGAGTCTTTTGTGCTCTAGTAGTTTCCTTATGTGAAGATCTTCATTTTTCTTATGATATGAAATACTCCAGCAAGAGACAGTGATTTGAAGGGGGTGCTTTAATTTATATTCCGCTTCTTTTCAGCTAACTCGTAATTGGTTTCCTCCAAAGGAAGCTTCACTAAAGCGTGGATACATCTTAGAATTGCTTTACAATCTCCACAAAGGTCATGATCCAAGTATTCTTCCAGCTAATGCCAAAAGTAAACCACCTCATTGCGGAGTTTCCAACAGGAATGATCAAGAAAATGAAAGCGAGAATGTGAATGAGATTTGTAGCTGGAGAAAACCATTTGATAGTTCCTCATCAACCGTCACATCCATTCCCCAAACAAAGACTTGTCCCTCTGCAAGCGACATGCAAGATCTGATTCTTTGCGAAGAGATTTTTAAAGCAGGAAGTTATGAGCCTAAGTCTGCTAAGCGCCAAAAGGTCTTTATGTCGCCTATAGTGGTAATTCCCTTTTCTCTTTCTTCAGTTTAGATTCTGCTGCTAGTTATCTTACGTTGAGAGCGATTCTATACCAGGAAGAAGTTCAAGAAAGTGGTGAGAAAAAAACCCATTTGCCATTGGACATACAAGAAGAATCTTTTGGTCAAAAGATGGAAACATTACGAAAAGAGCAGTGCATGCTTTACATTGAAGACAGTGATGATGACGAAACTGTTTCAGTAGAATACGTCTCTGATTCCCAAGATTCATGTGAAGTTGAGGTGAAAGACGAAGATGACAATGAGTTGCTTCGGGTTACTGGAGAATCCAAAGAGATTCAAAGAACCGGAGATATCAAGTCTGATTCAGCATCGATTGAAAAAGGAGTGGACAAGGGTAGAGATTCAGATGCTGCCTCTTGCTACAACAAGATTCTTCTTGTGTTGTCTGATGATGAGGGAAGCTCAGCCGCAAGCGATAATCTTAAAGACAAAGGAAACTTCTTAGCTACAAGCTCGAATGTCATGTCCAAGAGGCCAAAAAAACTGATATGTTTGTAGAAGACGAATATCGCCAATCCCATGCAATATTCTTGTTATATTTGACTTCGCTTACCCCATTATGACTTATGAGTAAATAGAAGAATGAATTATCCTTCTCTTCTGAGTAGAAATTCAAATTTTATACTGCAAGTCTGCAACTAATTTACATTATAATATGTCGATTTTCATACTCAATACTGCTCTCGTCTCTTATAAGACAAGTATCAAAGCTTCGTTTTTCAGTAGACAAAAAAAAAAAAGAACTGCTTGTTATTATTATCCAAGTGAGAGGATGAAAACAGAGAGCTCACACAATCCTTTAATACAAAAAGAAACATATTTTCGTCCATCCAATGAAGCTTTACGTGTGGTCACATTCACACCTCGTCGTCTCTACTCCTATGCTCCACGAGCAATTGTTCCAACTCTTCCCTGCGTCTGGCCATCTCCTGCAATAACAAGGGTCAACAAGGATTTCGAAGCCATCTCCAATCACATATCATGATAGATATTGCAAATAGACAATGGAAACTCAATGCAAACATACTATAAATACTTGCCTCAAGATCCTTGACAGCTTGTTCTCTTGAAACTTCCTTCTGCTGTCGAGCACGCTTCAGAAAGCCAATGCATAGAACTCCCTGAAGTTCAGACAACGATCAAAGATTACTAGACTGTAAGACTACAAACGAAAACAAACATAGGACGATCAAATATTTGGCAGAATTGAAAAGAGATTGATCAAAAGAAAAAAAAAAAAAGAACGAGATGCACAATCCCATGAAATAATAGTCGAGTGAAACGGACTATGATAAGCAAGATGCAACCACAATATCTACCAAAAAAGTATATATGAACAGATTCAACAGTAAGGCAAAAGAAAGAAAGGACGAAGAAGCAGCTGTGAAATTTCAGGATGAATTGTGATAGCGTACTGATATGACATAGATAAGACCACAAGCCAGGAGCATGTAGCTTGCGATATTCTGTAAAAGCAGGAGATCCTTCTTTTGAGTCATAAAGTCAGGGAAAGCTCTTGTCATCACAGCAACACTGAAATGACCAAAGCAAATATATTTATATATGACACAATGGTCTCGTTCTTGAGTTGGTCAGAAAATTTAAAAAATCTCAAGATCAATCAATTTGAGCCATGAGCCTTGAATTGGCTGAAGCAGAACAACACAAGATCCACTCCAACAAAATAAGTACAAGAGGAAGTTACAAAGCTGTAACTTACAAAATCTGAAGCATTCCTCTCCCAGCCCAGTACTCAAGTACCTAAGAGAAATTAAACGATGAGCAAATTTATTAAGTGTACATAGTAGAAGAAAATGGAAAAAAAAAAAAAGATATGAACCTTTGAAAACTTGAGGATAAAACCCCATTCTGTCTCGGCGAGAACAACAAAACAAGCAATCAATACTGCGTAACACCGGAATATTCCATCGAATATCTGCCATGGAATCATAAAAAAGCTTCAGACGACGAAGATCGGAAGAGAAAGAGGGAGAAGATGGAGAAGAGAGAGATTACTTACATCGTGGCTGTCCCGGAAGGAGCGAATGGCAGCGAGAACATTAACGACAACGCAGAGAATGGCGATGAGAGAGGTGACGAAGCTGAAGCACCTGCAAACAACAAGGAACGGGTCGGGTCTGTTACTGGGCCTCGATCTTGAGGATCCGGAACCGGAAGAAGGTTCGACGATTTCTTCATGTTCCTCAGCTCTCTCCATCTGAAACCGATTTCCACGTGAGATAGTAGTACCTCTGCTCCGGCGAAGATCCACCGTCTTCGGGATATATGCGATTTGAGAGACAAGTGTTTACTACTTGAAAGCGGGATTCTTTCACCGGTCGATCAAGCCTTCTCTTTTCATTCCTTTTTTTGACATCACTGCTTTAACTAACTCTATTTTTTTATTTTCTTTCTTCAAGCTTCTCTGAAAATAAATAATTTTATTATTTCAGCTACAAAAACTGATTGATTCCCGATATTTCCATAAAAAGATATTTTGAATGTCGACCAAAAAAAAAAATATATTTTCAATGATTGTATCCCCACGTGTCTTAGACTGGCGAGACCACGAGGCTTTCAAGCGAGCGTCACCAGCTTCCTTGTTGGGCTTCATTCAGACACGGAGACCCATTGAAATTTTTTCGAGAAACTCCATTTTTTTATTCCTTGTTTAGGTTGTTTCTTTGTATGCGTTGTGAGGATTAAGTCCTCGTTAACTTTGAAATATGCATTACACGCGTATGTCACAACTCACAACAATATTGCTATATCATTATTTGTGAAATTTTTGCCATACAATTTTCGGTTTCGGAATAGGTTTGTGCCTACCTTTCGTGGATATCTCTATTTCATTGAGAGTATATATCTTGGCCTCTTACTGAACTATTTGTACATATGCATTGGTTTGTAACTTTGTATATTCTAAAATTGCAAGTTTGTATCTTATCAAGTGAGGTACATGTATCTTCCTGATCCTATGATAGTTTTTTTTTTCTTCTCCATTTCATAAAAATAACAAATATTCAGTGATTTTGAGGTAGACAGTAGTAGTACATAGCCAAAAAAAAAAACTTCTAACAAAACATTTAACTTTTTTTTTCTTTCTTTCGGTACAGAAATTATTTTTTTTTTTGGATAAGTAGTGCGTTCGTTTGCTCTAATATCTATCCTGCAAAAACAAAAACAGACATCCGAAAAAACGTTGCATTTGGTTGGTTAATAACATAACCACATAAACAAACATAATACACAGTCACAAGTCAAAATTCCGTTGGCTGAACACAAAAGCCCATATCAGCCACATAACACAAATTATTCCCCCAAAGCTCTCTCTCTCTCTCTCTCTCTCCGGCGATGCCTTCCTTATCCACGCCGCCGTCACAAAACCTCGCCTTCTCGGCTACCGCCACGTCATCCCGGCTCACTCCCACCAAAAGACCGTTTTACCCCCAGCGTCTCTCCGATCATGCCGCCCTCTGCCGCTGCTCCTCCTCCTCCTCCGGCGGAAATCCATCCTCTGCTTCCTCCGACGATAACCCTAGATGGGACTCCGCGATTCAGGATGTCCTCAAGAACGCCATCAAACGCTTTGATTCGGTCTTGAGCTGGTACAGGTCTCAGGATAAGGATGCTGGAGACGACGTCGAGCAAGTATCCGGGGATATCAAGATAGAGGACGATGATTGGGATTGGGAGCGATGGAAGAAGCATTTCGATCAAATTGATGACCAAGACCGTCTCCTCTCCGTCCTTAAGGTTCCTTCCATTTTCCCATTTTCCCATGGCTTCTATGACAACTTTCATTTCGAAAAAAAAAAAAATTGTGGAGAAAATGTGTTTAATCCGGAGATATTGTATTTGGATACAGTCGCAATTGAGCCGAGCCATTAAACGAGAAGATTATGATGATGCTGCGAGGCTGAAGGTGGCGATTGCAGCTGCAGCTACAAACGATGCTGTTGGCAGAGTGATGTCCAGATTTAATGTATAAACTCTATTATGTAAAATATGAAATCATAGTCTCTAAACACTATTTTGAAACTTCATTGGATTGTATTCTAAATTATGTTCTTTCTATTTCTTGCCTTTGTGGTAGAAAGCTGTTCTTGAAGAGCGTTACAAGGATGCTGTATACTTGCGAGACAAAGCTGGTGCTGGGTTGGTGAGCTCGTTATTTGTTTCTTTTTTTGTTTCTTTTATAGATTTTTGTTTTTTTAACTGTTGTTTTAGCTCCTTATAGATGTAGAAAGGTTCTGTTTTGAGGTATTACAATGTCTTTTCTATATGGCTTGCAGGTAGGGTGGTGGTCGGGTATTTCGGAAGATGTCAAAGATCCTTTTGGTCTTATTGTTCAAATTACCGCAGAGCATGGACGATATGTGGCAAGAAGTTATAATCCTCGGTAATTACTTATTATATCTTCTTAGCTCATCAGATATCTGTGGCAGTGAGGTTTTGTGTATCAGAAACCCAATTTCTATAGGTCATTCGTTTCTCTGAAAAATTGCTTTATATGAAATCCTTTCTCTCTCAGGCAGCTTAGCACATCCGCTGCGGGTGCTCCTCTTTTTGAAATCTTTCTGACACTCGATGGAAAAGGGAACTACAAAAAACAGGTTTTTGCCCCTCCTAAATCCTATATAGTTACTGTCAAGTTTGAGTACTTGGGATATCCATTAGAGAATCATTCTTTGTTTATTTCGATGAATTTTGTTCTTTTTTGGAAGCTGACCTTTTGGAATAGATAGCAAACCGGAAACTTATCTATGTTATTATCTCACGACGAATGTGTCTATTTTGATGTTAAATTATGTTTTATTATTTTGGATGCGTGCTTCTTCAGGCTGTGTACTTGAAATGGAAAGAGATTTTTCCGGACGTTCCAACTATGCCTACCAGAACTTTGAATTCTCCCAGGGTTTTGACTTCACCGGGTAGAAAGGAAGATGCAGGCAATCTTGCTGTCGAGAGTAGTGAAGATGAAGATAGTGATAATTCAGACGACGATTCTGATCTCCTTGAGGAATCTTCTGGTTTCCAGAGTTTTCTGCGAGATATGATTCCTGGGGTCAAAGTCAAGGTTATGAAAGTAACTACGCCTGGAAAGGTGGACAAGGATTTCATCTCAAAAGTTATTGAACAGATTGCTGATGAAGAAGATGAAGAGAACGATTTTGATATAGAAGATATAGAAGTGGAAGATGAAACTAAGGCTGAAATCGATGAAAAAAGTTCTGACATCGAATTGGAATCAGTGTCGGATGAAATCATTGACAACAACGGAGGGAGAGAAATCGCAGTTAAGTTTGTGATAAGCGATATCGTTGATCGGCTCTCTGGAAATCAACCTCTGAAAGAGTCACTTCGATCTCCTGCCAATCTGGAATCTGTGGAGAGGTCTTCATTTTATCTTCGGTTAGAGAAAGATTTAAACGTACAAGAGTCCAAGGGTGTGGAAGGTACATTAATTGATGGAAAAGGTAACCGCCAAAGCAGACGCAGGATTGATAACATTATGGTTGATTTGGCCAAATCCATTGAGAAAGAGAAGAAGATCTCTCTCAAGGTTTGTTTTGCTGTGTGTTTTGACTATTTTATTCCTTCTTGTTTTACTGCAAAAGGGAGTCCCAGCTTATTCTAGAAATTCGCTTTGCAGATGCTTAAGGATGTTGGGGAGCTATTAAGCCTCACTCTCAGTCAGGCTCAAAACCGTCAACAGTTGTCGGGTTTGACGAAATTCCGTCGCATTGATGTGACACCTTCGCTAGATCCTCTAGATGGTGAGTGAGTAAATTGATTGAACGTTACAGTTGTTTTGCATCTATCTAAAGAAAATGGAAACGAGCTCTACAAGTGGGTGGCACCTCAGCTATTACAATTTTGTCAGTTACATTTTTTCCGTGTGGTGCGAGATTACTTCAAATTTTGCTATCCTTCAATATAAATAACATTTTTCCTTCTCACTTCAGCTCTCATTATGGAGTGGATTTTGAAAATTTATGTTCGTCTCTATCCAGGACTATATATTGGCGCACATGGGCTGTATACATCAGAAGTAATTCATTTGAAACGCAAATTTGGCCAGTGGAAAGGTGGGAAGGAGTCAAAGAAGTCAACAGATATTGAATTTTATGAATATGTCGAAGCTGTGAAATTAACTGGAGATCCTTATGTGCCTGCTGGGAAGGTTAGTTTCTTTGTTTGTTCTAGTATGAGGTATTAGCACAAATATGAAAACACGCAATTGAATTGGTCTGTGTTAGAACTTCCATGCTTACAGTTGTTGAAGGTGAAACCTAATTGAAGAATAGAGGATAGTGCGTTACCAATATGGTGAAAAATAAACAAGCCGTTATGTTCATGGCTCTTTCATTTACTTTTCTGACTATACAAGAAAGGAAACATTATCATGCAGTATTCACTTGGATGTATTAATCAATATACCTCTACGTACTTTGCGATATCCTTCATTTTTTGTATGTTCTCCCGAAAGACTCTTTGATTGCAATATCTTATTGGGGCCTTATCACAGTCGTATCTCATGACAGGTGGCATTTCGCGCAAAGATTGGTAGACGTTATGAGCTTCCACATAGAGGACTCATCCCCGAAGAATTTGGAGTGGTATGCTTAAGAAGACTATCCAAATTTATCATTAAGCTTTGTTTTCCTATTGGAGTTCTAGTTTGTATAGCTTCTTAATGTAGTCTTTCATTTAAAAAAAAAAAAAAAAAAATACAGATTGCTAGATACAAAGGTCAAGGGAGGCTTGCTGATCCTGGATTTCGTAATCCAAGATGGGTAGATGGGGAGCTTGTTATCCTGGATGGCAAGGTTTTTTTCTCTTCATCTCTTACTGAACTAAAACCAACTTGTACATGATCCAAGCTCAAAAGTTTGACATGTTTGTTAAATTATGGTTTTGATGCAGTATGTCAAAGGAGGACCCGTGGTTGGATTTGTCTACTGGGCACCTGAATATCACTTTGTGATGTTCTTCAACCGCCTGAGGCTTCAATCGTAGTTTTATATTTTGTCTTCTCCCTCTACAATCGAGGAAGGGTTTTCTTCTGGCTATAACCATTGTAAGTGTACTCCTCGATACAGAGCAGATATGAAGTCGATCCTCAGAAAGGTTACAGTATTGCAGATTCATGGGATGGGTTATGCCTAAGATTGCAAGTTCGTGGTTCACTCTTATATATCTGGACCAGTAATGAGCTCATCGCTGGCTCTTTTCTTCTGGAGCTTGACTTAAAGTACCTAAATTGCGGCTAGATTTTAACGCATGGCCAGACAGCCAGAGTAATTGATCATTAGTCGGATTCTGAGACTTTTGTCAGAAAGGAAACTGGATTGTAAGGTTGGAGATGTCTGTAGCTATTTGTAAAAAATAATAATGTATGCTTCTCAGCGATATAAACTTGGTAAGAGTTGTTATTATATATATTTTCCTTGTATATTTTCAGTTTTGTAATGCAGAAAAAAAAAAGAGAAAAGAATCTGTCTAGTGGAATGTCATTGTTGCAACAACTGAAAATATGGCTCAAAGCTTAGATGTGATACCAATAGAGAGAAGCAAAGCAAAGGCAATCATTGATCATCCAGTTCATCATTTCATTACACACAGAGAAAAAAAAAAACAAAAAGAGAAAACAAAACAAAAACGGGAACTTAGGAAGTGGCGGCGACAGCTTGAGGCGGTGGTGGAGGTGGTCGGAGAGTGATCTCAACCTTGTCGTGAACGCCTTGAAGCAAGAGTTCTCCTGGGAATGCCACTATCTTGCGCTTCTTGGCGGCTCTCAATGTCCCAACCAATGCTTCGAAGATGTTGGCACATCGGTCGTCATTAAACAACACTCCAAACGTCACCTGAATCCACAAAGCAATCATCAGGACGGATTTTATCAATCAAACATTCATTTTACAGGGAGGATTAACGATTTTGTAGATCTGAGCGTAAAACAAGAAGAGCAATTAACGATCTTGAGATAAGAGCAAAAGGATTTTAAACTGAAAATACAGATTCCAGATTTAAGGAAAATCGAAGAGCATCCTCCACCAAGTAGTCTTGAGGATTAAAGAGAAAGAGAAACAGAGACAAAAAAGAGGGACCTTGTAAGAGCCATCGGACTGGAGAGAACCAAGACGATGGATCTCTTCCTCAAGTTTCTGAATCTCCTCTTCTACATTCATCCTTTCTTCTGACGACCTTTTTCCAGTTTTCAAATCGGAACAAGACAGCTCGATGACAGATCTTCTTCTCCTCTCACCTCCAAATTATTGTATGTCTCTCTGATGATAGTTTTTGTTCTTCTTCTATCAGCTTGAAAAGACTAAAACACCCACTTCACTTTTAAATTTTTCCAGCCTTACCGAGAATTTCCGAGACGTACCAAAGCTCTTAACTACTTTTACATACATTTTAAACATAGTAGTAATGTACACAACTCTTTTTCAGCCAGTTGAGCTCTAATACATTTCTTACACATAATAATTTAACAAGCTTGCATAAAGAAAAAAAAAAAGGAGACTGGTTATTAAAAATTGAAAATGTTTATTAGATTCGGACTTGGACCTTGTACAACACGGTGAGATAGTTTCATGACGGTGATCCTTGATTTTAACATTTGATTGTTTTTTTTTTTAATTTGATTAGTTAATCGAGAGTGAAATGCGGCTTCTTCACGTTTCCAATATCCCAAGTAAAAAAAAATATTTTATTTTAGAACAAAACTGAAAATGAAAAATTAAGAGCTTGATGATAAAGTAAAACTAGAGATATAAAATTAGCGTGAAAAAGAAATAAAATTCTTCTCTATCATTCATTCGTGAGAGGATCTGTCTTCTCGATTACAGTAAGCACGAAATCGAGTATTGACCCTCTCTTCCCCAGTTCCTCTCCTGCACGAACTCTACCCAAAGGCCAAAAACCCTAGCCTTTTGGTCATTCAATTTTCGATCCATCGATGGCGACTGAAGAAGTAACCGGCGAGACTCCTCCTTCTACCTCTCCGCCTTCGCCTGCCGCCGCTAACAAAGCCGCGCCGTTGGGATCCTCCGTGATTCCGATTGTTAATAAGCTACAGGACATATTCGCTCAGCTTGGAAGCCAGTCGTCAATCGAGCTTCCTCAGGTAGCTGTCGTCGGAAGCCAGAGCAGTGGCAAGTCCAGCGTCCTCGAAGCACTCGTCGGCCGCGACTTTCTCCCTCGTGGTAATGATATCTGCACGCGTCGCCCTCTCGTTCTCCAGCTCCTCCAGACCAAAAGCCGTTCTAATGGAGGATCCGATGACGAGTGGGGGGAATTCCTTCACCTTCCTAAAAACCATCGTATCTATGATTTCTCTGAGATTCGCCGTGAAATTGAGGTTTTTGCTCCTCTCTTTCTTATTGAATTCATTGCTCTATGTCTCTGCTTGAGTTATACCATTTTGGCCAATCGAATTCCAAGTTCGTTTCCCCTTGTAGCTTGCTTTACCATTACCTTTGACTGCTCTAATGTATAAATGGCAACATCTTTGTAGGCTGAGACGAATAGATTAGCAGGAGAGAACAAAGGTGTATCAGACAAACAGATTCGTCTAAAGATATTTTCCCCTAATGTGTTGGATATCACGCTTGTGGATCTTCCTGGTATAACCAAGGTTCCCGTGGGTGACCAGCCAACCGACATTGAAGCACGTATAAGAACCATGATCTTGTCTTACATCAAGCAACCTAGCTGCCTGATTCTGGCTGTTACTCCCGCAAATTCCGATTTGGCAAACTCAGATGCCCTTCAAATTGCAGGAAACGCCGATCCTGATTGTGAGTTCTTCTGCTAACAAGCTCAATGACGAGTTAAAACTATTTATTTGATCGGTAGTATCTGACATTACTCATCTTTACCTTTCATGTATCAATACTGTTTCCAGGTCACAGAACAATAGGTGTTATCACAAAGGTGAATATTTTCTGTCCAGACATTTGTTTTCTATCGTTCTTGTATGGTCGTAAAGAAAGTTGTTCCTCTTTTCCATGTGTTTTTACTATATTTTCTCTCAATGTTTTCAGTTGGATATCATGGACAAAGGTACCGATGCTCGCAATCTACTTCTTGGAAAAGTTGTTCCTCTACGACTTGGATATGTGGGAGTCGTAAACCGTTGCCAGGAGGTAAAGCTGTAGTCGTGTGCTTATATGTCTTGTGTTTCTATCATATAGTATGGCAACTCTTCTTTTACTTTTTGATAGTCTACCTTTATTTGTACTTGATCTCTTAGACTCCACCAAATCATTTCAATGCTGGTGATATTGTTTTGCTTTTATTTTGTGGTTCTGCATTATTACAACGTTTAAATTCATTTTGGTCTTTATTTTCTTGTCAACAGGATATTTTGCTAAACCGTTCAATCAAGGAAGCACTTAGCGCAGAAGAGAAATTCTTCCGGAGTCGTCCAGTATGACTGCATCAATTTTTTCGACTCGCTTTCTGATAATCTTGCGATTTGTCCTGACTATAGTTTTTTTTTTCCGTTTTTGCTACTACACAGGCTTATCATGGTCTTGCTGATCGTTTGGGTATCCCTCAGCTAGCGAAGAAGCTAAACCAGGTTTTTTTTTTAATTAACTCACTTTTCAGTTACGCGTAAGGGATACCTTTCTGGATAAATATCTATTACGAGATAATTATGCATTATTCGCCTTTTTAAGAGTTCTATGTACAAGTATAATTTCTGTCAATCAGGATCATTGTTTATTTTGAAAGTTGATTCATATACTGAAATTTTTTATTGTTGACGACTAGTTTCTTCCCTTCTAATAGGCTTCATATATGGCATTGTTACTTGTTATATAAGAACATGACTTTGTTGTATAAGAACATGACTAATAGAAGCTAGTCTTTCTGGTTCATTGTTTCTAGATTCTTGTTCAACATATCAAGGTTCTGCTGCCTGATTTGAAGTCGCGTATAAGTAATGCTTTGGTTGCTACAGCTAAGGAGCATCAAAGCTATGGTGAAATTACAGAATCAAGGGTATGTATTTATTGCCTAGTTATTTTCCGAATTCTTTGTCTATGACACTGTTATTGGCTTTGGTAACTTATCGTTTGTCCCACTTAATGGTGTCTTTTGCTTAGTCTTTTCTTTTGAGTACTTTGCTCTTCCAGACTATTTGCTCATGCATGTGCCCTGTGTTCTTGACATTCATGGAATTTTTTTATTAGACTTAAAAAAAAATAACTAGTAGAATTAGCATTTGAAGGTGTTCTATTTGCAAGGAAGATTGTTGGCAAGTGCGTAGTTTAATTGTTCTAAGTGTCTACATTTTGAATTAAATTTCTTATATGCTACGTTTTCATTCGGTTATGACTTGTTTCATCTCGATGAATTCTTAAAAATCTTAAAATACTTAAACGTATCCTGTTCTGAGGGTGTTTATTGTCCTTTAAATCTGTAGGCTGGTCAAGGAGCTCTTCTCCTCAACTTTCTTTCAAAATATTGTGAAGGTAATGTATGAAGATGATAATTTAGTTGAGACAATGGATCATTTGATCTATGCTTTTTTGGTTAATAGTGAGTCTCATGGTTAACTTTTTCAAACAGCATACTCTTCATTGCTGGAAGGGAAAAGTGAAGAAATGTCCACCTCCGAGCTCTCTGGAGGAGCAAGAATTCACTATATTTTCCAATCAATCTTTGTTAAGAGTTTGGAGGTTCGCTTGCACAGCTTTGATTTCTATTTCTAATCAATTTTTGCTTAATCTGTCTATGATTTCGGAGGTGCTTGAGGTAGATTTCTGAGAATTTGGACTGATGGACTTCCTTCATATTGCCTTTCAGGAGGTTGATCCATGCGAAGACTTGACAGATGATGATATTCGGACTGCAATCCAGAATGCAACTGGTCCAAGATCCGCATTATTTGTTCCAGACGTAGGTTTCTTTATATGTTTATAAGCATGTTCAGATGTTATCCTATGTTTCCTTACCTTTCTACTTCCTGGGATGTCTAATTACAATATCTTGATTTCAATCTTCTCTGCATAGGTTCCATTTGAAGTTCTTGTTAGGCGGCAGATATCTCGTTTGCTAGATCCTAGCCTTCAGTGTGCTAGGTTCATTTTTGATGAACTCATAAAGGTTAGGTTATTTTCTGGGTTGTTAATAAATGATATTTTGCTCTATATTCTACATTAATTTGAATTCTCTTAACAGATTAGCCATAGATGTATGATGAGTGAGTTACAGCGCTTCCCGGTTCTGAGAAAGCGCATGGATGAAGTTATCGGGGATTTTCTGCGAGAAGGTCTTGAACCCTCAGAAGCAATGATCGGGGATATCATTGATATGGAGGTCTGTATAATGAACTGGAGATCCCTATGATCATTGACGTCCCATAAATAATTTATCAATTGAGACCCTGTATTGTGTAAAAGGAGCACAGACTGATCTTTTCTCATGTTGGTCGTTTAGGAGTGATTTTCTCGTTTTTTTGTTGATTAGTTTGTTTAAATTTGAACTAAATTATTAGTGTTGGTGGTCAATATTGCTTCAATGGTAATGTTAGCTTCGTGGGTGCTGTCTGCAGATGGATTACATAAACACTTCACATCCAAATTTTATTGGTGGAACCAAGGCCGTGGAGATTGCAATGCAAGAAGTGAAGTCTTCTAGGATTCCCCATCCTGTGGCACGACCAAAGGTATGAAGTACTCTGAGCAACACATAAAATCAGTTTTGTGTTTTTTATATGCTCTGTAGTGTTTCCTTATCAGTTTAATTTGATATAACAGGAGACAGTAGAGCCTGATAGAACATCTTCTTCGGCAAGTCAGGTGAAATCTCGATCTTTTCTCGGGAGACAATCTAATGGAATAGTTGCTGAACAGGTATGTCATTTCTTATTTTCTATAGTTAAAATATCTATATATGCACTGTGGGTTGGCGCTAAACGCCCATGAGCAGATTAGAAATTTCCAAGAAAAAGAGTTATTATCTGACACTTAACTCCATGACATCTTCCTAGGGAGTTGCATCTACAGATGCTGAAAAAGCTGCACCAGCTGGTAATGTTCTCATTGCTGTCCTTCCGTTGCATGCAAGAGATTAATTAACATTGTTTTGGCTGTCTGATGAATCTATGTGTTTAAGAGCTTGAGATTCTAGGTTGAGTTTAATTGTGGTTTTATTGGACGTATGATGCTTGATAGCAAATTCGAGTGATTCGAGGTGGGGTATGGGTATCCCTTCAATTTTCCGAGGGGGTGATTCTCGGGCAGCTACCAAAGAAAACTATTTAAATAAACCATTCAGTGAAACTGTCGAGGATATGTCTCAGAACTTATCGATGATCTATCTAAAGGAGGTTTGTCTTCTGTGCCGACTTATATGATTCATACTGCCACGACATGCTTTATTCATTCAACTAAAACTGTTTGCTATGCTTTCCTGTAGCCCCCAGCTGTCTTGAGGCCATCCGAAACCCATTCAGAACAAGAAACAGTCGAGATTAAGATAACCAAACTGTTACTTAAGTCATACTATGACATTGTGAGGAAGAATATTGAGGACTCGGTACCAAAAGCAATCATGCATTTCCTGGCAAGTACCCGTCCTTATTTGATCCTTTTTAGAAATTCTCTCGTTAAAGAGTTTACATATGTAAAGCAGTTTATTCATCTTGTGCAACAAAACCCTGTTGCTATCTTAAACTAACCGAACTGTGAACATACTGATACTATTTCTATACAATACTCAGGTAAATCACACGAAACGTGAGCTGCATAATGTCTTTATCAAGAAGCTTTACAGGTGATGCCTGTGTTTTTTTTCTTTTTTTCTTATGCTTCGCATGTGTGGTTGGATAGTCTCTAATTACTGGCTAGTTGTATCATCTGGTGCAGGGAGAACTTGTTTGAAGAAATGCTGCAAGAGCCAGATGAGATAGCAGTTAAGAGGAAACGCACGCAGGAGACTCTCCACATTCTTCAGCAAGCTTACAGGGTATATTCTCAGCCAGACCTAATTCTGTACATACAATTGTTAGTATACCTCGTTCCGTTCAGCAAAAAAAAATTGTGTTTGCATAACTATATGGTTGTGTGTGTTAAACAGACACTAGACGAGTTGCCTTTAGAAGCAGAATCAGTGTACAATCGTGGCGCCGATACAACAAGTGTGTCAAAACATCTGGACTTACCGAAATCTTCATCGACGTATTCCACGAGCAGTTCATACTCGGCATCTCCCGGTACAGGAAGAAGATCCCGACGAGCAGGAGATCAACACCAAAACGGATATGGATTCTAACATGATCCAAAATCAATCTCTCTGACTTTGTGATAAGTGATAACGCATTTCATTCATTTAATGGCTCTATCAGGTTTTGGTATTAAAATTATGTGTTGGCAAAATGAAAAATTTATATAGGGAATTGGGACACTGGTTTTGGAATCTGCAGTGGGTTAGACTGCTAAGAGAGTTATAAGGGAGTGAAGAAGGTGATAATAGTTTATATTTGTTTCAAACAACAAAGGGGAAGCAAAGCATTTCACTCTTTGTTTCTTGGCTTGGGTTTAATTAATAAGTGATTGATACTACAGGATCGGTCCGTACGACCCTATATAAATTGTGGCCTCGTTTTATCTTTTCTTGTGCAACGAGACTTGGAACATTTTCCTTTATAAAATGTTTGGATTTTTTTTTTTTTTGGTTTTTTTAAAACAGATTAAGATGGATTTATAGATTTTGTATGACATGATTCGTTTTGTTTGGATCAACATGTTTACAATCCAAAAATCCGATACGTTAGCCACTCACTAACTAACAGCCAAGAAGAGATGACTTGCTAAGTCTTTGGTTCAGAAGTAGACATTTGTGTTCTTTGACTGACATTCTCCATTTTTCCTAATTTGGATAAAATGAGTACCTTCCCACAATTTTTTTTTGTTTTTTTTGCTTAGATTAGCAGTTTCTTGTTGACATTTCAACATTTCCAACCAACAAGATACACATGTTTGTGATACATATTGAAATAACTATTATGAGGTTAAAGCGAGAAGAAAGTAATCACATTTAATTACAACAGATATTACATAAACTCCCCATAACAAATTAACAGACAAAGAGGGATTTTAAATTTATTCAAAACTCAATCAATGCATATAATGGTCGGGTCGCAGCAACATTCATCCACTAAGCAGCAGCAACACAGAGCCGCAAGTCTGCAAACCAAAACACACATCAAAATGGCTGTTAAAGAGAAAATTCAACACATCACATCATAAAACATTTTTTACGAGAAAATTCTCTTAGAGCTTTTACGAAGAATTGAAGAACTATGATATCTACATTCCAATTCCTTCACGAATTCCATAAGATCATAAAATTGCATACTTAATTAACTCCTGAATTTGCTAAATTATATTATAAAATCAAATCTTCTAATGAAAAAATTAGAAAATTACACTTACAGTCCCTCAAGAAAACCAGGTTTTCGCTTTGGCGGTGGAGGAGGCGGTGGCGGGGGATAATACTGCGGCGGTACTCCCACCGGAGGCGGCGGGCCAGGCGGGTAGTTTCCCGGTGCAGGATAAGGATATGCATACTTCGGTTCGCTCATATTTTTGGTAGAGAAACAAAATCACTTAAAACCGATATATTATAGTTTTTGGATAGCAAATCTTATAAAATCGGAAGCAGATGAAATAATAATAGTTGAGAGAGAGAGAGAGGGAGAACAGGAATTGCAATCTTCAGAGCGCAAGTGTGCGCTTTGTCGACGTGTATTTATATTTGCCAAAGAAGACAGCTTGAAGGATAATTCTCATACTAATTCTCTAAAAACAATAACGTTTTTCTTACGGTAAGAATTAATATGTGGAGCCTTTGAGAATAATCTTGAAAGTACACACTAGTGTCAAAAACAACTTAAAAGCGGAGAAAAAGAAAGAGGGTTTAGGAATCAATGCTTTGGTGGAAGATTCTAGAGAGGAGAAGAAGCATCGGATGGGTGGTGATGCAAAGGTGAAGCAAAGTGGGTTGCTTTTTTTTGTTTTGGACTTTCTTGTTCTCTTCTTTCCAAAGTTTTCATTCGATCAAGATTCCTCAAACACTTGTTCACACGTCGTTTTCCTTTAGGCACTTCGTTCTCTTTTCAAAACATACAGTATATCGTTTGTTTTAATCTGATTGTACCACTTTAAACATAGAAAGTATTTAAATTGATTACAATTGATGCTTTATACACGTAAAATATATAATATATAACAAATGTATAATATAAATGAAGATTTAGCGTTACGATGTATCGGTATCCATTCGTTATGTTTCATACAGATACATATTTAGGATTTCCTTACATACATTAAGAAAATTTCAATCTTCAATATTTTAGTTTTCGTTAAAACAATATTTTATGCATGTATTGCATAAAAGAGAAATCTGTATCGAAAGAGAAGAGAGACAGATAGTAGGGAGTAGCGACCCAAGTTCGGAAGTTGGGATCAGTAGCAAGGCCAAAACTTGGAAGCAGTAGCGGAGCTAGAAAAAAATTTAGCTGGGGACATAAGTTTATAAATAAGAAAAACAAAAATTAGTTAGGGAAAAAAAATTTTTTTATCACTAAATTAAATTTATTATGACCAAAAATACCTAAATATTAAAAAAAAAAATAAAAAGAGTAAGAGGCACTCGACCTCGCTCCTATCAGTGCTGCGCTGAGAAGCAGAGTCGCATTTCGAGGATCATATTTGAACAACCTTTCTTTAGGAAATCTCAAAACATCTGGCTTCTTAGCTTTGATCAACAACTTCCCGTCCTTGTAGATTTCAATTGGAATAAACACCTCGTTATAATAACACGTTTCTGAACATCGTTTTAGATCAATCGAATACATTTTTTCCCCATCCTCCTTTATCATCATCATCCATTTTCCTCCACATCTCCAAACTCCAGTCATGAGTTTGCTCCACGATCCATACTTGATCCCTAAGGTTCATGAGCTGGATTAGATCGGAGCGTTTTCTAGCACCGAATTGATGAGGGTGAGGAACTGCGTGGAATCTGTGCGTGTGAAGATCAAATGCTATGATCTTGGCTACTCTTGAATACTCTGACTCTGACTCTACTTCCCATAGGTAAGCAGTGAACCAATAGATGGATCCGTCAACGCTCGCTGAGACTTGCCAGTCAAAGCAAGGTATAGGAACAGGGCTTATGTATCTACCGGACAATCTTGTATTCCCGGTTCACTCTGTCTCTCCCAAAGCCTAACAAATGATCTATGGGATAAGGAAGCAGCCTCGCAGAATGCGAACGCATAGCTGCATATATATATATACAAAACAAATTAATTTGAGATCACGTAACGATCCTAGCTAGGTAATTCACTACAAAAATATATAGAAAATGAATATTTGTTACAAAAAAAAAAAATGTGACTAAGAAGAAAACATATATAACGTATAGGGTGTTAATGAATTTACTTACACCTGTAGTGACAAATATGTAGACGGACTGTGAGGGGCAGAGTCACATCTGTCTGTGGAAGAGTAGAAAAGCTTCCTCTGGTTATGAGTCTCTGACCCGTGGACGGATTAATTTAATAACAGATACCACATATCAAGTCGCAGAATGCAGATGACACCGTCGCATGAGAGACAAGGAGTTTCTATAATTGGAATATGCAAATAGGAATATTCTGAATCATCGTCTAACAAACGGATCAACGGAAGTTCAAAGGCGACTCTGCGAGCGAGCGGGTTCTTGATGTTGGCAAGGATCTTGAAACGGTGTTTGGATTTCTGATGAACCAAATAGCGTTCCATGAAATATTGACATCTTATCAGACTTCTCCATCTTTTCGAAACACTTTCTAGTCGATGCAGAGGTTTCACCGCAAGTCTCTGCAAGATCTCAATCTCTACATCAAACGGAAGTTCCATGCCTGCCCAATGCCTTTCCCTGTTATTTTCTTTTATTTATGATTTATATACGAGAATGTTAAACATGAGGGAAAGAAATTAGTTTATTTATTTTTTAATGTTAAGGAAAGTAACATTGTCTTCATAGTAAATGATGAAAAAAACTACCATGTCATCATACAAATTAAGGCTAAAACTGAAAGTTTCGTTTCCACAATAATCAACACAACGTTATTACCGAAGGCTAAAGTATCGTTATGCATGGGCTGACAATTTTTTTCATAACACGTACTATTCTACAGACATTAAAGGAAAGTTAAATTAACCTTTCCATTGTAGAATTAAAAATATTTAGAGGATCATTAATGCCTAGTCGTTAAGCATAAGATCAAAATAATATAAGAAAGAAATAATTCCATGTTTAGCAAATTAAAAAAAAAAAACTTGCCAAAAAACCATGTTACTACTTTGGTTCACTCCTTGTATAGTGAACCCAAATAAGAAAATATTTTGTTGCTGATCAGAGGTTTCAAACCCAGATCCAGAGTTTGTCCTATCACTACTGATTTAATACCATTTGATAAGTTTTTTTAACGCTAAATGCTCTCTTTCTTTACTTATTGTGTTAGTTTTGATGAGTTTTCATACCATTTGAAAGTATGTCTTGCTGTGGTTACAATCTTTGGAAGGGTTTCATGCATTCTATTATGAGTAAGGAATTCTCTGATTAGCAACATGATCTTTTCTTCTCGTGGGTAAGACACGTCTGTCTGAGAACTTCGCTTTCTTTAGGATTTAGGGTTCTTAAAGTGAGAAAGGGGAAAACAACTATGTGGTTACTTATGCTTCAGCAAAACCAGAATGTTCATTCGTGAGGTAGTAAAAAGCAATAGTGCTGCAATTTTGTCGTTGACCTTTTGAGCAGCTGCTATTTTGAAAAAGAAAAAAAAAAATAAAGTAAAACAATTCAAAGAACGAATTCTTTTTCAAAATAAAAAGGAACCAAAAAGAAAATTTGAGATCCTCTGTAGTTGTATCTCTCAAATCTCAATTTAAAGAAAAAAAAAAAAATCAGTAGTGTCAACGCGAAAGCAATAGTGCTGCTATTTTGAAAAAGCTTGGTAAAATCACTCTTAAGAAAAAAGACAATTAAATAACGAATACTTTTCCAAGTAAAGACCAAAAAAATCAGACTTTTTATCGTAGGAATATCCAGGGTTTGCTTTTAAATACCAGTAACGCGTACGCGCCTAATTGAAATATATTTTTATCCTAGTGGTTTTGCTTTACAGATTAAGACCTATATCAATGGCACCATCGGCTGTGATGTTCATGCTCTCCCATTCTCTAATTCAGCAGATAACAACAAACACTACTCTGCAGAAGCAGCCACAACGGGAACCGCCGTCACCGCCGGCTGTTAAATGCCTTCTTCTGGCAAAAAACTCATCAGAAATTTCTTATCGTCCGAAGTTTATTATTTGGCGATCCTGCTACGTGCAACAAGAGATTCCAAGACGCTATTGAACTTGGTTGCTCGTGATAGAGATTTTTCATTTTCACGCCTTCATACTTTCTTCTTTTTGTGTGTTGTAAATAAACATATATATGTATTTTCTTTAGCTTAATAGAATCTCGACTGAAGATGTTTTGATTATTTTTGATACCTAAGAAACTTTATTCATCATACCAACCGAACTTACACTGTTACTGAAACATCAAGCATTATAAGAAGCAAAAACAGAGTTTATTGTGAACAAACACGACGAGCTTTTTACTTCTGATCGATTCCGCTTGGCCATGTCAGATTCTTTACAGGCTCGAGAATAGCTTCAACCTCAGACAGAGTTTCTTGATCCATCCCCAAACCTTCAAGCTCTGTAACTGCTGCAACATTTTCTTCCACCTGATTCAAAAAAAAAAAAAAAGCATATTCTTTCATATTCTAACTCTCATTTCCCAAATAATTATAAAAAGAAATGAGAGGAAAGTCTCAAACTTGAATACCTGTGAGACAGAGCTCATTCCAACCAATACTGATGAAATCTCCTTGTTTGCTAAGCTGTATTGCAGTGCTAACTTTGTGATCTTCTTACCCTTTGATTTACAGTGAGCAACTGCGGCTTTGCATGCAGACTACACAAGAAAATAAAAAAGCAGGAACGAGATTATGATTTCATATGTGAAAACAAGTTGTTAAGAAAAGAATCAGTATCTTCCTTTATTTCTCTCTGAATTCAAGTAAAAAAGTTGAAGAACAAACCAAAACCTAGGGATTAAGTAACTCATGAGAATCCCCTACTCTCCCAAATCTCAAACTAACGAAATACCAGCCAACTCATGAATCTGTTCAATCCACTACTTAATACTCATCAAGGAAGATTTATCTAAAGGGGAATTAAGCAATCTCTGGACTATCTCTAATCTTCTATATTGGTCCGAGTTAAGAAACAGAGGAAGTGTCACTCTCATAAAGTATAGAATCCAGTCCAGTCTACAGAATATATGCTTGATAAAGAATGTTAAGAAGAATCTCATTAATTTCAAAATGTCAAACCTTGAGCTCAGGGGAAGCAGGGTGCCATTCAGGAGGACCTTGTTCTGTAAGGAGACCCATTGCCAATGGGGACGCACTAATCACACCCACACCTTTGCTCTTCAAGTAAGGTAGCAAATCGAGTAAAGTTGAATCATTTATGCCGTAATGACAGTAGGATAATATCACATCGATAGTCCCTGGAGGCACTCGATCAAGAACATAAGTAAAAATATGTAAAGGAAGACCAGTGATACCAATGAACCGGGTCTTCCCTTCCTGTTTCAGTTTCTGCAGGGCAGGAATTGTTTCACTCACAATCTGTCAGCCATGAAACAACAATTAGTAAATGCTGACACACACAGTGAAAGTGAAGAAACAAACCAAGAGAGGGAGAGAGAGAGAGAGAGAGTTGTAAACCTGATCAAGAGACCCAAACTCAATGTCATGGCAGTGAAGTATGTCAACGTAATCTAGCTGAAGCCTCTCCAAGCTCTCGTCGATGCTCTTTCTTACTCTCTCAGCACTGAAATCAAAACCTTCTTTATACCGTCCACATTTGGTGGCCACAATGTAGTCACCTCTAGGGACTTGTAGAGCCTTGAGTGCCTTACCAAGCATTTTCTCCGAAAGTGTTCCTCCATAATACCTTCACAGAAAGATGGACCCTTTAATAACTACATACCCATGGAGAAGAATCACTTAGTTGAAAATTCCCACTAAAACTAGTAGAAAACGTAAACTTTCTCAAATCATCAATTTTGAATCCGACAGACAGAAGCAGCAGCAATAAGTTTGGAAGGATGATTGTAAAAGGTAATCTGAAGAAGAGATGAAGAGATAGAAGAAGTGATTACGGGGAGGTGTCGAAGAAGTTGATGCCAAGCCGGAAAGCGTCGCGCACGGTGGCGACGGCATCATCTTCGGCGACAGGACCGAAGACACTTCCGAGAGGAGAAGCGCCAAAACCAACGGAACTAACATTGAGCCCTGTCTTTCCCAGAGGCCGAAGCTCCAACTTTGCCTGAGGAATTGACATTGTTAAACATATATATCTCAACAAAAAGACAGCTTCTCGGATACAAATGGTAAACCGATAGATATCGAGGATGAGAGAATGCAAGACGTCGACACATGTTTTGGATATTTGTACACATGGTGCTCAACTAGCGAAATTTACGAAACTACTCTTTTCTTTTCACTCCTGCAATTTCTTACTTATTATGCCTTTTTCATATTTACTTTCTTTTTTGGGTATGTAGAAACTTTCTCAATTTAAACCAAGCTCAAAACATATAGGCTCTGATTGGTAACCTGCGGAATGGCAGAATTGCGTTTTTAAACATAATTCCGCAAGTTTTTTGCCTATCAACAAAAAACCGCGTAATGAAAAAATACACACAAAAACGCAGACTCTTAACAAAAATACAAACAAAAAGTCATTTCGCAGAAAAGCACCTTATAAGTCGTTTAATCTATTCCGCAAGATTTTTTTCACAATTCCGCCATTCCGCAAAGTTACCAATCAAAGCCATATTTTTCCCTATTCCCACATAATTATGAATGGAAAGCTTTATTTCTCACTGACTCGGGAAGTTCTGATCGTCAGAAGTTTGGTCTTTGGCTATTTGGCAATCCAAGAGGTTCCAAGAAGCTATCGAACTTGGTTGCTCTTGATGGAGATTTTTCCATTTCAAGCCTTTATAAACGGACATATGTAATTTCTTCCTGATAATCTCACGATGTGCTGTAATTATACAACAACGATATTGATTGAAACTGTTTTGATTCATTTTGATACCTAAGAAACTTTATTAATCATATAAACCGAAATTCGAATGTTACTGGCACATCAAGCATTCCAAGAAGTTAAGAACAGAGTTTACTGTGAACTAGCACAAAGAGCTTTTACTTCTGATCGATACCGCTTGGCCATGTCAGATTCCTTACAGGCTCGAGAATAGCTACAACCTCAGACAGAGTTTCTTGATCCATCCCCAAACCTTCAAGCTCTGTAACTGCTGCAACATTTTCTTCTACCTGATTAAAAAAAACACAAAAAGCATATTGTTTCATATCCTAATTCTCATTCCCACATAATTAAAACAAAAATACCTGGGATTGAGAGGAAAGTCTCAAACTTTAGTACCTGTGAGACAGAGCTCTTTCCAACCAACACTGATGAAATCGCCTTGTTTGCTAAGCTGTATTGCAGTGCCAACTTTGTGATCTTCTTACCCTTTGAATTACAATGTGAAACTGCGGCTTTGCATGCAGACTACACAAGACAATAAAAGCAGTAACGAGTTTTGGATTTCATATGTGAAAACAATTTGTTTAGAAAAGAATCAGTATCTTCTATTATTTCTCACTGAATTCAAGCAAAAAAATCGAAGAACAAACCAAGGATTAAATCATGAGAATCCACTCTCTCCCAAACCTCAAACTAACCAAATACCAGCTTCCTAATACTCCTTAAAGACCAATTAACATGTTAACGCACAGTCAGTTAAGCTGACGAGAAATTAGGCAATCTCTGGACTCTCTTCAATTTTCTATATGAAAATTTATCACAATGTTGCTCTCAGAAGTTAAGAAACAGAGGAATTGTCACTCTCATAAGTATAGCGTTCAGTCTACAGAATAGAATGGTCATGCAACGGTGTTGTGTTCTAACACTGGTCTACGATACAAGCGACATATACATTGTTAAAGAGAATCTCATTAATTTCAAAATGTCAAACCTTGAGGTCAGGGGAAGCAGGGTGCCATTCAGGAGGACCTTGCTCTGTAAAGAGACCCATTGCCAATGGGGACGCACTAATCACACCCACACCTTTGCTCTTCAAGTAAGGTAGCAAATCGAGTAAAGTTGAATCATTTATGCCGTAATGACAGTATGATAATATCACGTCGACAGTCCCTGGAGGCACTCGATCAAGAACATAAGTAAAAATATGTAAAGGAAGACCAGTGATACCAATGAACCGGGTCTTCCCTTCCTGTTTCAGTTTCTGCAGGGCAGGAATTGTTTCACTAACAATCTGTCACCCATGAAAAAACAACTAGTAAATGCTGCCCAATCAGTGAAAGTAAAAAAACAAAAAAACAAACCAGAGAGAGAGTTGTAACTGATCAGAGACCAAATTCAATGTCATGGCAATGAAATATGTCAACGTAATCTAGCTGAAGCTCTCAAGCTCTCGTCGATGCTCTTTATACTCTCTCAGCACTGAAATCAAAACCATCTTCATATCGTCCACACTTGGTGGCCACAATGTAGTCACCTCTAGGGGCTTGTAGAGCCTTGAGTGCCTTACCAAGCACTTTCTCCGAAAGATTTCCTCCATAATACCTTCACATAAAGATGGAACCTTTAATAACTACATACCCATGGAGAAGAATCACTCAGTTGAAAAACTTCGCCTAACCACCACATTGACGTCAACAGTTCTAACGTTGACTTGGCCTCAAAATTTAAATCTCAAAATTCCTCAGACAGAATCAGCAATTAGTTTGGAAAGATGTCTGAAGATAATATCCAGGAATAGAACTAGTGATTACGGGGAGGTGTCGAAGAAGTTGATGCCGAGTCGGAAAGCCTCACGCACGGCGGCGACGGCATCAACTTCGGCGACTGGACCGTAGTGACTTCCAAGCGGAGATGCGCCAAAACCAACGGCGCTAACATTGAGTCCTGTGTTCCCCAGAGGCCGAAGCTCCATTTTCGCCTGAGGAATTGCCATTGTCAAGGGTCAACAAAACATGTTTTGGATCTTTGCACACATGGTCCGAATATTACCCTTTTCAAGTCCAATTTAGAAATAAGTAGTTTTTTATTCTGAGACTTTTGTAACTTTTTTGGAAAGAAAAAATAAAATGGATGAAAACGTCTGGTAACTCATTGAAACATTTGTTTCTTAGGTGCTAGAAAACAAAGGATACATTATTTCAACATATTATTTCAAGACGACAATGATGAAGAATTGATGAATGATAACAAGAATCTTCATTTGTAAAGCTGCTTGAATCTCCGACATGCCTCTAAGATGTTCTCTCTGTGACCAAAGGCGCTAACACGAACAAACCCTTCACCTCCTGGTCCAAACCCACTCCCTGGAGTTGTAACCACATGAGTCTTCTCCAGAATCTCAGCAAACACATCCCATGAGCTTTGGTTCGGGAAGTGAACCCAAACATACGGCGCATTCTTCCCTCCATATACATCATACCCGAGAGAAGTGAATGTGTCGATGATTATGTTTGTGTTTTCTTTGTAGAACCCAATCACCTTGTGCATTGCCTGCAATGTTTTATAAAGAGGAAAGAAAAAAAATCAGTTTGCATATCATAACTTGTGGGAACTGGGTAAAGTTTTGAAATATCTCTTTAGCTAAGCTAACCTCAAGTCCTTCTGGCGTAAGGCAAGCAAGAGCACCAGCTTGAGAGAGATTAGAGGCACCATTGAAGCAAGTGCAGATAATCCGATTGAAGTCTTTTGCAACAGGGAAGCCATCTGAATAGAGTAGCTGTTTCGGGATGACAGTCCAACCAAGTCGAACTCCAGTGAAACCAGCATATTTACTGAATGAAGCTGTCTCCATAGCGACCTGTACGCGGTTGTGACCATGAAGAAAAGGTTGTTAAGAAAATGGCCCTTTAGAAAAGTTATAATTAATCATATTCTGTTACCTCCTCTGCTCCAGGGATTTCGAAAATGGAGCGTGGGTTATCATCAGACATGTACATTGCATATGCGGAATCATACACTATTATTGATCCGTTCTTCTTTGCAAATTCAACTAACTGCTTTAGTTGCTCTCTCGTGGCAGCAGCACCAGTAGGGTTATTTGGTGAACAGAAGAAAATTATATCAGTCCTGCCAACGGTGGATAAGTCTGGAAAGAAGCCATTCTCAGGAGTGCATTTCATGTACTCAATGTTTCCATACTTTTGCACATCAGTGTTGAATTGCCCGGTCTGACCCATAATAACACTGGAGTCGACATATGCCTGCATTACAGGGGGAAAAAAAAGCATAGTTAATGTTAACATAAAGCAAAAGTAGACAAGACTTTAACTGAAATTCGGTTTCATATCTGCCCAATTACCGGGTATGAAGGATCCTGGACAGCAATTGTGACTTTGGAACCAAACATAACCTGCACGAAATGGAATCAATAAAGAACTGCTCATGTTGCCTCCCTACTCTTGTAATAATTTAAGGACAGAAGGTGATCAATAAAACAAACCTGAAGACGTGAGATATCACATTTAGCACCATCAGAAACAAAAATGTCATCATCCCCTATGCCAAGGCCGCTGTAGAATGTTTTCGCAATAGCAGCTCTCAGAGGCTGTTTCAATGTGTAAATTCAAGGGTTAGATTGTATACTTAACAATGAAAGCTATAAGTTTTTTTACAAATATGAACGGGTTCAAGACTATCCACCATCTCTTGAATTTAGCAGCAGTTGAAGACTTTCCATTATAAAATTAAAGAGACTTAAAAGACCACAAAATAATAAAACGATAAGAGAAATGCATGAAGGTGGCAATGAAGCGTTCACTGACCTTTGCACCTTGTTCAGGACCATAACCACTATATCCCTCTATTGTGGATAATTCATGAGCTTTCTGCCAGAGAACAAAACGAAACACATGATTATTCTCTAGATACATGCTTGCATAAATATTATAGTGGCCAAAAAAACTATGTTACCAGAACAACATTATTAAGTTTCCATTGTTGGCTTACAGAGGATAAAATCTCTCAATTTTTTTGAAATCCAGATATGCCAGAACAGAAAATATAGAAAATACAATTTTTTGTCAAAATGAACCGTAATGCATGCTAGGGCAGGCCAGACAGGGAGAAAAAGCAGATGAAGATACCTCTGCAATTGCAGAAGTGATCACTTCTGGAATTGGTTCAGTTGTGTCGCCTATTCCAAGACTTATAATTTGTGCATCTGGATATTTCAGCAAGTGTGCAGACCTTCTCCTTGCGATCTGTTTGCATTTGCCAAAAGGGAGGAGCATCATACAGAGAATCAATGAGGATCACTGCAAGCTTTCAATATGTTAACGTTGTATTGTTCTGTTAAGAGTAGGAGCAATGCTTATGCTTAATGGATCTATAGTTAGAATTGATTAAAGGACATTCCTTTATATGTTCCCAATATATTGCAAACTGGTGTCGCATATCTTATATAGTACCAACACAGAAACAGGTACAAACCTCCGGGAATAGGTATCCAGCCTGAAGTTTGGACATGTTTGAATTACGTGACACATTCGTCTTATATTCTAGATACAGAAAACAAAAACAAGTAAGACATAGATTTTGTAATAGATATAACAATTAACAAACTTTACTAATCATTGCAGCAAAAATAACTTGTAGTTATGTTTCGAAAGAGTAGGAACACGAAGAATTACCGATCTTCTCTTGCGGGGTTGCAACGCATTTGCAAGTATTGACCCGTTTTGCCATGGGTAAGCAACCATTTCGAGCTCTGAAGCAAACCAGAAAAGAAGATCAATACGCATAAAGCAAACCAGAAAAGTGGAGAAAACAAAAGAGCGATGATCATTATGTTAGCAAATGCAGTGTACTATGTTGGAACAGCATCATCCAACATTGACTTCTAAATCATATTCGTCATCATTCCAATTTCACAAAAACAGAGGATTAATACACAAAAAATGAAGCAAACATAAAATGGGAGAAAAATGCGAAAATTCAATTGGTTTTTGCGAAGTATGAATTATAAATCATCTTCATCGTCCCAAAAATGTATCAGCAGCAAACAGAAAGTAAGGCAAAAAACGACACACCTGCGATTAAAATTTGAAGGGGCTAAGAAAGTGGATGAGGAAGAAGAGATCAACGAAGAAGTTAATTGATGGGTCGACGACATTTTCCCGCTTGGCACAATGGATTTCACAGAAAAATGGCAGAAAGTGACTAAGTGTGGCAGGCTTGTAGTAACCAGACTGATAAATCTAGGGCTCTTCGTCGGGTTTACCAACCCGGTTTATTCCAACGATTCTCTCAATCAAACCAAATCGAAATACCCTCCCGCTCCGGTTCGGTTTATTGAAATTTGTTTTGTGTTCAATTTCGATCATTGCCCAATTTAAAACGACGAATTTACTACGGGACCCAATTTACTACCTTTTGTCTGGCTCGGACGACGACGATCTTGCTCTGCGCCTGCTGGAAAACGCCGAGGAGGAATCGCACGATTCTGTGAAGCTTGATATTTCGATCTCGGGGTAAATAATCTCCTCTTCTATCATAATTCTGGAGCTATTGGGTTCTCCGAAAAAACCTTTTGGTGCAACCTATTTTCGATTGTTGTGTTTTTAAGTTTTTTTGTGTGTTGTCTTCTTCTTTTCGTTGATAACAACTTAGCTCTAGTGAATTTTTATGATTGGGAGGCAAGGATTTGGAAAGCTTTATGATTCATGAATGTATTTAGTGGTCAAATCAGATAAAAAAAAATGCGTGCTTTAGATAATTCTATCAAGTTATCGGTTCCTTTGATCTGCCCGGATTGATTTGACTAGAATACGTTTTTATTGGGCACTTCTCTTGATTTGGAGATTTAAGGTCTGAAACTTTCCGTACACCTTGGGTTTTGTTCCTCTCTTAACAGTTGCTTCTGTTGAACTAGATGGATCTGGAAACTGAAAATCGAATAGCTTCGATTCTATTAAGAGAAGCAGCAGAATTGAGGAGGCAAGCTGAAAAAGAAGGAATCCGAGCATATCTTGAGAAGCCTAATGTAAGACATCGACCTAACTCAAGATTTCTCACGGCTACAGTTCTTGGTATTCAGCAAGGTAAGAATCATTATTCCTTTTCTTCTTCTTCCACTAAGTTTATATTTTCTTACTGAGAGATCATTGTGCACTTTATAAAAGAACAAGCAACTAAAGACTGATATTTAATAGATATTCAGTCTTGTTAGGGGTTGTAGGATGAAGAAACCTTTCATTGTTTTATTTTGCGCCTTAACTTCTTTGTTATATAGTGTTTACGTTTCCTCTTTGAATTCTCTACAATCTTTTCATGTATTCCTGATTTTATGGCTAAGGGAATCTAGTTCTTAAGGTTTGAATTTTAGTTGGGGTTGAGAGCATCATTTATCGGTTGTATTCTGATATTCAGATGTGTTTTGAGATTACAATTGAACACTAGGATTCAAATTTGTTTATTTCACCTCTTTTATGTTCCTTCTTTGCGCCGCACAGCAAACAAAGCTGTAGAAACCAATGAAATGTGGAGTCTTCGGAGTGAAGAGAGGCTCAAAAGAAAATCAAGAGAAGAGAGCAGTAGTGGCCAAAGTGAGCAGAACAAGAGGAGGAGTTTTGTTCAGAGATGCAATTCAGTTGATAAAAATGTTGCTACTCCTTCATCATCATCATCAAGCCGGAGCAGAAACAAAGGATGGCAATCGGAAGAAGATGATGAAGGCTTAGGAGATGTCGAGATTGCAAATTTTCTCCAATCAAGGTATTTCCTTTTTATTCAATCTAGGTAGTAGATGCTGCCTGATAATTTCTTTTATAATCATGAGATGGATTGGGAATGAGGTTTTGTTGTTGATAAGACTTGTGATTCTGGTTTATGATAGGGTCAAGCGTGGCAGAGGCTCTGTTGGTCCTAGGATGGATGAAACAGTCCCTTGTCTTCCTGTGAAGGAACCGTCAAGAACTTCTGATACAGGAGATCGCAAGTTAGTGCTTCAGTCAGAGAGATCCCGTTTGAGACATGAGACGGATTCTTCTTCGTCTTCCGAGGAGGTTGTTCATGGGCGTACTCGTAGAAAAAGAAAGGAGCATAAGAAGAAACTTTGTAAAAAACACAAGTCAAAAGAAAAGAGCAGGGATAGGGAGAAGAGAAAACATTGTAGGGACTAGAGCTTGCATGTAAGCACATCAAGAACAGGGATAGGAGAAGAGAAAACATAGTAGGGACTACAAGATCATAGACTCTCCGATCTCCCCGATCCTTTGGAAGACGCTTTTCTCGTAGACTCTCTAATCTCCATCCTTTCGAAGGCGCTTTTCTTATTATTATGTACATAACGTAGACAAAGAAAACACTTTGAAATGCTCAAGAGGAGTAGATTGTATAACATCTCGAAAGGTGTATTTCCTTGTAACACGGATAACACAGTTCGATTTATGAGGTAACGGTAGCAAGAGCACGTTGTCCCCAAAATCTGATCGGTTAGTGAGCTTGAAAAACGGAGAGCTCGCGCAACATCGGTTGAATAATTGAGAAAATCTCTGAGACAAATAAAGTCTGAGCCCTTTTATCACTTCGGATGGTTTGAATTCTCGTGTTAAATTACCTCTCAACAAGAGCAATGCCTTAAAATACAAAGACCCAATAGTTTAGCTAGCTCAACCACTATTAATTAGACAGCCCAACTCTATACATTATTGAATCAGCCCATTGCATTTTAGCCCAGTCGATTTTAATAGGTTGAGGTCTTACGAACGTGACTAATGTATGTGTACATACCATATATATATATATACATATTAAAGATTTTGGTCAAAGCATTTGCGTCTCCACCCATGACTCTCTTTAAAAGAACCCTAGTAGTAGCCACCAAAGTAGAGCAGCCACCACCACCGCATAAAAGGAAGAGGGAGAAAAGTCCTCCTCCTCCTCCTCCTCCGTCGTTTTCATTACTTCCAGATGATATCTTAGTGAATTGTTTAGCTCGCACCTCCAAATCTCAGTACCGTTCTATCTCCTTACTCTCCAAGACCATCCGCTCTCTCCTCTTCTCCCCAGAGCTCTACACCGTTCGCTCCCGGATCGGAAACACAGAGCCCTGCCTCTACTTATGCCAAGAATTACCCACTTACGATCGGTTGTACATTTTTGATCGAACCCTAACTACCGATGGTTGGATAAAGGATGAGTTTAGCTTATCACCTATCACTTGCCCTGCTTTTCCATCAATGTCAACCACTTTAGCCGTCGGTTTCGAAATCTACCAAATGGGTGGAACCACCAACGCCGGCCTGCCGTCCTCGGCCGTTCGTGTGCTTGATTGTCGGACTCACACGTGGCGTGATGCTCCTGAGATGACGGTACCAAGGAAACGCGCCGAATCTGCTTTTATAGACGGCAAGATATATGTAGTTGGAGGAACAGAGGAATCCATGAATTGCGCTGAGGTTTTCGACCTAAAGTCTCAGACTTGGAAGCCATTGCCTAGCCCTAGTGGTGACGCCAAGGTTCTCCTTTCTAGAGGAGAGCTATACGCTACTAGTAGGCATAAAAGTTATGCATATGATTCCTACCTAGGAAGATGGAAGGATTCCAACCAAGGAAGATGGAACAGACTGGGTAGTAGAGCTTGGTGCCTTGTAGAAAATGTAAAGTTTAGTGTTTTTGGGCGTAAGCTTATGTGGTTTGACTCAGAGCGTAGAAACTGGTTCATAATTCAGGGTTTGGAAGATCTGCATCTCAAAGGTGTTGTTTCCTACCCTCATACAACAATTCAGTTATCTTATACTGGTGGAAATATTCTACTTTTATGGGACGAGCCACGCCCACTCAAGTTTCCAGTGGTGGGGAAGAAGCATCAACATACCTGCAAAAACAAGAGAATTTGGTGTGCCGAGATCAAGTTGGAGAAGCACGTTGGCTTTTCGGGATTAGAGATTTGGGGAAAGATTGTACGGTCGAGTCCTGTGCTTAGTGCCCCCGATTCATATAAGCTCTTAAGCTGTGTCACCCTTTGATTAATCTTCTTTCATTTTATTTTGTTTTTTTTTTATCAAGGGAGTTCATCTTTTGTTTTCCTTTATATTTGTTACTACAATATAACACTCTTTTTTTTATTATTATTGAATAGATCGGCCATAACAGGCGTACTTCATACGGTTCATCGAATTTCTCTTCTGCTAAATATATGTCTTCAAGGACGACAATTAGACATTTCTGTACCAATTCAAGTAGCTGGTTATAGTCGAAGCAAATTAGGTTCCAAAGATCAGATGAAGTAAGTACATGGCGGGATTTTACAAACTAGCATTGACCTTTGGCTTGTATACTTCTCTGTTTTTTTTTTCCTATATTTGTCATGATCCAAAACATAGCTTAAAGTCTGTTTGCCTTTAAAAGCCAATCATAGGGTCACAGGTAAACAAAGTCCATTAAAATGTCTGTCAGCCTTGCACCTCTATTGAGTGATGCCAGAGTCGCAGCATAATCTGACCTAGCTGGCGTCTGAGCCTGATGGCATTTACTCCGGCAAGGATGATTATATTGCATTAGTTTTTTTTTAACGTCTATCATATTGCATTAATTCGAGTAGTTTTAATATGCCTACATTGATGATACATTCGCCCGAGAAGTTACAAAGTACGAAAGCTGAAACAAAAAATACAAGATGGTGATCACCATTGAGAAAATGGTCATGCACTGTCAGGAGTCTTCAAAATGGTGATCAGTTTCGTCAAAGATCTCCTCCTATGAAACAAAACAAAACAAAAAGTAAAGTGATGAATAATTTTTTTACTTTTGATTTGGTAAGTTATGGAAACATTTCTTACCTGCAGAAGCTCCTCAATAACATCCTCCATTGTAATGATTCCTACAGCTTCTTCTTCCTCGGCTAGTTTAGGCAACGGATTGCCATTCAAATGCAGGATGTCTGCATCATTGTCCTTCGACCACTTCTTGGTCTTTGACCTTTTAAACGAACTTGCTCGATTCGGGAAGCTCTTCCACTTTTGAAGCGATCTCTTTGTCCTTAACATTCTCTCCTGAGGAGTAGGAGTTCCTTCATCATCCACATCCACTTGGACTTCCTTAACCCTCTCTATTAGACACCAAAGCAAAGATTCTCAAAACTTGAAACTCAAGCAAGACTATTGTATTTTCAACTAGGAAATTAGCTTACCGTCTTTACAAGGTAATGGGTTGATTTTGTCGCATTGTCTCACGACAACAGCCATGTGGCTGAGTCCTTTCTGGAACTCATTCAATATGTCATATAAAGGCAAGGTTTCTGGAACTCTAAAAAAAGGCAAGACATCAGCTTTTGAATCACACTCAGTGGGATTAATTTCTCAGATTCGGAAATATCACCTTGGAATTCTTCTTATTGTGACGTTCTTGACGGGTGTTTCTTCATCAGGGTTGATAGTCAGTAAGTTCTTTACCTGAAGATACAAAATAAACAAATGGTTAGAACCGGAATCAGTAAATATGTGGGGCAATAATGACAAGCATTCTAGAGTAAAGTATTTGTGTGGATATGGTGGCTTCACCAGAGAACCGAGTCAAATTCAGGAAGTAATGCATGAGATTGAGAAGTTACCAGAACAAGGCCGATGATGTTAGTTGGCTGCTCATAGTATACTGGAACTCTGCTATGCCCTTTCTCAAGAATCAAGTTCATCAAATCCCTATACCACACGAACAGAGAAATAAATGAAAAATAAAGCATGAGAAGAATAAATACTCCAGGCAAGTGAGTTTCTGATATGATAATTGTCCAGAGGAATCACAGCACAAGACCTGTCTAGTTTGGCATTGATATCAATCGCAAATATATCAGATATTGGTGTCATTGCATCATTGACCATTTTCTCTGAGAGTTCAAGAGCTCCTGCAATGATTGTCGTTTCGTCATGAGTCAATTCTCCGCCCTTTCCAGCCTGAAAGAAACAAAATACTAAACAATACGACACAGAAGGGATACAGAAAACTTGTCTATCTTGAAGATGGGATCGATGCATACCTCATTTCCATGAAAATCCACAAGTGTTTTCAGCTCAGCTCTTCGAAATAGTGCTGCACGACGATGACCCAATAGATAGTCCAGCAGCTGGATTTTTCAAGATTATTATGACGATGAGCATGATGAGTGGGACACTGACTCCAATAGAGATCAGTAAAGAGTAATTACCTTGCTAATCGGCCATGCAACTGGTAAGCAGACGAAGACTAGGACACGGACAAACGGAGCCACTGTTGCACCAATGGCCAAACCATAACGTGAACAAATTGACTGAGGTATAATCTGCAGTTGCAGTAAAGCCAACAATCAAAGTTACTATACTGAAATGCATTTACATCTCACAGATACAGGACAGTGATTGAAAATGCTCAGAAACTGTTTTCTGACTGAATATAACAGTGAAAAGGCTAATCTTACCTCGCCAAAGAGAAGAATTAATGTCACTGAAATCAAAATGGCACCCCATGCCGTGACAAGTCCATCAAGAAAAATAGGAAGTGTCTGAAAAGATAAATCGTTACTAACATCAAACATTCCCTGAACCTATAATCACACAGGCTAAGATGAAGTTTTTTAATATTTTACCTCCATAGCAGCTGCGTTGCATATAAGTAACGTGACAAGCAACAGATGCTGATTCTTTACCACTGGCAATATCTTTGCTGCAGCAAACAAAAACACTTCTGATCATTGACACAGAGAGAGAGAGAATAATCATGAGAAAAAGGCAAAATGCTCATAACAGCAACTGAATCATTGATGGTAATATGAACAGCTATCATATATCATTGAATATGTGGGTCCTGTCTTTAAGAGGGTTTTCTAGTCTTGATTTGACAAGTTAGAACAAGATCAAAATCTTCAATACTCTCAACTAACACGCCAACAAGTGAATAACATATAAACCAAACTCGACCCAATTTCAAGAGATGCGTTTGGAAGTTAATCAAAGTCTAAACTTTACCAATCAAAATTTCTAATTAGTGGAAATTTCAAACTTCACTGAGCGAAACTATCGAGATACGTAGATGCAAAATAGGTTTAAAAATCGAATCTGCGGCGGCAAAAAGGGGACACAAGAGGAGAAATAAGAAGAATAACAGAGAGAGAGAGAGAGAGAGAGAGAAGGAGAAGTTTTACCAGCATACTGGCGATATTCGGGTGTGCCGGATTTAGCGAGGACCTCAAGATCAACGAGACTCAAAGACATAAGACCTAATGTTAAACCAGACATGAGTCCAGCGAACAGCACAAGAAACACTATCACAGCTATGTGTATGAAGAAGTTCGGCCCGCAACATTCATACTCCACCGCCATCAAAATCCTCTTTTTAAGCTCCAAAACAGCTCCACAAACCAGAAACACTAAACCCTAAACTCACTCAGAGACTTGTCATCTTCTTCTCCTCCAAAAGTAACTTTTCAGGAAAAGGAATTCTAATCGGAATACCAACAGTCACCGACTCAATCAATAACCGCTAAAACCCGAAATCAAGCAAAAGAGACTCGAAAAATGAAGCTCAGAAAGTATCTGAGAAGATAAATTTGTGTGTGATTTGCAGAGAAATCGAAGCAATTACGGAAATGATAAAACCAAAAAGCTCATGCGGTGGAGATCCTCTGCATATATAGATATATAATGACAATAGTAACCCTGTCTGTGAGAGAAACTTACGTGAGATGAAGAAGGGTGTTTTGGTGATTCTCCAGCGTCGCCAAATTCAATAATTTATGAGCTGACGCAGCCATTAGCTGCTTTTCCCGCTACGGAGAGGATTTTGATCCGATACGGATTCTCGCAAAAACACTTTTTGTGTGTCGTGAAACTGAAAGTGTAATGCAACTTCATAAAGTTTCATTTGTTTTTCATAAATTTGACTTGATCAATCACCTTTTTCCTGATATGTTACGTAATGTTAAAACTACCTGATCTAGTGATCTAGGTTAACTACCTGAGTTAGGTAATGTTACTTGTTAACATAACCTGATGTAACTTCTAGTCATAATTATCAAAAGCAATTTTTATTTACCAGAATCTATAACCGAATAATAGTGGAGTGTTATTTAAAGAAAGCTCTCGTTATTAGCCACTTTTTATGTCGGCAAATTAATCCTTGTTAATTTATTGAGCAAAAAGCATATGCAATTTCCCATACAATATCTCATTTTTTATTCTCTCGCTCGTGGCCGTACATTTCCTTTAGCGATCTCTTTTTATACGAGAAACCAACCAAAAGAATTATAGATGAGTCATGTTTTTTATTGGGTAAAAGATGACTCATGTTCAAAAAGTTATAGGGATGTTTTAGCGGGCTTTTTCGTAAGGCCCACTCCGTTTAAAAGCATGCCCACATATATATATATATATATATATATATTTTATATATTTATATTTATATTTATATTTATATTTATATTTATATATATATTAAGAAGAAAGTTTAAATTTTGGCTTTTGCTATGAGCGATTGAGCGGTAAAGATGATGACTACATGACTGATTTGGAACGAAAAAAAAAATTGACTGACTGGTTAGCGGTTTTAATATACTTACAAGAGATTGTAAGAATCAACACTTTTTATTTATTTGTTTCCCTCAATCTCTATCTTTTATCTTTCTTAATATTAACTCAAATGTTGATATTTTAGCCAAAAAATGCTAGAATATATATAGTGTACCTTTTGATATTGTCTACGTAAACTGTTTACATCTAGTTTGGATTTCCAAATCATTTTAATTACTTACAATTAATTACAGGCTTTTGACAACAACAACAAAATATATATAGCTTATTTTTCCAAGTGATTTATATTCCACTGCTAAAAAAAAAAAAAGACAACAACAACAACAAAAAACTAAAATTTTGAGTTTTTGGACGTTTTATAAGAAAATCCAAAAGCTATTGTTTGAATTTTTTGAAATAATTTTGTTATATAAACAAAAGTAATATATATGTATATAGCTTATTTTCCAAGTGATTTATATTCAATTCTTAAAAGAAAAATTAAATATATAAAATTAAGTTGAGTCACGAACTGACGCTTGAAATCGAACTATAATCTAAACAACGGAACATGGTTGATCCATTTGAAAAGAACAAAAAAAACAGAAATAATTATGTCGACATGCATTCACCGACCTAGTAAAAGTCGTAGCAATTAACAAGCATAAAACATAGAAATTATCTAGAGGATAAAATATACAGCAAGAACGTAAGTATATTCTAATGATTTGTATGCCATGTACTTCAAACTTTTTACTGAGAAATAATATTAAACAAAAATTAGATACGGATGTATATCGAAAGATTTGAAGAAATTGTCTTGCATGTTTAATACTTTAAAAATCGTTTCAGTCAAAACCCTTGTTTCAAAATTTTTTAACAAAGAGAAAATTAAGGCTCCGATCTAACCTCCTCGCCTTATTGACTTGGTAAAACAGATTAAAAATAAGATTACGACAAGTGTATTACATGGTCAAAAAATATTTTGCGAGGGTTTATAATGACATGTCCATAAAATAACTCCAACGTCATCTCTATATAAATCCTTCGTTTCTAACCCAAAACACACACCACAAAGTAAAAGAGCTCATAGACTACTAAGAGGATATCAAAAAAATGAAGATATGTAACTCTTCCCAAACCGTCATATTTGTGGCTATAGCTCTTTTCCTAGCTTTTGCAGTTCCTCTGCAAGCCCAAGACCGGAAACAAGACTACCTCGATGTACACAACCGAGCTCGTGCCAAAGTTGGTGTGCGTCCAATAAAATGGCATGCGGGTGTGGCGGAATACGCACGACAATATGCTCTGAGAAGGCGAGGGGACTGTCGTCTCATTCACTCAGGCGGGCGTTACGGCGAAAACTTGGCAAAGAGCAGTGGTGCTCTGTCCGGAGCTGCCGCAGTGAGACTGTGGGTCAACGAGAAGTCTGACTACTTCTACAACTCGAACACGTGTCGCTCTGGAAAAGCATGTGGTCACTATACTCAAGTTGTGTGGAGAAACTCGGAGTGGGTTGGGTGTGCCAAAGTCAGGTGTAACAATGGTGGAACCTTCGTCATTTGCAGCTATCATCGTCCTGGTAATGTTAGGGGCCGTAAGCCTTATTAAGTACGCAGACGACGAATAAATCTTGTCCATAGAGGACGCGTGTGTGTGTGTGTGTTTCTATAATTTCAATAAAATGATCATCATCTATCAGGATATGGTGATTCCTTTGTGTGTTTATGGTTATGTAATATGTTGTGATGAAATAATAATAATACGTTTCTAAATGGTTTTATTTTTGGTTGCGAACTATAAACTGTTGTTTTTATACGTACAATTACGAGCAAAATCATTGAATGCGAAAGTGCATATGGTAATGTGATTGTGAGGTACGATTTGAATTCTATTCGAGAGTAGTTAATAAATTCTTTGCTATATATTTTTTTTTTCTTTGGCGGTTGGGAATATACACATACGCTTCTACAACGAAGCACATCTACAGTTTCTTTAAGTTAACAATAAAGTCATAAATCATATAAAAATAGGCACAATAAAGTCATAAGATTTGTTGCCAAGCAAAAAAAAATGAACCTGGTTCGAGATGAATCAGAAGAATTACTATTTATATATATAGCGAAGACATGTTAGAAATATCAAATATATAACAAGAGAAAACCTAATAAATAAAGGATATTGATTATTTCACTTAGTATCAATTGATTAGTGATATTTATTCAAAATACAAGAGTAAACCTAACACCAGTAACATGGATTATAAAGAGAGATACTTTTCATTTGAATAAAAATAAAAAGATTTCATATATAAATGTTGATATTAAATTCTAAATTTTACCCCAAATAATGAATTGTTAATAAAACTCGTTTTAAGGGTATAATTACAATTTTTATATGTTTAACGACACTCTTGTCATGAAAGGAAGGAAATATGAGTTAACGGATTAGTTTTATGTGTAACAGAAAATTGGTTTCATGATCCAAAAAAAAGGATCTCTTAGGTAACATATATTTTTATTCAACTTGTGATTTTGTATCCATGACTAGTTTTCACTTTTTAATGATGAGAAATATGATCCAGGAGGTCCAAATTTTCCCTTCTCTCTGTTCAAATTCTGTTTACATGCACAGGCAATGAGTTATGAGTCTATGAGCTTCTCTCTGCCTTTTAAATAGACCTCGTCAAAATTTCAGAGCACGCCGAAAATGAACTTCTTGTAGCATTTACTGGTATAGTATAATAACCCATAAGGGTAGAAGAAAAGGGACACCAAAGCTTCGTCAAATTGTTTATTGTATCCGTATTCGTAGTTTTAATATATAGTTTGTATATAAGCTGACTTACAATTTAGATCATCTTAATGTTTAGTTTCTTTATAAAAAAAAAAGATCATCTTAACCAAAAACAAATTGTTAATAGTAAACGCAAATGCTAAGCATTAACAGAAACTTCCTAACTATTTCCGATGATATTTTACTAGCAAAGAAAAAAAAAATTGAATTTATAAAATATTATTTTTTCCATATATCAACGTAAACGTATAAATTAGCGAATTCAATCGAAACCAATTTTTTTTGTCAAGTCGAAACCAGATTTCTATAATTCTGTCATAAGAAACTAAAGGTTAATTAAGCGAGAAAACTTAATACTATTTACTTGTGTAGGAAAATATGAGATGTATATTGATGCAGACACATCTATAGCATAGCATGGTAAACTAATAAGTAAACAAGATAAAAATCTATAATAACAATTGAAACATTCGTCGATAACAAATGGTCATCTTGGGAAAAAAAGATAATGAACAGTGATCATCAAAAGTTAGATAACAAAATTTTCGTGATGGCTATATATTAAGTATTTCTAGATTGTTTAGCCATCGTACGTAGATCAGAATATACAAAAGTCAGAGAGGTGAAACTCCAACAACTATGCATCTAATTAAGAGTTTCTTCATTTCTCCTAGGTATGTATAAAAAAATCGTATGATCAACATATAATATTGTTTTTATGTTTGTCATCGTTTTTTACGTCATTCCTATTTTTTAGTCTCTCCTTTTATCCACATGTTGTAAATAATGTGTTTTCATCGTTACATCGCCATTAAGATCGTAATTACTTTCATCAACGTATATACCACCAGAATCTCCGAAAACACGAATGTATGATTTGTATTATTTATACTTTTTTTTATGCTAGAAGTATAATTTAGACTTGAATTTCATACATAACTGGTGATGCATAGTAATAGCATTCAACGAATCATCTATGGATGCAAAGCATCAATACATATTCAAATTTCACTAGCTAATATGGCGCATCACATATTTTGCAAGATTTATATATGTCCAATTACGCCGAAATTCCTAACATATACATATACTCTTAATCGGTTGGCCAGACCGGAGGCGCATACTTTTCTAAGTTTGTAAATTATTTTTAGTATTTGTGGTAAACAATTACCACTATAAAATTACAAGTGATATATTCGGAAAATACAAAAATATACAACAAGTACCCATGCCAACTACTATATAACTTCGCTTTAATCTTCAATTCTAAACCCACAAAACCTCAAACACTCTAATCGTCAAAAAAAGAAACGAATAAGATGAAAATGTTTAACCCCTTTCAAAACCTAATCTTAGCCACCACCATCTTCCTAGTATTCGTTGTTTCCCTAAGAGCCCAAGACAGCCCACAAGACTATTTGGACGCTCACAACAAAGCACGAGCCGCGGTTGGGGTGGGTCCTTTAAGGTGGGACGAGAGGGTGGCTGCATATGCTCGTGACTATGCGAACCAGCGTAGAGGTGACTGCGCCTTGCAACACTCGAGCGGGCCCTATGGAGAAAACATCGCTTGGAGCAGCGGTGACATGTCAGGTGTTCAAGCCATTAACATGTGGGTGAACGAAAAGGTTGACTACAACTATGGTTCCAACACATGTGCCTCGGGAAAAGTGTGTGGCCACTACACTCAGGTTGTGTGGAGAAACTCGGTGAGGATGGGATGTGCAAAAGTGAGGTGCAACAATGGCCAAACCTTTATTACTTGCAACTATGATCCTCCCGGTAATTTTATTGGTCAGTGGCCTTACTAAAAAGAAAACCCCCCGTTTGAATGTTATACATGCATGTATTATATTGTTTCTATGTATGTTGTTTGTTCAGTTATACCAATCTTCTTCATATCAGCTAATTAATAATGATTGGTTTGTCCAGTCCGGTCCTCTTTAATTAGTCTTTTGTACCATATCTATGTGTGGATTTTATAATGGAATAAGAAAAATGCAATGCTGCGCCTTGCACTTGCTTTGTTTGCTATATGAAATTCTCCTATTATCTTTTGTTGTTGTATTTATACGTACACATATATCTAGGGTGTTATATATTCTTTACATTTTATATCGTTGTATATGACTAAAAAAATAAAATTAATAACAACGTATAATTAAATCTGTTGTAGCTTGAAAATAAATTGCAAGTTAACCAAAAATGCTTCTTCTGTTTGCATTTTACGTTTCAATAGTAAAATATCAATTTGTTTAAATCGATTTTTGAGAGAATATGTGATAATTAATTGAAAGAAAATAAGATATATATTTAAAAGGGAAAATCTCATTCAAAATCACTAGCTATTTAGTTTTTTAAAAAATGACCAGAAAACAAATGCTAAATTATTTAATTAAACTAATTGAACCCATTACCTTTTCACCTTAATATATATGATGAATATACACTCTTCGACGAATATATTTAGAGAAAAACAGTCTTTCATGTATAGTTTTAATTGCAAGGACGACTTGGCAAGACAGTGTTATATATATTGTTTTGTAATCTCCTCCCTTTCATGTACAGTCACCAAATTCATGTAAACTTTGTAAACGCCTTGCGGGTTATTCGGAAGATTTACTACAGATAACTAATGTGAATTGCTCCACATCTCTTTTCTGTAATTTGCAGCAATTTTAATAGTAAAAAAACCCTGTAACAAAAATAAATGAAGAAGAAATGATGTGAATTCTAGATAATGTGAGCTACACGGAGAGACTTTAATTTGCAATCAATAATATTTTCAGTGACATTGTCTGAAAGGGCACGTCATCCGGCTGCTAGGGCAAGGAGACTATGCATTATATGTCGTACATTGAAATAAGAAGACTTCTTCGTAATTCAGCTATATAAAAATTAAAAAAAAAAGAATATACCATGGAATTGTGGTATAAGAGAACACCCCAAGAATTTTCAAATTTGCAGAAGTTTTTGAAATGCGTCCAAATCAACCTTTTGTGCTACTCATTTTTTCCCTTACGTTCTCAGTTTGTTTTCTATAAAATTATTACATCACCCTTAGCTATCCGAATTCCGAGAGCTAAACGATGAAATGTTTTAGTCTGTTGTGTGTTTCTCTATAATACTGAAGAAACGGTTGAACCAAAAATACAAGTCACAGTTTTTCCTTATAATACCTAATAATCCACAGCCGAAACCACTAATTTTAAAGATATATAATTGATCCATCACCCTTTAGCCGTCCGAGATAATAATCACTATCAGCTCTATAAACATTCTACCTATTTTGCACACCTGACCCTAGTAACGTGCGAACATATATATAATTTTGAAGTCAAATTTACTTCAATACGTGACACCAACTAGGCCCTAAACTGTAGTTTATATCCATATAATTTATAAATAACGCAAACTTTCTATAAGTATCCATCACAAACACAAGAAATTCATCTCACTTTATTATTTTTCCATACATATTTTACAAGACAAACAACAAAATCATTAAAATGTTTCATAAAGCCTTGGTTCTCCTAGTTCTCATCAACTACTTGACGCAAATCGATATTTCTTTCGCACAATATTCTCAGTATCAGCAGTCTCATGATTCTCCTGACAGTTACCTCAGACCCCACAACGCAGCTCGAGCGGCGGTCAAAGTCAAGCCTCTAAGATGGGACTTCGGTCTAGCCACTGTGGCTCAAGACTACGCAAACCAACTAGCCGCCGGTTCATGCAGTCTCGAACATTCCGCTGGACCATATGGTGAGAACCTTGCATTGGGCAGCGGAGACATGTCGCCGGCTCAGGCGGTTGCAATGTGGGTAGATGAGAAGGCGTATTATGATTATTACTCAAACTCGTGCCACGGTCAGGATTGTGGACACTACACGCAGGTTGTGTGGCGTGGCTCAGCTCGGCTCGGTTGTGGTAAGGCCAATTGCGGTAATGGTGCAAGTATTGTTGTGTGTAACTATGACCCTTCTGGTAATTATATTGGAACTAAACCATATTGACCATTTCAAATTTATAATTGATGAGTGTGTAAAGATTGTTGTATTAATTACTTTTTGAGGAAACATATTACTTCTTTTCTATATAATTTGAAGCTAGGAGTTGTATGCATACAAATGTTAAGCGCTAAAAACAAAGAAACGTAAAAGAAAAAAAAAAGCAGCTCATGTTTTCTTCAATGTCTCTAAACTATAATTTTTTAATAAAAAAAGTTTAAGTAGTTAAAAGCTAAGTATACCATACATTGAAGCTTATAGATATTTTGCAGTTTATGAATTAGAAAATATTTTTTTTATGTACTTACTATTTCAGTAGACAAAATTTTATTTTTACAGTTTTGATTTTCGAAAAAAATTTCAAGCTTAAAAAAGTTACTGTAGAAAATTTAAAAGTATGCATTCAAGACCTAATAATAATGGAATACTTTTATATTAGGAGTAACATTATCTTTATTAGGAGTAATAACGATATATTTTAAAAAATCATCAAAAAATGAAAAGATACTGTAGATGGGAAAACTTTTTAGTTTTTAACACAGCAGTTTTGACAAGTGTAATATAAGAGTTTTCTGAAAATTTTAAACCATAAAATAAAAGCCTAGATTCAATAGCTTGCAAGATGAAATTTGAACTATCAAAAACGCAAAACATCGCAATCTTTTAAAACCACCACAACCTTATATACATAAATTTCGATTTCCAATTCAGAAGAAAAAAAAAATGTTGTGTTTAGTTCTTGAAGCAACATACATTCTTCAATAAATCTAAACCTAGCTCAGTTTTGAAATTTGAAATCCTTCTTGTTGGGAATAACTATGTTTTGTCATTAATTTTACTGTATCAAACCCTGGACCTACCTCTTTAATGCATGTCTCCTACAATATTCTTAATTAATTATTGGTTCTAATAATGGTGCATATCTGCAAATTAAAACAACATATTCTTGTTTTCCATCTACTAATGAAAACGTAATAGATACTGTTTTTTTGTGGTAACACATAATAGATACTGATTATATGGTAAAATGGTTTTGAATGTAGATCAATTCTTTCTTTTTATAGAACAAAGTGGATTATTAAAAAAAAAAAGAACAAAGTGGATTATTCATCTTAATAATGTTCTAAGGAAAACTTATGGTAGTGGAAAGTGGAAACATAGAGGAGATGTTTTATTTTCAATTTGAGCCATTAATTATAAAATCCAATAGATATACTAATTGAAGATTTACTAAGTACTGTATACTTGGTCTCACTAACTGGAATAAGAAAAAATCACTGCTTATTCAATTTAGCATGTTGACCCCCCTAAAATGAGAGAGTACACATTAGACCTTCGACGGTGTATCACAGATGATGTGTACTTTGCTCTCACAAATATAAAATATATTTCTTAGACTAAAATGTGGTAGACCTTCGACGGTGTATCACAGATGATGTGTACTTTGCTCTCACAAATATAAAATATATTTCTTAGACTAAAATGTGGTCTTGTCCCGTTCTCTAGTCCACTTTGACCACTTCAGGGATGACTCATACGCATTAGTTTTTAATGCTAAGATAAATTTCTGACAAACCATCTCATTCAGATTAATTTGAAATAATCCTCTACTCCAGCTTAATTTCATTTGCAATGTTTGGATTAGGGCTCAAAAACTTTATGGGACTCGATTTAATTGTTGACAAAATAGAATACTAATAATTTAGTTTTTATTTGGTCGTCAATTCTAATAATTTAGTTTATTCCATATTCATTTTTTGGTTTGGAAATGTTTTTTGTTATTATTAATTTTTCCTCAAGACACAAGAGGTTGTGTTTTAACAGTCCTGTATATAGGAGTTCATTTCACCATTTCAACCAATATGATTTCAAAGATTTTATTCTATTTTTTTCTCAGTTTCATGATTAAAATGAGCTATGACGATTGGAAAAAAATCCATAAAACTACTTAATTATTACGGATAATAATAAAAATTATTGTGTTATAAACAAATGGACTTCTAGTAACCGGCCCATTAACCATCAGGTTAATGTCTCATGGCCCATTAGGGTTTCTGATACATTAATTATGTAATGTATATATACACTGCTTATGGAAACAATAAGATAAGAGTTTTTTTCCCTTAATACGTTATCAGCACGAAGCTCAACTTCAAACGATCATATCTCTCAAAATACAAGGAGTTAGAAGGCGATCTATATATCATTTTGAAGCCCTGGAAGAGAAGAATCTAGTGGTGAAAACCGCTCCTCAATCCGACATCAGACGCCCCCTCAAGACTCAAAACAATTGGCACTGTCCCACCTTAGCGGGTGATTCTTTCCAAGCGGTGGTTCCTCCATTGTAGCAGCTGTTCGTCCTCCCTTCTGGCCATCATTCTCAGGAGTTTCCAGTAGATATCTGTGGTCTTTAGCTCCCAGATCATAAGCCGGTCAGAAATCCATTTGGCGAAAAGATATGCAAGACAATATGGATATCATTGTGGATAGTGGATCGAGCCACACCATTCTAAAAGACAAGAATTACTTCATAAATTTAGTAATCAAAACCGCAAACATTAGCACTATAGCGGGTAGTTCGAGCCTAATAGAGGGCCATGGCCAAGCTAATGTGCTGTTATCAAATGGCACATATCTAGATATCTCTGATGCCTTATACTCACCCAGTTCTAAGAGAAACCTATTGAGTTTCAAAGACATAAGATTGAATGGTTTTCATATCGAAACTCAGGATGAAGGGAACAAAGAGTTTTTAATTATCACTAAAATGATAAATGGCCATAAACAAGTTTTTGAAACTATACCCGCCGTATCTACTGGCATTTACCATGCTAAAGTCAGTATGATTGAGGCTAATGCTGCTATCAAAGCACGGTTTTTAGATTACACTATTTGGCATGATCGCCTGGGTCATCCCGGTGCGAACATGATGCGTAAATTAGTCCAGAATTCTAAAGGGCACAACCTTAAACCAAATGGTATTTTCCCTCAGCACCTCAAGTGCACAGCTTGCTCACAAGGGAAACTGATTACCCGACCTTCACCAGTCAAAGTGTCTAAAGAGACCTTGAACTTTCTGGAAAGAATCCAAGGAGACATATGTGGACCAATTCACCCACCTTGTGGGACATTCAGATATTTCATGGTCCTCATTGACGCATCGACCCGCTGGTCGCATGTCTGTCTGCTCTCTTCTAGGAACCAGGCTTTTGCTAGGTTATTGGCCCAAATCATCAGATTACGAGCCCATTTTTCAGACTTCCCATTAAAGACTATACGTCTTGATAATGCTGGTGAATTCACTTCCCAAGCGTTTAATGAATATTGTATGTCCATGGGGGTAAGTGTTGAACATCCCGTTCACATGTCCATACACAAAATGGATTAGCTGAATCCTTCATTAAACGAATTCAATGGGTTGCTAGACCATTACTCATGAGGTCACAACTCCCGGTCTCAGCTTGGGGACACGCAGTCTTACATGCCGCTGAACTAATACGCATACGACCATCTAGTGAGCACAAATATTCACCATCCCAATTGCTAACGGGTCATGAGCCAGACGTCTCCCATATTAAAACATTTGGGTGTTCAGTCTATGTACCCATTGCACCACCACAGAGGACTAAAATGGGACCTCGAAGGAGGATGGGAATATATGTTGGTTTTGATTCTCCCACCATCATAAAATATCTCGAGCCAACTACAGGAGATCTGTTTAAAGCCAGATATGCAGATTGCCGATTTGATGAATCAGTATATCCTAGATTAGGTGGTGAGACAGACAAGCTGGTAAAAGAACTTTCATGGAATCAAACATCCACACAATGGCAAGATCCTCGGACTCTAGAATGTGATTCAGAGGTCCAAAGAATTATATATTTACAAAAGCTAGCTAATCAATTGCCAGATTCCTTTGCTGACCCGAACAAAGTTACCAAATCGTACATACCAACTTGTAATGCACCAGTACGAATAGATGTCCCCTCAGGGAAAAGTCAAGTTGCTACAGAGTCTGACGCACGTAAGAAACGTGGCAGACCACCAGGTTCCAAAGATAAGAATCCCCGGAAATCAAAGAAAGGTGCAATGATTGAAACCGGGATTCAAGAGAACACGGATACAGCCTCAGCTGATACTTACCCTATCAAACCATCTCAAGAGGTTTGGGACGCCAAAACTCAAGGTTCTGAAGGGATTGATAATAATGAGATCTCAATCAATTATATCATATTCGGTTCTCTATGGAACAGAAAAGATGTCGACATCAATGAAACTTTTGCATACAAGGTAGCACTTGAGATTGCGCACACGCAAGAGGATCTAGAACCCACGTCTATAATTGAGTGCACTCATAGATCAGATTGGCTGAAATGGAAAGAAGCCATAAACGTGGAGTTGAATAGTTTAAAGAAATAGAATGTGTTTGGTCCGATCTTAAGGACACCATTCGATGTTAAACCAGTGGGAAACAAATGGGTCTTTGTGCGTAAAAGAAACAAACTCGGCGAAGTCGTTAGATACAAGGCACGCCTTGTAGCACAAGGATTCTCACAGAGACCCGGAATCGATTATGAGGAGACTTATTCTCCAGTGGTGGATGCAACTATATTTCGATTCCTCATAAGTCTGGCCATAAGAGAAAACTTAGATTTGCGGTTAATGGATGTTGTAACCGCATATCTTTATGGACTACTGGAGAGTGAAATCTATATGAGATTACCAGATGGTATTGAGCTCAAAGATAAGCATGCATCTCTTGATAAACACTGCATTAGGCTGAACAAATCCTTATATGGACTGAAACAAAGCGGACGTATGTGGTATAACCGGTTAAGCGAATATCTCATCAGAGAAGGCTACGAAAACGATCCGATCAGCCCATGCATCTTCATCAGAAAATATCAAAACAAAGGATTTGTAATCATAGCAGTATACGTGGATGACTTGAACATCCTCGGAACATCTGGTGAAATCGCCCAAACAGTTGAATGCTTAAAAGCAGAGTTTGAAATGAAAGACCTAGGCAAAACTAAATTCTGTTTGGGATTACAACTTGAGTACGTCAATGACGGAATCCTTGTGCATCAATTGGCATACACTGAAAAGGTACTCAAGAGATTCAATATGGACCAGGCCCACCCATTGACCAGCCCAATGGTTGTGAGGAGCCTTGGATTGGATAGTGATCCATTCGGTCCAAAGAAGGACGATGAAGAAATTCTCGGTCCTGAAATGCCATACCTCAGTGCCATAGGAGCATTAATGTACTTGGCTAGTCACACTAGACCAGACATCTGCTTTGCCGTGAGTCTCTTAGCTCGCTTTAGTTCGTGTCCAACTCAAAGGCACTGGAACGGTATTAAGCACATCCTTAGATACCTTCAAGGTACTAAGGACTTGGGATTATTTTATTCTAACCATAACAAGGATGATCTAGTTGGTTTTGCTGATGCAGGATATTTGTCAGATCCGCACTATGCCCGGTTTCAAACCGGTTATGTTTTCACGCATGGAGGAACAGCCATATCTTGGAGATCCATGAAGCAGACTATTGCCGCTACCTCATCCAACCATGCGGAAATCTTGGCCATTCACGAAGCTAGTAGAGAGTGTGTTTAGTTGCGGTCCATGACTCAGCATATCCGATCAGATTGTGGTATGGACGAAGATAAGGAGCCTACGGTGATGTATGAAGACAATGCAGCTTGTATCGCTCAACACAAGGACGACTACATCAAAGGTGACCGGACGAAGCATATTCTGCCCAAATTCTTCTTCACTCATGAGCTACAGAAGGATGGTCAGGTCAAGGTTCAGCAAGTCCGATCAAGCGAAAATTCAGCCGATCTATTCACTAAATCATTACCGACTTCTACACTCCGGAAGCTCATTCATCAGATAGGAATGCGTAGACTTAGAGATCTACAGTGATGCCTAAACCAGGGGGAGTAATGCGTGTTGTACTCTTTTTCCTTCACCATAGTTTTTCCCACTGGGTTTTCCTGGTAAGGTTTTAATAAGGCAACGTTCCCCAGCGCATTATAGAGATCCCGGTTTTGTGACAGGCACGGTTACCTTGTCCAAGGGGGAGTGTTATAAACAAATGGACTTCTAGTAACCGGCCCATTAACTATCAGGTTAATGTCTCATAACCCATTAGGGTTTCTAATACATTAGTTATGTAATATATATATATATACAATAAGATAAAAGTTTTTTTCCTTAATATATTGCAACTAATATCGAATATAAACAATTCTCAATAATTGAAAATTATTGTACAAAAATAATAGAAAAACAGGGAATAGACAATAGTCATCGCTTCACCTTCTTTGCGTTGTCTGGGCCTTACCTCTGTCCTCCACACTCTTTACTTCTTCAAAGTTTTTCTCTTTGTTTGTTTACTATAAACTCTCTGTAGATTAACGAAGCTCAAAAGCTTCCCTGTCTCCTTCTCTCAGGTAACTCTATCTCAAACTCTTAGGTACTCTCTTCCTCAAAAAACTCCAATTTTCTCTTCTGCTGTCTCCGAATCTGGTTCTTTTCCTGCATTCTCTTTTTGGGTTTTATGTTCTTGTCCTGGTCATATGTATAAATTTAAGCTGTTTTCAAGAAATGGGTACTTGATCTGACTCCTCTAGATCGAAGCTTTATTTGGTATTATCTTTTGCCATGTCCTTCTTCTTCTTCGTCTCCAACAACTTGTTCTTCGTTTAATTTCTCTAGAAAATTTAGGGGTTTTAGGCTCTCAGTTTTCATTTGCTGGTTAGGGTTTCAATTTCTGTAGTTTGATCTAATTCTCTTTTAACTTTCTACTGACTTGCATCATGGTTGCAATTAACTGGTTTTTTTCCTTTTGCATGTCACATCTCCACTGTTCATTTTGGTTTTAACTGAATTCCAAAATCAAAGGAAAACGATCTCTTTTGACGCAGCTCTAGTAATGGTTGTTCTTAGGTAAAAACTGTTCCTTTATTGTCACAGGTTAAAAATCTGAGTATGATATTTGTATAGCTGTGAGAAGATTGAAGGAGTTTTATTGAAGATGAAGAAACCAACAAGCAGAAGTCAAAGAGGGAGCAAAGGTATCAAAGGGAAACACATCCTGCAGATATGTGTTCTGCTTGGAGTTTGCATCTGGTTAATTTATCAAGTGAAGTATTCTCATGATAAGAAGAAAGAATTTTATGAGAAAGATGGCAAGAAATCGACCGTTTTGTTATCAGAGAGCGAAGATGGATTGGTGAAGCTTGGGAGAAAAGATCTTCTACCCGGTTATCATAACCAGAACGAGAACGAGAAGCATGTGGAGGAAGAGGAGGATGAAGAAGAGGTTAGCCGTGAAGATGAAGAGAAAGAGAGCAAGAGTAAAATAGAGAATGGTAATAATGAGGAGGAGAAAGAAGAAGAAGAGGAAGTAGTTGATGAGGATGAAGAAGATAAGAACAAGCAAGTAGAGGAAGTAGTTGAGGAGGATGAGGAAGAAAACAAGCACGAGGAAGATGAGATTGATGAACAAGATCAAAGTAAAACTGCCGGAGATACTGATAAGGATGATGAGTTACTTGAAGAAGAGAAGGGTAGTGGTTCGAGTGAGAGCGATGAGAAAGAAAAAGAGACTAATCATGCAGATGATATGACCGTTGATGAGGCACGTGAGGAGCATTACAAGGCTGATGATGCGTCCAGTGCGGTGTCCCATGAGTCTCGGGTACTGAAGACAGAGAAATTGAAAGAAAGTTATGGTAATTCAACGGAAAGAGCCCAAGAGAACAATTCCAATGCCACTATAAGCGAGGTTCAGGGTCGTACGGAACCTGTCTCGAAGTTAGGAGAAGCTGAAAGAGGCGATACTGTAGAGAAAACAACCACAGAAGTGAAAAATGGTGACAGAGAACCATCCAATTCTGAAACAAAGAGTAATGGGCCTAATGGCAATTCGATAGAAGCAGTTCTTGAAGCTTCAGGTCTTTTGGAGAATGAAACAAAAATCATGCGAGAGCGGAGTCAAGAACATGACAAAACTGAAGATGGTGCACCACCTTCGGGATCCTCTGATCTACGGACTGTCTTCGCACTTGAGCAAGCCCGTAATGTATCCGATCCCAACATCACTGTCTCTGCAAACATTACCAACAAAGATTCCATTCAAGATGAGTCCAGGAGCTCAACTTCAGAGTCTTCTCAAATTGAAAACATCTCAGGCTCGAACACAACTGAGGTGAAGGAGAATTCAAGGTTTGAGGGTGATGATGAAACAGGTGAAAAGGAAAGTTCAAACCTTTTTTTCACAGAGCAAACGGAGGAAGCAGATGATACTTCCGAAACCACACTATTGCAAGAAGAGAGAGATGCTCTCACTGATCCACAAACTCTGCCGGATGTAAGATTAGAAGGGAATGAAGAAGATGAAGAAGAAGCGATCGCAGCAGAATAAGAAGCTCCCAATGGAAAAAAGGACTAGTTTATGTGAATGTTCTCTATGGGTTTTTCTGCTTTCCAGCTGTCATAGTAAAAGCTAAAAACATCAGTGCCTATCCTTGTTGGTTTCCAAAACTGTATATTCATCTTGAACTTTAGCAACGCATTTGCTTTCATTGGTCTTGAGGAAACCAAGTTCAATACTAACAGTAACAGTAGAGAAAGAGCTCAACAGTAAGTTAGCTAAGTAGAATCCTCTTATCTTTCTTGTAGGAACTGTTTAAACAGCAACAATCATGTCCGTAAGTAAAGCTGTAGAAGAAACTCAGAAGATATGATCACCTGACTAGGACTCACCAGTTACAGATACACTGGGAATTAGCAACTCGAAAAAAATACATTACTTTATCTTTTATTATCACTTTGTTCAAGTGGGAGTTTTGCAAATAACTTTGGCAAATATCGTTTCAAAACAAATTTCTATAAAATCAATAACTAATGATGTTAACAGTACACTGAAGATGTGGACAAATACTTTGGCAAGAGAATACCATTACCACATCTCTACTTAATCCAATTCTCAGAGCACCAAAGATACAATGATGATTCTGTTGAGAGGCTGAGAGCTATTATTTGGTACGGATGGAGAGATCTTGTAGCTGCTTTGGATCGACTTCCGAGGGAGTTCTTGTTAAGGCACATTGAGCCGTGGTTGTCTTTGGGAAAGCTATTACATCCCTTATGGAACTCGCACCTGCCAGCATCATCACCATCCTATCCAATCCATAAGCAATTCCACCTGTAATTTCATATCAAATTCTAATGTATCATCAACCATGTTTGACCAATCTTGTTCAACATCGCCATCACAAGAGTTCCAATAATCCACAAGATTGTCAAAAAGTATAAAACCCAATGTTTTCCTAAGCGGAAACTTCCCGAAGCAACAAAAGACTGGGTGAAACAGTCTAGAATTTAGACATTAAAGTTACGATTATGTAATGTTTTTTTTTTCAAGACCAAGATTTAGTTGACCTTGAGAAAATTTACATACCATGAGGAGGAGCACCCATGTCAAGAGCCTCCAAAAGATAGCCAAACTTTGCTTCAGCCTGTTCGTAGGGAACAAAAAAAAAAACACAAGAGATAAAGCGTATCTGTAAATATAGTCTTTCATTTAGAATGGATAAAAAGAAAGTGATAGTCACCTCTTCGTGTGAGATTCCAATAATCTCCAAAACCTTTTCTTGGACGTCCCGCTTATATATTCTCAAACTTCCTCCACCAATCTGGTATACATCAAGAGAGTTTACTAAAACGATTTTCTAAGCTACTGTTCCAGAGAGAAGAAACGGTAAGCTGTTTGGTTTTTACCTCGACCCCATTGTAGACCATGTCATAAGCAAGAGCTCGTGCAGAAAGCAAATCATCTATATCTTCAGGCCTAGGAGCTGTAAATGGATGATGTAATGCCTATAGAGAAAAGGCCTTTTCACATTAGCACACAACATATCTGGCCATTGATCTCATGCAAGTAATCAAATTATGTGAAATGACGGACCTCAAGCCTCTGCTCTGGATCATTCCACTCAAACATCGGAAAATCTGTCACCCACAGAATCGAGTGCTTGGACTATATAAATATCCAAGAAACGGCATAAATCTGATGAACAGTCATCAAATGGAAGAAAAAAAAGAGAAGTGATTGCCCATGGGAGAAACTTACTTGGTCAATCAAATCCATGTCATGGGCTACAAAGAGTCTTAACCTGTCTAGGGTTTTATTGACAGAAGTAACAGGACCCACTCCAAATAAAATAAGATCACCAGGCTCTGCTCCACATTGTCTCACAAAGTTTGTTTTACCCGCCGAATCTAAACTAGAAACTAATGCTGCAATTCCCTCGACCTCGCCTGCATCACAAGTTTAGACCATGTCAGAGCTGAATGTACAAAGTCTAACTATATGGATGTTGTTAGAAAAGAAAAACAAAGAGAACAAAGTACGCATGATTTATTTACTTACCATTCTCCAAGACCTTCAAGAAAGGTAGACCCTTTGCTCCGGATTTTATTGCTTCATTATAAATATCTCCTTTTTTGAGAGCTGAGTTTGAATACTTTTTAGCCCCCGAAGGCACACATAATACCTTGATGATTCCACCACTTTCAAGGGCCTCCGTAAAAACCCTGAAGGAAGATTCTGTGAAAACGTTTGACACCTGCAGTTTCAGAAACTTGGGATTTATACTTTTAAATAGACTTCAAGCTTATATACAAAAAGTGGGAAACAACTCTACAACGCACTTCCTCGTTCAAGGCAAAAACCAGCATAAGCAATGATTCCCTTGCAGAAAACAAAAGCAGGCAAAGAGACATTCATAAACTTCTTTGTAACATTAACTAAATAACCAATGCAGATAATATTACGTCTTTCAACTCAAGATCAAATCTTGTATCTGGTCTATCTGAGCCAAATCGATCCATTGCATCAGCATACGTAAGCCTTGGGAATGGATCAGGTAGCTGGATACCTTTGATCTCTGAAAAGACCTACACAAGAAGGTCAAATAATTAAAAATGCTGAAAGAACATCAAAAAAATATTAAAGTGCAGAGTTTCACATAGAAAATGAGGATCAGAATTTCAGGACATATATAAATTACAAGAAACACATTACGAAACAACAAGTTTACAAACATTTATCTTGACATCATTCTTGCGTCGCTGTCACAGAAGATAGTCGCCATAAAAATAGTTCAATTGAACCCTAACCTTACGGATAAGATCTTCATTCAGCTTCAGCATGTCCTCCATAGGCATGAAAGCCATTTCCATATCAAGCTGACTGAATTCAGGCTGCCTATCAGCTCTTAGATCTTCATCTCTAAAACATCTGATAATACGATAATAAAACGCAAGAGAGAGAGACCATTGGCATCATGAGTCCTATTTTCGATGGCAAATGAAGGTGATGAGCGACTTATGTCAGGGAATTTTATGCTGAACCAAGCTTAGGAGCCAAAGATCATATACATACCTCGCTATCTGGTAATATTTGTCAAATCCGGAGACCATTAACATTTGTTTGAAGAGCTGCGGACTTTGTGGCAGAGCATAAAATGTTCCTGACTTCGAAAGAGACATTTGACAGAATCAGTCCTGTAAACTATGATGAAAGCTTATACTTGAGGGGGAACTAGGGATAAATCAAGATGAAAAGAAGTAAATGCACCTGAATTCTTGAGGGAACCAGATAATCTCGCGCGCCCTCTGGAGTAGATCTAGACAGTATTGGAGTTTCGATCTAAGGAAAACAATAAACCAAGATGAAAAAGCTGAGTAAGACCCAAAACTGAAAATATACAAAAATAAATAAATTACAGAGCGTCATTCAAATAGAGAAGGAAATACCTCAATAAACCCATGCATGTCTTCCAGATATCTCCTAATCAGCTTCACCACGTTATGACGAAGAACTATATTATTCTTCATTTGCTGACGGCGAAGATCAAGACATCGAAATCTAACATCATAAAAACAAATATAAAGCATCAGTAAGCATTTAGAGATTAATACAACGAGACCAGCCATGAAAGATAGATCATACAGCTAATATGTCACCTTAGGCGAATTTCTTCTTTAATTGAATCTTTAGTCTCGTCAGACGTGGTAACTAGGAAGGGAAGCTTTGACCTCACAGGATTCAATATTTCAACATGCTCTGCAACTACCTAATGCAACATACCACCCACATTAACTTTGGAGAAAACAAAAACATTTAAGATATATACATGCAACTGAGCTGAGTGAGAAGAGAAGCCATACCTCAATGGCTCCAGTTTTCATTTTCTTGTTGATAGACTCATTTGGCCGACTACGAACAGTACCTTCCACGGAAACAACGTACTCAAGCCTCATGTCATTGATCAAGCCATGCGCCTCAGGAAACTCATCCGGAAGCGTCCTGACCTAATACAATTATAAAACTTTCAAACATCAACGAAGCATACAGTCCTCAAATATCCAGCTTTGCAAGCGTTTCACAAACTGGAAAAACATTGAGTAAAAACATGTCAAATCCAGGAATGGATTAAATGAAACACTAATTGTTTCTTTTACTCAGATTCAAACCCAAACATCGAGTAAAAAGTGCATTGATAAAAACACACTTCTAACTAATAATCAACTGCTACCTAACACTTAACGGCTATAATGCAAAGTGGGAATAACATTAGGTGAAATAGAGGAACCTGGACAATGCCGGTATGATCTCTAAGATTAACGAAAGTGAGGCCTCCATGGACTCTGTGAAGGGCGACCCACCCGCAAAGGTGGACCCTTTTACCAACATCGTCGACTGATAATTCGCCGCATAGCCCGGTGCGCGATACCCACCGAAGAACCGACGGAGGAGGTGGAAGTGGCTTCAAAACGGCGTCGCCGGAGGCAACAGAGGCAGTGGAATTGGAGAAGGTTCTTCGGGTTCTGGGAAGTGGGTTTCTACGTCTGGGAACGAAAAAGAGAGCTGCGGCGTTAGAGGCGGATATGGCGGTGGCGGAGAGGAAAAGAGAAGAAAACGATGCAGGTCGAAGAGGCAAAGTTCGCAGGAGGAGAGACATTATTGGGACGAGATAGTAGCGAAAGGAGGAAAGGTTTAAGGGATTGCGTTTTCAGAGACGACGAAGACGTTGAACAAATAAATTGATCGAATTTGCTTTGGTTTATAACTAACCGAAATTGGTCAAAATGATAGACTTTTTGGATGATTGAGGACTGTGGGGAAATGAGTACAATATTGAGCAACTTGATTAAAAAAAAAAGCTTTTTCATTTGTGTGTTATTTAAAGCTGAAAATCACTAATCAAAACTTGTTATCGGATACAGAGCAGCTAATTCTGTACAAATCCATAATTTAGTCATTATTCTCTTCCCACTGCTTTTACATCAGTTTAATACCCTCCTCCTCAGAACATCTGATCACTTCTTAAATTTTCTCATTTACAATGTCTCTTCTTATGTTTGGCTTGCGCCAGATTGTGGAAGAAATCTACAAATACTTGCTCGTAATCTGGCATCTTTCCGTAACCTGCAAATGGATTTTAAAAAGACTTATGTTCATCATTATCTGCTTCCCTGAGAAAATCATATTCAGACTACACCAGAGCTTCAGATACAAACAAACCAAAAACTTGCCAGGAAAATAATTGATGTCAATAACATAAAAGACGTTTTTGCTCCCATGTTCCCTGATCATGTCTATGTTGAAAAGCCGAAGTCCCTATCCAACGAAAGCAGCAACTGATCAGAACATACAAAAGAAACATACTTGCAGGGGAAAATTTGAGGAATCAGCAAAAATTTATTACCAATAAGCTTCGCAGCTCTTTTACAAGGGCCTCGAGAAAAGGCTTTGGAGGTAGCTCAGCAACACTAGGGTCCAGGTCTGCGTTATCAGCTGATGCAGCAGCAGATGAAACCCTTGGGAATTGGAAGACGCCATCAACTTTGGCTTTTTCGCAATTGCTCACATTTGGTAAAGAAAACCGTCTCACAACTTTTATAACATCACCCACCACAAAAACCTTGAAGAGAACTCCACCTTCAGGCAGCAGAAAATGAATCAAAATGCATTCGACATTTTGTATATATAAATGGGACAATTGCATACTAAAGTGCATCATAAAACACAATACCATGATTAACAAACTCTTGGAGGACTAAAGGCGGATCAAGTTCTGCAAGCGAGCGCCTGTCATAAGCTAAGAATAACTGATGTGACTTTGCAGTTCCATCGATCCAGAGTGGCTTTGCAACTGGGAAAAAGTTGAAAGAATCAAATTTGAACCATTTTTATACTTTCTTATAATCATCGATATATATATATATATATAAGAACATTTAGCGGCAAGAAAATATGTTAAGTTGTACCTAGTGGAAATTTAAGACCAGCTTCCACAACTTTATCGGCACTAGATGCTGAATCTTTCAGGACAACCATTTGCTTTGGAACAAAAATGCTGCCTACAAGGATTTACCAAAGCAAAAATCACTTATAGAGAGGCTTAAGAAAGCTATTGAATTTCAATGTATAAAAAATATTTCTGAGGAGGATTATTACCACTGCAATCTGACAGGTTCAAATCTGCCATACCCTGAAGCATAGATTGTCGATTATATATACGCTGTATTGCACCTGGAGGATCAAGCACAGTCACTTCTGGATGTTTTTGCTGGTAATCCTGCAAACAAATTGAGGCAAACATGAGATTGCAGACCAAAATATTGAGTTTGGCGACATTGTATTAAAGAAATGGATCGTTTCAACAAAAGTAAAAAAAATGGCTCCAGCTGCAAGTAACAAAATTCTCTCAAACCAAAAGGCAGACAAGACAATTCTCCGAACCTCAATAACCTCTTGCCACTCTTTTCCGAGCAACTGCAAGCGCACAATCATAGAATTCATTAGAATATTAGCAGAAACATAGATAGAAAAAAGTTCAGATGAAAGCATTCTTAGCTCTCACAAACCTTATGTAAAACGACATCAAATGGCCCTTGTTCAGAAAGCGGACGGTTCAAATCGATGGCGACAAAGCAAATGCCTTTTCTCCTAAAAAGAGACAAAAGTAGAACTGTTAGAGCTTTCTTCAAAACTCAGCTGGAAAAAGAAAAAGAATGAAGGCTTTGGGTTGATTAGAAAGAGGCAAAGCTAGAGACCAGTCGTCAAACTGAAGAAAAAACTATTAAGAAATGTTTTTCCCTGAACTATGAAATCCTTGTTTGAGAGATTCTACCACATGAAATTTTAAGTAGAACCAGTCATCGTTTTAATTAAAACACCCATGTGACTGAAGAAGATTTCCAAGCAACAGAAAGGGCAAAACAACAAGTATATTTTTTTAAAAGCTAAAGTCAAACCTCAATAGAGACTAATCCAAAAGAATCAATACAAGGAATATTCCCATATAAACAAGGTTCCTGATACCACAAGTATACCAGTGTAAGTCTAAGCAAGGAATCGATAGAGGACAAAAAAATGGCAAATGACAAGACACGGCAAGTGGCAATGGTCTTCTCCACAGTAGAATCAGGCAAACCAACAATAGCTCTACCAAAACAAGAGCAAAGAAACAAGAACCAAATCTGGGGGAAATGTCAAAGTCCTAAATATCCTTTTGAAAGTAGAAAAGAAATTGTCGGTTCAGTTATACGCCAACAAAAGAAGAGTCTTCGCAGGGAGAGAAACACATTACACAAATTTGGAAACTATGCAAGTCTGTATGTGAAAAGAGATAGCAAAAGGACTTAAGACTTGAAAAACAAAGAGGCATTTGTGTAGTATTTCATTACCTAGCAAGGAGTTCAAGCTTGGGCTGCAAGAAACTCTTCTTCTTCTTGGAAGTCAGAGCATACCCGACAACGAGCTTCTGCATCTGCTGAAAGGGCTGTTGGATTTGAAACGGCACCGTTTCGTTCACAACTTGGCCTTCGTCCTCACCTCCCTGGCTCTGTGGCAACATGTTTTCGCCATCCAATCCCATACCCAAGTCTTCAAATCCACCGCAGGAAAACCCTAAATTGCACGTAATCCCCAAATTACGCCTCAATCTGGCAGTTTCGATTTCACCGGAAGCGAGAGTCCCAAACATTAATAGAGACGGGTAATTAAAGAAGAAGAAGAAAGGGAGATTCTTTAAAGATCCCTCTAAGATTCTATCTCCGCTTACACCCAAGGAGTGGAATTGCCCACTGCCTCCTATGGTCTCTCGCTGCGATACACGAGGGAGAGAGAAGAGAAAGCGAGAGAGATACTATACGTGTAGGACAAAATCTCGAAATCAGAGAGAAATGAGATGGGAAAATGTTGAGGGAGAGATTGCTCTGAGAATCAAATATTTATAGAGGATGATAGATTTGTGAGAATTACAGGAAAAACAAACAAAAAAAAAAGATATGTTACAGTGAAATGGTCGTTCCCAAAGCTTTGCTGAAGTTTTTTTATTTATTTCCTTACCATTTCTTATTTATTTATTTCCAATTTTACCAATGAATTACACGTACTCGCTCTACATCGGGTTTTGTGTTAAAAGTGACAAATCATATTAGAGTATTTTGATGCCATCGTTTTCTCATCACTATAATTACAATGAATTTGGCCACTGTCTTTGCTGATTAACAATCCAAATCACAAATTTGTAACAGCATGGCTATAGACCATTACGGTGCATCGATGCTAACAACGGTGAGGGACAATAGTAAAAAAACGTAAAAAAAAATTATAAAAAAAGTACAAAAAAGTACAAATATATTCGACAAAGATAGCTATATAAAACAAACCTATTAATAAACCTATTAACATGGACGATGTCTCAGTTTCATCCGGAGTATTTATGTTGAATATTTCCGAAGCCTTAAATGTGTTATTTTTGTATGATTGCACGATCAAAACGTAAAAAACAAAAAACAAAAATCAAACATGATGAATTACAATGTATAAAATACAATTTATTGAGAGAATAGTTTCGGCCATCTGCGAGTAACCGTGCTTGATCCCTGCTGGCTGTTGAGTAAATTCTATTATAATGTTTTACGCGAACTCATCACAAATTCATCGTCATTTAAATTGATAATACTGTATATGGCCATTTGCCAATATGATAGCTTTATATACTATTAGTTACATTTTTCGTTGTTATATCGTTGATTTCTTTTAGTGAAAAAAGAGATGCTATCTAGAGGGACTACGATGGACGCGAAGCCTAAAGTTGGAGGCTGTTAGGGTTCTACGGTCCTTTGATTTAACGAGCTTTCTTCTTTAATTTTTGACGACGATGAAGATTTGGATAAGCTAATCTATTTAGATATCTGTCTTCGTTCGCACGCACATGCCTACTTGATAGTAATCTTACGTACGTTCCCACTACTGGAATTAATTAATAACCTTAATTTATGTCGATTTCTTTATTGGTACACACAAAAGTTTAGAGAAAACAATTTATATCATGAAATGATTAGAAAAAAAGTATGCTGCGAAATGTCTTAACAGATAGCTTGATAAAGATCTTTTCTGGTGGATCAGGTCTTAGATCACATCCAATTAAAAATGATAAAATAAGTAGAGGTTAAGTCTATTGATTTCCAACTTATATCATATATTAACACATTATATATATAAAAAAATTATTGATTAATGTAATTTACTTTATAGGAATATATAACGACAAACAGCATGCAAGGGAATATGCTCTTTTGTAATTAGGCAGAAGAGTCTCTTGTTTCTGTCAGAATCTTTTTTTTTTTAATTTTAGATAGATTTTGAACTAACATAATATTTACTCTAATCATGAGTAGTAAACCTTTTCCACGTTTAATTTAGAATTTTATAATGTAATTCAAGTACTTTTCACAATATTTTTAAACTTTTCATGTTTTCATATACTTGAAATATAATTACCCATGTAATATATATATATAGGAGGAGGAAGTTCCATTCAGTAACTAAGACTTAATTTTTGATACATCATCAGTGTTTTGCAAACACATTATAACTCTAGCTTATCGAGCTTTTACTATTTTGGTTATCTACTATTGTCTATTGATATACTATATATGTGTCAAATTATCTAAATACAACTTCGTATGTTGTTTCGACCTACTACCTAACTAGATATTTTGTGAGTAGTAATTGAATCATGTTTTTCAACTCAAATTTTTTTTTTTTTGCAAATTGAGATGTCAAACAAAACATATGATTCTAGAATTTATCTGCATGCATATGGTCAGATAGAATATGATACTTGATGTTATGTATATATTATTGACATGACTTATCAGGTGCTGACGATTAACTAATTGTAGAATCATATACCGAGTTGACTTATCTCTCTGGTCGGAGATATATGTTCATGTTTGGGAGAATATGATGTGCCGTCAAACTTCTATGCGATTGATCGTTACTTACAAAAATAATGCATATGCTTTTATTCTACACCTGACAGTTGACTTCGATATAAGAGTCTATTTCTCTATTTTTGGTGAAAAGAATATTTGTATACGTCAAGATGAGAAAAAGATAAAACTTCGCTGTACAAATATATAGGAGAACGTCACACGGAAATTATCCAAGCGTAGTTATGCTTATTGGCTAGATGAGTGTTGTTTCACCTAAAGGATTTGGACTCAAATGTGGTGCTACGTGTGTGAAAAAATATTTATGTTATTACGTGTAATATAAGAGATTTAATTCTTCCAAAATGTAAGAAATCTGTATATCGAAAAAATCAAAAAATTTTATATTAATCAAACAAGAAGTGGTAACAATGAGGATTTCAATCATAACTAAACGATGATCTCTAATGGCGTATGTTGAGTTTTGGAGCATACTCTCTATGATTCGTTGCTCGATTCAACCATTGGCTTGTACGTTTGATCGATTTGAGTGGAGGTAAACCGTTTTATTTCAGGTATATCAGGCATGTACTCGTCTATCTTATGATTTTTTCTTTTATTTATTTGGGGTTATTTTTGATCAATGTTTATTTTTACTATAGAGCAAAAGAAGAGAAAAACTTTGTTCTCGATTTTTGTTGGTTATATATAGACTTATACTAAATTCCACAGCAGCGGAAAATGAACGTAATTCTCATATTGAAAATGAACCATTTAAATCGTGTCTCTTAATCTAGTTTTAAATTGTTTTGTAAAGTTTTGGGATCCTAATCCTAAAAGTGCTAACATACTAAGTAGGCGATGCTGCCCGACATATGTTTCTTTAAATTTTTATAAGCCGATGCGTATGTTTTTTTTAGTTAATAGAACATGTATATTAAAAATTTATAGATGCTTGAACAGAAAAAAAAAAATTCTAGATGCATGATATATATATATATATAAGTAGATATACTAATAATATATTTATATATAATATGCATATGTGGTGTGTTTTGTTATCTGTGTATATATGTGTACCACTAAGTGGGAATAAAAGGTACATAAGAACATCAAACTTCAAAATGCATCTTAGTGGAATTTCATAAACCCACTAATCTTTTGGCATTATTGTCGACTTTTAGCATTTTGTGCGTGTTTAGTTGGTTTTTGGTTTAGGTGCAAAATATATGCCTATGTATTGTAAGTTGTAAGTGCACTAGAACATATCCGCTTTAAACATCAACTTTATAAACTTCTCTTCTCTCTTTCGTCAATATTCTTTCAAAAAGTAATAACTAAACGTTCTTAGATTTATCTCTATCATTTTCTCCCTGATGAGGTGAGGTCGTCTCTCGTTCAATGCATTCCTGAACAATGGGTTTATTCAAGGTTAACTAATAAAAAAAGGGTATTCAGATAGTGAGTTTTAAGCTCAGGACCGACCCGTTAGGCATATAACGATTAAAATATAGTATATTAAGCTAACAACAAATCCAATAGATGTCAGGAAAGAAAAATAATAACAATTATAATCAAATAGAAGGCAAAGAGATCTGTAGTCTCCGGGAGCTGGTACACATCATGGCCGAATCTGAACCAATTTTTATTTTTATTTTTTATTAAAGCCGAAAAAAGTAATTGTTTATTGTATCTCAACTATACAACCATAACCCAAATATACAACAACACTGATCAAAAAATATATACAGCCTAAAGATTCTCGTATAACCAATCTAACACCCTTTTGTAGTCGATGTAGGAGGTTGCCACACACTCAGGCTAGAGCAGGATTCCTGAAATAGTGATGTTCGTAGGCCTTTTATGAAGATGTCGGCATACTTTACTTGGCCAAGTGCAGCCTGTTCCCTTACAAAGTCGATGTCAACGTGATTGGTGCGGTGTTATTGGACTGGATTAGAGAAGAGATGAACAAAACACTGATGTTGTCAAAGAATACCACCGGGGCAGGCCTACAACTATCTTTAAGAACCTCGAATCTGCATCGAAATATGCACAAAAGTCCGGAAATTGATGAACGCGCGGTAAAGTTGAACGTCATGGCCGAGATAGTATACGTTTGGTATAGCTTAGTATTAAAAAATATAAGGCATTGTAATCTGTCTCTCCTAGATCATGAAGTTATGATTATCATCACTACCATTTAAATCAAATGTTTCATATTATAGAGGCCTAAACCCAGGTATATTTCAACCTCTGCAAGTGAATTCAAACAGGTGTTTTTTGTCCCCTGGCAGAATCTTCAGATCTTCTATACAAAAGTCCTTTAAACTCTATACAAAACTACAAAGGTAAATATTGTTTATTCATTTAGAAACCCTCAGAAATAGGGTCACCGAAACCTATCATTGGCAATTATTCACTTTATTACCGGTTGAGCTACACACCAGCTCCCATAGCTGACTCAGTGAATGCTACATATAATATTTTATTTTTTAACTCATTAAATCATCATACATTTCCAAAGAACATCATCCACTGTAACTCTTTCCTGATTCTGAACACACTGTAATTTTATTGCCTTCGAAGAACCTAAACCAATTCTGGCTCACAGAAGTCAGAATTGCAGTTTCCTGAAGTGTAAAACGAATTAATCAAGAAACTGGTTGCACCCCATTCCATGCACGCGGGTCATCAACGAGTTCATTGTTCCTGTTGTTGCGGCTTTCTTGTACGTATGCTACACCAGCCCAAAGTCCCCGTATAAGTAGAATGCTCGTAAATACAATGGTTCCAAGTGTGCAAGCTACCTGCATTCCGCCATGAAAAATTACATAAAAAGCCAATCCAACAGTAAAAGCTATCAACACTTTACGTTAAGTAACAGTAACATAACACATTCTTTCTTTTTTGAAGACATAAAAAACACACGGTAGCTCAAGTTTTCAAAAACAGAGAGTCAAGCCTTGTAAAGTTTTAGTTTGATCTTAAATGCAGATATGCATACTATCTATAGATAAAGGTAAATAAAGTCAAAATGTTTTTAAACAAAAATTACAGAATGCAAAGTCAAGTAATGAAAAAAGATCCATTTATTCATGGGTGAGTAGAATGAAACAGAGATAGGTGGTGCTTAATTTGAGTTTAGATAACATTCCTATTTTTGGTTTGGATATTCTTAGCATGAGCTTGAATTTGCCATAAAACTGGATTCACCATTTTCAAGCATTAGCACAGCTATTAGCTTGATGCTAGCCTCTCTATTCAAACTTATGATAGTTGCAGTCTTCTGCGACACATAGTCAGTGAATCCGATAGCGAAGATATCAAGTTTTAGAAAAGAAAAAAAAAAACACTTCTTGTTAACTTCCAATACGACTAAAGCATGGTAAGAGAATTGAGGAACATGGACAGTGTATCAAGTTTTCAATTCTCTTTACAACAGCGAAGAACATTCCTTTCTATATAATTTTATAATTCAAAGGATTTAGAGTATATTACCTCGAGAAAGGCCTTCAAGATCCACAGAAATGCAAGTATAAGTACGCCATTCACTGAGAAACCCACCTAAATTGAACCCAAAAAAAAATATCAGGGGATGCAAATTTGGTATAAACCATCGATGAATACGATTTTCGTAGTTTGATCAAATACTCGAAAGGGGTCATTCAATGTAATCGAAGAGCTTACGAGCTTAGTGGAGATGGAAACAGGCAAAATTGATCGGACGGCTTTCCTTGCTCTCTTGGAGATCTTTCTGAAAACATTCTCGACAAATCTAAGTAAAAGATCCAAGCTTCTATCTTCTTCCTCCTCCTGATCGTCTTCGTCTTCTTCGTAATCCTCATCGAACCCATACTCCGGTCTGATCTTCCGGTTCCAGCTCCGCGTATCGTCGACGAAATCATCCCTCCCCTGTCGAAAGAACAAAGCTTTAGATTTATACAAAGCTCGAAGATTTATAACAAGTAGACAAGGGAACAGAAATCGAACGTACGTTGATGAAATCGCGGGGTCGCCGGGAAGCAAAAAGGGAAGAGGGAAAATCAGCGATCCTGGTTCTTGTAAAGATTAGGGTTTTGGGAGTGAAGATGAAGAAGGAAAGAGGCGATCGAGTTCGGGTTGAGAGCAGGGAAGAAGGCGATGAGATTGAGGCGGAAAATGGCATCGTTCGTTATGCATCAGAGCGCTCAACTTTTTTTTTCTTTTTTTGCTTTCTCTCTGTTTTGGAAGAATATTAAATTCCACGGTTGCTTTCATTTTCGCCAACCAATAATTTAATTCTTTTGATTCTTAATTCTTTTACTCCTCTTCTCCTTAACTACGTTCGATTATAAACAGTTCTTTTTGCTGCAATTAAGTTTCATATTACAAGGAAAAAAAATTACAATCTGAATAAACCAACAAAAAGATAATCGATAACTTTTGTAGCGTCACATCAACCATCTGCTTATTCCATAGGTTGCTGATACTAATCTAAACATAAACAGGAACATAAAATGGAGATACTTGATAATAGAAATAGTTACGGATTAGACTCGGGTGCAACCCGTATTTTGTCGGATTTATAGCAAATCCATATCATCCTAAGCAAGAAGGTTAAGACCACGGCACCGACAAAGACGATTATTACGATGAGAGTAGGTTTCATACTGTCTTCAGTCTTCACTACACACACCAAAATTTCTTCTTGCTAACTTTTTTATTCTTCTTGGTTTGCATGTTAATGTTATAAAATATTTGTAATATACATATATTGTCAACATAAATATTTAAGTTTCCAATTCTGCATATAAATCGGTGAAATTTGTAAGTTTTACATTTTGTAATTAAGGAACATTACCAAAAATGTTTTCAGAAATGTTATTTTTAAATCATTAAGAAGCACAATAACTAGAAAAAAATGGAAATGTTACATTTTATGATACTTTATTTATCGTCATACCATCACATTTATATATGTTATACACACGGATGGCATATATATGTACGTATATGATATATTACACACGCATTTTATGGTGCATCCTTTTTAGAAACTATCTTACGGGTAAGAGCATGTGCAATGGGAGAGACCATTTAGGGTCTCTATCCTTTTTTTTATTAATAAAATGAATAACTTTATTAGTAGAAACCCAAGAGAGAAATATTGTATATTTGTAGGTTCAATGGGAGAAATCTTGATGGTCTCTAAAAAAAAACTTTAAAAAAATTAATGCTAAAAGAAATTTTACATTGAACTTAAGTTTTTATTTTACATTACAACATTAGAAGAATATTAAAATATTAAACTTAATAATAAAACATTACAACAAATAAAACATAAATTATTATACATTAAACTTCTGTTTTATTTTTGAGATTATCCAAATTTTTGCCAGATATGTTCAACCATATCGGCTTTTAATTTGTGATGCACATCTGATGATCGAATTTTTCTTCGGGTATCCATCATATTTATAATATTTGTAGGCATGTTTGTCGAGTATGAGTAATCGACATTAGAACTTCCGCCTCCTTCTCCTTGTTGGAATTCTTGAACATTAAAGTGCCTGTATCCGTCTCGTTCGTCTTCAACTATCATATTGTGGAGTATGATACAAGCTCTCATAATCTTTCCAATTTTTTCTTTATCCCAAAACAAAGCCGGATTTTTGACAATGGCAAAACGAGATTGCAAAACTCCAAAAGCACGTTCGACATCTTTTCGGGTAGATTCTTGACGTTCAGCAAATAAACATGCTTTTAGACCTTCTGGTCGTGGTATAGATTGTACAAAAGCTGCCCAATTTGGATATATACCATCTGTCAGATAGTATGCCAAATGGTATTCCGTTCCATTGACGAAGAAATTAACATCTAAAACATAACGGAAACAACTTTCACTTAAACATAAAAGACACAAACATGAAGTATGCAGCTACGCGACTCCAAAAAGTTCCACCTTTCTGTTCATTTCCAACAACCGGGTCCTTCGAGGTGTGCAACCAGGAGGTGATGAGCAGGGTATCTTCCGTAGGACTCCACGGTCTTCTAGTCACCTTGCTCGCCACTCCAACTTCTTCTACTTCTTCGGTGTTTGCTTGGGTACTGAAGGCAGGTAGTTCGAATGAAGGATATGGGTTAGGGTAGCTTGACACACTCTCTTGTTGACTTTGTAAAAGGTCAACAAAGTTTGAGGTGTTGTTAAAGGGAAAACGTGAAGACATGATGCGAGAAGATGAGGTTATGAGAAAAGATGACAAAAAAGATGAGAAAAGATTAGAAAAGATGAGAAAAGATGAGAAAAAGAGTGCTGAGAGAAGAGAAGAGATGAAAGAGAGTGATGAGGTTATGAGAAAAGATGAGATAGAGAGTGATGAGGTTATGAGAAAAGATGAGAAAGAGAGTGATGAGAGAAAAGGAAATATGACAAAGAGAGTGATGAGAGAAGAGACAAGATGACGAAGATGAGAAAGAGCATGAATAAGAGGGAACAAAAGTGTCCGATGTTCAAAAACCAAACATTAACTAAACCCTAAACACAAGCATTCAACACAACCATACACAACAATAAGCATTCATCACAAGCAGAAGAGACTTGACACATATCTACTATTCCATTTATTATCTAAACCCACCATTTAATATGGAGATTGAAGCTACCTACTAGTGATTCTCACCATTTAAGTGATTGAAACGACCTAAACCCACCATTTAGCTACAACTACCTAGTAAGTGAATGAAGCTAACCTTTTTAGGATGGTGAACTCTGATTGCTTTATGCCACTGTTCTTCTTCTCTCCTATTCTTGTCATTCCGCAGCATTCATTCCTCGTACAGAGAACAAAGTCACAATAAATAAGAGTTAGCAAACATCGACTAAACAAACAACATTTAATGAACTACAACTACACAAACAAGACAAGGATAAGACAATCAGAGTTAATGAACTTCAACTATAAATCAAAGAATCAACTTTAAACCCATTCACACGCATAAGCAAAAACACACAAGGAAAAGCCAAACTATAGAGACAAAGATCAAAGACAAACGAATACAAATATCAAACAAAATCATCGATACTGAAACTTAAAGATCAAACCCTTAATCATCGATACATAAGTAGACACCAATACAAAATCAATCGTCGATCACAAATCATGAAACCCAGAAGACAAAATCAGAAGTCACCAATCATCGATACATAAGAAAATCAGAAGACAAAAGCCAAAACACTTAATCAGCCAATACAAAATCAATCGTCGATCACAAATCATGAAACCCTAAATCATGAAACCCTAAATCAGCATAGATATCCAATCAGAACCAATCATCCATACCTCTAAACCCTTTTATTAAATTAGTTGTTCCCTGACATAGAATCTAAACCCCAAAAGCACAACATCTTCAATCGACTTTTCGCAACCCTTCGCCGACGAAGGATCCAGAAGCTTCAATCACTCGAGACTCGTTGCTTCCGCCAAGCAGAGGTTGAGAAGACATCGACGACTCCGTCTGAAACACCCGCCGACGAAGGATCCGATGCAATCGCGGACAGGAGGTGATCGACGGAGGGAACGAGGAAAGAAGAGATGTCGGGTGTGAAACAAATTTGGACGACCAAAATGATATTTTTGCTCTTCTTTTTTTTGTGTCCAATACAAGCACGCCACGTGCGTCCTCAGAGACGTCTCTCCAAGCTCCAAATTAGAAGACGTTTCTCTTCTTTTTTAGTGTTTTTCATTTTTTTAATTAGAAAAAAAAAGAGAGAGACGAGGGTAAATACCCCATTGATCATGCTCTAAGGGAAAGTGTACGTGTTGGCGAAATCGAAAGAGAGTTAGAGCTGTGTCATTGTGCAATAAGCAATATTTTAACAATTAGAGCAGATAAGGCCGGTCCGACCGAAACCATTCGAATCCAAGTTGAGTTGAAAACCAAATTTCATTTTAACCTTGAAAACCAAATTTCATTTTAACCGTTTAGACCGACCAAGACCGCTAAAACTGTTAAACTCGGTTTAAATACTGAAATCGATACAACTCTGTTTACACAATTTATATATCAGTAAATATTGGAATTTTTTTTTTTTTTTTCACAACCTAACTAATACATCACATTTGGCCCGTTGAGGCATTGGTCCGAAAACCGTCATCAGCTGTGAATGATTTGGGAGAAAATACTGCCTCTTGCTCGAGCTCCTTTTGCAAGACTATCTGCTCGGACATTTGAACTTCTGGGAATATGAGAGAGAGTGAAATCCAAGAAGCTTTCCCGAAGGATGCGAAAGGCTTCCAACTCTGAAAAGAAAGATGGCCAATCCGAAAGAGATTTAGACATGTTTACTAAATCTGAACAATCGGTCTGAAAATGTACAGAGAAAATATGTCTCTCTATCACACAAGACATCATCCATAAAAGGCTCTCCAATTCAGCATGAAGGGCCGATAGGCTTCTGCGGCAGCCTTGCAGACCAAAAGTCTCATCACCCCTCTCATCCTTCATTCTCCACCCGAGCCCACTAACCAGGTTGTTACCTATCCAGGATGCATCAATCTGACAAATCGAGAAATTATGGACATCGGGTAGAGAAATCAGGGGCAAAGGAGTGAATGAAGCCTCGTCTGTTCCGTCCTCTTCTTCTTCCGGTTGGTTTGCAATCTTCCAACTTTCTGCTTCAACCTTGGCGTGGATTAAAGTATCTACCGGAGAAAATTCTTTCCCGTTGAAAATTTTATCGTTCCTCGCTTTCCAAATATACCACAAGATCCAAGGATAAATATCCTTTAGAGGATCTGTCATGTCTAACTCTTTTGTTTTCCAAAAGAGGAAGCTCATATTTTGGTAAATAGATGTACTCGGGAAGAGACCCGGAAAGGACGGAAAGTCCGATAACGCCTAGACTTGTAAGGTCGGGGGACATAAAAACAAAACATGGTTAATAGATTCTTCAGGGTGCCCACAGCGGAGGCAACTCTTATCCGTTCCCATATGCCTGTAGGTTAGGTTTTGGCAAGTGGCAATACATCCTGATAAAGCTTGCCACATAAAATGCTTCATTTTTCCAGGCGTCCGTACTTTCCAAACGTAGCTTTGAAGGGCTGTGATACTCGGTTCTCTCACGACATCCAAATTATGTTCCAGTTTTGTTTTCCTAATCAGGTCATATCCGGATTTCACCGTGTATATTCCTGATTTAGTATGGTTCTACGCAAATCCATCAATGGTACGGTTTATACTAGGTCTCAACCCACGGATGAGAGAGACATCCTCAGGTTGGAAAAATTCTCTAAGAAGAGGTTCATCCCATTGCTTTGTATCTTGACGGATATATGAGTAAACTAACACTCCTGGGTCCTGAATTCCGATCTGGGAGGTTGCTCTTGGTGGGCGGGCCCTAGCATCGGGGATCCAAGGCTCACTCTATGCCCTCGTATTTAGTCCCGACCCTATCGTCTTCCTTAGTCCCATTTTGAGATATGGTTTTGCGGCCAACATACTCCTCCATCCATAGGATGGTGAGTAGACATTTCGATCTTCTAACGGGTCTGATTGTCGATAATATCTTTCTCTTAGCACTCGAGCCAGAAACGATGAGGGGTATTGAATGAGTCTCCATAGTTGCTTCGCTAGCAGAGCTAGATTAAAATCATTTAGATCTCTAAATCCAAGGTCTCCCATGTCCTGTAGAATGCAAATCTTGTCCCAAGCAATCCAGTGAATTCTGCTGCTATTCTGTTTTGAGCTCCACATAAATATTGGAATTATTTCATACATTTTAGTATTTGTTGTTAATTTTTTTTTATAATAAATCTTCAAACAGCCGGTCCAACCATCCATTCAATGAGAATGCAAATTCAGCCCGGTCTGATTTTTCTACATTGGCAATAACCATAAGTGACTGAAGATAACTTTAGAGGATAATACAAAGCTTGAAGATTTAATTCCATTATACAGATTCAAATACCGAAATTATAAATAAACACAATCCAGGTCTATAACCCCAACTTAATGAGTTATGAACATATATAACCGAATAGAAACGGATCGACGAGTACGATGTTGTCATAATTTATACTCGTTGTAACACAGTGACTATAAAATGACTTCATTTGAAGACGTACTTAACCAGCCCAGGAATGTGTATATCCACAAAATAGTCATCCCAATTGATAATCTTTGGATCGAAATAGAACATCTCGTTTTCTAATTCTGTCTTTGGCACCATTTTCTGCAGCTTTTCCGTGTTTGTATCATCGAATCTGAATGCACACACATATATGTTTTAAATCTCAAAAATGTATTATATCGCACACATAGAAATAAAGAGCCAAATTATATTTTTTTTAAAAAAACTGAAAAGGTCACTTACACTCCATGGAAAAAGAGATAAGGCTGATAGAGATCAACAAGCCGGAATACAAAGTATATCTTCCTATGGAAATCCCTGAATTTCTTCTCCAACAATTTGCAAAGTATCATGTTTACTAATTCAAGTCCCTGTAATAAACCCAAAAAAAAAAAAAATCATACGTGTAATTATTATATAGTAACCCAAAATATTCTACAATAGTTGGAAACTGTTTAATTGGTACTATTACCTTCAATGAAATCAAGTAATGTATGGTCATGTACTTGTGAAAACTAGACATCGAACTCAGCATCTCAATTTTCTTGACCCGAACCGGGTTCCCCTCTTTGTTGATCCATGGGTTGGTTTTGAAATACCGGTATGCAACTTCAGGAAATTTTTCATTTTTTAGCGGATTTCTAAGTGAAGAACCCACATGATAAATAATCTCCTTCTCTTTACCGGCTTGAGCAGCCATCGACACTAGTATTGAATTTACTACCATGTCCGCAGGCATCTGGTCCATCAAATATGTGTTTGAAGTATTAAATGAATGAGTAAATGATACACATGTTAATGTAAAATTCAGATTAAGATGGATGTGAAAGAGAGTAGGGTACCACATCGGAAATAGCATTAAGATCAGCAAGAAAGCAGGTGAGTTTGCCTTTACCGTATCCAACAGCTAAACTATCGATGGTCCTGAATTAAAAAAAAGTAATGACTTCAATGACTAGTAACGTACTATCAAATCTTTTATTCTAGAAAAAGCTTTCCATGATAGTTTAACCTGATGCCCTCGGTCCAACCAGGGAATGGTTCTTTGAATGTACTGGTAATAATTGAAGGACGAAGCAACACAAGTGATATATTTCCCCTTTTTGTCCCTACCAGCATCTCTCCCATTGCCTTCGTGAACACATATGTGTTTGGCCATCCATACATCTTTGCCCTATCATTAATTTAAAAATAGTGTATAACCATTTTTTTAAACAAAGTATAACCATCTTTATTCCATAGTTTAACGTTACATAGAAATAAGTTATATAAGTAGGGATTAATTATAACCTGGTGAGTCCGAGATCCTTCATGGCTTGTGTGATGGTTTCAGGAGAAGCTCCGGTGGCTCTGAGCTGGTCAAGCTTCTCCTGAACCAATTTCTTCTCATGGTTGATGTTTAGACCCGTGGTCCCATTCAAAGTCTCACCCATACGGTATGGTGTCTCCATTATCACGCCAGATTTTTCCCCGCACACGTAAGCTGCATCATTAATTTTGTTAGTTGGTGGGAATTAGTTATGGAATCTTCCTTAATCGCTATAAAAAGGAATTTCTTTTTCTGTGTGTTGATAATGTTCCGAGAAAGAATACTAGAATTGTGTTACGGTAATATTCTCCGCGCTTTGAATGTAAACACTGATGACTGAAATGTTAATGATTGGCAAAATTATCAGAGTTGTTAGTTTTCTTTTTCCATTTTCTGATGTTGGCAGTTGTTTTTTAAAGAAAATGAAAGCGTAAGAAACCAAAAATATTTCCAATGTTGGTACTTGGTACTTTTTTTTTTGAACCTTTTGGTACTTGGTACTTGGTAGTTATATTTCACAATCGCGATAACCTAAGCTACTTTGCATTATGGTCTTATTTCCCATAGTCGTCCCATTATTTCGTTTAATTTCCGCGTAATTTCTTGATCTAAAACAATTAAAACTCCAAAGTCTTTTATCGTTTCATACTCTTCTACAGAACCTCTTTTTGGAGAATATGACCTTAATATATAATTTGTCAACGTATATATTATGATAACTTTAATCAAGATACGGACTAGGAAATTGGATAGTAGAAGCTTGATTTCAGTTCAAAGATTAGTTGCGACCTAACTTGTATATATATATATATAGAGAGAGAAATATATATATTTCAAAGTTATTGACAGCAAAGTTTTGTATATACCTGTTGATACATGAACAAAAATCTTAACCTTTGCACATCTCTTGGCAAAGTTCAAGACACTGAGAGCACCCGATGTGTTGATCCCAAGTGCTACATCATATCTGCGGTTAATTAACATTCCTTAAGTTTTACAGTATTATCATATAACCTATATCAATTATCATTACTGAAAATAGACCATCGTCCATCGCCCTATAGTTTTTTTTTTTTTTTTTTGATAAACCATCCATCGGTCTATCGTTGTGTTGCTAATATGTTGTTGGTTTTGAATGGATTGATAACGTAATGGTTTTTCAAGAAATCAAAATTTATTTGCTAAGGTGTAAAATATTTTACCGATCGAGAATCAGTCATTAGATAATTTCATTTATTGGACATACTTAATATTCAGCTCATAGTAGTTCAATAAATCAATAATAACTTAATAAGATATTAAAATCAGTACCTTTCATCAAACTTAGTAGTTGCCGCTAAATTAACAATGGCATCAACTTCGTGGATCATCTCATGTGCCAAGTCGGAGTCTTGAAGACCCAAATCATCACGGCAAATGTCCCCATTGACAACAGTGACTTTCTCTGATGTTAGTTGATATAGATTTGCACCATACTTCTCTTTCACCACCCTGTACAAATCCTTCCCCAAAATCTACATAGATTTTAAGCACCTTAAAAGTTATAATTCGACTGCCATTAGCACCAATCGACGGTAGGTCTTTATGAACTTTTCGCAATATTTGAATTAAACGAAAACTGTTAATAATCAAGAAATATGAATTTAATACATACATGAACAGTTAAATTGAAATACAAATATTTTGATATATTTTGTATATAAGATTATTAATTTGTATGTATACTATTTGTATTTAGGTCTATATATGGCGGTACTTAATATTTTATTGATTTCCAATTTTAACCAACAATTTAATATTTTTATCTAATTCGTAAAAGTAATATTTAAAAAGTCGCAAATGGATTATGAATATTTAATTTGTTACTCTCTGTTTAATTCATAAATTATTTAGATTTTGACTTCCTACTAACTTTTTTTGGTTCAGGGAATTTGTAAGAATTTATGCTTGTGTTAAAATTTATATGTTTATAAATACACACATAACAGTAACCAATAAGTATGAAAGGATGCAGTGTTTTGCTGATTTGTTATTTTTTGTTATACTATTTGATATTCCAATCTGAATAAACTAAAGCAAGGATTATTATTTTAGTGTTTGGGTTTAGTTTTTGTTGTAGGATTGTAACTTCTAAATTAATAGAGTTTTAGCTTTCGCATAAAGATAGCAAAAATAAGAAGAACAAAAAAAAACTAGTTACGAAAAAAAGTTTTCTAAAACTTGATTGGATGATGAAAAACTCAACTCCAAAGACAAATATATCAAAGAACTACAGACTTTCAAGGCCTAAGTATGAAGAGACAATTTAACCCATAAAAAAATGTGTGAAGAGACAAACCTCGTCGTTAAACCTCTGTGTAGCAGATTTTTCATTTGTTGCTCGTAGAAGGAGATAGAGTTTCTTCACGTTTGGTGCCACCCTTAATATCTTCTCCAGAAAAACTACATTTATATATTAAAGATAACAAATTTTAAAGATAATTTAATTTAATAATAGAAGGGTACTTGTCTATCTATTTAACTAAGAAAAAACCTCGTATCGAATACGAAAATATACATATCGCACGCAGTCTTGTTTGGACCCCCAAAATCTTGACTGGTTAGACTAATACAGGGTAATCAATTAAAATGAGTTGCATAAGCTTATATATCTTATATCAACCCACAGATTATTTACTGAGAACTGATCAACTTTTAGTTTTCTTAAAATGTGATCGCTACAAGCATTAGAGTACTTCATTATCTCTACGTCACACATGCATATTGCAATCTATACTTTAGATAATATTGAATATATATATATATATATATATATATATGGATAGAGAGAGAAAGAGTACTCTTTGCTAAGAACCCAGCAGCTCCAATGACCAATATGGATTTGTTGTCCAGGTACTGAAGAACACTTACGACCTCCATTTCTGTCGACATAATTTATAGTTTGAGCGAGAGAAAGAATCCAACAGAGTACGACAACAAAATAACATGCTGAGTCTTAAGATTTATAATGTTAGGCTTTACAAAGTGAAATCAATTAATGTGAGTAGCTACATTATAGTTATCTCCCAACTACTTAACATTAGCTGTCAAGAAATCTCATAAAAATATTCCAAATAAACCATTTTAGATATGGCTTTCTAACTCAAGTAGTCCCAAAGAACCCACGTTGAGAGAGCCCAAACAAAAAACATCCAAATTACAACATCTTGACTATATACATATAGCGTTCGTCGGTAGAGAACCAAGACGATAAGTCTATTTTAGGAATTTAGTTTATTTATTTATTATATTATTATCTCTCTCTTTATAACTGTATGTCCATAAACCTTTTTTATCATAAGAGTGAATAAAGAAGGATCTACGAATGATCCATGATACTCCAATTTACGTTCCCAACGTTAGTGAAACGCAAAGTTGACATAGTCGTTCTGACTAATGTATTGGGATTATTTCGACCAAATTAATGCAAATTCAGGAATTATTCAGCCAAAACTTAGATTTGTATAATCACTAAAAAAGTTGTAGATTATTTTGGCCAAAACACGATAAGTTTGGAGACCTTTTTGAATTTTTCCCTAAAAATAATAATAATAATCATGTATTTGGAGTTAATTTCTATGTCTGCACAATCATGATTATAAATAGGGGTTTTTGCTAAAAATAACCTAAAATTTGATTTTGAATACAAAAGTAGACCCCTGAAAAAACATTTGGCAGAAATAACTTAAAGGAGTAGTGAAAAGACCATTTAATCATGTATGAGTAAACAAAAAACGGATGTCCTAATTATCGTTTACACCCTGACGAAGTCTACTAAAGAGAGAAAGAAGTCTAATAGTAGACTTCTTTTATCGAAATGAAATCTACTAAGTAATTAAATCTGGAAATTTAATTTTAAAATTTAGAAAATATTATTTTGGTATCAAATTTACATTCATAAATTCCGTAATCGTAACCCAAATGTACAAAAATTATTTTTTCATATTGCTAAATAGAAATTTATGTTTTTAAATTAAGTAGAAGAAAATTTATTATTTAGGTTTTTAAAGTTGTAGACTTCTATATTGAAGTCTGCTAAACCGAATAAATTAACCTAATCGCAATTTAAACCAAAATTAAACCAAAAATAATATCTTAACCAAAATTTTTTTGTCTCATATATATAGTTGTAACCCTAATTTTTTAGTGAAAAAGAAAACTCTCCCCTCTTTCCTAAACGGCGCATCGCTTGACGCTCGTTCGCTTCTCTCGCCGCTCGTGCTCCCCTCTCTCGCCTCTCTTCTCACCATCCAGCTAGACTTATCTGACTCTTCTCGCACCGTTGGATGTCGCTCTTTCTGTCGAACAGCCTCCAACTTCGCCAGATCCGTTGGTGAAAAGATCTCTAAGCGTGATTCCACAACTTTCAGGTATCAACTCAGTTTTGATTTGTTTTGATTTCTTCTCTTCTAGCTTTTTTTATTGTTCGCTCTTTTTTTATTGGATTTGATGTGAATCACTTTGAATCTCTTGATGATTTGTTATATTCGATAGTTTTTGTTTGAGGTTGAATCTTCATTTCATCTACTGTTCTTAGCAGATGTAGTCTTCGTTAAGGAAAACGACATGCAATTATCTTCCTTCTTTGTATTTTCTTCTTGCAGATCTTTATTTATGAAATGGATTTATGGTTTTTGGGTGTTTCAGATGGAATCTCATTTTGTTTGGTGCGGTTTCTAAGGATGCAGAAGCGGTGATTGTGGACCAGGAGTTGTGTATTTAGTTGGGACAGGACCTGGAGATCCTGAGCTTTTGACTCTTAAAATGTAAGTAGCCATCGAAAAGAGACAAAATCTGCAGAGTGTTTCAGTTTATTTTCTGCGACTTTGTAAATGTAAAGCTTCTTCTTTTAGTTGTGTAGGATTGTAATGTCATTCAAACTCGTATTTGCTTAGGTTTTGGGCTTAGGTTAAGAGAGTTCAGAGGAAGACGATCGATGGATCCTAGGATATGGCACAAAGTCGCTGCCGTTTTGGGTAAGAAGAAATGTCTCTGATTTGATTGTTGTAAGGAAGGTAGAGACTGATTATGTCTACTGTAGGTATGGCTGCTCTTGGTTTAGGAACTTATGGGGCTCATGTCTTTAAGCCAGAGAACCCTTCTTACAAACAGGTCAAAGATTCTGAATTTGGTTGCTTTTTTACATTCAGCTATCTTAGTTTTTCATTTTTTGTTGGATTAAGTTTTGATTTGTCTTAAAAAAGTTATGATCTTTCAGGTGTGGCAAAAGGCTTCTCTTTACCATTTGGTACACACTGCTGCTCTTGTCTCTGCTCCTAGCACCAAATATCCAAACATTGTAAGAAGAACCATGTTCTTGCGTTTTTGCCGCATCAGATGAAATTGTTTTGGAGAATTTGGTTGCTAGATTCTTGAATGATGTCCAAGTTCCAGAGGTGAGGATTTCACTTAGCTATATGTTGCTTGAAAAGTGTGAAATATGCTGGGCCATGAAATATCATGAAGCCGACACTCTCTGTTTGGATTTTTTAGGCTCGTGCTTTCTGTGGGTTTCAAAATGCCATGGAGAACATTCAAGTCACCCCCACGTAATGTTTGTTGGGAACTCTTATGAACTGGTTCATAAAGGCTTCTTCAAATAGTTAAATCGTCAAAGTAGTGATTTTGTAATCGGGAATAAACTTTGATATTGGAAGTTTATGTTTTGTCTTTAGGCACCTACTTTATTTGATTCTACGTCTGGTTAGGTTTTGTAACCATGAATTTCAAATCTTCAGTTCTATTTGTTTTGTAAGAATGAATTTCAACAATTTATAGATCCATCGTTGATCTGTAAACCATGTTCATCATGTAATGCAAATTGATGTTATTATATGGAGATCTTCTTAGTTTTTTTTTAAGGGATATGATAATAAGCCGTAAAAATAATCGAAACTCTTGAATGCACATAACAAAATACTTGCATATATTGTCTCTTACCAAGTGTGTCCACGACAATGTTTTAAAATTAGCTTATGTCACTTTAATTGCTTGTGTACTATAACAAAATGCCATGAATTCTCCTTAAACTTCCACTCACCGTACACAACTGGAATTTGAGCCATTCTCTAAAAAAATAACCATATAAACCGTATTAGCAAACACCTCATAGAGACTTTTTGTATCAAAGTAGACTTCACGACGAAGTCTACTTTGATAAGCTTAGTACCTTAAAAATCGAAACTTCTGATTCAACTATAAATATTCAATGAAACAGAATAAAAATCACTAGGTAGTTCAATCACTAACTAAGAAACAATTATAAACAAAAACAATTGAAAAATAATTTATAAATTTGCTTAAAACGCGTTTTTACAAAAACGTCAAAACGTAGACTTCTATTGCAGACTTAGAATGTAGACTTCACGACGAAGTCTACTTTGATAAGCTTAGTACCTTAAAAATCGAAACTTCTGATTCAACAATAAATATTCAATGAAACGGAATAAAAATCACTAGGTAGTTCAATCACTAACTAAGAAACAATTATAAACAAAAACAATTGAAAAATAATTTATAAATTTGCTTAAAACGCGTTTTTACAAAAACGTCAAAACGTAGACTTCTATTGCAGACTTAGAATGTAGACTTCACGACGAAGTCTACTTTGATAAGCTAAGTACCTTAAAAATCGAAACTTCTGATTCAGCAATAAATATCCAATGAAATGAGATAAAATTCACTGGATAGTTCAATCACATACTAAGAAGCAATTCTGAACCAAAAAATTTGAAAAATAGTTTATACATTTCCTTAAAACGCGTTTTTAAAAAACTATAGTAAAATAGACTTCTACATTAGACTTCAAATGTAGACTGGAGGAGAAGTCTACTTTTTCATATAGAAGTCTACAAATGAAGTCTACTAAAAAAAAGGTTATTTTTGCAATTGACCAATCTGTTGATTTTTGTTTCAGTAGACTTCAGGCAAAAAAGGTTACTTTAGCAATTGACCAATGCATTGACTAACATAGTAGACTTCTATTGTAGACTTCATGTAAGAGTAGACTTCTCTGACAGTCTACTTTTGAAGTCTACTTTTTAAATAGAAGTCTACGGAACAAAATAGGTTATTTTTGCAATTGGATTTTTTAGTAGACTTCACAATGAAGTCTACTCAAAAATATATTCTTTCTAAGTTTGACCGAACACAATAAGTAGACTTCCCAGAGAAGTCTACAGTTTGTAGACTTATTTGTGAAGTGTACTGAAGCTTTTTGGAATTTTTTAAATTTTTTAATTTTTGAAAAACAGAAGTCAAACACAAAAATGACCTTTACGTTTTTGGTCAAACTACAAAAGTAACCTGAAAGTAGACTTCGTATGCAGACGAAACAAGTAGACTTCATAATGAAGTCTAAATCCAAAAGTCAAAATATGGTCAACTACAAAAATAACCTCTTTTTTCGTAGACTTTTTAAGCTTTCAAATGAAGTCTACTTTTTTTTTTTTTTCAAAGGATATCGAGTAGACTTCTCGTGAGGTTTAATGAAGTCTACTTTTTAAAAGTCAATTGCAAAAATAACCTTATGTTGACTCATAGACTTCAGTATAGTTCACGAGAAGTCTACTTTCGCGATATAAAAACTGAAATGTGGAGAAATTGAAGTACGAGGATTACCTTTAACAAAATTGAGCTCCCCTAAGTTTCTCTTATCCACCCAGAACTTAGGATTTCACCGAAATTAAACAATCCAGGTGTCGAGTAAACCAGAATTCACCGAAAAAGCATGGCGCGAAGCATTGTAACTTTGCCCAGATGTTTTGGAGAAGAAATTATGATAGAATGAGCAAGATTATGAGTGAATGAGCTTAGATATTTGTTTTATTACAGCTTTAAAACTGGTTGATAAGCATTTATTCCATTTTCATGGTTGTTCATGGTGGTTGAAGGTATTGAAGACGATGGCATTCACGTAATTAAAAAGTGTTTAGAAGGTCCAAGAAGACTTTAGCCAATTAAAGAAAAATCGAATTATTAAATATATAATGGCATTTTCGTTAATAGTTTAAGTGGAAAGGATAAAATTGTGAGAAAATGGCAAAAGTTGGAAAGAGAAAAAAAAAATGTTAGTTTTGTGTTTGACTTTGAAATATGGATTAGATCTGAAACTCTTCCTTATAAATATGTACGTCTGGTTTAGAAAGAATCCAAGTATCCAACATAGTACAACAACGAAATCACATGGAGAGTCCTAAGGTTTCTAAGTCTAAAAGGTGAAATTAATGTGAGACACCTACTCACTTTTTAATAACAAAAAACACAACTACGTAAAATTAGTTTTATTAAAACAAAAAAACAAAAGCTACCTGGAGTTAGCTGTCAACAAATAGCATTAAAAACCTGTGTAGTTTTGATATCTTTTAGATATAAGAACTTCTTTATGAGAATTTAAAGTTGACTCAACGAGGTAATGGTAATCCAATGATCATAGATACATAGTTTTTCAATTCAAATAAAAAGTATTCAGCCTCCGAAGTCCAAACCTAACTACATTGTAGAGAAAATCAGTTCCAACTTACAATCATCTAGAGTCTATAGACTAATACGGCTACTTAGAGCAAGAACCGACCCTACCGGCTACGTACTCCTAATTAACGCACAAAGACATAAAATCAAAATAAATTTCAAAAACTTGACTAGCAAAGTGGTATTTTGTTCATGAGCTCATATTCGAAATATAGAAAATAAAAATAATTAATGAGAACAAATGCGGCAGCTGATAACACTTCATGTATATATATACATTTATGGTATAACTTGTATTTGTATTCAATGTTACCTTATCCAAGCTCAGATGGACTATAATACCAGCAGGCCCCATTCTGGCTTGGGCCGGTTAATACTTCCAACCTCACTCAGAACTCAAAAGAGCAACAATTAACTGCCGACTTTCAAAATCCTCTGTTACATCAATCTGCAGAATCTTGAAAAGTAAAAACCGACAAATCTCTTTAATTAAAGTCCAGTCAATTTTATAGTCTATACATTAAAGTATAAAATGATGTATAGTCTTTGAAGTTATTGTTTGTAAGTATTTAGGCACTTAAAAGTCTAGTCAATTTTATAGTCTATACATTAAAGTATAAAATGATGTATAGTCTTTGAAGTTATTGTTTGTAAGTATTTAGGCACTTAATTTTGTTACACTATGACAGAAAATTGCAATTGAAGTGTTGTAAACCAAGAGTTACATAAGGGCGGCTACAAGTAAAAACTCGTCTGCGACGGAATTACAAAGCAAAAGAGGAAAGATCAGAGCCACTGGAGATTTTAGAACCTTCATTTTTGTGTTTCTTCTATAGGAATTTTTTTTTTTTGGATGAAACTCCTTCCATTCTTCCATAAGGACTATAAGATTCACTTAAATCATTACTTGAATCCACAAAAGCTTTCACAAATGTCCAAAATATCTGCTCTTCATTTGATCCTCACACTAAAAACCACCTGCAAAAAAATTAAACAAAAAAAAAAACCACCTGCAAAGTTCAACGCTTTAGTCAGATTGGATTATATACTTCAAAAACTTAGAGTAAACATCCATATATATAGCTCCCTATATAATATATTACTTGACTGGTTATTTAGAATCTGGTTTCCATATGCAAATAACCATACTGTTCTTTGAATGCTGATTTTTCCTGCTTGTTACAAAACAAGAAAACATGTCGTGATCAGACTCTTGAGACAAGTCACGTGTACTCAGCAGAATCTCACAGAGAGAGAGAAACCTGAAAGTGAGTTCCTGAGAAGCCTAGCGAGTAATCCAATGTACTTTCTGGAAAGGTTTGCTCTATCTTATTACCACCAACACTTCTCTGAAACATCTAAAAAGAAATATTCAAAAACAAAACGATCAAATGAAGACCTTTTATGCAAAAGGTAATGAAAAAGTCCTTGTTTTTATTAGACTGCTAAGCTCAAACAAATCCTAGACTTTTATGTGATGTAAATTCTGCAGTGGCTAGAGATTTGATTGAATACATGCACTACCAAAGAAAAAAAAGTGATAACTAATGGACTATTATCACTTAGTTTTACACGATTTCTTTGAAAAGAAAAGACTTACATGAGAACTAGCAGTATCGTCAAGAACAGAGTTCATTTTCTCATAATCTCTTCTTTTCTTGTCTCTCTTACTCTGTTTCCTGGGACCAACACTGTTTATCTTCTTCACAGATTCTTCCTCAGAAGTGTTCCTTGGACCAGAAGATGCATCTGAAATCATGGACAAATCGTCTTCTTCTTCATCTTCCTCTTCTTCTTGATGCACATAGCTTTGGTTCCATGAATCATTGCTTTTTCTTCTGTATTCAAAACCATTGATGTCTCGGAAACAAGAAGGACTTGGAGAAGAAGAAACAGAGTGGTCTAAGTACAGAGTCCATCCTGACTCGCATCCACTACTCCATTCCGACGAACCCAACATTTGTCTTCCTTTTTATGATAAGTGAGTAATTTTTTTTTTTTTTTTGGTTCTTCAGATGGAACAGCTGTGGTGAGAAAGATTTAGAGAATTATTTTGGATGAAGAATCGACTTAATTTATACACATGCATCTATCTCTCTCTATATGCATGTGATTTCCTTTATATTTTCTTGTGTAATTTATTTATTCGATTTTTGGTCTTATCTTCAATAGGTACGGAGTATATCTTATTTTAACTTATTATCATCCTACTTATTCTGCCTATTAATTTTCAAAACTTAGGTTGGTCTGCTCTAAAATGATGGCTACTATTTTGTCGTTATTATAGCAAATATGAACGAAATAAAATTTGTAAAACAAAGTTGGATAAGTCATAAGTCGGCGTTATTTAGGCACACTCAACCGTTCGTTTCAAGATCGCAACATGTGAGCTCAATTTATTTGTATAATAAATTCTATACTTGTTACACACTGGCATGGTAAGAAAAGAGTTTTTTTTTTGGGTCAAAAAAGTGGTTAGATAACCCTTTTCGCAAAAAAAAAAAGTGGTTAGAAATGAGTTTTTCTTTCTTTATTAAAACAGTTTGGGAATGATATGCAACGTTAGTGTCTACGCATTTTTATTTTAACCAAATATATACAAAACCGAACTTTACACATTTCAGCTACATAAAAATGACCGAATTATTAACCAAAGATAAAACTAAACGAACGACACATATCTAACTAGAGGTGAGACCTTAATACCTTGACATATAATAAAAATTATACTAACAGTGTAAGTTCCCACGTGACATATTCTCCAAAAGTAGCCTAGAAGAGATAAATGCCCATTGATCATATAATATTTATATGATTATGATTTAATATTTATTTATGTTAATTAAGTTATATTAGTGGGAGTAATTAGATGGTACATGGGTCAAAGCGACTTCGACAGACAAGTGGTAACAAAGAAGATCCGAGCGGTCTATTGACTAAGCTTTCATGATATCACATGCCCTCACATTTTGTTTTCCATTTTCTTTATTCCTATTCGTACTAGCTAATTTTTTTTTTTTACCTAAATCTCTCCTGTGGAAAAGAAAAAATCTCCCCTAAATATTTCTCCTTTCTGTTCCTTGCCGTGTATTTTGGAACTATCGGGGATAACGAGATACTGGTGTCATCATAGCACGATTAAGCTTTGAAATAGAGTAATCCGATAATTATATAAAGTTCTCTAGAAAAGGTTTGGATATAAAGATCTTTAGTATATATCATACTAACTTCTTAAATACTTTTCCTATACAGTATAAAACGGTATGATTACTGAGTTTGGAATGTGTGTATACAAAAATTCATATATACTGGAAGTTACACTCTGTTTTGGCACATATGCCATGTAAATATAAGTCCAAATTCTGAAGCAACTATATAAAAAAAAACCGGAATGTTGATTGATTTCATTTAAGGGGTTCCAATAGCAAAATCAGGCATGCATGTGGGCACGTGTGCACGTAAAAAAATTCGCAAGGTTCAACAAATGTACACATGTGCGCACGTGCAAGAACACGCACTTCGACCAACTACACACTTTTGCAAATTTAGGCTCTTAATTGTGTCACCTTCTGATCCCTTTCTTCACATTTACTGATAATTCCTATGCTCTCGATTTCGATGTTCCCGTCCTGCATGTGTTCTCTTCGCTTTTTTTCACTTCCTTTCACAAATGTGTGTTTGCGTGTTTTCCAATGAGTTGTAGAGTGTAAGGGTTTTTAGCTTGATAAGAAGAAATTTATAAGTTGCGCAGGAATGAAAATGTTAAGTTCAGGTGTGGTTCGTGTGCATTAAACGAACTCTGTTATATATATTCCCTTTGTAATGTGTTTTGAGAATAAGTTTTTCTTATAAAATATATAAATTTTACGGATTACTCTCTTCAAGAACTCTTGAAAGAAAAAAAAAACTCTTGAGGGAGAAGACATTGAATGTTATTTAATCTTTGATTATAAGTTTGAATAAACTTTAGTGTTCTTGGATCTTAAATTTGTAAATCGTGCTTATTTAAATATTTTATAAAAAAAATGGGGTTATTCAAAACTAAAATATTTTGAAAATATGTGTATATTGGGCTATTTAAAAATGAAAACAAAAATATTTTTAAACAAATCAAATTTGAGATTTAAGTCAAAAGATTTCAGATTCCACACAAATGAAGTCTACAAAATTATTTAAACTTTTAAATCTTGAAGATTATAAAACGTATAGAGTTAACTATATTTCCATGACTGCACAAAATTTTATATGTTTGATATGTTTGAAACCATCCTTGTATAACATATCCAATGTTTTATTTGCTGTCACCATTTTTTCACTAAAGAATCAAACTACTGAAATACATAATACTAGTTGTAAACTTAGCGTCTCAAACAAGAAAGACGAAAGGAGATGGTTGAGAGTCTTCAGAAGTCAGCTTAAAGCTGTGAGAAGCTGATGAATTGGCGAGAGGATGAGCAATATTGAGATCATAGTCACCATGGAAGAGTGAAGCTTCAAAGAATCCATCAGCATCAGTTAAACCTGTGGTTTGCCCACGAAGCCCTCCCCATTCACGCAGAAGTTTGTCCACAACGTCTCCGGTTGGTAAGTTCCTGAAGTTTCCATCGGTGAGGCACATTCGGTAGCAACCTGTTGGAGAATAACCAGTCCACGTCACCATTCCTTTCACTTGCGGATGCGCGTGACCTTCCCTAAGGACCTGCTCGAAATACTTGGCCTGCAAGAAACCCTAACATCAGACAGAACGGAACCGAATGGTACGGGGCTTTTGGTTGCCTTATCAGAGAGTATATATATTAGTTACCCGGACATTTGGAGGAGCATCGACGTCAACCTCAGTGAGCCAAATAGGCAAACCAGTGGCAGCAAGAGTGTCAAGAGCTGATCTCATATACGGAATGTTAGGAGTACTGAAATGAGACTCAAGACCTATCCCTAACGGAATGCTTCCGGAAACCCTAATAGATTGAAGCTCCCTAAGCTTCTGTAAATATCTTGCTGGACTAGAAGCCGAATCTCCCGGCTGCTCTAAAGTATTGAATTCATTCATAAACATTGTTGTCCTTGGATCGATGATATGCGCCTCCGCATAGGTGTTATAAGAGGCTTTAGGACCCATCTTGCTCTCAAAGAAGGAGAAATGGAGATTCTCATTCACAACATCCCAACCCGCAAGCTGGCCTTTGTATCTCGAGACCACCGAGAAAACCCTTCGTTTCACGGCGTTGTAGAGATCCTTACCTGACAAAGAACTCACCCATCTAGGTTGATACTTAGGGTCTTCCCATAAAATATTGTGGCCACGCACAGCGACTCCGTGCTGCTTGAAGAATCTCAACATCGCGTCTGCGGTCGAGTAATCCTCTTTGCCTCTAACTCTTTCGGTGCTGTACCATTTCATCTCGTTCCCGAACGTTGTCACGGTGAACCTCTTAGTGAACCAGTTTTGGTATGCTTGATTCCCAAGTATGTTCTTTTCTACTGCGCACCCGAATGGGAACCCTAGTCTGTTCTGTACGATAGAAATGGTTGCGTTTGGTAGTGGCTCGCCTCCGCTGTTCACCGCTCTGATCCTTACGGTTCCTTTTCTCGCCTTGTGGATGCTCTGCTCGTGGTGAGAGTTCCACTCTTCTTGTGTGAATGGTTGCAATGAGACACTATCAACCCATATCTCAACTGTTGTGTCCTCGCTCTACACATGACCAGTAAAACATGAATCATCATTAGGTCAATTTCTCTGTTTCCAATTACATTGTAACTTTTTATTCACATCTTTAAGAACTGAAATACAAAAAAAAATTCAGAAAATACTTTTATACCAAATACCTCAAAGTAGAGTTCGGAAGGACCAGATTCATCAACAGTTAGACCACCTTTGAGCATGGACCAACATTTGGATTCAGAAATAACAGAACCGGCGTGCTTATATTCACCGTTCTTCTTGAAAACGGCTGTCACGGGAGCCTTTCCTTTGGTTACTTGTAACCAAGCTACGATTAAAATAAAATACATCAGATGATATAATTGGCACAATGCTTATCCTTAAATTCTAATGAGTGTGTTCCAAGAAACACAAATTCCGAATTGTTTTTACCAGAGAAAGTGTAAAAAAGTCCCTTTTCCAAATAAACCTTCTGTGAGACGCTATCATAAGATTTATTCCTCTCTCCTGCAACAGCAAACTTATTGCCTCCAAATTCTCTGAAATCGACTTTGGCGTTTCCGAATTGTGACCAGCCTTGTGAACCATTTTGTAAGTCAGAGTTCACGATAATCCCTCCATTGTATTGTGGTTTATAAGGGTTCTCTAGACACTGAACAAAGACAAAGATTATCAGAAACAGAAATCTCCGACGAACATGTCTGAATGAACAGAGAATCGCTTGCCTCTATCGTTGCCGAGTAATCATAAGGTACGAAATTTTCTTCACACCCTGCAAACGTTTTCATAGAAAATTAGTTATACTATTTCCTCTTTTTTTGTCGAAAAGAGATTCAAAAGTTATGCTCCATGCACAAACAGAAAATATACATTGCGAAGAAAAAAAACTCGAAACAATTATAGGAGATTTAACATAACAACAAGAATAATATAGGAAAATCAGAGGATGAGATGGAGAACAACTTGATAGAGAAAGTATGCAGAAGGCAAGCAGCAGCAGCAGAAGCTTCATTGCGGAACTAAAAAAATCACTTGATGATGATTAAGGATTTCCAATAATATTTATACTATTTTCATGGTTAATTTATTAACAAAAACAATTTTGACTATACAGTACTTAACTTTTTAGAGAATTTACCATGCTTGGTTTGGAAAACAAGTTAAGTTATTCATTGTCCATTAACCCTTAACAGAACGGCATATTAAATATATGAAAATTGTCAAAGAATACCTTTTTTCCTTTCTTTTTTGTGTCACGGAGGCCGAATAAGGGAAGCAATTCTAGGCAATAGCACAAATTTTCCTCAGTAGTCAACATATAAGCCAGTAAAAAAGGGAAAAATCTATTAAAAAATCCTTAACTCACAACTTTCAACAAAAAAAACAATCAAATACATTGGACAAAATAAATATATAGTTTTTTTTTACTAATCCGTTTAATTCTCAACTTCTTTTTGACTAAACCATTTTAGATCCAAGTTAGTCAACATTTATAGTTGACTAACGAATATAACTAAAATTGCTTAATAAATAAAAAGTCAAGGCATTTTTGTGAATAAAAAGTTTAGGATTAATTTGGTAAATAAAAAGTTGAAGACTTTTTTGGTTTTTTTACCAAAAATTATTTTTTCCAAAATTTTTGAATTCAAATAATGAAAATAATATGGATAATAAAATATTAATAATTAAAAAATCTATTTCGTTAGTTGAAATGAAATTACTGATATGAAAAATAAAATTTTCGTTTATTTATCACTATTTATTTATCATTTAAAAATATTTTAGACATAGTATAAAAATGAAATTAGCATTTAAAAATAAAATAAAATCAATTTCTAATAAAAGTAACCAAAATTTCAACATATTATTTCCAAAAAAAATCTTCAACTTTTTGGTATAAAAAAATTCAACTATTGACTAACTTTAAGTTTAAAATGGTTTGGTCAAAAAACAAATTAGAGATTAAATGGATTAGTCAACGAAAATTGAAGATTTATTTTATTCACTTAGTAGGTTGCAGATTTTTGGCTTAAAATTGTGAATTTAGGATTTTTTTTAGCATTTTTCCCTTAGAAATGTAAATCTTTAAATCCACAAAAGCCTTGTTTTGTGTGTGTGTGTCTTTTAAATTGATTTTGTTTCCTATGATACATTTATCATATAACGTCATTGTTTTTAGACTGTAAAATCAATGGAGCATTTACTTAATATTGGGCGAGAACATGGCAATCAAAGTGAAGACTACAACAAGTTAAAAGACTTATCAAAATAGTTAAGAGGAAGTTCAATATTATTGGCAAATCCATTACAATATCAAAGCTTAAACTTTAAAAAACCCAACCCAATGATGCTAATGATTAGCCCTTGGGGGTTTCCGCAGACATGGATACACATATATACCATGTCTAGATTAATTCACAAACAATACTATCTGCCACCATTCATGACTAAGAATCAAATTACTCAAGTATAAAGTAGCTGTATACTTGTCTTCTTAAACACGAAAGACAAAAGAGGATGGTTGAGTGTTTGAGGAGTCATCAGAAGTCAGCTTAAAGCTGTGAGAAGCTTTTGAATTGGAGAGAGGATGAGCAATCTTGAGATCATAGTCACCATGGAAGAGTGAAGCTTCAAAGAATCCATCAGCATCAGTGACACCTGTGGTTTGTTTGCGGAAACCTCCCCATTCATGTAGAAGTCTGTCCACGACGTCTCCGGTGGGTAGGTTCTTAAAGTTTCCATCGGTGAGGCACATTCGGTAGCAACCTGTTGGAGAATAACCACTCCACGTCACCATTCCTTTCACTTGAGGATGTGCGTGGCCTTCCCTTAGAACCTGCTCGAAATACTTGGGCCTGCAAGAAATCCAAACATCAATGAGATAAGGAAGTGCTAAACATCCTAAAGACTTCTGTTGATCGTTATAAGAGAGTATGAGAAATTACTTGGACATTTGGAGGAGCTTCAACATCGACCTCAGTGAGCCAAATAGGCAAACCGGTGGCACCAAGAGTGTCAAGAGCTGATCTCATATACGGAAGGTTAGGAGTCTTAAAATGAGACTCGAGACCGATCCCTAGCGATATGTTTCCGCGAACACGGATTGATTTAAGCTCCCTAAGCTTCTTCAAATACCTTGCTGGACAAGAATCTGAATCCCTAGGTTCCTCTAACGTATTGTATTCATTCAGAAACTTAGTTGTTGTTGGATCGAACGCCTGTGCCATCTTATAAATGTTATAAGAAGCCTTAGGACCCATCTTTTTCTCGAAGTAGGAAAAATGTAGATTCTCATTCACAACGTCCCAACCCGCAAGCTGGCCTTTGTATCGTGAAACCACAGAGAAAATCCTCTGTTTCACTGCATTGTAGAACTCGCGACCGGAGAGAGAATTCAGCCATTGAAGTTGATACTTGTCGTCGTTCCATACAACATTGTGTCCACGCACAGCGACCCCGTGCTTCTTGAAGAAACTCAACATCGCATCTGCGATTGAGTAATTCTCTTTGCCTCTGACTACTTCTGTGCTGTACCATTTCATCTCGTTGGCGAAAGTTGTTACTGTGAACCTTTGAGTGAACCAGTTTTGGTATGCTTGGCTCTCAAGTATGTTCTTTTCTACCTCGCATCCAAATGGGAATCCGAGTTTCCTCTGTTCTACGGTTATGGTTGCTTTTGGGATCGGCTCGCCTTTGCTATTCACAGCTCTGATTCTAACGGTTCTCTTTCTCTCCTTCTGAATGCTCAGCTCGTGGTGAGTGTTCCACTCTTTTTCTGTGAATGGTTGCAGCGAGACGCTATCAACCCAAATCTCAACCGTTGTGTCGTCGCTCTACACATGGACAAAACAAGACTCATCATATCATTGCTGAAAAATAAACTCGCCGAGTGTGACCAAAATGTAAGAAACAATCAAGGCTATGATATAGATACCTCGAAGTAGAGTTCGGCAGGACCAGATTCATCAACAGTGAGACCACCTTTGAGCATGGACCAGCATTTGGATTCAGCAATAACAGAACCGGCGTGCTTATATTCACCGTTCTTCTTGAAAACGGCTTTTACCGGAGCATTTCCTTTGTTTACTTGTAACCAAGCTACGAAGAACATAAAACAGAGCAGATCATATATCCTGATAGGGCTTACAAAAAATTCAAAGAGTATGCTACAAGAAACACAAAAACAGAATTTGGTTTTTTACCGGAGAAAGTGTAGAGAAGACCCTTTTCCAGATAAACCTTTTGTGAGACGCTGTCAAAAGGTTGTTTCCTCTCTCGTGCAACAACAAACTTATCGCCTCCAATCTCTCTGAATTCGACTTTTGCGTTTCCGAATTGTGACCAGGCTTGTGGACCATTACGTAGGTCAGGGTTTACTATGATTCCTCCATTGTACTGTGGTTTAAATGGTTTAGCTAGACACTGCACCAACACAGAAATATAATGAGAACAAGAATCACGACACATGTCTGAAGTCAGACAAATGAACAGAGCATTGCATACCTCTATGGTTGCAGAATAATCATACGGCACGAACTTTGATTCAGATCCTGCAAATGTTTTCCATACAAAAACATTATATTAGTTTTTTTTTCTTTGAAAGAAATAAGAAAATAATAAGATAAGATGGAATACAACTTGATAGAGAAAGGCTGCAGAGAGCAAGCAGCAGCAGACGCTTCATTGTGGAATCAAAGAACAAACCGATGATGATGAATTAAAGTTTGTTTTTGTTGTTCGTATTGTATGCCTATCCTAGTAATATATAGTGCAATACTTTTCTATTCCTGATGATTTTGATAAACCCCAAAAAAAAAGCTTTACTATTCGACGTCACAAGAAAAAGTAGCTTTACTATTATTGATGGCCTTGATATACATTAACTATAATGAACTTTTCACCCTACTATTAATAGGAAAATATCAAGGTTGAGGTAATTTTTAAAAGATGATCAACTTTTTAAAGAGAGGCAAATATAGTCACAAATAGTCGTTCGATACCGCCCTGTAGATACGTATACCATAATGTTCCCACAAGAAATACACCAAATTAAAACCTAAGTACTTTTTGTCAGCATTCAATCAGAAACGGTTCTGTGTTCCTCTAGTGAAATTTCTCCTGTCTTGACATAATTTCATATCAATAAAAAAGTATCCATTAAATTTTTTTTTTGGGGAAAAGATATGAAGTCTTGGTGATTGGTTTACACATCAGAAGATGATAAAAATAGAAGTTAATATCATTTCATTTAATGCATAGACTAAAAAAATCATAAAAGAGAAAATGATATGCAAAGTTTATCTTATAACATTTTACCACGTCATATTTTTATGTGCGATCTCAAAATTTTAGTTTGTAATGTTTTACTTTCCAAATATACCATCAAAAATCCAAAATTTATAAAATATGACAAACTTTTAGATTTACAATTGAATTATAATATATTTTTGTTTTTGGTAACGAGGATTTAATTTGTAAAAGTTCAGAAAATGGTACGAAACTATTTAGGTTTTATTTAATATATTTTGGGTACTCTTTCAAAACCTATAAAGATTATGATACTTATTTTTTTTCAAATTTGTGATTGCTTTTTTAAGGTTAGAAAGCCATATTTACGAAAAGCAATATCGTAGAAGGTATAACTAATAATTGGGCTAGAACAAATAACTATTCCATCAATTTTCTGAAGTTTTTTTTTTGTTTTACAATATTTGATTTCTTACATGTAATAAATGCAAGTTTCTTCTTTAAATTGTTTCTTCTTTAAATTGAATAAATTGAATAAATTATAATTAATGTATGTTGCTTTACAAAACTAATTAACCAGTGAAATATGAAGAGACAACAAAATACTAAGTCACGGGCCATAATATTAATGCAGAGTTGGAAAAGAGAGAGTGGAGTAATAATAAAAAATTAAAAACAATGAAATCCATGTGCAAAACTCAGAAAATCAAATTTAATAAAACTGAGGGAGTATAAGATTCAACAGCTAAACAGCCTTAACGAAATAGCTCAATGTCACAAATCCATTACAATAACTTGGGCTTTGAGTTTAACCAAAAAAAAAGACATGATGATGCTCCGGCTCCCACGCAAGGGGCAATGATCTTCAACGGTACTGCAAAGAAGTGGAAAACAAAACAATGAATTAACTTATCAAAATCCAAAAGACTGAAATAACATCAAGGGTCAAATCACATCGATACACAAAAGTTATTACCTTAATGAATCCGATTTCCTTGGCGTTGCTGCGGAAGCACTGTCTACAACAGTTAAGACCATACTTCCTGATTAATCCATGGGAGTTTCCGCACACACGGCTGCACAAATCCAAGAAATGCAACCTTATCGTTAGATGAGATCTCTCGTATATCCACACAAGCAAAGACAAGAAACATGTCCAACATATTCTATATACATTAACAACAAAGAGAGCATTGTTTTGTAAAATGTTTAGAAGGCAAAGTTTAACACTGAACCTTGCTTTAGAAATCAAGACTCCAATAGATCAAAACTTACTTCGAGGAAGAACACACAGCAATTTCCCTTCCCACTAAACCTATTACCGCAACATTAATTCACCCAAAAGTTTGGATCTTTTGAAAAAATGGAATGTGTGTCTTAAGGATCTAAAGCAAATATACATGGATTCGCTTGAAAATAGGACTAGTGGCTCACCTAAACCCAAAAAACAGTAACAGAGCTATTCAAAACATTTAACATTTTTCAACGTAACATCCATATTTATAACGATACTCAAATCAAATACCAACACTACGAAGATTATATTCAGAGAGGATATATGCTCTGTTAACACGAATCACGAAAAACGAAACAACGCCATAAGTCTTTGGCAAGCCGCTTAATTTCTCGGCATATGAGAGGAAAAGAAGAAGGCCTTACCATGTGCGGGAACCAGGACCGTATTTCTTGGGATGAGAATTCCAGATATTGGCGAATCCCATGATTTAGCGAAAGAAGCTAGAGGAGAAAGACCAACGGCGAGGAAGCACTCTAAACTTTGGAAACCCTAAATAGCGTCGGGGACGGCGTTGATAATCAATTTATAGCATAAACCAAGAGGATGAGACAAAGAGAGAACGAGTTGACGATTTTTGTAAACCCTAGAAATTGGTGGGCTTCAAATATTTATGGCCCAAATTACAAGGCCTATCTCATCACACTGCCGTCTGTCTACTGAGAAGACTAATCCAAATAGAACATACAAAAAGATCTGATAGAATAAAGAAAACGTGACGGATATTCACAATGATTTTGAACCAAACTTATGGTTGAATGCACAAGATATCAAATCAAACCCACAAAAGTGGTAAAGAGAGAGAGACTCAAATCAGTTCCTTGGGCAGGACCTTTGAGCATGTTGTTCTGACTTGACCTAGAGGACCAGTCAAGACATGGTAACTTGATAACTTCATCATCGACATGGCAAAGTCACGTCGGAACAACTGTGGATCTGAAGCATAGGCTCTCACCCATGTCTCAGTCTCTTCACTGCTCGTTAGCTGCTGATCAGAAAACAACAACCCTTTCTTCTGCATCAATCTTCTGAAGTAGCGTGTTCCGAAATTCTCCTCACCTCCTTCATTGTTGAAGCTCAAGTCGATCACTCCATCATTCCCGCCTGTTGGGCTCATACCATAGTTCTTGGGACAATCTGATGCAGGTAAGGAAGGTGCTAAACCAGTGCCAGGGGATGGTGATGGAGATGAAGCCGAGGCAGAGAAGGGGCATTTGGTTTTCAGTTCTTGGAGGAACCCTGGATTGAGTTCAGGGTCAGGCTTCCCCGTTCCTGCGAAGTTGTATAGCCGGTCCTCAAAGAATGTGCAGTGCGTAGTGCCTATGCTGTGTGCTCCTGCGTCAGAAAAATCAGAGTAAGAGTAAGAAAAGAATCATGTCACGAAGAGAAAGAGTAAACCAATTCCAAGAACGACAAGATATAGCCAAAGCAGGGGAGAGAGATGTTGGCACAAGAAGTGAGGATTACCGAATAAACTGACGGTTTCTCTCTCGTTGAATCCTCTGGAAGCAAACCTTGCAAGAATTACCGAGAGATTAGCTTGTGGTGTTGGAAGCTCTCGTTCTGCAATTTCCTTGAAGGCCGCTACACTATCTTTCCTTCCAGTCTCCAGTGGATAAAATGGACCACCAGCCTGTGGAGTTCCAAAGACATGATTCAGGGTTACAGAGATAATCAACATGGACAAAACAAGAAGAGAGGCATGGAGATTTACCAAAAGGACGGCTTCTCTAGCAGCCAAGACAATAATGTCGGCGCAGGAAACAACTCCAGGACAGACGTTCTCTAGCTCAGACTTAATTGCGTCAATCACATCAAGCCCTTTCAAAGACTGGTTCGGAGATGCTTCTTTCTCAGAAGTTAGAGATTCATCTGCGTCTAGAAGGACTGATGCATCACATCCCTGTATATAAAGCAACATGAGCAACTTGAAGAAATCCAAGGAAACATAAGATTCGGTTCACAAAGTATCCTAACAACAACAAATCAGAGGGATATAAGCACATAGATTCTTTATTGACCAAGCTTAATTCCATTGACAGAGATGAACTTCAATTGAAACAAAGATATCACAATCAGTTATACACTCCCGAATCAAGAAATTGTTTGAGGTTTCACGAACAATCTACCCTAAATTTCTCCTACTGCTAAGATGCCGAAGATTTACCCAGACTATATCAGAAGAGACGAGAAAGAGAAAGCAACGAATCGGAAAATCTGACCTCGATAAAGCAATCGTGAAATAGGAGGCGGATGAGAGACGGAGCTATGCTAGGTCTGGCGTTGTAGGTTTCTGTGATAGCTTTAGCGATGATTCTCTCGGCGGAAGGGCAAGATTCTTGGTAGAAATCGTAGTGGAGGGAGTAAGATCGATCGATATCTTCGGCGGTAGACATGAACATGGTCATGAAATCCTCCTCGTAGGGAGATTTCTCAGAAACCTTACCGCCGGTATGATTCTCCGGGAAATCTTTAGCCAAACGGAGAAAATGGAGAACGACGTTGTCAAATTCGAGGCGCGCGACGTAGATGCTGAGAGCGATAAAGAAGCAGGTAGCGAAAGCGATCTTCCAATCTCCGATAAACCTCATCTTTTCGTCTGGATTCTCTGCGTTTGCGATTGTGAACTCTGGAGAAGTGAGATTGGAGATGATGGTGATGAAGCAGAAGTGGGAAAGAAGCGGGAAGCGATAGAGAAATGACGAATATGCCCTTGCTCGTAAACTAGTCGGTTCCGCGATTTGTTACAGATTCAGTTATTAAGCCGCCGTGAGGTTTCGTTCGCGAGATGGAATCCGGTGTATCACGTGCACGGTACACCAATGACAAGTTGCAAAAGAAAAAGATAAAAGTTATAGATGGGCCCAAGAGTAAGATCTTTCGAGATGTGGGCTTCATGTAATACACGAAAAGATCCACTAGGAAAGTAGAATGCACTCGTTTGTTAGTCATTGACACAAATTGGCAAAGCCGTGGACTCTCAACTTGTAACGACTTTGATGAAATCTAATGTATTTTATTTTCAAGTGCATAGACCGACAACCAAAAATTTGAATACACTCAATTACTGTTGGTTATATAATAAGAACCAAACGAGGCAAGTTATGAAATTAAAAATGGTTGGAGCATTAGAGACGTCAACAAGGTGATCACACCTCCAAATTTGTAAATTTGTATTTAATGAGTTTGATCTTCGGTGTACTCATCCCCCATCACGATTGAATATATCGAACTAGTTTTTTTTGACAAATATATTTAGCTAGTTTGTCCGATAACTTTTTGAAAATATATATGTATACTAAGAAAAAAAAGTAGCAGCATTAGGATTAAATCAGTGTGTTTCTAATCTAACAAATTCTTTTGAGTTTGGAAGGGGTTTTTAGTAGCTGTCCTTTCAATTATTTGATTGATTCTTGTATTTATTTATACAAAACTGGGTATATTTTAGAGGGTGCTCACACTTGAGTTTATTATTCCCAATATTTATAATTGAAAAATATGTAGATTTTAAAAATAAAATAAAAACGGTAAGAGAAAAGAAAAGAGTGAGAAACAGTCGCCATTAGTGGCTTTGATGTCAAATTTGTTTTAACAAATAATAGAACTTAGAGGAATATATGATATGATCAACCCATCTTTATATAATTCTATTTTCTGTTTGATTACTTTCCTAAATAATTAAAGTGTAGGACATGAAAAAGAATATGCCTTGTTCCTACTAGGTAATGATATATAAACTGTAAAACAAAGGAACTAATAGAACAACATTTCTCTGTTGCTGTTAACATCCAAAAAATTTCAACAATAAGAATTTATTAATATATACCATAAACCTGTTGACAAAATTATAAAAATATACCATGAACATAAGTCAACCTATAGTTTAAGAAGTGACCAAAAGCCATAGTCAAACTCAACTCTAATAGCAATCATGTCAATTTTACAATCTTCTTCTGATCAAGACAGTTTTATAACTTACATAACTTTACTTGTTGTACATCCTAAATGGACTAGACTATCTATTATAATATAGTTGACCTTTTACATAAACAGGCCAATCGTTTTGTTATGTTTTTCCTACAACCATAAACTTAATAAATGTTTTGTTTTTGAGATTTTTTTTAGCTTTTTAATAAACTTATTTGACTAGATATCAATATATTTACTTTAATTCAATTTATATACTTGAGTTATTAAAGAAAAACATAAGCAATGTTTTGTTGTTTCAACTCTGAAAAATGAGACATTTATTATGCTATAAATATTTCAGAATCACTTTCTGAATCTGGATAAAGTTGTGAACTACAATTTTGATGTCAAAAAAATTATGAACAAGAAACTGGCTAAAGGTTGACGCTATATGAATTCGTAATTACTTTTCAAAGTTGTTGTTGGCAACAAAAATTGTAGTAATATTTCATAAGCCGCATTTGAATTGAGTAGAAATAAAAGTGAAATAATTGATATTAATTGATTGCCATGAATAACATTGATTGCTGATAATATTCTAGTAAGACAAAATGGATATGCTAGTCTAGTTACTTTTTAATGTTTCGGGCTATAAGATGTAAATTGAAAATATATCTTATTTAATTTCCTTTGATATCATATATTCTAACTCTTGTCAAGGAATAATTGTTATTATAAAGGAGATGGTCTAAACACAGCTACTGCATGGGAATAAATATATTTAAAACAAAACAAAAATCCGACCGTGGAAAATCAAATGCGTAGAATCAGTACTGAAATATTACATTGTAAAAATTAGTAAACTATACATGAACTATGATCTGGTCTTATTCATGAATACGTGTGAGAATGAACCTGTTGCGGCCGAAGTTATTAAGTGGCCATATATTAAATCGTATACAAATGTGAGGCTAGTATTATGTTTTTTTTTTTTAAGTATTATATATGTAAACCATTCATCTCTTGTTTGGACGACTTTAGTAATTCCGTTATGAACAATTCTTTGGTACAAGAACTGTTATAACCTATTTCACTATGTTATGCGCCAATTCTTTTAGTGGCATGCAAACAAATAGGCGGTATATGCCAAAATATAATCTGTGCGCCTATCAATCTCAATCATAATAGTCGACGGTACGTCCGTACGTACGTATTCCTTGAAATTGACTATGATGTTCGCTCTATGTATAGCTAGAATGCTAGATCATTCATCAAGCACACGGCACATGAAGTATATCAAGATTTGTAAGCTGATGGTAAAGTCGGACGTGAAAGATTATGCTTGGTTACAATTTGGGACGTCTGAAATTGATCTCATGCAGGGATCCCGCAAATTTGATCAGCTTCATTGGTAGACGTCTTAGATTTGATGTGCATGGTATAAAAATGGAAAAATCATGGTTCACACAATCCGATAGGTTTTAGTTACTTTTTTCTTGAAGAGAAAAATAAAATTATAGAGTTGTAAGCACAATTTTCATTAATTCTTACCAAACAACGGTTCCCTTATTTATCCTTCCATTTGTAAAGTATCTTTTGAAATTACAATGGTGATCATATACTGAATTATAAGCTGAAATTATAGGGTTAAATTAAAATGACCGATGACAACCAGCTTGAATTATCTGTATGATATCGAGTCCATTACCAGGAAATTTCAACATCTAAAAAAATAAAACAATGGAGAAGACGGAATCTAAGAAATTGGAATGTGATATAAAAAACAAAAAGAATGTGACTCTTCATTTCTCTCATATATTGAACATCGTACGAGAAATTATAATCGAACTCGTCCGAAGGCGGAGAATAGAAAAAGAAAGGAAAAAAGAATAATACATTTTTGGTTTTATGACCAACTAAAAATCACAAGATCCGTGCATCATCTTGGTGAGTTGAGGCCAATGTCCATTCCGTTGAATGCAATCGGCGCATACATCCATAGATCATCAGAGCTTAATAACTGCGTAATTATAATTATAATTTTAAATTAAATCATTTTCATATAACACATGTCAATTTTCCAGTAAAATGTTAAAAGGAAAGCCCTTCCGTACCTTAATTTGGAGCTGCAAAAATTTGACGTAATGAACGGCTTCCTCAAGCATAGTGCTGATATCGACCTGTTACGTAAACAAGAAATTATAGATGTTTAGAATTTCTATTAAAATTAAATTGCATGTAAAGAACGATATAATCTGCATGTGTTAAACGAATGCATGCGAATTTACCTTTGTTCCATTAGGGACGAGGTTTTGCAAAATCCTTAGTCTTTCGTTTATCCTTTCTCTTCTTTTCTGTACAACCAAAGAAAATCCGGATTTAGTCTTTCTATTTTTTCCGTTACTTCATAAAAATTAAAAACTATAGAACAAAGAAAATATATATGGATCGTAAGCCGAAATTTGACGTAAATAAAGCAAAATTAATTACCCTTGCGTAAAGGCTTTGAGGGTCGGTGGCAGCACCACGACTTGCCCTGGTTTTACCGTTGAGGTTAAGAGCCTTGGAGGCATCTTCCTCCTCTTCTCCTCCACCTTCTTGAGAAGCGCAGTTTGATTCTTCCTCGGAACAGAAAGTGGTGCTTGAGTTCTGTCTGCTCATCATAGCCCCATTCTTTCTTTTCTTATTCACCTTCTCTACTTCTTGCTCTTCTCCTCCATTGTTGTTATTATCACCACTCATTTCTATGCCCTTTTGTCCTCTCTTCCCCACTTTTGCTCTCTTGTTTTTCTGTATCCATTGCAAAACCGTTTTATACAATATTAGTAAAATAAAAGAATGTCTTTAATACAATTAAACAAACCAGTTAAGACCTAAAACCAGTAAAGCTTACATCAGCGGATGTGACACGCGATCTCTTCTTGGAACCGGTGAGAGATTTCTGATGATCAGTAGTAGTGACAGAGATCTCGGATTGCAAGATGCTCTCCTCGTCATTTTGGTTCTCCACGACGGTTTCCAAAGGCACAAGAGTCTTTCCAGATGAGTATTTCTCAACGTCACACTCGCTTGTCTCCTCACCAACAAGATAAGAGTTGGTGTTGATGGTCACATCTTCCATGCCAAAGTCCATTGACCCATTGTTGTTCTCTTCAACCGTAGGTGGGACCACTGCGTAGTATCCACTGTTCCCAGCGCTGTAGCTGTTGCTCTCCTGAGAGAAACAGAAGCTACTAGCTTCAGGCATCAAGGTAAGGTGGTTGTGATGAGAACCAAGGTTCCAATACAATCCCTGGTGGTGGTCTCCGCCGGCTGTGCCAGAGGATGAGCCGGTGCCGGGATGATCGTAGGAGGCGAGGAGCTGGTTCATGAAATCAGCTTCTTCTGTCGCATAGGTGTACATTCCTCCGAGGTTGTTGCTCCATTCTCCCATGGCTTCCATTTTTTTTGTTATAAACTTAAGTGTCTTAATTAAGATGTTAATTAATCTTAATTAAGTAGATTAGTTAGTTTTGTTTGTTGATGTTTTTGTTGAAAGTCTTGTGAGAAGTGAGGAAATGAGGGAGAGGAGTTGGGATGTATATATAGAGAACATGAGACATAGTGGATAAATGTCAACACTTATGACATCAATTACAATCATCTTTCTCATTAATTTATAAATAACAAAGTCTGGGATACCCTTAGATATGGACAGCTAATTATTGTGGGCTATACAACTTGGTCTTCATAACATAAGTTTTTAGCATATATTTGTCGTTTATCGCTTATGACTCGATGCATTTCCATATCTTTTTGCTTAAGTTAATTTATTCTTACATATTTGTTAAAGACAACAATTTTAAGTAAAAAAGATTATAGTTGGATATATATATATATATATATATGAATAATGACCACCATGATTTTAAGATGAAACATGATTTTGGAGGTATTCATAGTATAAATGGTGTGTTTTCTGATAAAAGTTTGGAATCAAATTTAGAGAAGCTCATCGTTCGAATGTAGATTATATCTTAGTTAGCATTAGGAAACTATTCAATAAATAATTTTCCGTAAACTCATTATAGAGATGAATGGACTGAAACTTAAATTGAATAGTCCGGAATGTATATATATTTTTTTTGGCATACAGATCACAAGATTTTCATTTAAACTCTTATAGGGACATAAAATTTACAGTCGGACTCATAATAAGCGTGCTAAGTTGCGTTGATCCATTGAGTTTAGTGTTGAGTATTGCTTAGATACAATTAGCAATTGTTGGTCCATCTTCGAAAAACTACATATATTAGTATATTACCTTCAAGTTTTTTTTCCTTAACAGACACATAGTTCAACCTCCCATGATATAGCAAAGACTTGTTTTACTTTATTAGGAAATTTTTTTCTCTATAATATTCTACATAGCTTCAGAATATTCCTATCTATTGATAAAATATAAGTGATAAATTCATATCTAACTAACCAATAATCGGAAAACAAATTGGGTCTAGAGAGGGCAAAAAATTATATACGTTTCCCATTCATCAACTGAAAAGAAAAAAAATTAGCGATGCAAGTAGTTGCCTATATGTTATTGGACTTGTAGATAACATAAATGATCTAATTATCCCTGTAACGTTTTTCTAGTTTATATATTTCTTGTCAGCTGTGTTTTCGGAACATATATACACTGAATAAATTGTATGCTAATCTTGTAAAAATACATTACTACAAAGTAATCCAAACTATTTGGACATTTTATGGTTCTCGCCTGGTCTGTCAATGAAATCATGTAAAACTTTTGAAAAGAATCAACGGTGGACTAGAGAAGAACAGAGAAAATAGTTACGTTTGTGTGTATTATACTAGCATGAAAAATACTTGGATCACTATGGTAACTTAGATAGTTAGATTTAAGGCTCTTCCTCCAAATTTTATCATTTGGTTTATTCAGTTGTATACTTATTATACTTCTTTTAATATATGCCTTAGGGAATTAGGGACGTTGGCCTAAGGGATGTTACTATTTAGCGACATTATATGATAACTTATAATTACAGTGTAGTTAAGGCACAATGTCTACCCTTTTTCAACAAACAAACAAAAAAAAGACTACGGCACAATGTTGCATACAATTTCACATTCTGTATTATACTTATTATAATATATGCCTTAGGGGTGTTACTATCTAACGACATTGTATGTAAGTAAATTTAAAGGTCTTCCTCTAAATTTATTCTTTTGGTTTGTACATAATTTTTTTACACAAAAATTCGATTTCTTCGAACATTGACTTTTTTTGGGTGCAAACTCATTAACTTTATTTTTGGTTAACTGACTTATTACCTGAATTTTTATTTGTAATGTTAGTAGTTATTATATACGATATATCCAAAGTAAGAATCGAGCTCTTCCGTTGCTTCAGTTGTCAGGTTCCATGGATTATAATTTTGTAGAAAAAGAAGGTTTAAATGTGAATGAAAGAGATAGATGTGAAGTGGAGAATCAGAGACCTGGTTGTTGAACGTGACAGTTTTTGTGTCATAATAATATTTTAAAATGACAAGGAAAAAAAGTAATGAAACTGAGTTATATGATTTTAACTGTATTAAGTAATAATTGATTAGGTTGAGTCAACCACTGGACGGCAGATCGTGCGCGTGGAAAGTCCATAAGTTCATAAGCCATTCTTATATTAAAAATAAAAAAGCACACAGTACTTTCACCGTTAATGTTTCTCTTTAAACTCACATACATTTTAATCCGTTGTTATGAGTATGAAAATTTTAAAATTCAATTATTATTATATTTATTTATTCAATTTTACTTCATCTATGTGTTCTTTATAAGAAAAAATTACATTAATTTCAAAATTTCTTTAGTGTCCTTTATCAAAGGTATATTTTCTTTTATCAGTGTCTCTTCCCTAGTCTTTTTACCTTTTTAGTGATTAATTTTCTATAAACTGATTAAATTTACAGGTAGTTTTTCGTCAGTTTTAGTTACAAAATAGCAACAAATAAAAAGCGTAATGGAACTCAACTAATTCTTTCAAACCTGCGAGACTTGAAGAAAATAGCAAAAAACCAGGAGCATCCGATGGCAGTGTGGACATTAGCACCATTGCATGACAAAATATCTGTGTAGCACCTATGAGCTAAATGTTTTGAGAAAATTTCATCGTTTATGTATAGCATAAATTCACGTCACCTGCAAAAATTATGTCGAATTTTGAATCAGTGTTTTTCAAGAAGCTATTTTTGGTAAAACGTTGATTGAAATATGTCATTCTAGCATCGCCGGCTAAAATCATATTTAATATCAAATAGGTCAAATTTCACCATAATAAGATCGCAAGAAAACAGTCCCTAGCTAAAGCGCAAATACTTAGCTAAACAAATCTTTAGTAAAGAGCTAAAGTTGGTTTGTTTCTTAAATCACTAAGAGAAAAGGACATCGTCCTATAGGAAAGCTATAAACGCTATTAATATCCTAATCAAACTATTAATCATAACCTTTTTAGGAGTACAGGAATCGCCAAAGAGGCTGACTAACCTTTAAGTGACCATTGGGAGCTAAATGACAAAATCAAATTAACAAACAAATAATGTATATATATATATAAATTATATCGACCCTTATGTACAGTTAAATTGTATACAGTTTCTTACTATTGCACTAAATAATCAGTTCAAGATGTCTTCGGCTAAAGCAAGACAGCTAGTGTTATGCTTTACAGAGTATTAAGAGACAATGTTGAACCTTCTTTATAGACTCAGAACATAAGCGCGAACTTATGCGATAGAGAATAATAAAAGTAGAATGAGAGAATTAGGAAATGCAACACTATAAGGGATAAAAAGAAGAAACTGACAGAGTTTTATAAACTGATCTCTACACATTACATATGTGTACGGTGTACCTATGTCCAATATCAATCAATACACATTACAATAGTTTGCACAAATTTGTCTATTTTATTCTGGATTTTTAGTAGAATAAAATCTGTGCACAGCCCTAAAGAAACAAATTGCGTAATCAGATCTGATTAGATTACATTAAAACTATATTGCTTGAAACTATTTACCCAGTTTAGATTGGGAGATTGCTTTTTTTTTTTAAAAGCAATCCTTGCACGCACGACCAGACATTATAGCATTTCAGACGAATATTATTATGATTTATAAATTATGCTTATAATTTCTTTGTTGGGTAGATAGCTGGCAATTTGATGCCTCTTAAGATTATTTAAAAAATCCGAACGACTATTTTTTTATTCTTCATAAAATTGTCGTTTCAGTTAACATGGACGCTATTTTGTAATTTTAAAACCTAGTTAATTTTTTATATTTAGTACTATTTTATAATATTAGCTCCAGAAATCGAATGCAGGAAATAAAAATAGATATTCGATCTAACAGCTTTTAATTTGTCTTTTCAAATAGCGAAGAATTTATTTAATGTTTATTCTACAGAGTTACTTACTTCCTTCACGAGAGAAGGGATTAATTTGTACATATGATAATCTGTACTTTTTCAAGAGCGAAGGGAGTATTGAATAAATTTTAACCCTTTATCTCTTGGAGTCTAACCCAAATGTTCAATTTTTAGCTCCTTTCCTAAAATCAATGCTATTTTGTTGAAGTTAGTAATATTATGATGTCATATATGAAATTTTGAAGTGTGGAAAATAAAAGCAAGAATTTGCGAGGTAAATGAAACGAATCCTACCAAACACACTTAAAGAGATCAAGGTGCAACGTGTGTCGGATATTCCTCAGCATCATTATTTATATTAAATTCCTAAAGTATGTGTTTAGACATTTTAAATATAGACGTAGCTGCAAACCACACGCATATACTAGAAAATTATAAACGCAACCCAATCATGAACCATCAGAAAATGCAGTTATTTGATCCTGGACTGCAGAAAACTAATCGGAAAATACTAATTGAACAAAATAAAATAAAAAGTAAAACAATTAATGTGATAATATTACCCAAGCATGCAAACAAAAAAATATTACCCAAGTAACATTATCGTTGAAATTAGAACAAAACAAAAAAAAGCAGCCTTTTCTCTATATATAGAAGCAGAATATCTATTATCGTGTGAAAATATTACCCAAAGCAACTGAGTTCTAAAATGTTGTAATTTTTTCCTCTGCTCTTACTGTTTTAAAAGAGGCGCTGAAAAAACAACCTAACATGTAAATACTTGCGCTCATCCAAATCTCTCTCTAATTAGAAAGATATGCAAAAAGTACAAACTAATATCTCAGTTTAGCGTATTAATAAAGACAATTGTGTGTTGTATCTTAGTTAAATTTGATTCGGCTGACGATTGGTAGGTGAAGAGAATGTCTTTATTTGTTTATCTATATAATTATCGACATTATAAGACCACCTAATAATTAATATTCTTACTCTTCTCTTATTTTTATGGCTTCCTGTCTTGCTCATTTGATTATACTTAAGTATACGATTATGATCAGGATCTTTAATATCATATTAAAACGTTTGTTACGGTTTGCGTCCGCCTCGTGCCTTCGCCTTTTCTTTTTATTAAACTTCGACGTTTGGTGCATTGATTGATGTAGGACAAAAAATTGTATGACAACATTAGTCTTTTTTTTTTTTGGCCAAAGACAACATTAGTCTATAGGCAACAAGTAACATTAACATTATTTTATGGATATAAGAAATGAAATATGCATTAGAATAAATTTTGATCAAATCAAAGATCAGAAAAATGATCTATTAATTTCTCTAATGTGATTAATATATCTGCAATTTACATGTATTCAAGTGTTTTCTTTTTTCTTTTCGTTTAACGGCCGGAACTCGGATCCAATAGTCCATGTCTAGTCCCACCATCGAAAGCTGTTTATATCCTTTCTTCAAAATTTTAGATAATGAATTTTCTTAGTATAAATATCCCCGATGGAAGAATATTGCTTACAACAAATTATAGAACTTCTTAGTCATATAGATTTTTCTTTTTTAAAGTGTGCTTCTTACATCTCTTTTAAAGGTAACTAACATATGGATTACTAAGATTAACTTCTGAGAATCAAATACATAATAATATGCATCTATCAAAATACTATTATGGTTTATATTGGATATTCTTCAGCAATTAATTCTATATTTTGACATTGTGGTTTCGTTATCTTAAATTACAATTGACTTCAGCATTTCATCACCTATTATATAAGAATTGACTTTGGTTCAAGGTATGGTTTAAATATTTTGATGTAAACAGCTAAGGCGAAAATGATCAAAGTTAAAAAAAAAACGGACTACAAAATGGGGAACGGGAAAAGACATTTTCATTTTCCATCTTCTGGTATTTGGAGACAGAAAAAAGTATGCAATACTTATATAATTTCATATGTGTATAGAGGAAACAGTTATGGTCTATTTATTTTTCTTTAACAAAAAAAAATAGTCTATTTAGTTTATTTTTTTTATCATATGACACCAAAGCTGATTTATGTGACTGTTCCTTGTTCATTATATAAGTCTGTCGTTTTCGTTACTTTGTTTCTTCTAATACTTGGAAAGTTGCAAATTTAAAAGATCTGTGATCGCATAGAATATAAATCAGAAATCATTTGACAACTATTCTGAAATCTTCTTCCACACATATGGTTTCGTTTGAAAATTACCTATAACTGGTGGGCCTGGACAATGATTAGAAAGAGTTTTTAAACAACTTTTCCAAAACTGTTGGAATCTTCGGACAATGTTGAGTACCACTTATAGAGACCTTCTTCGATGTTAAAGAAAAACTAATAACAGACTGGGCCTGTACATTTCGGCCCATCTTTTAATCAAAATGCGTTTTTTTATGTTACACTGGGCATCTTGGATTTGTGCAGCCGAGTGTGCGGAAACTCCCATGGACTAATCAGTAAGTATGGTCTTAACTGCTGTAGACAATGCTTCTGCAGCAACGCCAAGGAAATAGGATTCATTAAGGTAAATATGGTTTTTTGATAGCTTATTCATTGCGTCTCCATAAGATTTTGCTTGGAAGATTACTGATTCATCTGTTTTTGTTTTGCAGTACCGTTAAAGAGCTATGTTGTTTACACAGGAGCAGTCACCTTGTTTTTAAGCTTTTAAGGTTTTTGAGCTGTTGGACATTTTAGCGTCCCATGTTTTATTCAAAACTTTGTTTTGCAATCTGATTATCATACAGATTTGTGTTTCTCTTTGCTTTTTCAGGTGTGTTGCTATCGTTTTTAGTAGTATATTATCAATTTCAGAATTGGATCTACCACTTTTTTTACACAAACATTTCAGGCAAACTGTATACCATTATCAGTTATCAAACAAGTACATTATAATAATCACAAAAAAAAAATTAACCACGGAACATTCAATTATGAAAATGAAAATCTACAGAGAACAATCCGTATATATTTTCCCTAAAAAAAAAACAAAGAAAAACTTCACGGAAAAAAAACTCGCACGTGTGAGGTTGTCCAAAGCCCAACACGTTCTTAGTTCTCTCACGTACGAACACGAACCCGGAGAACCAAAAAAACAGAAGAGAAGCGAAACGAAGAAAAAACAAAAATCCCTTTTGCCTTTAGGGCACAAAGGGGAAGCCTTTCAAGAGATTAAAGAGATTCTCTTTTACTGGGTAAGTTTCTTCTCTAATCGTTTCTTTCCCTTGTCGATGATTCAATCTCTGTTTCCTTCACTCTTTTTCGTTATTTGGGATCCGATTATTTCCTTCGCGAAATCACCTCTCGCTGCTTTCAAAGTCAAATTTTCTCAATCTCTTCTTTATAAGTCTGTTACCTCGAGTTTTCCCGAAATTGCGATGCTCAATCCTTGTTTTGATTCTCGTTATCCAATTTTTCTCAGTTAATTCGATTGCTTTTGTATTTCGTTATCCCCTTTACTTCACTTCGAATTGACCGAATTTTGATTTCTGTTCTTGATTTTCGGGTTCTGATTTTTCAGGTATGCATTGAGAATTGGGACTTTCAGGTTATTGGTTCTTGAATTGAAACTTGGGATGTTGGTTTTAGCTCAATAGAATTGTGAAGTTTGCTTCAGCTGTATATTGTTGAAGATGGGATCCAATAAAGGGTTTTCCCGTTCCGATACGTTGGAGATCAAATCCCTCATTTTCCGGGAAATCGGGCATCAAAGAGCTGAGAGTTACTTCGATCAGCTCGGAAGATTCTTTGCCTTGAGGATCACCAAGTCTGAATTTGACAAGTTCTGTATCAAGACGATCGGTAGGCAAAACATTCCTCTTCATAACCGTCTAATACGTTCCATCGTCAAGAACGCTAGTGTTGCCAAATCTCCTCCATCGAGATATCCAAAGAAAGGTGGGAACTTTGTCAGATTCGGAAATGGGAACTCGAAGAGCAATCAAATTCAGCCGCTTTATGGGGATTCTGCAATCTCTCCTTCGACTCGCAAATGCAGGTCAAAGAAGTTCAGAGACCGGCCAAGCCCGCTTGGCCCACTTGGGAAGCCTCAGAGTTTAACTACAACGAACGAGGAGTCAATGTCTAAGGCACAAAGTGCTACTGAATTGCTTTCTCTAGGAAGTAGACCTCCCGTTGAAGTTGCGTCTGTGGAAGAAGGAGAAGAGGTTGAACAAGTTGCAGCAAGTCCAAGTGTGCAGAGCCGTAGTCCAGTTACTGCTCCGCTCGGTGTTTCCATGAGTCTTAGGGGTGGAGTCACTAGAAAGTCTCTTTCCAATGTATCTGTGTGTAGTAGTAGCAGTTTGAACCCTGAGACTTGTCAGAGCAGCGGTGAACTACCTGATACAAGAACGCTGCGGAATCGGTTGGAGAGGAGATTGGAGATGGAAGGGCTAAAGATATCTATGGACTCTGTTAGTCTTCTTAATAGCGGGTTGGATGCGTTTATGAGAAGGTTGATTGAGCCTTGTCTGAGTTTGGCCAACACTCGATGTGGGAATGAACAAGTGAGAGAGATGAATTTCCAGTACGCACATCAAAGCAGAAGGCTTTCGTATGTATCTATGTCTGATTTTCGTGCTGGTATGGAGCTGAATCCTCAGATTCTTGGAGAAGAGTGGCCTATACTTCTGGAGAAGATATGTTCACGTGCTTTAGACGAGTAAAGAAGATTCAGCTACTATACATAGCATTTGATTAGACTCATTGGATAGATATACCTGAAGCTGAAATTCTTTCCTGGAATTTGGGTTTGTGAAAAGTTTTCTGGTTGTTGGTTCGCGCCGAGCCATTGGAAAAAGTTGTTGAGATGATTCAAGTCACCAAAGGAAGTAGCTTTGAAGAGAACAAAGGTGGGTCTTAGTGTTGTACAAGTTATGTTAGTAGAGTGAGATTAAATAGGGATTTTAAGGTTAAACGCCATTTGATTAGCTGATTGTTTTGTTTTACACTCCTGTGTCATTTTCTTTTCCCTTTTTGCTCTCTGATGTAACAAAATTAATAATGAAAGCAAAAAAAAAGAAAAATCAGTTTCGCTTCTAGATAGGTCTTATCTGAATAATTAGTCTGGTCAAAGTTAAAAGAACTTGCATTTCACTAAAAATATTACATGGAATGATAAACGCAGAACTGAGTTAAATCTAAGAGTGCAGGACACAGAATGATACCATGTCCAAAGTTTTAGTTCTTCCAAGACTCTTTACATTTTACTCTCTGAAATCTATAGAGAGGAAACAAAGAATGTTGAAGAATGCTCTGCTTCTTTTAGTAAAGGCTCCTGGGCTCCCTTTAGTAAAGGCTCCTGGGCTCCCTTTCTGCATTCCTGAATCACATAACTGAATTCTCCATGTAGATAAAATTGAGCGTGTAAAAAGGGTTTGAAAGAGAGCTGAATCAGGCTGCAATGGCAGTTGGTTTCTCGCGGCTTGCCATATAAGTTATGTAGATTGTCCATAGATACGAAAACGAGTTGCTTACAAGTGGCTGCAGAGAAAAAGAAGCCAGCACTGATTTATATAACCAAAACTCAAGATAAGAGAAAGCCATAAAGAAAATAAATGATTCGTCTCGAACCAAAAAGGCTAATCGCAACAAGGACAGATTGAAATGAAGTGGAAGTACCTGTAAATGAACTGGGCAGAACTTAAATGTAATAAAATCACACAAAGGCCAATACATGGCACCGTTTAGCATTGTGGGAAGCAAGTCCCTTTTCAATCTAGCAACTATCTCTGAACCGTTTTCACCTGAGAAAAATAATCATAAATCAGACTTTGCTGTCTTTAAGACAAAAGTCTAAGATCAAATTTAACAACAATCCACAAAATTACAGGTCAACCAGATCTAGAATTGCAAAAAAATCATAACTTCTGATGTTGCTAAAAGAAAAAAAGGAACCACGTAATACTTTTTCTTCCATTCAAGCACAGTTGAAAGCTTACCCTGTAGGGCTGCATTCAAAGAGAAGAAAACAACGTTCATGACAGGTCCGTAGACGGTCTGCCCCATGGCCATTTTCTTAAACGTTGTGATCGTATCTCGTTTAGGGAAGAGTCTTGACATGAGATTGAACCAATAGTGAAGTGTAGGACCTAAGATTAATAACCCATATCCAGCCATCCTTGCTGTTCTTACCAAGTCATAAGACTCCACTGAATCTTGCGGAATTGTCTGTTCAAAGATCCAATATTAGTGACACTCATCAACAGGCCACGAGGCATCACAACGATATAAGCACAACGCTTCTGCTTTACCATATGTTAGAAAACAAACTGATATATTAGGAAAAATCAACCAAAATATATAATGTCAAATTCAGTCTTTAACTTTCAATGAAATAAACACAGAACTTCTAACAATACAATCAATTAGTAACTTCTGGTATGAGGCCCTAGAAACATTTCACACAAGATCACACCGTTAGATCCTGAAGCTCACATATTTCTAATGAGCTCTAATAAAGACATTTTTCAACAGGCCACATGGCTCAACAACGTTACAAGTAGAAAGAAAGGCAGCACATTTAACTAACTGAGAATAGTAACAGCTCCGCATAAAACCTTATAACTCCATCCCCTCAAGGTAACACTCAAAACCTCTTTCTGTTGAAGACACATTACTAAGAATCAAACTTCACGCCTCTGATTCACAACCTTAGGAAATTCTAATTTAGAAAAAAATTGTTATCCTCTCTCACACCTTCAAAATACCACGGAAATTCACTCACTTTTACTTATACAGATTTACTATAAGCTAGAAAACAAAACCAAAGTAAATTAGTCTCAATTTCATGAAAACCAAAACAAAAGAACAAAGCTTCACAGTTTCTGGTTTGAAGCTCTACAATCATTTTACACAAGATCACTACATTCTATCCTGAGGCTCACAAAATTTCTTATTGTATGGCAAATATATTAAATCACAACCATCTCGAGTGATGAAAAATTTCGAAATACAGGATAAAGAAAACGAAAGGTAATCAATTTTCTTCAGCTAAAACAGTGAAAACATGAATAAGATAATGGAAACCGTTTCCATCTTTCGGAGATCCACACACTCAAAATGAGTAAACTCATGAAATCACCTGTGAAGACAAATCAGCAGCTATGTAAATAAGCGACGATGTGATGGATTTGGTAAGAACCGGCCTCGATTTCACCATACCCAAATACCATCCGATGAATCCAACCTTCGCAAACGATGCCGTAGAGGCTGTCGAAGAAGCGGAAGACGAGGAACAGAAACCAGAGATTAAGGAAGAAGGAGAGAATCCGGTTTCCTTTGCTTTCCAAGGCGCATGAAAATAAGGCCTCGACTGCAACCGCACAATATCTCTCAGTGACGGATCCACCTTCCCCAAAAGATTCGCCGGCGCTGTTCGCTGCGACCGAAAGATCCGAGCGGCGTCGGTGGCAGCGTTTCTAAATAATGCGCCGGCCATATTAGCGGTGGTTCCGAGAGTTTTGGAGGGGTTCAGGGAAAGGGGTTTATATATAACGGCGGAGGAGGAGAAAACAGACAGAGGGAAGCTCTGTTTTATTTTTTATTTTTATTTATTACAGGGGAAATACTAAATAGAGAGATACAAACTCAGACAAAGAAAAAAAGGAAACACGCAATTTATATATTTTCGCGAGTATATAGTGTACATACTCGCGCCTTGTACCAGCCTTTTAATCGTTCTTAAATGATGGAATTTGCATTTTCTAGATACCGAAAATTGAAGAATTCCGGGAATCTTTCCAACAGAGCTTAAAGAAAAAACCTGTAATGATGATTAATCATAATTAAAATTGGAATAGGAAATAAAAACTCAAGCTCTTACATTAATAAGGTGAATCTTCATAGTTGTCAAAAAAAAAAAAGTGAATCTTCATTATTTAAAGCACTATAACAAAAATATTTATTTAGACCAAAAAAAAGTTTATGAAATGTAATTTAGTTAAGATAGATATTATAGTTTATTATTCAGAATTATTTGATGTATTAGAAGGTTTTTTTGTTCAGAATTATTTGATGTTCTCACTTTTCAATGCAAAATTTAATGAATTTTTATAGTTTGACCTTTTATATTCTGCAGATTATATTTTTATTGGCTGAATGATATTTAAATGAATTATAAATAATATTTTTAGTATAAGAAAAATAAAAATTAAATGAATCCCTAAACTGTGTGCAAAAACCTTAAACATCAAATAATTCTGAACAGAGGGAGTATTATCAAATAATTACTTTTGGTCTTCAAATCATGTTACTTAGTTTTTCACACAAAATAATAACTTATTGTTATTTTACACTTTTGAATTTTGTTACGTTAATATTCGTTTTTTTCATGGTGTTAAAGAAGAACCAGACATGGTTCTACTTCACATCGACAGAGAAAATGTAAACTCATACTCTTGAAATTCAATTGTGTGAAAAGTAAAACGTAGGTCAAGTGTTTTAGAACCACATAGTTTTAAAGAGGGTAAATGTGTTATAGCCTTTTCATGTCCTTGTTAGGAGGAGGAGAGTGCGCATCGCATGCCACGAAGCGCGTGACCCGAAAAGCTGGACGGGTCAAAAACCAAACGTACCCAAACTATTTCTGGTCTGAACGTCGTCTTCACATTGCGTCATCATTTCTGACACGTACAAACTTAACATAGTGACGCTAACCTTTGATACGTGCCACGTGTTAGGTTCGTGTCCCACATTCCGAATTTGAGCCGCTATTATAAACTCTCTTTTTTTTTTTTTAAATGTAGATGTCAAATGATGCAGATCATTGGAAGATCTTTTTTTCTTTTTGGAAATAGACCTTTGGAAGATGAAGTTACAAACAAATTTATCATTTGTGGACTAAACTAATCAAAATAAGATAAATAGTATTTGATGTGTCTATGCCGACATCAAAATAAAAAATAAAAATGATGTGCAGGTGAAACCGAAAGTAGAACACAATCTACACAACGAGGCACTTTCTAAACTCTGTTAAAAAAAAAAAAAAAAAAAATTCACCCGAACTGATTGTCAACTTTCATTTCTCTAGTGTTAATACTCTTATATTCCTGTCCACTATCGCATTCAATCGCTAGAAAAGTCTTTTTTTTTTTTGGCTAAATCACAAGAAAAGTCTGTTCGCTTCGTTCTAAGGATATATTCCGGGCTAAAAGTATAACCTTCAATGGGTTTAAGCTCCGTATCATTCACATTATAAGGAAACTCAATAGTTACACTGTTTTGGCGAAGAACTGTACATAATGGATCCATTCTCAAAAGATAGAAGCTGTGAGATATATGGTAAGAAAAGACAGTTAGTCTTGCTGTTCTTGGTCTCTTATCCACTTAGTTGCTACCCATTTCTCTCCTTTAGTCACCGGGCAACTCCCGTGAAGCGAAGTCTGCAAAAGCAGTCCAACCATAGGGAAAGAGCGACTATTAGCATGAACTAACTGTAGCTGTTCGATCTAATCCAAGGAACTGGAGTCAAGCACTGTGGATTTTGATATCTGTTTCAAGCCCTTTTTACCTGATCAATCGTTCCATTTGGAAACACGGAATAAAATAGAAGACCATCTCCTCTGCGAGGCTTTACTTTAAGCCCGACACATTTCTTGTAATCATATCCGCTGCCCATATTAGCACCGTTCTGGCAATCGAGGCCGTTTGAATGGAGTCAATTAACATAAAAAAAACGGTTTGAATATGTATATATTATAAACTGACCTCAAATGGGAACATGGTTTCGCCACCTTCTTCTACATCAGATAGGTACAACAAGAAGGAAGCAATCTGCATAAAAACAAATGAGATCTCCAGTTCTAAAGAAAGCTGTAAACATGACAGATAAAAGTATTTTACCCTTTGGCTTGGTTGTGGTCCGTATTCTGTTGGGTTGAAAACATCATAGTGGGAATCATACTTTTGGCCAAGTTCATACCGTAAAATATTGAATGCCTGCGCCAATTTAGCAACAAACAAAAAATCAAATTTCTTGTTACTCTTTAGGAAATTTCACAACTCTTTGGCAAAATGTCGATATCAAATTTTGTTGATTTCAGAAATCTAAATCCAAGATTTTATGCCTATATTAATGCTTATATCAACTTCCATGGTAATCAAATTAAAGATGCTAAAATCTATGACTCAAAATGGGATTAGGAAGTAGAAATCAAACCTCTCCATGGGTCCTTGGGATCATCGTAGCTCTTGCAATTTTCCTTTCGACAAAATCCAGAGCACCAGTACTCTCTTCTGAAGCACTGATAAAAGTTCCTGAGCTGTGACAACACACCAAGCATAAGACTGAGGCTACTGATGAACTATTTGATGAAAGCAAAGGCTTTTACATGAAACTGAAAAGAAAAAAGAGAGACCTTGTTCTAGTGCCTTTAGTGCTCTCAGCAGTTTCTCCTTTCCGGAGAGCCAAAGCAGAAGGCTTCAGATTAATCTTGGCCCTCTCAATTATAGTTTGGCATTGTTCTGCACTTGCAAAATTCGGAAAATATATAGCCCTAGGTTTCCAACTCAGTACCTGCCAAATTAATACCAATGATCCACAGAAGATGAAGCATCAATTTTTACTACTTGCTTCAAGTAAACCCACTAATCTCATACTCACACTCACACTCACACCACCAAAAAACAAAAGAGTTAACTTCGATCAAAATGAAATATTTTGCCTGAACTAATCGATTTTGCAAATCGAAACATCTAAAAAGGTCATTAATTAGCAACAAAGATCACCTGAAATGGGATCGATCCGACAGATTCCTCTCCAGTAACACCATGAGGCATCAAGCCAGCTTCTTCTTCTCCATTTTCCACCATCTCCAACATTCTCAACCTGGGTCTAACTCCAGGCACATTCTGCTCCCAAAACATAAAAACCCTCGATAACTAAATTGCAGATCTGATCGCATCTTCAAGAACCATAGAGTTCAATCGGTGGGTTTACACACCTGAGACAGTAGAGTGGAACCGTAGAACCCGATGAGGAAACAGAGTGAACAGAAGATGATGACTGTGGCTAACCCTAGCTTCTTCCTCTTGTAGCTCTTCAATCTGCTCTTCATCGAGCCCTCCTTCTTCCGTCTGATCTGAATAGTTTCCGATGAGTCTTCGCCGGCGTAACGAGCCTCAAGTCCGGACCTTTTCTCCGATCCAATGATGCACCAGAGTTTTGGTATATGCTATATAGTATTAATACTTAATAGTATGTTTTTAGTATATATGTTCAGATTAAAATCCGTTGACCAATTTTCCTTCTCTTGACTGGTCAACTCATACCAACAATGCGCCAAATTATCTTAAGGTTGAGTTTGGTTACAAATTACAACAATCAATGTTTCGGTTGCGTAGTCTGATTAGGTTCGGTTCGATAAATGGGATCTTCAAGCTTATTGTGATTTTGATCTCGAAATTTCTCTTTAAGGGGTTTTATATCTTTCAAGGTAAATCGAATATTTAAAATTTTGGTGGAAAGTCCGGAAGATCCGGTTTAGAAACAAAATAATACACATTGGGTATGATTGCTTTAAAAATTATTGAATCCATGTTTTATAGCCAACGTCTGTATTAACTTATAGCACTAAGCCACTAATTTTAGCGTAGCATGAAAAATCTTTTGAAAATTTATATCCTCCGTATTGGGTAACTAATCAAAGAGTTATATTTTGATATAATGTGTAGCTGATAAAAAAAATGAAAAATCTACCTAACATATTTCACTTAAATTAACTTTTAAAAAGCAACTAAAATAATTGTATTTCCTCTTTTTTAAATGAGTGTAAGAAACTAATTGCATGAATTGTTTTTTTTAAAAAAATTTTGGGTTCATTTTTCTGATGCATATATAAACTTCGGTTCCGATTGAACATTTGTATGTCAATAAAACCTCTTTCTAATCCATGCGTTGGGGCAAAGTTATGCGTATTCCAATCATTTATGATTACAATGTTTGCTTTCGAGACCAAAGAAAAACTTAACACTAATGCTAACAAAAAAAAAAAAAGGTTTTTATGCAACAGTTTTCGTCGCCTTGTTCTCTATACATATATTTTTTCGGAAAATTCTTTTTGTTTTGCGTTATTTTTTATGATAAATATTAATGTAATAAGAAAATGTGGAATTTGGAGACACATGTGCCATTGTATTAATAACTGTATTTGGAAAACATTCACACCCGAAAACGAAAAAAACAAAATATTTGGGAATACATGTCTTGGTCAAAAGAGTCCAACAAATTGGGGCAATGTGTTTCTAGTTGCCGCGGCGTATCTTCAAACAAGTCCGTCCACGTCAATTTCTTAACTAAATTGTGCAACTTCGTTTGTCATACTTAAACTAATCAGTAATCACTACTATATAATGTTCAACTTGCACTTAAACTTAAACTAATCACAACTACATTCACCATTTTGATCAATTCTCTAGAACAAGAAACAGAGTTTGACCAGGAGAAAATAATTTTATTATACTGGGAACCGTAACGTGATGATAAAACTAGATTAGTTATAATACTAAGATGACTTAGATGAGTAGATTAGCCATAAATTGAATTCAGTAGTTATCCGTCTTTCTTCGCTGACAAGAAAGTATATCAGATACACGTTGGCTACAGCTTTTCTCATCGTTACTCATTCTATTAACATTTTCCCACTTATATATTAAATAAAAAAATATATATCGTCTTTTTTTTTTTTACAAAAGAATGGGAACATATTGTATTCCCACGAAGAATGCACCCTTTTTTTGTTTGTTTGTTAAAGGTGAAATAACACATTTGATCATCCTCATTGCATTTCATATTTTCTGGACAATTCATATACGTAAGCGTAACTCACTAATGAACTTTATATGGTTTCTGCTACAATATATTATGGTTCTTTAGTCTTTACATAATGAAGCTCCGACAAAAAAAAACAAGATTCAAAGAAAAAAATAGTAGCTGTTGATTTTATATTGAGAATTGGTGAGGCATCAGACTAGATATTTTTGTGGGTCGGTCCACATCAGAAATTACTTTCTTTTAATTGTTCCAGAAGCAAGATACTTAGGGAATAACGTTTATGTTATTTCTTTTCCGTCCAAATTTTTTGTTTATTTCTGGAGAAAATTGCCAAATGGGAGAAGGAAAATCAAAATCAAAACAACGCGTTGAAAAAAAAACTGCATAAAAAGGAGGGGATATGGATTTGATTGAATGAATAAGCACGGCAAAGATTATAAATATTTAAAAAACGACGCGTAGTCTACGTAGGTAAATAAAGAACGGCAGAGTCCAAGTCACCTGTCAGATTCTTCTTCTTCTTCTTCACGCGGTTTTCTTTTACCAACTCAACACACAATCCCTTAAAGCCGATCAGATCAACCAGACGAACGGATCCAAAATTCTCCGATAATCAAATCAACCCCCTTCGATTATCTTCCAATCGAATCAAATCCCGCTTAATTGTTTTCTCTACTCTACACTTGTAATCAGTTTGTATATAGAAAAACCCTAGTAGTTGGCAGTGATGTTGCGAGCTTTAGCGCGGCCTCTCGAACGGTGTTTAGGGAGCAGAGCAAGTGGTGATGGATTACTATGGCAGTCGGAGTTGAGGCCACACGCCGGCGGAGATTATTCGATCGCGGTGGTTCAAGCCAATTCCAGTCTCGAGGATCAGAGTCAGGTGTTTACTTCTTCCTCTGCTACTTACGTTGGCGTCTACGATGGCCATGGCGGACCCGAAGCTTCTAGATTCGTTAACAGACATCTCTTTCCTTATATTCACAGTAATAATTCTTCTTCCTTCTACTAACTTATTTTGACTCTTTGACTGCGTTTTTTGATGGTCAAAATTATGCTGCTCTGATCATTCCAGTTATAAGAAGATTCGAATTTTGCTACAAAGTTCTGGTCTTTGTGATCTTATTGAGATGTTTTATCCCCTAAATGAATTTTCTCTTCCATTTTCTTTGCTTAGGTTTTTGTAGTTTCATAATTTGGCTATTAGGTTGATTTCGTACCCTTTTATCACTCACTTTCGTAAACGTTAACATATTCCTTGATCATGATCTTATTAGCGAACTAACAGTAATGTATTTTAATCGCAGAATTTGCCAAAGAACATGGAGGATTATCTTCAGATGTTATAAAAAAAGCATTCAAAGAAACTGAAGAGGAGTTTTGCCATATGGTTAAACGATCCCTACCGATGAAACCGCAAATGGCGACTGTAGGATCTTGCTGTCTTTTTGGTGCCATCTCTAATGGCACACTGTATGTTGCGAATCTTGGTGACTCAAGAGCCGTTCTTGGGAGCGTTGTTGCAGGGGATGATAATAATAAGAGTGCTGCAGCTGAACGGTTATCCACCGATCATAATGTTGCCGTTGAAGAAGTGAGAAAAGAGGTTAAGGCACTTAACCCCGATGATTCACAAATCGTCATTTACACGCGTGGAGTTTGGAGGATTAAAGGCATAATTCAGGTACATACATAGTTTTGCTCATTGCTTGCTTTGCATGACATATTTAGCATCTATGAAGAAGCTTCATGATTGTGTTTCTTTGCATAAAAGGTGTAATGGTGTTTTCTCTCTTTGGTTAACTTAAGTTTAATATAAATTGGGGACTTGCAATGTTCCAGGAATCCGTCACACGGGCTCCTGCAACGTTTCTTCCCCAGTGGATGTTGTGCTTTTCTAATAATTCCTGGTAGTCAGAGCTCTACATGATAACGAAGAGACAAGCTTTTTGGCTGCTTGCATTTGCTAATGACCTTTCCATGAATTTAAGCTGACCCGTTTTTACATGCGGTTCTTTTATAGGTATCCAGATCAATCGGGGATGTATACTTGAAGAAACCCGAGTTTTACAGGGATCCGATTTTCCAGCAACATGGAAATCCCATTCCTTTGAGGAGACCCGCGATGACAGCCGAACCTTCCATTATAGTCAGGAAGCTTAAACCACAGGATTTGTTTCTGATATTTGCATCAGATGGTCTCTGGGAACATCTTAGTGATGAAGCAGCCGTAGAAATTGTACTCAAACATCCAAGAACTGTAAGTTTACCACTCAACTCATAGCTTATGTGTTTTTCTCTGTTTCTGTTAGCTACTTAGAGTTTTTAACTCTCTGGTTTCTACAGGGGATTGCACGGACACTTGTAAGAGCAGCTCTCGAAGAAGCTGCAAAGAAGAGAGAAATGAGATATGGAGATATAAAGAAAATCGCCAAGGGAATTCGACGACATTTCCATGACGACATAAGCGTCGTTGTTGTTTATCTGGATCAGCAAAAATCTGGTTCATCGAATAGTAAATTGGTCCAGCAAGGAGGTATCACCGCTCCACCAGATATCTACTCACTACGCTCTGATGAAGCGGAGCAACGACGGCTACTGAATGTGTTATACTGACTCTTTGATTATGGTAAAGATCCGAATAGGGAGAATACTTGTTTACGTATTTGTTAATTTTTTATAAAAAATTACGAAGAATGTCTTCTTTTTTTTTTTTTTTAATATTGGAGTTGGATTTGTATATTCTTTTACCAGCAGCAAAGAACGACCAAGTCTTTTCTTTCTGGGCAAAGTAGTTTTGGTTTTGACAAACAATAATACATTTGTAAGAAATCTAGTGAAAGCGGTTTGAGACCAGTCAAATTTCTATATTTTTTTTGTTTGATGACTTGTAGAGATCAGTATTTGTAATTAATAATGTATTTAAGTGAAAGACTATCATTAACTGAACAATATAAACCAACTTATCTTGGTTTCATATGGAGTTTTTATAAAACCAAAGGCTTCGGCTGCACCTTTCTTAACCATAACCGAATCAAACTCAAAGAGTTTCCTAATACAACAACCGAAACTCCAGATTTCCGACCCAAACCGGACGAATTTGAAAACCGGACAAACCAAAACCTCAAAAAAAAAAAAGAAAAAAGAAAAAAATCCAAAACTACGAAACAAATAAATGGCGAGATTCTTGTTGCAACATGTCAGAAGACGCTCCCCAAGGCCAAGAGGAAAGATGAGCGTCACCCTTTTGGTCGCAGACGCCGTCTGGTCGAATATCGAATCTACCGGCTCTGGTAACATGACCATCATAATCCCCTTCTCTCTTTCCTTTCCTTTTTTTTATACCGATAGAACAAAATTGTTGATTTTGTATCATTTTTGGCAGTAACTGAAGAACAGCTCTCAGTGTCAGTTCTCCCGAATCCCTATACGTGATTGATAGATGTCAGAGATTGAATCTGATTATTTTGCAGTTCTGTATTGATTTTAATCAAGGCAATGGCAAATTTGAGTTGGAAATTAAAAGTTTGTTTGTTTGCAAATATAGCTTGCATTTGTTGTTTGGAAAGAATCTGGAGAAAGCAACCAGAATAATCGACAAAAGAGGCGTGAAGAAAATCTCTGGCCTACCCAGTGGACGATCTATCTTTCAGGTCTCAATCATCATCATTAATCTATTCACCTTTGTAATTCACTGCTTAAAAAAAAATTTGATCTTTGTGTTCAGGTTGTGGGAGAATCTCAAAAGAGGGAAGAGTATCTCTGTTTCCCAGGAGATTACTGTGGATGCTATTCTTTCTTCTATGATGTTGTTAGCAGAGGAGAGCAACAATGTGTAAGATTTTGTTCATCCCTTTAAAGGTTCGAGTTTGTATTTTCTATATCACTCACCTTCTACTCTTGTTTTCTTTGGCAAGTGTAAACATCAATTGGCTGCGAGGCTGGCTTCTTCTCTAGGTACATACAGCGAAATCGAGGTCTCAGATGAGCACCTTGCCTTGATGCTCTCAAAGATCTAAACTTTTCAATACATAAGCTACTGGTTATGTCTCAAGACACAGGCATGCGTGCTCGCAATCTCCTGTGGTCAAGATTCCTCATAACTTTGTTGAACAATTTTGCATCATTCTTGGTCCTTATTTGTGTAAGCCTTTCGGTAGTTGTAATATATAACTCTTTTACTTTTAACATACGGAGGTCTTAATTCAGTGGAAGAGAATTATAACTTTATGAAAAAAAATAATCATTCCATGAAACATTAAACGAGTCATATAACATTAGATTAATTAATAGAAATACTACTTCAAAACAAACCAGAAGTTAAAAGAAAAGGAAACCAAGTAGTGAAGTGTATTTATGGTTTAGTGTGTGAAGAAGGGCGGGGAACAGGGGAAACAGAGAACTTCATGTTGTGGTTGCAGCCGTTGTGGTCACCACTGGCCAAGTAGTAAGTCTGAGTCTTGCGGAGAAGCAACTTGAACCCTAATGAGGATTTTGATGATCCTCGTGCGACTAGCTTCTTGCCTCTGTTCACATCGCATCTCTTGTAGCTCCTCGAGTCTGGGAGCAAATAGACATCGTTCTTGTTGCTGTGCTTGGTCTTGGATTTGGTTCGATCATTATTGTTATTGTTGTACTTGACAACAAGGACATCGTTGACGTAGAAAGGCGCATGCTTTGAAGCCCATTCTTGGTAATCGAATCCGCTTTTCCACACAGTAACCTCAATCTTTCTTCTATGCGATATTGGAGCGGCCGTGTGGTTGTGGTGGCTGTTGTTGCTTGTAGAGCCAGTGCCACCTGAGTGGTTTGATGGTGCCGTGTGGTTGTTGTGTGTAGAACCAGTACCGCTTGAGTGGTTTGATGGGACCGTCTGGTTGTGGTGGCTGTTGTGTGTAGAGCCAGTGCCGCTTGAGTGGTTTGAGCCGGAGCTGCTTCCCCAACTCCAGTGTGTATCTGTTCCGTCCGAACTCCACCCCCAACCCCAGCTTGAACCATTATCACCTGAGTTCGAGTCTGAACCACCTGAACTCGAGCCTCCGCCAGAGTTGTCGGATCCCCACCCCCAGCTCCAGTTCGAACCGGACTCGTCAGAACTCCAACTCCAGCTCCATGCCTGAGCCGTCCCGGAGAAAACGTATGCAGTAGTCACGAGTGCTAAAAGTAGCTTGCGTGTCTGAGAAAGTGCCATATCGTTTCTTCTTCTTCTTTTGCTGTTGTGAGCTCTTTGATGATTTCTCTTAAAAGTTTAGACTTTAGAGGTTCTCTATTTATAGAGAGACTCTTTATAGGATGTGCCCTTGTGAGAGTTAATTCCAATTTGGATAAGGAAATATGAATTTTGATTATGCCGTCTCAAATAACAATCATGAAAGGATTTCCTTTTGTTCATACACTATCGTATTTCCTTTATCTTTTTCTTTTGCAAATTTAGATATTAATTTAATACGCTGATAACACTTGCTTTAATATTTGTATTTTATGAATATCTTTTATCTGTTTTTTTTTTTCACGCAGAATATCGTTTTCAGATAGGATTGAAATTGCTAAACTTTCCAAATTTTGTTTTTTTTACTAAGAGTGACAGGGTGCTACAAGTTCCATTCCACGTCAATATGGACTTTGCTTACCTTTCTATTTTCTTTTATCAAAAAAGGATATTTTTAAGAATTTTTAAGTTCCCTTATACTTCAACTAGTATTTTACGAATAGGAAGTTTGTTCGTACGAAAGAAAAGTCTAAGTAACACAATTCATAAAAATCTTTTTGATTATTTTTTTGTTTTGTTTTAGCCTTTATAAAGGTGTGAAGTATTGAATAACGATTTGATTTTTAAAGTTGGTTAGTTTCTTCGATTCGAGTCATAAAAAGTTAGAATGATTTACCCAAATTAAATACTTGTCATAATTCATACTTGATTGAATCTGTCGGTCCACCTTTTAATCGAAGTTTACCTCGGTAAAAAAAAAGATTCAAGAAGCTTTTTAATACAACTACTACTGCTAAAATGACTCATTTACCTAAATGGGTCCCTTACTTGCGGAAAATAGCGAGGACAAATGAGTAATTCAATGTTTTAGAACACACGCTTTGAATTTTATCTTAAGATTTGGAAATTTAATTAACTCATTTTGTAAATTAAGAATCTTCCGAGAAAGTGACGAAACGGAGAAAAAGAGTCTAGAGAAGTTAATTTCTTCCTTTGGGAGCAGCAAGCAAAACCCCCTCTGAGGGAGATGGAGGTAACAACCGACGACGTGCTGCCGGAGGTAAACGCCGCGGTGGCGGAAATTCTTGATCGGAACGACCTGGTGGAGGGACCGAACGCCGCCGTGCTTGCTGACGGAGTCTTGACGGCTGAGGAGAGGAAGATTGAAACGGATAATCGTGGAGAGAGGAAGACAGAGAGCGAGACGCCTCCAGAGGATGATTGCTGCCCGATCTGTTTCAGCTCCTTTACTGTTCCATGTCGTGGGAATTGTGGCCATTGGTATTGCGGTTAGTGTTTGATCTTTCTTCTTCTTCTTCCTTTTTTTCCTCTCTTGAATTTCTGAGCCATTTCGTCTTACATTGAAATATCCGCTTGCGTCTTTCTGCTTGCTAGAGAAAGATTAGTAGCTCTCTGTTAAAAACTATAGAATTGCTTATCTGATGTATCTATTTGGAACATCATTTGTTGGGTTTGAAAATTGATTTAGGGTTCCAGTCTTGGGATCATTGGAAGTTCGGTTTTTTAGTAGTCAATAGTTTATATGATCAGTAAGTGAGAGCTTTCTTGGACGCAGTAACTCCATATTTAACGAGAATTATGTTTGCTGTTGCCGCATTATATACAGGAAGTTGCATCTTGCAGTACTGGAGCTATGCTGCAGTATCTAGGCCTTGCAAGTGTCCCATGTGTGTTCGGCATATCACCAAGCTGTCACCAGAAGCATCCTTGCAACAGTGCCAGGAGCAAGAGGTGAAGGAGGTTCTTGCTAAGGTCCGTAGATATAATCGTCTCTTTGTTGGAGGTCTAACTGGCTTTGTTCAGGTAATGTCTTTTATTCATGATCTTGTGATGTTTGGTGCATATCTTGACAAGAAATGAGTCATATTTCTCCTTTTTTATGACTTGACAAACCCCTCCATCTTTCGAATGTTTCAGAAGGTACATGAGCTGCCTTTGCTAATGAAGAGATTGGTTTGGCACATGATGGATCCAGATGCAAACAATCTGTATTTCCACGAAGTGCGCATCTTTGCAGTTAAGAACATTTTACCCTGGTTATGCAAACTTTTTTTATTTGCCATCTTGCTTGCACTGCACATTTGCTTCTCATAGTTAAGTGTTCAGTGATTATTTTAACCCACTAATTACTGTTGTCATTCGCGCTCTGTACTAATGACGAAAACTAGACCACAATTCAATCTCTGTGATCATCATAGGAGTAACTACTTGGTATTTATTCTTGTTTCTTAAAGGTCATTGCTTTCTCCCATTGAAGGATGAGAAACTAAGTGTCTTCCGTTGTTGCAGATGTTCATGAGTACCCTTTACACTGCTGCAGAGTTTAACTTCATCCCAACGGGTAAGTTGCCTTACAAATCCTAAAACCAGCAATGACGGGTTAAAGATTGAGATTCTTAGTGGATGCCTCTACGAGAATCATTTAGAACCCTGATATTCTCAATATGAGATTGTGTGATAAAGTTGAAGCTGATGTGATTCTAAGCCCTCTTTGGTTAAAAGCTTTCCAAGATTGATTTTCCCCGTTGTCTACAGGGGGGTTCAGAATCGTGACGGTGTTTGACTACGCTGCTATTGCAATGATCCTGATTCTGCGCTTGGTGGGGATTTATCGGAGGAGACGTCTTGCTCAGCGGGTTAGACATCTCGCAGCTGCAGAACTTGAACCGGAATGAGACTAAATGGGAACTTTAACAAACAAACTGATGTATTAACCTGTGAAGATGTGTTTGTTCCTTGTGGATAGGTTTAGTAAATCATAGAAAACCATGAGTCTTGTGCAGATTTACGGAGAATAACTATATCTTTTGGCATATGCATATATTCACTGGACCGTCTCCTTTTCTAACAGTAAAAAAAACTAAAAACGGCAGGATGGTAAAAGACAGTGCCTCTCAATATGTTTAAAACGACGTCGAATATCGACATACATTGCCTTGTCATTAATTCCCAGAACGACGACGTCATATATACTATGCCTAAACGACGTTGTTTTATGAAATTTCTCTTCTGTGTCGGATTTTTTGTATTTTTTTTTTTTGCTCCGCTTTAAAATCAGTATAATCGCTCTCATTTCTCTCGCCCTTTCTACTCCCAAACACAGTTTTAAATCTATCATTTTCTCCGATCCATCTGACCGGAGATTATATAATTCCGATAGATCAGAAAATCAAAGGGACTATATCCAACGAATTGGAGCGGCGGAGCAAGGGAGAATGGCTGTACGTGCAATATCTCAGGAGGCATTCGACGATCTCGTTAGGGAAAATGTGGAAGATCTTGGAATGGAACCTTCCGAAGCTCTCGAAGACGCTCTCTACACACTCAAGCTCCAAGGCGTCGATCTCTCCGGTCCGTAAAACTTTACTCTCCTCTCTTTTGCTTTCCCGAGGAAACAAAATCTATTTGGTTTTCTCTTTCTCTCGCGCTGGATTGGTAGTGTTATGTATGGAGGAAATGAGTCTGCCACTAGCTCAATTGTGTGTTTGTTAGTGCGACAGGGATCATTACATGTGTTCCTGGAGAAAGTAGCGTTAAGGACAATCCGGTGATTGCGTGTTTGGATAGACTCAAAGAAGTCGATAGTGTTTCTAAAGACGGACTACTTCGAGATGAGGATTTGGATGAGATTTCGAGTTTGTTCGTCAAGCTCAACGAGCTTTGTAGCAGCCAAGAACTTGGTAACGCGGCAATTGCGACAAAACATGGTGCTGTGGAATTAACATGCTCGATTTGTTCGAAAATCAAGACATCCACTGGAAGTAATCGGATTGTTGTTCCTTGTTTGAAGGCTTTGGCCGTCTTGATCCATGGTATGACTTATGTTAATGTTTAAATTTAGCTGTTGTCTCCTTTACATGTTATTTGTTCATGAACATTGTGTCATCCAATTGCAGACCTCCAGAGCACAGAGGTATTCAGGAATTCTTCTGGACCGAGGATTGTCGTTGATCTCTTAAGAGATTCAATCTCTGATTCTGATTCATTAGATGCTGGTTTTGCGGTTGTTGCTGCGGCTGCAACTGGTAATGAAGTCGTCAAACAGTTATTCATGGAACAGAAAATTGATGAGCTTATCCTGCAAGTGCTGAATCGAGAGAGTAAAATCACCATTCAAGCTTTGTATGATGCAATTCGTGTTATTTTGACGCCAGATGATGGCCGTGTGGTTGCTTCCCAAGTAAGTACGATCATGCTCGTTTGGTGTTTAATGCCAATGGACAGCGAGAGATGTAGGTTAAAATCACCTTTGCATCTCTACTGCACTTAGTAAACTACTAGAAATTGCCTGTCTTTAAACATTTAAAAAGTAGCTAACAGTCATTTCTGTGCATCTTCATCAACATGCTTTGAGAACTCGTCAACTAGACCATCTCTTTCTTGTTTTCATATGTTTTAGGTTTATGGTTATGCACGGACATTTGCCAAATTAGGGATCGCAAGAGCCCTCACCGAAGCATTGCAGGCAGGGATTGGCTCTGATAGCTTGGTGTCAGCTAGTATTGCGTTAAAATCAATTGCTGTAAATGTAAGTCTCTTAGTAGAAGTCTCTGTGTCATAACACTACTTGCTTAGGTCACTGCAAATTCCTCATCTGGTGATGTCTTATGCTCAGTGGCTGCGCACTTTTTATTTTTTGGTGTAACTAGGATGAAATATGTAAATCAATTGCTGAAACTGGTGGAATAGACACGCTTCTTAGATGCATTGATGATAGCGGTGAACAAGGCAACAAAACTGCTGCTAAGACGTGCTGTTCCCTATTGTCTAAGGTATGTAGCTTCGTATCGTAACTGATCTGGAAGCTGCCTCTGTAGTCTTGAATGCCTTTCAATTGTTCATTTTCCTGCTTCAAATTTCAGAGTTCTAGCTTTTACCGTTCCATTATTATACATTGGCGTATGTTTATGTTCTTCCAATAGCAGAAGAGTAACGAATGCATGTTCTTGAGTTCCAAGCTTTTCCAAAACCTGTGAGAACTGATGTAAATTCGTATTGTATTCACCAGTGAGAATTGTTTGTCTAAATGTATACTTGAATCTCTAGTTGGCAGGAAGTGACTCTAACAAGAGTACTATAGTTGAGAAGCGGGGTCTCGACAAGCTAATCAAACTTGCACAACGATTCTCCGACGATCCTCTAGTCATACAAGAGGTAAGTAAAACCCAAAGAAAACCCTCTTTTTGTCTTACAACATTATGTCCCATCACAAAATTTAGGCTACGCCATTTTAAATTTCCTGTCTATGGCAGTGTTACACTAGATTGGATAAGAACGTAGTGTTGAATAAATAATGAATCTTGTGGCAATACACTAGGGTCTGAGTGCATAATTTTTGCGATTGACGCAAGATATACCGGTTGGTTCAGGTCATGTCGATAATCTCTATAATCTGTCTGAGATCACCAGACCACGCAGCCAGTGCTATAGAAGCTGGGGCTGGTGATCTGGCGGTCCAAGCTATGAAGAGGTTCCCAGCAGCGGCCCAAATGCAGAGAAACGCTTGCAACATGATACGGAACATTGCCGTAAGAAATGCAGAGAACAGGTAAAAAAGCTCTATAACAATATACACATAAGGCACAAACTCTGATCATCTGTTGGCACATTACAGAACTATTCTGCTTGCCAATGGAATTGAGAAGCTGATAAGGACTGCTAAGGCCAACAATGAGATATGCAGAACCTCTGCAACTGATGCACTGAGAGACCTTGGCCTTGATAACTACAATAGCTAAGGCCAATCTTCTACATTCATGCAAACTACAAAATTTTACGAGGTTGGTACCAACCGTTTCTGCATTTACTTACGCGTCATTCAAGCAAAGAAGAAATTCAGGAAGAGTGCTCAAGAAACGGAATGATCCACTTTTCTTCATGATTCCATTCAGAATTTGCAATGAATTCAGCTTTTGGGTAGAAAGCATTCCAATCTAGAATTTTTGCGTCGATTGTTTTTGTCCGATTAGAACATGTGTTAAAATGGGAAGCTTGAAACAACTCCGAGTCTTATGGACACTTCTTTTATGTGCTTCTTTACTTTTTCTTTAGTCTCTCTCTTTTTTTGCTATCCACCAAAACTTACACCACTAGAAAGAGTTGATGATTTTTCTTCCTCTTCGATTTTATAAAAACCCAAGGAAAAAACAGCACAAATTAATATGCAATCTCTTGTAAATAGTATTTTTAGTTGTTTTGCATTTGATATTTACCTTAAGAGATTTAGTGATAAAACTGAAGAAACTATCAAAGTCGGGCTCAAATGAAGTAATTACCTAAATTAAACATGGGCTTATCCCTGTTGTTAAGTGTCACAACGTTGGACTTCAACAGCGAACTTCAATTTCTCATGTAAACCTCAAATCCAAAATATAAATAAAAAATATGACTTCTCTCACTTTCTACAAACTCTTTCAATAATCCGCAAAATCTCACTTGTGAACTTAATATGGAACCTCTATGATTTTGTGTATCCTGAAATAGTTCCGGAACTTATGGTGGAAAATGGCTCTAATATAGAAACGTGGGCAAATCTATCAAAATGGAAAGCAACTTTTGAAGAATTTCGGTAAAATGGAAATACTTTTTTTTATGAAAGGCTCTTCTCTTAATACAAAATAGATTTAAAAATAAATTGTTGCTTCACATTGAGATTTTTTTTTTTTAAGAAAATCGATTTAAATCAGTGCAATTTGTTTTGACGTAAAGTTGGAAAAAAAAACGAGGTCAAAGTGTTCATGTGTTTGCAACTTTACATAGCAACCACTAGTTAATCTCTAGAAGATTGTATTCGGAATATTGTGTACGGAAATACATATTTTAAGATGGATTAGAAAAATGTTGCGTCATGTGGAGGCGCATTCACACTTATATAGGGATAATATATCTAGGGGATGGGCTATTTATGAATGCATCTCTATCGTTTCTACTTTTAGGTGGAGATCGGACAAAATAGCCAACAATATCTCGACAAATGTGGTAACCTCGTTTTATTTTGTGTTCCTTCAAAAATAATGAAATACTTTTATATACGGAAAAGGAAAGTATTTTCTATATTAAGATTTAACATTAATTTTTTTAAATAAAATTTAGATTAACATATTGAGATTAAATAAATACATTGGGAGTAGCTATTTCAACTTTAAATACTTGTACTTCAAAATACTTGTACTGTTCTTATATCTTAAATTCGTAATACATATAGTTAACTAAATACAGTAGTGTATATACAAATAACTAAAAAATGTAAGATTTGTAATTTAATACTTGTACTTCAAAATTTATTACTGTTATATTTCTTACAGTATTATAATAAATTTATGAAGTCATCATTATTCATAGATAACAAACGGGAGGCCCACTATTTGTCATCGTTTTCTGTTGTAAGAAGGAAGGCTACTTCCGTCATTAGTTGGACTTGGACCAATCACTTTTCAACATTTCACAAAATGTGAAAAAACACTCCTTTTTCTCTCTCCTCTTGTATAGCTTCCTTCAAGCTGAGGTTTAAACAGAGCAGAGAGCTATTTCTCTTACGAGAGCTGATAGAGAGACACTGAGCTCACGATCACGAGCTTTTCTTCCTTCTTCTTCATAAATCATCCATCTTTGAATAAAATAAAAAAAGACAGCGATCAAAGACACAAAAAAGGATCTCAAGAAACCCACTTGTTGTTGGTTAGAGAATTCACGGGTCTCTCAAAATCTATCTCTGAAAAGTCTCTTTCCCACACCCATAACTTCATCATCATCATCATCATCACCCACTACTCTTTCCCAATTTCAACGGCCCAAATTCCTCCACGTCATAGTCGCTCATTTTCTCAGATGTAATGTCGAGTCTCTGTTAGATATCTCCCAGAAAAACCTGATCTGATCAAATTGAAGTCGCAGAGAGGAAAGGGAAAAGAAAAATGGATCGACCAGCAGTGAGTGGGCCAATGGATTTGCCGATTATGCACGATAGCGATAGGTACGAGCTCGTTAAGGATATTGGGTCTGGTAATTTCGGAGTTGCAAGATTGATGAGAGACAAGCAAAGTAACGAGCTTGTTGCTGTTAAATATATCGAGAGAGGTGAGAAGGTCAGTGTTTTTTTTCTTTTTCTTCTGATTCTCTCCATAAGGTTTTTTTCAGTTCCGGTCATACTTTTTTTTTATGTTTCAATTCCTCTGGTTTAGAAGTTGATATTAATGGTTATGAGTTTTGTTTTAAAAATTTTCTTTTATTTACAGATAGATGAAAATGTAAAAAGGGAGATAATTAACCACAGGTCCTTGAGACATCCCAATATCGTAAGATTCAAAGAGGTTTGGTTTCAACTCTCTTATTTATTAAAATCAAGCAAAAAGAGAATTTTTTTTTGGTTGTCTCCTATATTTAATTTTCATGTTTGCTTCAGGTCATATTAACACCAACACATTTGGCCATTGTTATGGAATACGCATCTGGAGGAGAGCTCTTTGAGCGAATCTGCAACGCAGGCCGGTTCAGCGAAGACGAGGTTTCTCTCTAATTAAAACCAAACAAAAAAAGAAGATTTCTTGATTTGTTGGTCAATACTGAGAATTAATATAATGGTTATTACCGTGTAGGCGAGGTTTTTCTTCCAGCAACTCATATCAGGAGTTAGTTACTGTCACGCTATGGTAATGACTAATGACTAATGAGAAAATGTTCTGTTTCAAATCAATGCTGCGAAAATGAACGGACTCTCATGTGATTAACTTTTGATGCTGTAGCAAGTATGTCACCGAGATTTGAAGCTCGAGAATACGTTATTAGATGGTAGCCCTGCACCTCGTCTAAAAATTTGTGATTTTGGATATTCTAAGGTACCATAATCCTCTTTGTCAAAACATGCAGAAATATATCTTTCTCTGTGTAAAGTTTTGATCTTTTGTTAGTATCTGTCTTCAACATTTTAATCTGTGTGTATGTTTTTGTTATTTTTCAGTCATCAGTGTTACATTCCCAGCCAAAATCAACTGTTGGAACCCCTGCTTACATTGCGCCCGAGGTTTTGCTAAAGAAAGAATATGATGGAAAGGTAACTCCATTTTCATAATCCTAGAAAATGTATAACTAACCATATACTTTCTTAAAGCATTTCAATGATGCCCTTGAAGAAAGATGTTTAGAGTCTGATTTATAAATTTCATTGGACCATTGTTGGTTGAACTAGTCAAATGCATCATAATTTCTTCAGGTTGCAGATGTTTGGTCTTGTGGGGTAACTCTGTATGTTATGCTTGTTGGAGCATATCCTTTCGAAGATCCAGACGAGCCTAAGAATTTCAGGAAAACAATACATGTGAGCTTTCTTCCTTCCTGGTTCTATAGCTGAATATGAGTATCTGCTTTATTTCTAGCTAAACATTCTGGCCTGTTCTGTTCTGAAAATATTATTTTTCTCAGAGAATCCTGAATGTTCAGTACGCTATTCCGGATTATGTTCACATATCTCCTGAATGTCGCCATTTGATCTCCAGAATATTCGTTGCTGACCCTGCAAAGGTATACTATAATCACTTCAAAACATAGACCTTGAAAGCTGCATTTGTTGATTCTATCTGAATTTTCGTTTTAGTATGACTTAAAAGAAAAATGAAGATCATGTTTTGTATGTTTATTATGTGTTGTTATGTTCACTGTTGGTTGGTTTTCTTGCAGAGGATATCAATTCCCAGAAATAAGGAACCACGAATGGTTTCTGAAGAATCTACCAGCAGATCTCATGAATGATAATAACGCGATGAATAGCCAGTTTGATGAATCGGATCAACCTGGTCAAAGCATCGAAGAGATCATGCAGATCATTGCAGAAGCGACTGTTCCTCCTGCAGGCACTCAGAATCTAAACCATTATCTCACAGGTGAAATAATACAAAACAAAACATACAATACATTTCAACTTCTTGTTCTTTTTAGTTCTCATTGTTTGATAAAAGTTCTCAACAATGGACAAACAGGAAGTTTGGATATAGATGACGATATGGAGGAAGATCTAGAGAGCGATTTGGATGATCTTGACATCGACAGTAGCGGAGAGATTGTGTACGCAATGTGATGCGATTCCTATGGTTTCTGGTACAAAAAAAATAGAAGAATAAAAGTGTGTTGTTTGCTACCGAAACTGGCCCAACTTTGTGTCAATGGGCACAGTTTGAATCGTTGATATGCAAAATGGTGTTTCTAAACCAAAATTGAAAAGAAAAAAAGAAAATTTTTTCATTAATCAGGATTTTATCTATAGACATTAACGTTTCGAAGTGAACTCAATTTAGAGAGATATTCAAAAATACTACAGAGTATTTTGTATGTTCTTTAGCTTACTTTTAGAAAATAGTCACACAGTGAGTTTTCAAAAACTTCTCAACAAATTTCTGATAAATCGCACGAAAAAAAATACAGGCCTCAGCCCAATAGATTGTCAGAAAGCCCGCCGCCATTTCATTTTATGATTTTGAAAAACAGAATACTATTTGTGAGACCAATTGATTTATTGTCTTCTTGAAATAGGTGTTGAAACGTGAACCAAAATGACACGAATTTTTCCTTCAGACTTAAATAAAGCCAAATTATCGAAGACCGATTAGTAAGTACATGATGAAGTTCAGTGTCAATAAAAATGAAGCATCAATAATCAAAAAAGAAAAGAAAATATCTGTCTGCTAAGAAAGTGACAAGAATTTGCAGATACTCGAGATGATTTATTCATCCAACAAGCAGACAATTATCACTAAAAAATTTTGGAGAGAAACAAAGCAGACAATAATCGCTTGTCAATATAAGGCCACTACTAGTGTACTGTATACTTGTCGCTTTTCTATTAGCCTAGCTGACTGGTAAGGTGGTCCCGTCTCTTTGTTCAGAACTCATTATTTGTGTCAACATTTCGAATTTGGTAACTAATATGCACAAATAATAGGTTAGTAACTTATAAGAATAGTTTATGGCAATAAAATAAGTTACTAACCTATTATTTGTGCTTATAAGTTTTTTCCAACAATTGACTGTTCTTTTTAGTTGATATTTTAATATCTTTCTCCTTATGACATATTGTTAGCTTATTATATTTGTGCGTTTCCTCTCTTTGTAAAACTCATCCTTATTTTTAAACTAAAATTTTTAGCGTTTCACAAAAAAAAAAAAAAAATTTTTTAGATCATGAGAGGAAACAAAGTTTTATCACATTCACGTATTTTGATTATATAGACACGTTTATTCAACGATTTTTTAAAAAACTAATCATGAAACTGTTATTTTTTGTTCGTTTCTGCATTACAGTCAATAGTCCAAAGAGTTTTATTAAGACATGATTGAAAAGGACTATAATTTATGGTGTGGCCTTGGCATAGTCGACAGAGTGTGGGGGGAGAGATCTCTATTATGAGGATAGAGATGCGACCTGCCGTTTTGTTGCAATTGTCTTAATTTTGCCCATATGACAACGATTGACCACAAACTAATGAAGATCTAATCCCGTTCATGTTACATTCTTCCTTATTTTGGTAAGTTGAATTCAAGCGTTTAGTAGTTGAATTTCGCTTTTAACTTTCAATTAATTTACCGGAGTAGTGTATTTCACTCAATTCAAGTATACTGACCTCTTGGCGGGAGGGAACTAATATTTTATATTAACTGGAACCAACAAAAGAGAGTCAAGTTGTGAGTGCTATACTTCTATGTCGATGAGTATTTTCAATTATTTGAAACCACTTAGTGAGTATTTTTTTCCCAACGCACTTATTTGAATCAAATTTTTTTCAAAAGGATCACTTATTTGAACCATAGAATTATATAACATTGAATATCTATAATTGGATTATATGACATGCTTTAAGGGATAAAAGCTGTAGTTAGTAAAACATTGTTGACAACCAAAAAAAAACAGAAAGTGAAAACACTATAATATTGTAAATTCAGAATGATAATTACTAGAGTATGATTATATATATCCAAATTCCAAAGGCACACACATCTCGTTCTTCACCGGATACTGTGGGTCAGAGAGACAGAGCAAGAGTGCCTCGTGGGTCCAAAAGAAGCTCGTCCTTTAGGAGCGGCCAAAAGCCACCCGATCCTTCTATGTTCTAACGTTTATTTTACGTAAAAATTGAAAAAAATCAAATTTGTGACTTTTTTTTTGTAACATCTAATATATCAAAGTATTAGTTGACTAACATTTTAATTTTTGTGGAATTATATATAATTAAGGTTTTCGAAATTTCGTCTAATTCACTAACACATTTTAAAATCGTATTCTATGTTATCTCTTTTGTTATGCTTAAACTCTTCAGGGATTGACGACCAAAAAAAAGTTCATGGATTAGTAAGCAGTTATTCTTTAATAAGGTATTAAAATAACAAATATTGTAGATAAGTTATATATGTATATATATATATATATATATATATGAGCTGAAAAAATAAAAATAAAATTCTGTTGAAAATAAATTGGGTTTTTCCTTAAAAAGAACCTTTTATATCCCAATAACTGGACGAACGATTTACTGATAACTACATAGAATATTTGAAGAAGCCATAATTAAATATCTCAGTTTTTTTTTTTGTCAACCATAAATATCTCATTTCTAAATACCTAATCAATGGTTGTCGAGCGCGTTAAATTCATCATACAAATATAATCTGGCAACCCAAAATATTCACCGGATTCTAACATCTCTCTGAAAAATGAAGTATGCATTTTCAGTCCAAAAAAAAAAAATCGATCTAAGTTTATCTTCGAGGTTACATCTACGAGTTTATCTTAAATTTAACTTCTAAATCTGTTACTTTTTCCCATTGCCGAAAATAAAAGGAAACAAAACATATCGTGAAAAAGAAGGCAGATCATAACCTTAGTTATCCATTTTGTTCCTTGGTGTTATCAAGACAGCTTTAAAGCAAAATACAGAAAGAAAAAGAATAATTTTCTGTTCTTTTCTTTTCTTTTGTGCAATAACGCTCGCTTTTCATTTCATTTCCTATATTTTAAGTCTCTATCAAGAAGAGAAACAAAAATAAACAATTTATATAAAAAAGGCATTTGGAGTGGGGATGTATCTAAAGTCTTGATATAAATGCAAGGAAGATGAAGTGAGAGTTAAAGAAAAAAGATATTATTAAAAAAAAAACAGAGAATCATGGTGATAAAAAGGATAGAGCTGTGTATAGAGCTAATGAAGATAGGTATGGAGTTCGTCGTAGTGGTGGCTGAAACCGTCCAGATTGCATGGCGGCAACACCTCAACCACCGTACTCCTCTGCCTCCCCCGTCGCTCCTCCGCCATGGCATCTCCCCTTCTTACCCTTCTCCATTCCTCTTTGGTTTTCTCCCTTGAAAATTTAATCTTCTTTTTATTACATTATATATCTTGCTTCTTTTTCTTTTTTTTTTGGTTGACTTTTAGATGTAAATTTCGTTGGTTCTTGTAAATTAGTTTACTTTTTCAATCAGATTTGCAGTGTTATTTCTTCAGATTATCTCTAGCAAACTATTTGCAGAACATTTTTAATAGTCAAGTGCGCAAATTGGTTGAAGAAGAGTTTAAGCAAAACAAATGATAATAATAATAATTGGGTGAAGAAGAAGATGTGTACCGGAAACCATTTGCCCCCTAATGTCCTGGTTCAACTAAATTGTTAAATCTTCCATGTTTCGTCATCGTGATCTTTAAGTACTTCACGTTCACGGCAAGTTATTATTGTATCAAAATTTTGACTAGTCTTGGGAGATGGCATGGGTTTCTGGGTTTTTAGTTTAAACATGGACTAATCTTTCATATCGTTTAAAAAAAAAAAATGGGGGCACTCTAATTTCATATCGTCGAGAATACAAAAAACCTTAAAACAAAAATTAGCTGTCAATGTTTTCAATGCATGTAAGTCCAAGTTCATAGAATGACAGAAAATAAATTCTAGGTTCATTAAACCCTTTTTTACCATCATACAATAGTACATATATATATATATATATATACCAGATAGAAATGATTAGTAAATTATAACAAAAGATATGAAAACCATCTTTAGTTAGGATGATACTGTCACGGACGATGACGGTTGTGGCCTGTCGTTCAATTAAAATTTCTTGCCCATAATTCCTGAGCATAATTGTTGAAAAATGTAGACAGGAAGCCACATTAAGTTGTAAAATTAAAAACCTAAAGTGTTGCCAAAAGATAGTTAGATGTACCTCGCTAAGTAGGTCAAAACGTGATGTCTTAACCGATTTTCTAAACAGAGCGGATAGTCTTTTAGTCTTGGAATAAATATATATATTTGTATTATGTAATTATTAAAATTTATATTCCCTATGTTAAGAATTATTTGATGTTTAAGGTTTTTACACACAGTTTAAGGATTCATTTAATTTTTATTTTTCCTATAGTAAAAATATTATTTATAATCTATTTAAATATCATTCAGCCAATAAGAAAACAATCTGCAGAATATAAAAGGTTAAAATTATAAAAATTTATTAAATTTTGTATTGAAAAGTGAGAACATCAAATACTTCTGAACAATAAAAACTTTCTAAAACATCAAATAATTTTGAACAGAGAGAGTAATAATTTAGTGTTAAAATTGATTAAGGATAAATGATGATGTAGACGCGAAGCCATCCATATCGGCAGTTCCACAAGAAGCAGGGTGCTTGCCGCATTAAAATTAATTAATGATAGCGAACAAGGATGAGAAATTGGGAAAGATACAATTTGACGACATAAAGACAAAAAGCATCGTCCTCCATGGTCCCCTACTCTCTTCAATCATAACAAGTTAACAACAACAGCAGATAATTTCTAAATAAACTTTTTAGGAATTGCAACGTCTAGGCAATTATAGATCAGTTTTTTTGTTTGTCTTGGCTTCTAAGGATTCACGCATTATAGATTTCAGAGAAACATAATCATATAGATATTGGAAAATCAACGATTTCTTTACACGGACTTCATGATTCAATCTCGCTTAGTTGCTTTGTAGCAAATTTTAGATGATCATTATTTATTACCAATTATAAAGCATTAATTAGCTGGAAGAAGAGAGTGAAGACAGCTCTTTTTGGCTTAGAAGTAAGTACAACACTTTATCGACCATAAGAAGTTGTAATTGTACAAATTTATAGGACTTCTTCTTTTTTTTTGGTAAAAATATACGACGACTTTTGGTAAGAAGTTATCATAGATTACTCTTCAAATTTCTTGTTCTTCCTCCTCGAATTTTCTTTTCTTCGTTTTACAATTTAGTCCAAGACGATACACTTTTTTTTTTTGGGTTGAGAAAGGGTTACCAAATCGATACAGTTGCATTTTCATACATAGTCGTTTATTCTCCTTTAGTAGCCCGTAGTCGTTTATTCTCCTTTAGTAGCCCGGGAACATTGGAGGTGGTGGCGATGCGTATTGGTGGCCGATGAAGGGTGGTATGATGAATTCGTCGCTTGGAGTCGGCGCTTGTGCCGGCGGCGTCT